ATCATCTTCTCATGCTGACCACTGACGATGGGGTAAAAAACACCTGCTGCGACAGGGACAAGACATAGGTTGTAAATAACAGCCCAGCCAAAGTTCATCCGAACACGATTGAATACACGTCGACTGAGAAGAACAAGCTGCAGGATGGTGCTAAGATCCGAGTTGAGAAGAATGAAACTGGCAGAATTGATGGCGACGTCAGAGCCTGAGGCCATAGCAATACTCACGTCTGCGGCAGCAAGAGCCGGGGAATCGTTGACACCGTCTCCAACAAAGGCGACGATAGGGCGAGTTGCCTTTGAATTCTTCGATACCTTGACTTCGGTTCCGGGAGACAATGTCTTCACTGACCCTTCTTGGACCTGTCGGACGAAACTTGCCTTCTCTGCTGGCAGGACGTTGGCCATGACGTTGGAACGTGGGATTCCCAGCATGTCGGCAACTGCGTGGGCGGTTGTCTGGTTGTCACCCGTGCACATGAAGACCTCAACATGGCGACTATTGAGTTTGGAGATGACTTCAATAGACTCTGGCCGAATGGTGTCTGAAGTTGCGAAAATAATTGCGGGAATGAACGGAGATGTCTCTGCAGAATCCGAATCGATGCGGCGCAAGGAGAGAATAGCAGTTGATTTGCCTGCTGACTGGAACTTTGACAGCAGATTTGACACGAAGTAGGTGTCATTTTCAGAAGGTAGAATGCTGTGCAGAAGACGCTCGTTGCCGATGGCAGCTTCGTATTTCTCCAAGGGCCCAGATGCAGCAAGAGAAACAGTGAAAGTCCCCTTCATACCCTGGCCAGAAATCTCTTGGATATCAGAAGATTCAACGGTTGCTGTTGATTGAGTCTGGCAAAAAGTAGTGATAGCCTGTGCGATCGGATGGTTGCTGCTTTCTTCCATTTTCTGAGCAAGTGCCCATGCGATCGTCACTAGCCCGCCGTCAGTTGTCAAGACTTCATGGTCGGAAACTTTAAGGCTTCCACCCTCAGTCAAGGTACCGGTCTTATCGAAGACAATGGCATCAAGGCGGCTAGCTTCTTGGAAGGCTTCTCCGCCACCCTTGACGAGGATACCGTGCTTTGCAGCGAGACCACCTCCGACAAACAACGCAGTGGGAGCGGCGAGTGCCAGACCGCAAGGGCAAGCAACCACAAACACAGCAATCGCAAACTCCAGACTCCAAAAAGTCCAGCCACCGCGGACAATGTCAAGATAATCCTGGGACAGGACGCCCGCATGGCCCAGAGCGAGCCATATCACGAAAGTAAGTATGGCAATGAGAGTTATAACAGGAACAAAATGGGAGGTGAGCATATCAGCAACTCTTTCAAGAGGCGCACGCTTGCTTTGGCCTTCGCGTACAACGGCAATGATTCGATCAAGCATAGACGACCCACCAAGTTCAGTGATTTTAATATGCACCGGTTGGCCGACATTGACGGAGCCAGTATAAACGTTGTCACCAGCCGTTTTCTTGACAGGACGCGATTCCCCTGTCAAAGAGCTCTCATCAAATTGATAAGAGGCAGCGCCGACAACCACACCATCTGCAGGCGGAGAGGCACCATGAGGAATGCGTACTGTATCACCAACCTCCAAAAGGTCAACGCTGACTCGTGTCATTTGGTCTGAAACAGGACCGTCAGGCGTCTGAGCAGCTTCAAGAGCCTGGTTTTCAACCAGGAGTGCCTCGGAAGGCCGAAGTTTTCCCAAGGAGGAAACTGCATCTCCTGTTTTGGCTTTGCTGTATGCCTCCAAGAACCGACCACAAAGAATAAACAGGGTCAAGAAAACAACGGAGTCGAAGTAGGTCGTGCTGTGGGCACTTTTGTTACTTCCCGCAACAGCATCGACGATAAGTACAGCCAGCGATGAAAAGTATGCCACCGAAGTTCCTGCTGATATCAAGAGGTTCATGCTACCGAAGCGATAGAACCTCCGCATGATCGGCACTCGGCTGCCGGGGCGCCATAGAGCGTGGATCTCCTTTAGGGCTCGGGTGTGAAATACGTCGGTACCATAAATCATAACCGGAGTAGACATTATAAAAAGTGCCCATTCGATGCGAGTGACGCTACCAGACCAGATAGCTTGCTCAAGATACATGCGGATCGGGTTTTCTGATGATACAAGAGACATGAAGACGATACCAATAAGAAAAGTTGGGATGGCAGCAACAAAAACAAATAGTAGACGAGCGAGTAGTCTGCGTCGTTCATGCAGTTGCATCGCACGGGAGCGATCTTCGATAGTTGGAGGGTGGTGGATGCTAGCGGTGAATGCGACGTTAGCATCTGTAATGGCAGCGATTATCGAACGAATCGTCAAAGATGGCTGCGGAAGGTATGTGATTTTGAGAATAGGCTTGGCCTCGCAAATAGTGCCCTCCACTGTTACGCCCGGGAGCAATTCAATGGCGGAGAGAACCTTCTCTGGACAATGACGACAGAACATCCCATCAACATGGATCGAGACCACTCTGGGCTGAAGAGGTCTGGCTTCGTCCTTGACATCGTCCAGAGGATGGAAATTGTCGACAACGGCATCGTAGCCTAGATCCTCAATCTTTTCCACGATCTTGTCTAGATTTTCTTTTCCTTCGAATTCAATCCTGCCACTATGTGACAGAAGGTTGACAGAGATATTTCGAATAAATGGCAGCTCTTCCAATCCTCGGGTTACTGCTCCGACGCAAGATCCACAGGTCATTCCAGTTATCGCGATTTCTGTAACAAATCTTGACGGAATTTGGGTTTGCCCTGAGGTTGAATCGTGAGCGACCTGATTGACTTCGTCCAAAAAAGCATCAAATCCAATGTCCTCGATTTGTTCCGTGATTAAATCAACATTCTCCCGAGGACCAGTATATACCACTGTCGCACTATTGGTGAGGAGGTTGACTTGAATTCCTTTGACATAATCCAACTGCTCGACCGCAGCAGTGATGCCATTAGCACACGAGGCGCAACTCATCCCTCCAATACCGATTCGTGCGTTAAATTCATCGACTCTCGGTGATGATTGTGGGGTTTCAGAGGATTGATCATTCTCATTGGACTTCCCCGATGATGGCGTGTGGACTCCATCCCGTGGACCCGATGGGAAAGAAGATTCGATTTCTTTTTCCTCCGCGATATCTTTGGGGTACTTCTCAGAGGGAAATGGCTCGGTCTGGGTAGAGTGCAAAGAAAAATTATCGGCCTCTTCCTTTTGGCAGGCCTCACAATTGGCAATGTGTCGTTTTTCTCTGCTTGAATGCAGTCGCTCCTTAATGTTGGAAGAGATGCTGGAATAAGACGTTCGGGGCGTGGAAAATACATGTGAGCTCCGGTTATTCCATGAAGTGGTATCAAGCTCAGAAACGATAGAACCACGCTCATCAAAGGTCGTGGCATGGTATACTTCAAAGGCGGCCTGAATGAGGGCGACAACGAGGTCTGCTGGATGCGCTGAGGCACCATGGGAGACGCGGACTTCGTGTGTCAGGATTGAGACATCAATATCTGTCACGGTGGGAATTTCGGTGAGAACTTCGGTGATATAGGCGACACAAGACGAGCAATGAACATTGCTCACCCAAAACACGCTTCTTCGCGAGTGGGTCTCGGAACTTTGCGCCTGCATATTGTGCCGCGACAGGCTTTTTCAGCCTGCTGGGAGCGAAGTATATGAAAGGCGTGTAGCTGTGGAGGGAAAAGATAGGTCGATGACCGATGGGGGAATGACAGATCCAATCGAGATCTCGAAAATGTTGAAGCAAGATTTTCAATTCTCAATGTTCAGGGGGGTGGATATTGAGTACTAAGAACCCAGGGGTACCGCGCGGGTCCTAGCGATCAGCTTTGATGATGGCGGAATCGCAAAGCCGAGCGGCACATGCGACAGGAGAGGTTACAGAAAGAAGAAAAGATGGGAATCAAAGAATGAATCGGATTGTCATAACGTCACGGTTGTATTATAAAGAAAGAAAGAAAGATCCTGGAAGCCGGTGGAGGGGCCGCGAAGGGCGAAGATGCGCCATTTGTGCGTGGAGTTGCCTCTCTACGCACAAATACCGCAACCGCATTCCAGATGTCTCTCGAGCCATGGCCCTCGTGCAGTATGTGGCTAGGTTCGGGGTGGGGAACGGGGGAATGTTAAGGCTGTCGTCAAGGATATGTCCGAAGAAGGTGCAGGATTGAAAAGTGAGCCAGCTTCGTTGCAAGGTTGGCCTTGGCCATGGGAGCCATGTGCAACTGCTCCTTCCTTGTTCCCGTTGCTGGGACTGGGACTGGGACTGGGACAGGCAGGTACGACCCTCTCCCACATGACTCAATGCATTTGCATAATGTAAGCCTGAGAATATACTATATCTTACATACTATATACTACTGTATACCACTATATACTACTATAGTATTATGCATAGTATAGTATACTAGTTATGACCCACGGTTATAAGTTATAACCCATCTCCCGTAAATAATACAATCTCCAGGAATTGACCCCGAATTGAACGCGCGCCCCTCTTTGCGGTATGTCACGTGCCTGCGCCGCTGGACCACGCGGGGGACTTCACCCCGAAAAATCCCTTCACAACCTCGCCCCACACCACTTCGCGTTCTCCTCTTATCACTTATCTTTTTTATGCCCTTTAGGGTTACTTTATCAACTGTCTAGAAGCACCCTGAGTTCTTTCCGGACTACATTTCACCAAGACCGCCGGTATTGTGATCTGGGACTAGCAGGCTGGGACCCAGATCTTTCCCTCAATCCCGCCATATCTTGCCTCATCCTTAACCTCGCCCTCACTTCCAACTTCAACCATCAACCAACCTCCGACTTGTCAATTATCTCGATTCCTCCCTCTCTATGCTTATCGCAATCATTTCTGACGCCTTCTACTTGGGTTTCGATACCCACCGAGTCTGTCTGGCCCCGATTGCCTGTCACTAAACCCCGCGACACCTAAGGTAACAACCGAGACCTTTATACCTATCATCTACCTTCGTCTCAACCATGTCAACCTCGAAGCCCACCCCCAAACTCGGGGCAGCAAGACCTCCCACGCGTATCTCTATTACTCCCCGGAGAGGGCCAGTAGGACGTCTTGCTAGCACGAAACCCTCAAGTTCAACCCCGATCAAACGTCCCCAGCCCACTGGTCGCCCTCAACCTACCCGGCCAACAACTCATCCGAAGACTTCAAGCTGTCCCAACCCTGGTTGCCCAGCACCTCAAATTGTGGACGAAGAGGGACAGAAAGTCTGTACAGGATGTGGTACTGTCATCAGTGAATCCAATATCGTGTCAGAGGTCACATTCGGCGAAAGCTCATCTGGTGCTGCTGTCGTTCAGGGTACCTTTGTTGGTGAAGATCAGACCCATGTGCGCAGCTTTGGCCCCGGCTTTCAGCGGGGAGGTGGCATGGAAAGCCGAGAAATGACTGAACAAAATGGCAATCGATTTATCACCCAGCTCTCGCGGGCCTTAACTATCCCGGAGAGTGCCATGAAGGCTGCTGGCCAAGTCTTCAAGCTCGCTGTCGGGCTGAACTTTATCCAAGGTCGTCGCACGAAGACTGTGGCCGCAGTCTGTCTTTATATCGCTTGTCGTCGTCAGGACGGAAACACCGTCATGTTAATCGACTTCGCCGATGTGCTGATGATCAATGTCTTCAAACTGGGTCGCACCTACAAAGCTCTTCTCGATGAGTTGCGCCTAGGTGGCAATGTATTCATGATGAACCCTATCGACCCGGAAAGCTTGATCTATCGGTTCGCTAAACAACTGGAGTTCGGATCTTTGACAATGCCCGTGGCAGGTGAGGCTGTGCGCATCGTTCAGCGAATGAACCGTGACTGGATGACAACTGGTCGACGTCCTGCTGGTGTCTGTGGTGCAGCCCTGATCCTGGCCGCTCGGATGAACAATTTCCGCCGTACGATTCGTGAGGTTGTTTACGTTGTTAAAGTTACAGAGGTCACCATCAGCCAGCGTCTGAACGAGTTCAGCTCAACCGAAAGTGGTGAACTGACTGTGGACCAATTTCGATCAGTGCAACTGGAAAATGCCCACGACCCCCCATCTTTCACCCGGGCGCGCCAGGGTCACAAACCGAGTATAGTTTCCCGGAAACACCCCGAGACGGCAGCCGAACTTGAATATGATTCTGCAGCTGAAAGCGAGGCGGGATCTGTGCAGCCCCGGCGTGTCGATGCAGATGGCTTTACCATACCTAACCTCCCCATCGACCCTGCCCTCACGGAAAATCCCGTCCGACGTGGGTCTATCACAAAAGCCGTGAATGAAGTTATTGCGGAGGCAAAACAGGAAGGCCTTGAAGGCAAGAACAATGCGAAGCAGTCTCGAAAGGGCCCCTCTTTTCCTGCTCCATCTGCCGAACAAATTGCATCTGAAGATGCCCTGGAGGAAGAAATGCGCAACATGTTGGCTAAGGGCTCCACTATGGTCGAAAATGCTGCACTTCCTCCCCAGACTCAAGTCTCAGACAGTACGGAAATTACCGAGAATGAATTCGAAGATGACCCCGAAGTCGCCTACTGTCTCCTCTCGCCGGCTGAGGTTGACTTGAAGGAACGCGTTTGGGTCAGTGCAAACAAAGAATACCTCCGCACCCAACAGGCAAAGGCACTCAAGCGTGCGCTGGCCGAAGCTACCGGTGGCGCCTCTTCCTCCAAGCCTCGCAAGCGCCGCAAGGGCCGAATGGGTGATGTTGGCTACCTTGAGGATGGACAAGACGGCGAGGGCCGCAGCTCCCGTGCTTCCACCCCAGCCGAAGCGACTCGGCGTATGCTCGAGCGACGCGGATACAGCAAGAAAATTAACTATTCCCTTCTGGATACTCTATACGGTGGCGATAGTGTCCCCGAAGACCAGAAAACGAAGATGGAAAGTTTCAGCCGCAGCCAGAGCCGGAGTGAGAGCCGAGATATTATGGCCCGAGATGTGAGCCGCAGCCGCAGCCGAAGCCGAAGTGTTGTCTCCCGTCGCAGCGCCAGCATTCCTCCCGAAGCTGCCTCCTTTCGCCGAGCCGGCCAGGCCATACCAGCACCAGCTGCGAAGTCTGGTCACTCTCAGGCTGCAGGCCCCCCCTCCAACTCCCCCTCCAACAGCCCCCGAGACTGTTACCAATGATGCACCCAAGCAAGATGGTCGTCCAGACGACGCACCGCCTGACCCTGACGATTTGGAGGACGACGATGACGATGAAATGGACGACCATGTTGATGATGCTTTCGCCGGCAACTACGATGATTACTACGATCAGAATAGTGACTACGAATATGATAGTGACTAAATATGGGAATGGGCTCAAATTTCATCCTCACCCTGCCTAGCACTTGCTGACTATACCATGCCCTTCAATTTGACACGATCCAAAAGAAGATACCATGTATCATTATACTAGAACTTTTGCTTTGAGGCCCATAATATAAATCAATAGAACTCATCATTCGCATGGAGCCTCCTGGCTTTCCGAACCTTGAAATGCTCTTAGACATCTTAACGCTCAGGCACCGTAGCGCCACCATCCCACGCCCGATCCCACGTCTCTCACCAGCAACAAATCCGGAAGTCCGTAGCGCCGCATTTGAGCGATTCCTGCCCAGAAACACTAAGCTTCCCCGCCGATCACTGGCTTTACTTCGGTCTCCTCACCGACATATCACCCCCTCACATATCGAGGTGCGGGGAATCAAATCATTCATGTCACCATGTGGACTGCTTCTCCGGATTTGATGTCCCCATACCAGCAACGTGAGCAGAATCCCCGATACAATTCATTCTGCAACCATAGTTGGGGTATATTTTTTTTCGTTCAAGTTGAAAGAGCAGAAAACTTTAGCCATCTTATCTCCCTGGCCTACTTTTCCTTTGTTCCAATTTAGTCCTATTCCTAACTTCCACGCTAGAACCCCCCCCAATAGGATCTTTCTTTACGTTTCCCCCAGTCGACCCGGCGCTATTTTATGCCAGATTCGTCAACTAGGCCGTCGTTTGCCCGTGATTGATCAGTGAATAGTCTGGTCGGCCCTCGGCCGGCTAATATGTCACATCGACACCCAGTCCCATATAAAATCGTCTATAGCGCTCATGCGGTACAGGTTTCCCCTGGTTCGATTCGAGTTCCCCGCATCAATATTCCCTTACCTATCAACTTTTGATCTACCCCCCTCTCGCTTTCTCAGTAGTGTAGGCCGATCGACGGTGGTTCAGTATGGTAAAGCTCGATATCTACGGTCGAGGTCGACCACTACGGGTGGCTATCATGTTCACATGCCAGTTGTCCTTTATTTTATTTGGTTTGTGAAATAAAAGATGTTTTACCAGTCTAATTTAGGCTTGAACGGCTAATCAGATACAGGTTATGATCAGGGTGTTTTCTCCGGAATCGTGGGCAATGAAGACTTCTTGGAGGTGGTACAGAATCCCAGCGCGGGGATCCTGGGGATTATCGTTTCGATCTACAATCTAGGCTGCTTCACGGGCACAATTATCGCCTTCCTGATAACGGACCGTCTTGGACCACGGAAATCGTTGTGGTTTGCTATGACTTGGATTATTGTAAGAACTTGGAGAAAGTCACCATTAGTATATCAGTCTAACCCTCTTCTCATAGGTCGGTGCAATTTTACAGACAACTTCATTCTCAAGGGCACAGTTACTCGTTGCGCGCTTTGTAACCGGCATAGGAACCGGTATAGAAACAACTACTGTGCCGGTATACCAGTCCGAACTGTGCGAGGCAAAGAAGCGCGGAAAGTATGTCTGTAGCGAGCCACTGTTCGTGGGTGTGGGTATAGTAATTGCATATTGGTTTGACTATGGAATGAGCTATGTTCATGGGGCCATCAATTGGCGACTGCCCATTGCCTGCCAGATGATTTTTGCCATTATGGTAGTCTTTTTGGTATTCGGGTGAGTGAGCTATGAACTTTACTGGGAGTTAACAAAGGATGGTGACTGACAGTAATATTAATCTAGGTTACCGGAGAGCCCCCGCTGGCTTTATCGTCATAATAGGCATTCAGAGGCTCTGCAAGTTCTTTGTGATGTTTATGACAGGGAAGCGGAGGACCCCAAGATTATGTCAGAGTCGGCGGAAATTTTGCAAGCAATCGAGCTAGAGACTCTACGAGGCGAATACAAGTGGTCACAGATTCTAGAGAGAGACGAGGTACAGACTGGAAAGAGGGTGCTGCTGGCCTATGGAATGCAGTTCATGAACCAGATGGGTGGTATCAACTTGGTAGTGGTGAGTGATATCCCGGAACCGAAACTGGTGCTCACTAGTAGTAAGTACTAACATTTGTCAGTACTATGTCACTTCAGGTAGGTGGAGCAGACTAAATAAAATGATCTTCCATCCCGGTACTGATATATTTGAATAGTGCTGCAAGATAACGTTGGGCTGACCCGCAAATTGAGTCTACTCCTCGGGGGTGTGATTCAAATTATGTTTGTAATCGGTTCGCATCGCCGCCCTAAAACAAAAGTACGACATACTGACCGTCTGATATCTCAAAACAGGCTCATTCTACCCAACCTTTTTCTCCGATCGATTTGGTCGTCGCCAGCCAATGATGTGGGGCTCTTTTGGCCTCTTTATTTCAATGATGATGATTTCTATCCTTCTTTCCTTCAAGGGTAGGAGATCGTTTGCATCCGAGTCTCTCTTTTTTCAAAAACTATTCTGACCTAACTCATAGGAACATCCGTTGAAAAGCCTACTGCATCTGCGTCTGTGGCCTTCTTCTTTCTGTTCATGCTCATCTTTGGCGCATCCGTGAATTGCATTCCGTGGGTATATGGACCGGAAATTCTTCCGCTGCATGTTCGGGCTAAGGGGTGAGTAGTACTCTCTGGGGCGTCCAAGACGCAAATTTAACAATATTGCAGGCAGGCAATTGGCATCTCAGCAAATTGGTTGTGGAATTTCTTCGTGGTCATGATTACCCCAACATTGATTCAGAATCTTGCGTGGAAGGGGTACTTGATTTTCATGTGCTTAAACCTGGTTTTTGTTCCAGTAAGAAAAAGCACATATATCACAAGGTCTTTCGATTTTGGACTAACTTGAAAAGATCATATACTTCTTTTATCCCGAAACGGCAAATCTCACCCTCGAAGAGATTGATTTCCTTTTCACCGACCGCGCAAGACACCACTCCTTGCCCTCCTATGGCCCTTCGGAAACCGAGCCGAGAGCCACGGGAATTGAAACTGTCAGTATAAGCCAAATTGGAAGTTCTGATAAAACGAAAGAAGACTACGTGGAGAAGATTGACTAGAAGCCCGTCACGGAGGGTAATGTCAAATTGCCGATGGATGGATCTTCGCCGACTCGCGCATCGTGGTGAAAACTGCATTAGCCAGGCAATATAAATCAGTTCAAGTTAAGGCAATGCATTGTAATTCCACTTTCCCGGGTGGGTGTAGTACCAGTAGTTCCCAGCTCTCTTTTTTCCGCGAAAACAAGTTGTCAAGTGAAAAAAAACAACTGTACCTATCAAGACAACGTCTTATCATCACTGTTTTGCTTGCTGCTCTCAATCATACACTCCACCTCCTTCTTTGGCCGAGTATGTACGAACTCTCCATTTAAATACGGAGAACTCTCGCCCGCACTTCCAAATTCATATTTAGCAAATCCACTGCCCAAGAACCCGAATCGATTTTTTGAATGATACTGGATATCAAAATCTTCCCAAAGAGGTTCCTTGACTGCCTCAAAGAAAGCCAGTCGGGAACCTGGCCACATAACGATCGGCCCATCTGGTCTACCTTGTTTAAACCAGCTGGTACAAGGATCTGCCCAACAGGTACGAGGCAGATAGACACGAGCATGTTCCATGAAGTCCTGAATCACAGAGTCCTTAGGTATGACACGGCGGATATGATGCAGATACATCTTCTTGATTAGTTGCATAAAATAATTGCTCATTGCGGTTAAGATGGGCAAAATGGCGCCTTGTGCTACAGGCGTGAATGGCCCTGTGAACATAAAGTAATTTGGCATGTCCGGAGCTGCGATCCCAAGGTAGGATTCAGGGATCTCGGCCCAGCGCTCGCTAAGCCGGACACCATTCAATCCAATGACAGGGAATCGAGGACGATAAGAGGTGTCGAAGCCAGTGGCACATATAATAACATCGCACTCATGCTCTTGTCCAGACTGGCTCCGAAAGCCCTTTGGTCTGATTTCTTTGATTGTATCGGTAAAAACAGTAGTCTTTTCTCCTACAAGTGCTTCAAGATAGCCATTTCCCGGGGTTGGGCGCCGGCACCCGACGTTGAAGTCTTTCGGGATAATTTTGTCCACAAGGCGAGCATCCCCGCCGAGCTTTTTATGCATCTCGCTATATGAGAACTTGGAGTAGTCAGAAATTCTGCCTAACTACTATAGCTCGGCATCAACAAACTTACCTCGGCGCCCTTTTGAGATTCAGCAGTATTGCGTAAAACCGCCCGGTACCGTAGATTGATTTCATCCTCGATCATCTTCCTGTATTCACGGTATTTCTCAGGATCTTGACGCCATTCGGACTTTTCTTTCTCGGAATCTAAATAGATAAGCTACATGCACTCATGCAAATGATTATTACTCACACTCAAAATTTGCGCCATCCTTGCCAGCGTATTTCTGTGCAAATCCCGCCGTAATCCAAGTAGGGCTGCGTACCCAGGTATAAAGCTTCGATACATCTGAGTAAACAGAAGCTACTGCCTGGACGCCAGAGCTACCGGATCCAATTATGGCGACTCGTTTGTCTTTGAGGTCAAACCCTTCTTCGTATCGAGCTGTGTGGAAAAGACGCCCTTGAAAGGAATGTAGACCAGGAATGGTTGGCCATTTCCAAGCACTATTTCAGTAAGCCATTGCCCCATCATCCAAAATTATGATTCGGCAGCTCACTTCAGGAATCCCGTGCCATTCAAAAGCACATCGCAATGCTCTTTCCACGAAGCTGAATCATCCGCCCGGCATAGTGTCAATACCCACCTCCCGATCTTGTCATCCCATCTCGCCTCAGTGACTTCAGTTCGAAGTTGGATATATCGATCCAAACCTTCATCGAGAACAATACCTTTGAGATATTGCCATATCTCTGGGGAACTGCAATAATATTTCGACCAATCTGGATTCGGTCTCCAAGCAAATTGGTAACTGGGGGATGGGCCATCGCAGGCACAGCCAGGATACCGATTTTCAAACCATGTACCGCCCACATCAGTGTTCTTTTCAAAACATTTGACCTCAATATTCAAATCTGCCAATTCATTCGATGCATGATGTAGAAAATCAATGCCTGCAGCACCAGCACCAATAACGATCACTTTGAATGGGCGGTCGGTTTGCCAGGGCTCACCTAGGAGGTTCGTTCCCGCCGTGTATCCGGTCGGAGACTGAATATGCCATTCTGGATGATCTACCGGTCTTCTAGACGATGAAGGGTGGGGGCCTGGGCGATTACTACCGACCTGGACAGGGATACTGTGACTGGATTCCCCCATGGCTGAGTAAAATTTGCAGAAAGAGTTTAACTAGCGATCCAAAGGTAAGATGAGAAACTTGTATATAGGACTATACTACCTTGGGGACAGAACTCTTCCGAGGGATTTAGCTTGGATTTATCAGTGACTGGCATCTTTGATTTATGTACGTGTGCATGTGCTACGCTCGGACAGCCAGTCTCCGACTTCTTTCAAATACCTCTCGGCATACTCTCCGGGGTGTGTGTGTATGCAGTATCACATCACCCCGCATTACCACAATAATCCTATCAAATAATAGGCCCAATCGTTCTTCTAGTAGACCTAGAGCGAGGTCCTAGTTGCTAGCTGCAACTGGGGTCCGTAGGGAGGGGTAGTTACCAAACACGCACGCAATGCTTTCTTCACTTGATTTCTCTAGCTTTCAGCTCAGCACCTCTCTCTTGTGTCTTTGAGGTTTATCATCAAAATTACCCCCGAGGTTTGAAGCATATAACTCATCCTCAGACATGGCGCAAGAATACGCGTATATCACCGGCGGTGCTAGCGGACTCGGCAAAGCCGTTGCCATACAGCTAGCCTCCAAAGGTATCAAATCATTCATCGCAGACCGTAACACGGCCGGTGCGGAAGCAACAGCTCACGAGATCGGAGGAGACTATACCACTGTCGACGTAACTTCTTGGGAATCCCAAGCCGCTGGATTCAAGAAGGCAGTGGAGCTTTTTGGACGGGTAGACTATGTATTCGCCATCGCGGGGGTAGGGCAAAACGACTGGATGCCACCGACACAGATGGATGGCGATTTTCAGAAGCCCAATCTTTCAGTGATGGAAATCAATGTTCAGGGCATGTTGATGACGGTTTCGCTGGGAGTGCAGCAGTTCCGCCGACAGACGGTGAATTCACATGGTTTCCGTGGGAAAGGTGTGTATATCTATCTAAATTCCAGGACTTGCTATCCACACACCGCTAAAATAGTATAAATTCAACTTGAAAGTGATTGTCGCGGGCTCTGTCTGTGGAGTCTATCCAAGTCCTGGTCTATCAATCTACGCAGCATCCAAGCACGCCGTAACTGGCTTGGTACGCTCATGGGGACTGGAGCTACCGGCTGAAGAAATCACGTTGAACTGTCTGATTCCTAGTGTGATGAGAACGAAAATTTCTACGCCAGCGTTTTTTGACGCTTTGGAGAGCGAGGGCCTGCTTACCCCACTTCATGGCGCTGTCGATGCTTGTGAACAGCTCCTCGGTTCTAATCCCGTGAGCGGACAGTGTTTTGAGATTGGACCCGATTATGATAATGGACAGGGACTTACGCATCCTAAGTTTGCGACCTTTACGGATGAGAAGCATCGACTTGTATTTGACAGGTTGGCAGTGAGAGGTGTGTCGTTCAAATTGGGGGCTGAAAATTCGAAATATTAGTCACAGTAGATTTTTTATTCAGATGTGTCTACATACTAGCACCTGGAGTATAAGTCTACCATAAGCCCTCACTGAAACAAGCCTGTGTCTCATACTAGCCCTATATGATAGTAGCAGAAAATAGCTCGAAGCCCACCGACCGCACCGCATCACCTTCCAAGATTACCATCGAAGTTTAGGAAGAGGTTTTTAAATCAAGTCTTGTTCTTCATTTTCAGTCGTAATTCAAAATAGATAGAGTCCAAATCCAAAAAACATGCAGAAATAAAACTAAACCCGCATTTACGACGCCAGAACCAACCCCTGCCGGTGAAATCAGAAGAACACCACTACCCCCCATATGCCCACCCACCCGGGGCAAAAAGAGACTGGACGATGCTGCCGAACTGAGTAAGTTGGGCGCAAGCGATTCGAACTAAATCCAGTGAACAATCAGATAAATCAAGCAGAAACAAGAAGAAAAAATCGAGGTTTGATCGATCGGTCGATCGGAAATGGCGATGACGGCGAAGTGTCGGAGATCGACGGCAAATTCAATGTCGTGTGGTGATCGAACTTCTGAAGAATGAGGCATACGGAATTAGGAGTCGATGTCCATCCCCATTTCGACGCCTCCGTTCAGTCCCGGTCCCGCGTCCAAGCTCGTGGGCGCTTGCGGGTGACTTGAGAGAGCTTGCTGCAGGAGAGGTACGCCAGCGTCTGCATTGGAGGTAAAAGGATTGGAAGCAGGAGGAGATGCAGATCGAGCGGCTGCGATGAGAGGAGTTGCGCCTTCGAAAAGGATGGGTGTTTGGCGTAGATTCTGCAGGCAAGAGTCCCATGATGAAGCCACTAACTGGCACTGGGTGAGATCATCATTGAAGAGATAGAACGCCGGTGCAATGGCAGAAATAGGCGTCGCAGCAACAAGGAAAGCGTTCAATGCGCGGCTTTTCATAAGCATTTGAGAGTTCTGCAGATGGCTGGCGTATTGGTTGTCGATGTATTTCGTCCAGCCACGGATGGCGGGGGCCATATCATCGTCGGAATCGATGCGCTGCCAGCTGATGCCGAGGAGGAGAGTAGCTTCGTCGATGTGAGGTTCATTAGGTGGGGTAGACCCGGACTGGAGCGAGCGGTGTTGATCTTCAAGGCTGGGGCCATTGAGGCGCTGGTTGATCGAAGAAAGCGCAATGTCGTCGAGACCTGGGGCGGATTGGTCGAGCCGCTGGGACTTGCGGCTGATGTCGGCAGCATCGGACTGGAGCGCAATCGAACGCGACGAGATAGGATCCTCCTTAGCTTGTTGCGACTCGCTCTTCTCTTCATACCATGTGCCAGTCTGGCTCTCGGCGGAAATAGTCATGCCAGTATCGGGGTTCAGCAGGACCATTCCCTCGCCATAGATGGGTTCGACCTTTGGAGTCGGAGGAGGCTTTGGTTCGGAGGGAACGTTGAGAGAGAAAGATTCCTCGAAGGAAGCTTCGTCACGCGACCTCTTTCGAGACGGCTTGGGCGCGACAGGAGCAGAACTGATATTTGAGTCTGAGACAGGCTATGCAAGACCATTGCTGGCGAAAACCGAGCTTGAGCTGGTAGGGTAGCCATTGAAGTTACCGGAGGGATCCAGCAAAGACTGGGAGGGGAACTGAGCGAAGGCGTGTTCCTGGGAAGGAGAGAGAACCGAGGCGGGGCCCTCGGAGAGACGATTTAAGAGAATTGGAGACATGCTGTGTAGGGTTGAGATGCGAAGAGGAGGAGACTGTACTGTGAGGTTAGGTGAGCAGCAAACTATAAGCTATTACCACGTATAGATCACGAGTATAGAAGGCGTGAGGTAGAGGTAGAGGGAAGTAAGTAAGAAAGAAAGAAAAAAAAAAGTGACGGGGTGATAGTGAAGGAGGGAGGAAGAGGAAGAAGAAAGATTGAAGAAAGGGAAAAGTAGAAAATGACCCGAATTTGTGGGAAAGTAAGATGAAGAAGGGCAGAAGGAAAGAAGGAAAGAGAGGGAGGGAAAGCGCGAGGAAAGAGCGACTGGGAGGGATCTGAGGCGATCCGGACCCATCTGTTGCATTAATGCGGAGATGACCATACGAGACACCCTTATGCAGGCCACATAAAGCAGTTTAGAGCCAATGTGACAGTACGCTGTACGGAAACTTACCCTTGGCTGGAGCCAATCGGCGCTGGTGGTTACGCCGCGCAGTTTGGGGCGGTGGGGCGCTGTGCTGCGGGCGATTGGCCAATGGCGGAGGCCCAGCCCTGGGTCCGTGACGGCGACAGCTGCACTTGGCGTGGCCCGGGTTCAGCAGGGCGTGCCAGCTGATAGGCAATAGCTGACGTTCTAGGGACACCCTAGATGGCTTATTACAGCACACTAGTCGATCCTTTTACGAATGTGTGGTAGGATGGGCAGCCCTGAAAATTCTATTGTTTCAATAATATAGGGACATGAATGGGAAATGAAGACACCTGAACAGGTCCAAAGCAATCCGACACCAGAGCTCGTGCAAATTGAACACCAAATCAATGTTTGCTTGAAGGGGAGGGGAAAAAGGGGGCCGGAAAAAAAAACCAACGAGAGGAAAAGAAAGCAAAGGTGAAAGGGAGGGCAAATCGCCAACAACACCGAGTTCGTCGGCGTATCAATCAACGGGAATTGGTTCACAAAAAGAACGGTCAAAGACAGCCGGGGCCTCCGTTTTCCATCACACCGCAAGGACCCCGGAATCGAAGACCGGCCACAGGCGGGATTTCCTGCATGTCGCCGTGGCTGCCTCGGGAAGACCAGTAAGTACATACATAGGTCAGAAGAAAAAAAGAAGAGTATCGAGAGAGGGCTTTCCACCATTCCTCACGAACAGCGTAGTTTTCACTTCCGCCGAGAGGTTTCTACTCCACCACTTCAATTCTTACACAAAGAAACCTCCCATCTGCAGAATGATCTCCAGGCAATCTATTTCAGTAGATCACGTGCCCATTGAATTCCCCGGGGGAGTGCAATTTAGGCATTACCCGCGGTAGCACCGCCGAGCATACCCTTCACACGGTCAACCTGCTCGGGGGCGTAGCTGGGGGCCATGGAGCCGACGAAGAGGAAGAAGCTCAGAGCAGCAGCACCGAAGATCACAAACTTGCGCTGGGCAGGGTGAGTGTTGCCGTACTCGGCCCAAGCGCGATTGGCAGAGCCAGTGTACTCGCGGATCTTGTCACCACCAAGCTTGTAGTAGACAAGACCGAAGAGGGCAATAGAGTAACCGAAGAATTGGAGAGGGGTGACGGGGGTGTTCCAGATGAACATGGAAGCGGCAACCAGGAGAATATCCTTCAGAACACCACACAGAGTCATGACCAGAGACGAGGTCTTGCCAATCAGGAAAACAACGGAGACGTTGAGCAAGAAGGCAACCATGGCGTTGGCAAAAAGAGTCATTAAACCAACACCGTAGATGTGGTCCATGGTGACATGGGGAACCTCCAGGAAGAGGGCAACGGCACCGTTCATCACAGCGCAGATGGGGGCGAAGTAGTAGAGAGAAACCATGGGGTCCATCTTGTATTCAGCGGAGCTCAGCAGGCGCTGCACCATAACCAGACGAGTGGCCTCGAAGACAATACCACCCAGCTGGAACAGGAAACCAATGAGCTGGAATTGGATCTCACCAAACGAGGCAATGACAACACCGACAACAATGATCGAGACGTTCATGAGGACCTTGTAGTTGACAGGAGCCATGCCCATGCCCCAGGTAGCGAACAGAACAGCAACGGGGGTGGTAGCCTGTTAAAAAAGACATTGTTAGCGCAACTCGTCCAACATAGATCACAACTGGCTGGCCATCGGGTTTAAGACGTACCTTCAGCATCTGAATGAAAGCAACGCTCAGGTACAGATAAGTCATGTTACCGCAGATCAGACTCAGACTGAACATCAGACCGATGGGAACGATAGCGCGGAGGTAAACACGACCAGTCATCTTAACGGTCTTGCGTCCGTCCAGGACGGTGGTGAAGCGGGCCAGAATCTGGGTCATGATTGTCGCAAAGGTCAAGTGCCATGTTGTAAGGACGATAGCTATTTGTACGGTCAGTATTGGGGGTGGGGGGTCTGCGGGGGAGGGTTGCGGTCTTGGACATACGGAAACCTATGCAGCGAATCTGTTAGCAATCTGCAAGCGCGGAAGGCGGAACGCGGGGAATTCGAGTGAAGGTACTCACGGAAGTTGGCATAATCGAGGAGATGCTTGTTGAACAGAATGACGGTCGAACTCAGTGTAATCCAGACACTGTCGCATAACGGTTAGCCTCCAGATCTCGGGATCTTCGGGAGCCTCTTTTAGTGTCTCCAATTTCCACCTCACAGCTCGCAACTCACCTGACGTAGACAGCGGGGTGGAAAGAGGTCTTGGGAGCCTCTTGCTTCTCGGTCATTGGATTGACGGTGGGGAGAGCCTGCTCGCGCGGCGAGTCGCCGGAAGTGCGGACCTTCTCGCCTTCAGACATGGTGAATGTGCGAGTTTGATCGGAGATGAAACGTTTAAACTCGAATGGACGGGGCCGCGAAAGGCTTCCTTGGCCAAAAGCGGAGGAAGCCACGGGGGGTGAAGGATGAGGATTATTATCGGATCAGAAACACTAATAAGTGTTTGGGTGGTTAATGAGAGGGTATGCAAGAAATTGAAAGAAGACGAAGAAAGTAATGCGCGAGCAAAAGATAACGATTGTGGATGAAGAAATGATGATGGCAAGGTTCAGGCCTCGCAGACAAGAATAGGATCGAGAGACGACGTACTGCAACAGAAATTAAATTTCTTTTACGTTTCTGGTCGGCACCAAAGACTTGTTGTTCACGTTTAAGGGACTAGAACTGGACCAGGGAAATGAAAAGAGTAAATTGTAAAATCGACAGGCTCCGCAAACAGAAATGGACTAAAGGGACAGGAGCTGGTCTGATTGGGGCCAGTGGATGTATGGCCAGGAACGGTAACGGACGGTGACAGGCGGTGACAGGCGGTGACGGTGCTGCAGAGGCCACCTGTACCTGATTCTACTTTGAACTGTACCCTGTTCTGGTGGGGATGGTAACGTACAACCAGTATATACTATACCAAACAGGTCACTTATACATTACATACAGTACAGGCCCCAAAACCCCCAATTCCCCCCCCACTCCCCATACCCGCATCCCTCCATTACTCTAGTCTCTGTCCTGTGGCCATACTCATACACTATGAGTAGGTATGCGCATACACTCTCTCTTCCAGAAAGTACAGACACTCGACTCGTGGCAACTTCTAAAATGAGCCGCTCGCCAATGAGAACTGCCAGTGTCACCCACGCTCCACCGTCCCAGCGGTTGTGGCCTGCTTATTTCCTGCCTTTCCTATTCTTAGATCTCTGCAACACACGCGTCCTACCATAAGTACAATCTAGATTAATCCTTCTCCATCCGGACCCCCGAAATCAGAGGGTGCAATGTGACCGTCTTCGACAGGACTGGTTTGAGATAGAAGCCCACCACCCTCCTGAAGGCAAGGCCACCACAGTGCTGATCCCAAATTATCAGGTCGACACAGGTGGCATTACGCAAGCAGCTGTTGGGTTTGACCCACTTCAGACCCGCGTTCAGCGACCCTCTGGGCCATCGTCGCCGCCCTGGTCCCTTACGGGTGGAGAATGCGCCGATCGTCCTTCGGAGGCTGTGTCTGACGCCATTCTCCCCCATCCAAAGACTCTCTGGATGCCTCAGAAGGGGCCCACCCCTGGGAAAAAGGAAAAATTAAGCAAGCGACGCGTTGTGAGTGAGAATCCCTCACTACAGAGCCACCCCCTTTACGGAGTAGTGGCCGGTTAGACCCAAAGAAGCTTTTTTGACTTTCAGGGGAGGAGATAAAGGAGAGGAGGGACCGGCCGTGCGACCACGACAGGGTCCATCTCTATCGGATGGAAGGGCAACTGCTGGTTCGAGCAAGTCCAGCGGACAACCCGTCGACGATCAATGTGAATGGAGATCCGTACGAGTAGCTTCTTCCCTTCGCGAAGGGATCCTCGTCGTTCTTCCCGCCTTGGGGAGGACAATCAGTGGGACTGCCCCCTTCGCCTGTGCACATGTCCCTGGTCCGATGCCAATCCCGCCTCGAGACCGCCAGATAGATGGACGATCATCTCTCCGGATGATGGTCCGCGAGATTCAAGGATTTTCGCAGGCAGGCAGCCGAACTGATGGGTGACTTTCTACTCAGTTTACGGAGTATACGGAGTTCAATTGTAGTACTCGTACTCCGTACAGGCGAAACGAAACGGAGTCCGTTCGGAGAGCCTACTCCACGCCATCCTATCCAATCTGCGGCACCGCCGATTCAGATCCCAGGAACGATATACATACTGTACATGAAGATGTGGCCACGCAAACGTGCCCATCGACATCGGTGGCGTTTTTAGCCGTCGACGAGCCAAGAGTGGTCCTCTCCCTGCCTGGTCCCTGCCACTGCTCATCCACCCCCTTTCTTTCTTGTGGTGTCCATTTGCGAATCAAAATACTCCGAGATGCGCAGATGATAACGGCATTGTTGATTCGTGCATGGACCCTGAATCTATCCCGCCAAGGATTGTTTCGACCTGTGCGCATGCAAACAGAGTGTTCCTTTGGAGAACCAACGATAAGCCCCATTGAGGCCAACGCTATGTGTCCAATAACGGTTTTCCTCCAAGCTCCAACTTTGCAGAATAGATTGTGATAGATTCGATTAGTTTAAACACCACGCAGGTCAGGTTCCCCGAGGGTGGCGTTGTGATGGCGAATGAGCGTCAGCCTATGGTTTGAGTGGGAGAATTCAGAATTTTACATAGAAAGTTAGTAGTGTATGTACTCATAGGTAAGCATAGCCGAAGGCAAATCATAATACGAGTAATATAATATAAAATTCAGAATTCAAACAAACCCAAGTTCAGCCAAGTCCTAGGTGTACGTGTTCAATAATACCTGGGGCGGGGAGGATCTGTTCGCGGCCAAACAACAAACTTCCCCCTGGAAGCGGCCACCGCCAAAACAGCCACTGGGAATGAATGCTGGGACAATGTGAAAAGCGCTGAGCCTGAGAGGCCCAGATCGGGGGGGCGGGATTCCGTAATTTGACAATTTGGCAAATCAATTTGAATCGAAAAAGTAAAGTAAACCTGAAACAGACATGGGCAACTCCACTCCTGCGACACCGCTGAAGTGCCGGCTCCATTTACCCCTACCCACGGTAGCTGTGGCCTCCCACTTTCCTCTTCCTCCATCTTCCCTTTAACACCTCTCCCTCCCATCTTCCTGCAGTTTCTTGCTGCTCTTCATTTTCTATGCTGAGCATCGCCCGCAAGACTTTTAAACGCGTTCCCAGCTTTCAGGACCTTCTTCAAGGCAGGATGACCCACCCCGACATGTAAGGACAAAACACTCCCGCTTCCTCGCCATTGCCATCATCGTCGCTGACCTTTTTCTACTTCAGTTCCGTTGACGTCCTCGTCATTGGCGCTGGCCCTACTGGTTTGGGTGCCGCTAAGCGTCTTAACCAGATCGTAAGTCTTTCTCTCCTCCCCCTCCCCCCTCTGACCGATGGCTGGACTGCACTGGCAGAAAAAAATAAATAAGGGGGGGTTGATGGAGGGGTAGTGCAAGAACACTCAAGAACTAATCAATTGTACAGAATGGCCCCTCTTGGTTGATTATTGACTCGAACGAGACCCCCGGTGGTCTTGCCTCCACTGATGTGACCCCTGAAGGCTTCGTAAGTTACCCGAATCCCTTTGTTGTTGACAACACTCCCGCGGAACCCCCGATCTGACCCTTTTTTTCTTTTTTGGGAATAGCTGTACGATGTTGGTGGCCACGTTATCTTCTCCCACTACAAGTACTTCGACGACTGCATCGACGAGGCTCTCCCCAGGGATGAGGACTGGTTCACCCACGAGCGTATCTCCTACGTTCGTTGCCAGAACGAATGGGTCCCCTACCCCTTCCAGAACAACATCTCCATGCTTCCCAAGGCGGAGCAGGTCAAGTGCATTGACGGCATGATCGATGCTGCTCTTGAGGCTCGTGTTGCCGCCAACAAGCCCAAGAACTTCGACGAGTGGATCGTCCGCATGATGGGTACTGGTATCGCCGACCTTTTCATGCGCCCTTACAACTACAAGGTCTGGGCCGTTCCCACCACCAAGGTAAGACACACCCCATACCCCCTCTACCCCGCCAGGTCGAATGTCAATTCTAACGACTCCTCGCGTTTCAGATGCAATGCGCTTGGCTCGGTGAGCGTGTCGCTGCCCCCAACCTGAAGGCCGTGACCACCAATGTCATCCTGAACAAGACCGCCGGTAACTGGGGTCCCAACGCCACCTTCCGTTTCCCTGCCCGTGACGGTACCGGTGGTATCTGGATTGCTGTTGCCAACACCATCCCCAAGGAGAACACCCGCTTCGGTGAGCAGGGCAAGGTCTCCAAGGTCAACGCCGGCAACAAGACCGTCACCCTCGCCGATGGCACCGTCATCGGTTACCAGAAGCTGGTCTCCACTATGGCCGTTGACTTCCTGGCCGAGGCCATGGACGACAAGGAGCTGATGCCCCTCACCAAGCAGCTCTTCTACTCCTCCACTCACGTTATCGGTGTCGGTATTCGTGGTGCCCGCCCCGACCGCATTGGTGACAAGTGCTGGCTGTACTTCCCCGAGGATAACTGCCCCTTCTACCGCGCCACTATCTTCTCCAACTACTCCCCCCACAACCAGCCTGAGGAGTCTCAAGAAGCTTCCCACTCTCCAGCTGGCTGACGGCTCTAAGCCCGCCTCTTCCGAGGCCAAGGAGGGCCCCTACTGGTCCATCATGCTGGAGATCTCCGAGTCTTCCATGAAGGCCGTCAACCACGAGACGCTCCTCCAGGACTCCATCCAGGGTCTCGTCAACACTGAGATGCTGCAGGCCGGTGACGAGGTTGTCTCCACCTACCACCGCCGCTTCGACCACGGCTATCCCACCCCCAGCCTGGAGCGTGAGGGTGCCCTCACCCAGATCCTGCCCAAGCTGCAGGAGAAGGGTATCTGGTCCCGTGGCCGTTTCGGTAGCTGGCGCTACGAGGTCGGCAACCAGGATCACTCTTTCATGTTGGGTGTCGAGGCTGTCGACAACATTGTCAACGGTGCTGTTGAGCTGACCCTCAACTACCCTGACTTCGTCAACGGTCGCCAGAACACTGAGCGTCGCCTGGTTGATGGTGCTCAGGTCTTCGCCAAGAAGGCTCAGCAGTAGATAGCTCGATTTTGACGTTTTCCTTTCTTTTACTTTGTTCACACCCTTTCCTGGCTGTCCTTTTGGTACAATTGCACGAAGTCACACTATCACGGGGAAAAAATATACACACGCAGAGGGAGCATTTGAAGCGGCATCTGGGAGACAACGATCTTTGTTGGCGTTTCATGTGATTCAACCCCCAATTCTACCTTTCTTCCACTCATATCTCCGCCTTCTTTTCTGTCACCTAGAGCCGGATTTTGCTTGTGGCCTTCTTTTTGATACACACTTTTTAGACTTGCTTGACTCGGTGATTTGCCTATCTCAATAATGGAATAATGTCGGCTATCGACGTTCGGAATGACCTGTTTCTCCCAAATATCTCGTATTCAGCTCCCGATAGGGCGATATATCGTATTTCAACATTTTCATGCTCAAAATACCTTAATCTGCTGGTCAAATTGACAATAGTACTCCTCGATGCACCCCTGCTCGCAGATCCTCGAGAACCCTTACTCAAATCGCCACGCGAAGATCTTCCAAGGTTTGACTACCCCACTGCATGAGGCAGATCAAATCAACTGCCTGCATACATACTCGTAAATAGTATGTATGTGGCGACTCCAGTCAATGCCCGCCACACACCACAAGACCTATCATGTACAATTTACATACTTTGCAGGAAGAACGCCAAATAACTCTTATGTGTCACTGTCTACGTGTCTTAGACCCCTGAATTGTTTACCGCAAATTAACAGCCACAAGAAAGCAGAAATCACGGCCGCACCCACCTCGGCCGCGAATTTGGGTCTGCTGGGTCGACCATATTTGGGTTACTGGGGTGGCGTTTCTAGGTGGAGCCGAGAACCAAGCATCGTAGGGGCCACGAAGCGAGAAAAGGAAATTACAATATGAGGATTCTTTGCTGGATGGGCTCAGGGTGGCCTGAGACATTTCCTTGGTCTAGATCTTTCTGCTAAATTTTGAATATTCTGGGCTATGCGCATTTCTAGGATCGGAACTTGATCTAGGTTGTTCTTGGAATTTTTGGCTCCGAGTCGGACTGTACCATGCTGGTTTGGTTCCTGGATTTCAATGCTCGGTTCCTGGATCTGTTCGGTTCACTAGGGACTAATGTCTATTCTTAGACTAGAGAATTGTCACTGATCCCCATAGGATCGGGCCGAATTCGTTCGGGCTGGATTGTTACCCTCTGTGTCAAATTCACAAGGGATTGTTAGTGAGACGCCTCTTAAAAGGCATTGTGAGGGTGTGGGAAGAACGTAAATCTTTTTTTTTTTGTTTACTTCAAGTTGCTCATAACGTTAAATTTAGTATGGGTGTCAGTTGGCAGTGAGATTTTGTTTTCGACTCAAGTACTGAAGAAGCTTATTTTATGGTTTTGGAGCCTCAAACATCATCAAACAAACGGTCAATACATATCTAGGTAAGAACAGCTAGCCATGTTTTAAGGGACCCTATAAAAGGCAGGCAGCATGCACAAAATAGGGTGAGCTTGTGAATAGTGTGATTGACCAGATGTTTATGATCGCTGATCAGAATCAATCTACACAATAGGCTAATTATAAGGGAAGTTGACCATGTCAGTTGGACGAGTTTGCTTCAGCAATCAAACAGGCGATGTGGATGATCATTGTGAGGATTTTTTTTTTCAAGAAATGTGTTCATATTGTAGATGAGAAAATGTGTCTGAAGAATGAACTAGAGCTTTTGAAGGAGACAAGCCATCGCCTCCGGCATATTAGCGTCTATTGGGTCTCGTTGATGGAGATATTATTCGGACAACAAGAGGTGACTTCTATCGATGCTAGGTAGGTGGAGAAAATCGCGGGTTCCCGCTTGAGCTTCGAATCTGGATGCACTGAGACATTGGTATCCTGATTTAGATCTCGGGATGGGATGTTGTATCCACCTGGATCTAGACAACATCCAAATATGCCATGCTTCCTGGAATGCAACCAGAGACGGAGAAAAATTCTGACTATAAGAGAGGTCGATGGATAGAGACATAGAGTGAGGATCGATGATCTATTCATAGAGTGTTCCAGGCTGTGTATCACCGGCACTCAGCCCCAGGCGCTGGAGATTTTGATCTCAGCCAGGTCATGGTTACGAGAGACACTGCATACTAGTATGGCTCCTATCTTCAGACATCTGGGCTCACAATGGAATCTATTTGCACATAGTTTTATATCGAGCCTCTCACAACTATCGTACAGTGGATATCGCTGCCAGGTTTTTCTCCCGCCACAGTCCACCGTGCAAAGGCAAAGTAGCGGTGACTACGGGGAAGTGCGGGGTTAATAAGGTCAGGATTCCCGAGATCCCAAATCTATAATTATCAAAAAAAAAAAAATTAGCTTCGATAAATGTCATGTTGAAAGCTTGGCTGCAGCCTGGGAAGAGACGCGGGCAATGAGGTCGGGTGTGATGGATGGCAAGGCGGAGCCCACGCGGCAGGATGTGTTGGCAATTTTGACTCCAGAAAGGGCACAACTACTATTAGTAGTATCATACTCGTAGTGGAATGTTTCTACACCGTCAAAAGCGGGAAATGTGGTCTTCTTGAGGGGAGGGGCGAATGGCCAAAAGACGCGTCAGTTGCTGGGTCAGTCAAAGGCAGCCAAATTTTGGACCGAGGCCAATGGTTCAACTAGTTGCTCCCCCGCCCACGAACTGTAGTTGGCTTGGGGCTCGTCTTATTTACCGGTGCTGGGTTTCTAGAGTAGAGAGAAACGGAGATTCATAAAGAGAACATACGAGCATGCATAAAAGGAAATATAATACAAGCTAGTAACAAAGTGAGAACAAAAGGAGCGAGAAAGTAGACAGTAGTAAGAATCGGAATTTACTCCCGTCCATATCACAATATCGTATACATCCCGTGCTGCATGGATCACAATTGGGAAATTTCCCCACTCAGGTTGGGACCACAAAGACAGAGACAAACACCCTCAGTGTCGCAACGCCGGAACAATGATGATAAAAACTTCAGAAAAATAAAAACAATTATTAGCGTATTCAGCAGCTCCGGTCACAGGCCAGACCACATGGGTCAATCAAGCCACCACGGCAAGTTCACTCGCCATCTCGATCCGCACTAAGCTCATTAAATACCGACTCGGGTTGAATAGTGCCATATTCCTGTATGGGATCCGCTGCCACGGATGGCGAGACCATTGTCGCGGCCAGAACTGCCTCGTAAGACATTGTCGACGCTAAAGCTAGGTCCCGTAGTGGGACACTGCCCATGGTCATATCCGGAATGGCCCCGAGAGATAGACGTGGCTTTGGCATGGTGAAAAGCCATGATTTCACGTCTGGAATTGTTTGCTTGGTATGCCGGTGGTTTTCTGAATGGAACAAAGGTCAATGACAAGAAACCCAGATACCGAGGACGACTTTGTTTTGGAAGGGACCAACCTTTCTGTCTACATCGCCGAGAAGCAGTTGTCCGTGGACGATTCCGTGGAGCCACAACAAATGCCACTCGCCGTGGAAGTCGAATATTGAGACTCGAAGAAGGTCGGCCACGAGGTCGCAACGAAGGCAAATTTTGATTGGTAGTAGCAGCAGCAGTAGTAGTAGTAGGAGTAGTAGAGCTGGTGGACGGGTTGTTTGGGTCAGAAGCTAGGTGGGCCGACTCCGTCATCCCAGAAGCAAGGAACGAGGCGGTTGGAGTCAATGTTAAGAGGGAACCCGCAACGTCCTGAGAGGAGGCGGCTCCAGTACCGGATGATACTCCTGCTGAGGGGTAGAAAGTTGTGAGGATCTCGTCATGGGGGCTAGTAGAAGGGCTGCCACTGTTATCATTACCGTCGGCATCGCGGTAGTTCGGATCATCTAGATCATTCAAGTGTAGGTGATTGAATTCCAAAACCAGAGACTGCAGAAATTTGCGCTGGAGATATGGTTGCAGTTCGGCGTCCCCCAAGACAATGAGGGAGGGTGGCCGCCTCGCCATGAAAGCCATGACCATAACGAGATGTGAATGGTTGCACGAAAGGGAAGGGCGCGATGACGGGGTTTACTGCAAGACTATGAGACAGTCGGACGAACGGGGGCGACCCATGTTGGAAACAATGGAGGATTGTAATCGAGAGGGAGGAACTCACGAAGTTGAAGATACTCGCAGTATCAAGATGGGTAACTACTATCAGGTCACGGTATCATAGCTACCACAACTATACAATCGCATATACATGATCTTCGGAATATAGAATATACTATCTACGACTATACTAATATAGTACTTATAGTATTATTTATATCTACATTGACTCGAAATCTGTCAGGCTCAGCCCCCCTCGACACTAGACCTGATTCTGCTTTCTTCTACTACTACTACTTCTACTAGTAAGACCGAGCCTCCTGTTGATCCTTTCTGCCCCCCCCCCTCCTCTTTTCTGTCTCTCTTCTCCCTCCCTCCCTCCTCCCTCACTTTATTCTTCACTCCTCAACTCCTCAGTCCGATCATGTTAATTCGCCCTTTATCGCCGCCTTAATCGTCGATATTTGCACGTTTTGGCCTCGGGTTCTGGTGCTGCCTCACTAGCTTCCCCGGCCATTCTCCTTTTCCCCTTTCCTCCCGAAACTCTTCTCCCCCCCCCAACCATCCCTCGCCCATTCGTCGCCCAACGCCATGAACGGGGATCTCAGCCTGTCCCAGTCCCTGGGAGGGCTGCGGATCGCGAACCCCGATGATTCGCCTCTGCATACTGAGGATGCGCCCGATGGTTACATAGGATCCAGCCCAGCCGGACCCCCGGATGACTCGTTATCACAATATCCACAGAATCCCATGTCAAATGACGACCATCCAACACCTTTCCCGGCCGCACCCATCGAAGCGCCGATACCAAATGAGAACCGAACTTCCCTCATCAATCCCATTCCAGACGTCCCTCCACCATCTTCGGCCCAGTACCAGCCCTACTCGACACAACCACACTCCACGCCCCCAAATCCGAATCGGCCCCTTTCCTCCGTGTACACAAACGGCTCGGCCACCTCCGTTCTGCCCCGCGACAACTCATATCGTATAAGAACCGATTCGGGTGCCTCCTCAAACTCTACACAGCAATCACGGATAGATACGCGCGGCGGAAACTCAGCTCTCCTGGCCGGTGTCCCAACGCGCGATAATTCTCACAGCGACCGTTCCTACCGCACAACTCAGATTCCGGCCAATGGGCCGGCAGTGATGCGGCAAACATCACGAGCACACGCCAGAGCTGGAGTGGCACCACAGATGTCTCGCACTCCCTACGCGATGGAGAATGGCCCAGCGGCCAGCAGTGAGGAATGGCAGGATCGCGGAGCCGCGGTCTCGGTGAGGCAGGAGGTCGATGCCAACGGGAATACTGTGGCACGTTTCGTAAAGAAGGGAGTCCGGGACTTTTCATTTGGAAATACTCTTGGAGAGGGTTCCTACAGCACAGTGGTATCCGCGACAGACCGACAAACCTTGAAGGAATACGCGATCAAAATTCTGGATAAGCGACACATCATCAAGGAAAAGAAGGTTAAATACGTCAATATCGAGAAGGACACCTTGAACCGCCTCACTGACCACCCCGGCATCGTGCGACTCTACTATACTTTCCAAGATGAGCGATCACTATACTTTGTTCTAGACCTGTGCAAAGGAGGAGAACTTTTGGGCGTCCTGAAGCGCATGACCACATTTGACGAGGAGTGTACCAGATTCTATGGTGCCCAAATCCTCGACACAATAGACTATATGCACAAGCGGGGAGTCATTCATCGAGATCTGAAGCCAGAAAATGTCCTCCTCGACCACCAGATGTACGTCAAAATTACCGACTTCGGCACGGCCAAGATTCTCAAGACCCCTCCACGACGACCGGATGAGAGCTCAAGCTCTATCCCGATTGATATGGCCGATCTCCCGGAAGAGGAACGAGCGAGCTCTTTTGTCGGCACCGCGGAATATGTCAGCCCCGAGTTGTTGACGGAAAAGAATGCTTGCAAGGCTAGTGATTTGTGGGCATTCGGCTGCATTATCTATCAGCTTTTGGCGGGTCGCCCGCCTTTCAAAGCAGGCAACGAATACCAAACCTTTCAAAAGATCGTGGCTTTGGATTACGAATTTCCGGTTGGATTCCCGACCGTGGCTCGGGATCTTGTTGAGCGCCTCCTAGTTCTTGAGCCCACCCGGCGCTTGCAAATTGAACATATCAAGAATCACGAATTCTTTGAAGGCATTTCATGGGGTTCGGAACTGTGGAAGCAGAAAGCCCCACGACTGAAAGCATACGTACCGCCACCACGAGAACCCATCAAATTGAATGGTGCTGAAGGTGGCGATAACTTTCCCCCGGCAATCTCAACGGCTCCGTCTAATGCCACTCAAAGTTCTCGTGCACTGCCTCGTGTGGTCACAGAATTACCACCGCCAAGTCAACTTGATATTGAATGGTCTCCTGTGCTCAGCAAATCCAATGAGCGCATTCTCAAATTGGGGAACATGGTAGTCATATCTTCTCCTGCTTCCCACAGTCCGACGTCGAAGAACGGTAGCGGTGAGGTTGAGACACCCGGGAGATTCTCGCGATTTTTCTCTGGAACAGCAACTAAAAAGCGGAATCGATTGGTCATGGTCACTTCTTCGGGTCGCATTATCCTTGCTGCCTCTGGCGGTGATGAGAAGAAATCAAAGCTTGAAATTCCTCTTCTCGCAGCCGGAACGCACTATAGAAGCACAACAGATGCCAAGGGGCATTCCTCCTGGGTTGTTGATACGGTATGTCAAAATTCATCGTTCGATTAGCTCGAATTCTAACTTAATTTCACAGAGAGACAAACATTTCGTCTTCGAAGATTCGAAACCATCCTCAAGCAACATCGGATCTACTGCGCTATCGGCGCAAGAGTGGCTAGATGCCCTCGACCGAGCTAGGGAAATGGCTTTAGCACAACAAAGCGCTGGCCCTTATTCTGCGGAGGACGCTTTCCGTGACATGTCTTCTGGTTTCTCAAGCCATGCCAACACACTCGATCGCACCTCCGACCTACAGCAGAATGAGAACACGAACCACAATCACAACCATGGTCATTCCTCGGGACGCAATCATCTGGTGAAACACCAGGCCACCGATTCCGAGTCGACTAAAGGGAAAAAGCGTTTCAGCAGGCGCCATTCAAAGAACGGCCTCGCTGCCGTGTTTTAATCCCTCGGCTACGCTGATCTCGGCATCGCCTAATTTCAACCCCAGAATTCGCGTTCTGTGTCGAGCACCTCTCCTATAACTTATTCTTGTACCTCGCGCCTACTCACACAGAAGACGGGCGCCTTCTCTGCATACCTCGTGCCCTTTGCATTTTATCGTGACGAGCGTGTTTTGTCATGTTGGGTTATGTCTCTGCATTTAGAATCGGAAGGGAGCATGCGTTGTTTTCCCATCTTTTGTCTGCTTTCATTGCGTTCATTCAAGTTTGCCCTTTCTCCCGTCTCTTTCCTAGCTGTTATATATCCCTGATTTGATTCGAAGCATATCGTCGCGAACCTCATTGAGGCTCCTTGTTTCTTTCCACTTCTGGCGACTTTGGACCTTTCATTTCTTTTCAGATGTTGATCATTGACCTGCCGGTTCGCGGTAGAAAGCACTGCCCTGCGAATTCTTCAATTGTGATTTTTTTCCGACTCTTTCCTTTTTTCTCTTCTGTCTGTCATACCCTCCAGAAAAGGATTTGGATCAAGCGCTATACCGTTCATTGCCTTTTTTTCTCTTTCTTTTTTCTCTCCCTCATGTTCCTGTCCAGCTATCCCTCCCATCATTATTCCACCCTCTCCTCGCTACTTTGCTAGCTCGAACCCTTGATTCCTTATGCCCTTGACCCTAGGCGGGCACTCTTTCACTGTGAATGTTTCTCTCCTCTAACTTGTCTCCCTCTCTCTCCAATTCCTATACAAACTTCATCTTCCTTCTCCTTTACCCTCGGCCAGAACAAAAAAGAAAATTGATATACCCGATGGGCATCGGCTGCCCGCAGCATCTTCATTGGCGGCTTTGTTGCAGGTTTAATTTTGGTAGCCATTAGGATTGGGTACATTTAGCCACTAAGTACATATATGGATGAACCTGGAAAGTGTACAGATTCTGCGATAGCCCTCCGATTCGCAACTTCAATGGATGTGACACCAAGTAAACACTAAACAGGTACTAGTAGTATCCACTTGGGCATGGATGGATGGTAGTAGTACTACTAGAACTAGTAGCCCTGGAGTGTATAACTATGTAGTTACTTTGGGCTGAGTTTCATTTTCGTGGCAATCAAAGATCAACATCGATGAGATTATATACAAACATTATGACCGTTATTCGTGAGAAGCCAAAACATAACCGCCGATATGTGCACTGGAGGGCATATGTAAAAAGAAGAAAGGTATTATATGAAGAGCCAGTCAAGCCGAGATTCATCCAATTCATCGATCCAGTCGAATGTATCGTCGCCGTCTTCATTATCGTCACCATTGCCTACTTGTGAATCAAGATACCCATCACGCTCGCGTCGCTTTTGGTCTTTGGTTTGCCACATCAACCTTAGTACCCAAGCTGCATTGCGAACATTGACACTGGTAACGGCTTGGTAGAGTGTACCGAGTCTCTCGAGAACGAGCGCACGTTGCGATGGACGGCGGCATTCCGCGCCTGCTATGAACGTGGGCCAGATGAGGCATTTGAAGTGAGGATCGGAAGAAGGGATGGAGCATAGCTCGGCAATGAGCTTGTTCGCGATGATGGAGTGGTCGGCTGGAACTCCGACGTCTGTCCAGGGAGGGGAGAAGCCTTCCCTTGATCGAGAGAGTACGCGGCTAGTGTAAAGGTAGACGGCGGCTTGGTAGCAGCTGGCGAGAGTGATGCGGTGAGAGACGTCAGTCAAGAAGTGATTTTGTTGCATTTCGTGGGCCCAGGCGACTGGGTCGAAGCTGCGGATTCCTTGGAGGAGAGCCACATATGATTCCAGGGTGAGCGGTCTTCCTTGCTGCATGGACATTGGCAGGGCTGTTGGTCGTGGAATGGCGGCTGCGATTTCAGAGTCCGGGTACCAGAGGGTGTGTACGAAGAATATCACTTCAAGAAGATAGGCGGGACATCCGATCCAGGAGGTTACTTCGAGTCGTTTGAGCATAGCTGGACCCATGGCCGATGAGTAGAATGGCTTAGAGAGAGCGCCTGGACGTGCGAGTGTTGAGCCCATGATTTCCAAACTGAAATTTTGGTTAGTCTTTGGTACTTGAAGGTGGATGTACAATAATACTTACATCAAGCAGCCATCGACGGCAAATGACTCAAGTCCCTGTAGCATACCCTGGCCAAGTTCGTCTTCAGGTCGGTCTCTGAGAAGCTTCTTCGCGCCCTCAATGTGGTAGCTCCAGGCGCCACTGCCCGATTCGAATAAATCTAGGAGCGCGAGGACGATTATAGTAGCCAAAGTCCTGTCGTCTCTCTGCGAAAGTGGATTGGAGAGGTCTTTGGATAGTTGGCCAAGCGTTCGCTGCTTGAATTCCAAAAAGTGTTGAAATGCTTTTGAAGGTGGTCGGTTGGCGCCTGTTGGGGAAATGAAGTTTTCAATGTCCTCGGGGGTCAATTGAGTGTCGGCGGTTAGCAGGCTCTGCTTTGACCAGGGCATTGTGGCCGCTTCTGAGTTCGTCGTGAGTGAGAAATGGAGAGCTCCCATTGAAGATAGAGCTAGCCCAAGAAGCGGCGAGTCTCCGACTAAATTTATAATGTTTCGCCATGGGTTATTCGATCCGGCGTAGACAACGAAGTCTCCCGCCATGCATTGATTATAGTGGTGCAGATAGAATCGTGAAAGTCGTGACATATCTTTGAATAGCGGGTCGACAAGCCCCCACGGTGTTGGAGCGTCCTCTGTAGAGCTTCCGCGAGGTACTTGTACCAGTGCGGTATCTTTCTGCTCCGAAAGGTCCAACCCAAGCAGTGCATCTTCTTTCGCTGGTCCAAATATAGCAGTATCTAGTGTGTCTTGGATCCAGGCGTCGGCCTCCGGACTCGACTGAGTCCCGCAGCTAGATGAGTCATTCTCGGGCGAAGACTTCGCGATGGAGAAGAAGTTGAAGCCGGGGGTATTTTGCGGTGCAGTATCATTGGGTTCGGAGGCAGGTGGGGATTTCGCATCGCCGTCGGACTTGTTCACATCGTCAAAGGAACGACCCATCATCTTGCCACGACTGGCAACACCACCTTTGACCCAGACCAAAGGCTTCTGGTAGCCCAAACATTCTTTACCTGCATCTCGGCACTTCCTGCAAGTCGGCTGACCATTATCGCAGATGATGCGACGGCGGCGACAGGTATAGCAACCTTTTGTCATGATCGGCGGAGGGGATCTGGGATTCTCAAGGGGAGTATAAACGAGACTGGCGACTGCGGAGCTGTTTGACTCGCCATCGCGGTCAAATATTGTCGAATAATTTCCACGGTTCACGCAGTCATTGCTGAACGGGCACTGCAGTTGATAATATGGAGAAATTGGCGGAGTCAAAATGGCGGCGGCGAGCCTCCGCAGACAAATCAGTGCGGGGCTTACTAAGAGTGCAACTCCGACTCCGCCTGGCCAAATCCGCGAATGCTGAGCCGAGCACTTTTGCCTCTCGTTCTACGAGCTCAAGAAGATTCACCATGGTATATTTCCTCTTTGTGCGGCAGCTGGAGGTGAGTGCACATTCCACAATACCCTCTCAAGTCCTTCGTCGATAGATGATCGCTGACCCGGGTACTCCGTAGATCTGGATGACTGCCAGGGTAGGTTCGGTGTCTCTGCTGGTCGCAGATCCGGATACTAATTCGATTTCGTCTCCAGCTCTTGCGAAGTCCTATCTTCCACCAGATGGTTGGCAAGGTTCATCAACGTGTGCAGCAAGTTCGCCATGGTATCCCTCCGGAACCGTCGCGCACCTCGCTCGAGAGTGATCAAGGTAGGGAGCCTCCCAAAGAGTGGACCCAAGGGATTCCGACGAAATGCTGACCTCGTGATTTGCAGATCTTGGCTTGAAGAAATTCGTCAACTATTTCAAGGAAGAGATCAAAGACCAGATGAAGGGCAAACCGCCCAACAAGCTGTGATTCAAGAGATCGCTGGCGTTTTTGCATTATGTTTTCTGCTCTGACCGGATGATACCCAACATAACCCCCAATTGGATTTGTTTTTGCTTTACCTTTTTTGCCCTGTTGTCATTTCTTTTATTCATTTCTTTTTTGGTTTTGGTTTTGGTTTTGCTATTTCGGCCCCTCTGCTCTTTTCTTCTTCTTCTGAGCTGTCGAAATGGAATGCATTGTTTCCGCCATAAAATGGTTGATCTCTCAAAATCAAGACGTCATGTTCCACACACCTTTTCTTAGACTGTGATGTGCTGTTGCCCCGTGCGACTGGGAGTTGAGATGAGAATTGATACTCGTAGACTTGGCTACATACTAAGTTACTACCTAAATATTGGGGAGGTGCCCAGTGCCAAAGGCATGAAAAAGGGGAATGGGTCCGGATTGGCTCCTATAAGAGCGCATAGCGGACGAATCATATCCAGGCTCTTGAACAGGACCAGTGCCTTGGGCGAGAATAGAATTCAATTTCAGTCTTCCGTTGATCACGGCACTTCATAGCCGCAATCGACCCAGTGTGTCTCCCAGGGCGGCAGCGTACCAAAACCACTAGTGTTCACGTTCCCTATAAATCTCCGCAACCCCTCCAGCGAAGCTAGTATTCTACTAGTACCTAGTATACAAATTGCTTTAATCCTAACAATTCATGGTATTAACTCGGAGTATGTACTAGTAACTGCCAGTGGGTAGGATGCGAAGTTGTAAATATTTATATCTCTTGTACTGGTTATCTATATACACTACCACTGGCAGAAACACCGGGCCAAGCGCGGCTATGGAGCGTCGTACGTAAGGAGTACCTGATCTGCCCAAAGAAAGGCGAGCGGGTGAATATTTGGAGAATATTGTAAACAGAAACCCCAGGAGTGGTTCAGGCAGTACTCCGTTCCTGGCGTGAGGAACCGGGACCCGCGGGCGTTCTCCGGCACCGAACGGAAGATTGCAGAGCGTAACCCTTGTTACGGGTAGTTATGTATGGATTCGTTATAGGTAACTAGTAGTGTGTACTCCGTGCTGTACCGGACCTCCATAGATTGGCACAAAACAAATCCAATCAAAAGGACAGGCTGGGTTAAGCCAACGCGGCGGTGGAGATTCGGGCCGACGTCAGAGCTGATCTGTCAGCAGCAAAAGAAATAAATCAGAAATCCAGGCACGCCACAGTGACCCAGTTAGGGCTAGTCACCGAAGGCCCGGTTCAGTCGGCTGACAGCAAGGAATTTTCGAGTCGAAGGGTCGTTCCGAAATCCCCCTCGAGGCAGCTCAAGAGGCAAGAGAATGGTACTCTGTGCTTTCTGCGTCTGTATTCTTTCGGCGCGGAGTTGGCGCCAATATGGGCCAAGATCGACAAAAGGATGTGATGCACACAATCAATCCAGCAGGAGAGGTGCTAAATATGGTTCAGTGGAGCCGATCGATTGGCGCCAAAAATTGGGGTGAAAATATTGTACTCGTACTCGTAGGAGTATATGCATGGAAGTAAAGGTCGTGAGTGGTTGGATGCTGTGCTTTGCGGGATCTACAAAGTGCAGGGTGTAGAATACTCTGCACCTTGTTGTAAATAGCAAACCTCTTGTAACCCTAGCTCGTAACGGTGGTGGCCTAAAATGGCCCAAAAGGTGTCTGCGTGGCCAAGGAGACAACGGGTGAAACTAGGAGACAGTCAGACAGTAGTGCAGCCTCTTAAAATGGACCAAGTGGGTCCTCCAAGCCTCCATTTGTTCCCAATTGGGACTAGCCTTGTACACTGAATGTTTCCCACTTGCTTTCTCCCTTTCTCCCTCTTGACCTTTGGACTCCCACTGACTCTCGCTGACTCTCGACCCTTCCTTCCCTTTCATCTCGACTCTCGTTTCTAAAATCAACCCCTCCACGATCGTTTACTTTCTCATCTCGAGAACAAAACTACATCCCATCATGCGTCTCGCTCGACTCTCGTTCCTGGCTCACGCCCTTCTCCTGACCGCCGTTGCGGCTCAGTCTGTCGCAGTCACCGACCTTGTCAATTCTATCACCAGTGACACTAGTTCATCATCCGAACCTGCTACCTCCGCCGACCCGACCACCAGCAGCTCTTCCTCCTCCTCCTCCACTACTTCTTCCTCGTCGTCTTCCGAAGAGCCAACCACGACTTCCGCCGACCCAACCACCTCTTCTTCCTCTTCTTCGTCCAAACCCACCACCTCGGCTGAGAACACCGCAGACAACACCTCAAAGACCACTTCATCCAAGAACAATGAACCCACCAAGACCTCAAGTGAGGATAGTTCCTCTACATCGGACTCTCCGTCCACCACCCAGACTCCCGTCGTCGAGACCATCACTTCCTACCAAACGGTTAGCGGTAGCACCGTGCCCCATGTCATGACCTCCACTTCTACCCCCGCCGCGGCAACATCTCCCTCGCTCAGTGGTGATAGCAGCAGCAATTCCAGCAGCGGTGTCTCCGATTCCGACAAGAAGATCATCATCGGTGTCGTCGTTGGTGTCGGCGGTGCCATTGTCATTGGTGTTTTGGCTATCGTCATCTGGCGTATTCAGAAGAAGCGCAGCGGACAGTACAACGAGGAAGATGATGACCTGATGGGCGGCACTGCTGTTGGATCTGGTCCCCGCGAGAAGGCTCCCAGCCCCGCTGCCGGTGCCCAAGGTACCCCCTTCAAGAGCACACTCGACCAGTACCACAACCCTGGTCCCGTCAACGCTGCATCGAACTTCTAAGCCTAGGCTCCTCGATGTTTCGCATTAGTCGAAGTGTAAAAATCTCTTTTTTTTGTACGATCATCACGCAATTTTCAGGCGCTATGGACAGGGTTGGCGAATGTCACGATCGCGTTTTTTCTTCTTTTTGGTTGCAGATTTCCAAATTTTTCTGTCTTTTCGGGTGAACTTCGGCTGCCCCTCACTTTCCTTTTCGACATCATAGACTCGACATGCTGTTGTTTCTCACTCCTTTGAGCGTTCTTTGTCCGCAACCTCCACATTCCTTGTGATCCCATCTCTCGATCCTCGCGCTACAATTACCCACGGCAGCTGTGTCCTTCGGCTTTGCCTCGTTATCTCGTTATTTATTCCCCGTGCCGGAGCGCTTGGTTTTTCCCCAGGGTTTTCCGTCTCGAATATATCTATCCTGTTACTTAATACATCTCTACCTGCCCAGTCTCCCATAGGCTCATCTTTTGATGTCCCAGGGTGTACTGAGGCATGTAAACTTTAGCCTTATACTGAAAAGTTTCATTCAATTTTTCGTGTTCCTTACATCATTTAAGAGCTAGCATAACCTATACTGCTGCTTTGTCTTTCCTTGGAGGATGCTGGCCATCACAAAGAAAAGAATGACATGTGCCATGTATTGGCTCATTCTAGGATATCTAAGATCTGTGAGATCGGTCCACTGATCTCGAAGATGATGCATATTTTCGTGTTCCTTACATCATTTAAGAGCTAGCATAACCTATACTGCTGCTTTGTCTTTCCTTGGAGGATGCTGGCCATCACAAAGAAAAGAATGACATGTGCCATGTATTGGCTCATTCTAGGATATCTAAGATCTGTGAGATCGGTCCACTGATCTCGAAGATGATGCATATTCTCCACGTGGGCCATTCATCATAGACTAGATAACCCTACTCGTAGAAATTTGATCTTGATTTGGATTACACATCAAGAGTGGGTTCGATTGCCAACAACGAGTGCTTGTCCTTGAAAAAAAAAGCACTATGGCCACTTACTCTATACACTGCTAGTAGCACTAAACATCCGTCGTTTTCATCATTGAAAATATGTAGCCAATTCAAACGGATGAGTAGTATTCCATACTCCATACTCCATAGAGTAGCTATCTCAAAGGGCAATGGAATGTGCAGATCACCACGTCCGCCCCTGGCTGGCCTGTTGATCCATGCCGCCTCCGCCGCAGCGACGCGCTCCTCACGTGGCGGCCGGAATGCGCGTCGCGCAGTCAACGATACGATCGACAACCTTCCCCCAGCCTCTCACTCCATTTAAAAGAACTCCCAAAAGGCTAGGCAAAGATAACCTCACCTCACCTAAAACTATTCGAGTGGATCACGTCTCCAGAAACTCAAAACTACATCTATCCCAACCTCCAACTTCCATCCCGGACTCGGCGAAACCATAACAGACTTCCATATCCGAACCACGGAACCCACCTTGTCCCAACTTTCGTCTTCGTCTTCCAAATCTCCAACCTCCACCATGTTCGTGACACACCCGGTCCCATCCTCGCCAACCACGCCCTGTCGCCAAACCGGCCATTATACACCGGTGCGACCTTCTCCACTGGGCCAGCGCAACTCCAACATCGCCACACCCCCATGGACAATGGCCTCCGCGGGTCAGTCAAAGCCTGGCATGGATGAGAACCAGTTATCTCCCGTCCAATTCCCGAACTTCTCCATCCACAGCAACCAGTTCCAGCCGCAAACGCAGGTCCACGAAGGGCAAAAGCAGTCGTCATCAAACATCTTCAGCCCGCCTTCAACCTCGCCCTTCCAGCACCAAGCTTCTACTCTCATGTCTCCTACCTCCCCTTCGCCCTCCAACAGACCCAAATTCGCCGACCGCTACTCTGCTCAAATCGCCAACCCAATGAAGAATACCACATCGCTCGCTCGCTCCAAGACACGCAAGATGTTCCTGAACCGCGTCAAGAACGAGCGCGACTCGGGCCGCTTCGAGGCACGTGGCGAGCAGATGATGATGGCGGAGCACATGGCCGATAAACGGAAATGGGAGGAGTCGATGACCCGGGACGTGAATTCGATGACGCAAGGACTCGAGTTTGAGGATGATAATATGCTCCCCGAGCAAGATGCGGACATGCAAGCTCTGAATGAATTCGTCTCCCAGGAAGAGGCGATGGAGATGGCGCTTCAGGAATCTGCGGGCTCGCAACCTGGGATGAATACCTCTTTCAGTGATGACGATTATGATGATATCTTCATGGCCCTCCCTGACCCGGCTCAGTCGCAGGATATGGAAATGTCGTGAGAAGTGCTTGTGTTTATTGTCAACAATTTTGTCTGCGTTTCAGCGAGAGCGGTTGCTTTTTATGGCGTTTTTATCTGAGATGTGTGATCTGTGGATGTTATTACTATTGTGTGGATAGCTTAGGTCTTGTCTTGCCTCCTGTGGCTCGACCTAGTTGTGTGAATATGGCCTGGGGCCTTGTATAGAAAGCCGAATACTAAAAGAGTATCTGCAATCCATTCGTGAATCAAAAATCGAAATCAAACCATGCCAATTTCCAAAATTAAATTCCACGGGTCAATCAAAAAGGACGCCTGTCTTTTTTTATAGCAATATTGTAGTCAACGACTGGTCCCGAGTACGTCCACACTGCTGGAGCAGCCACAAACAGGACTTTCTAGGAGTAACTCATCACACTAATCACACCCTCCAGACAGCACGAATCATAAATGGTATGCTGGAGTGTATTGGGTATCGACGCAGTTACGTATATGTAAAGTACAAAGCAAGCCGATCAATGTGCAAAGTCTATATCAGGAATCATCTTATTGTTGGGGGCAATCGGGCATTCCCTCGGGCATCGCACCTCCAGCTGCACCTCCAATATCAGCCATGAGAGGGTTGGAAATGAGTTCCTCCGGCGGGCTCCCAGCTGCTTGCATCTGTAAAGTATTAGCACATTGGTCTGCAATGATTCAGGTGCTCCAACGAAAAAGAAAAGGGCTACACTGGACTTACCTCTTGCATGCGCTCCCAAATATACTCACGGCATTTCGGATCCTCATCCGAGTAGCCCGTCTCCTCGAACTTCGTCACAATCTGCTTGACAATGCGTGCTTGTGTTTCATAACGATCCATATCTGCCGCAGGGACCTTGTCCTCGGCCTTGTTCTTCTCGATCCAGGGACCGAATTTACCGTCCAGCTCCTTCATGGGCTCGTAAAGCATCTCCTTATTTGAGAGCTGCTCCATCATTCCCATGAACATTTTAGTGAGGTCACCGCCATCCTCACCTCCTCCCGACGCACCGGCCTCGACAGCCTTGAGTAATTGGGCGAGCATATCTTCCGATAGCCCATCGTCCGCAGACGCGGCCTCGGTAGCGCGATTTCCAGAGTCCTGCATCCGCTCCATGGTCCGCTGAATAGCTTCATTGAAAGACTCGGCAGGCTGGTCGGAGTTGGCACCCAATGCAGAAGACGCAGTCGCAGCGGGTGCAGATGAGGGCGCAGGCGAGGGTGTAGCACCGCTCAACCCAGCGGCAGCATCGATACCAGCACCGCTGCTACCCTCCTCGGCCATCACATCAGCAAGTAGTTGTTTCAGGAAATCACCAGGCGGGATCCCACTATCCTCGAGCTGTTTGGCAAAGGCATCAGCACCCCCTTCTAAGGATTGTTGGAAGTTTTGGAAGTCAGCTCCCCCAGCTGCACCATTCGGCCCAGCTCCAGCTCCAGTTCCAGCTCCAGCAGCAAGTCCGGCGGCGGCTCCGCCATCACCCATCATATTAGCCATGTTCTTCTCCAACTCTTTCAGGAAGGCATCTTCGTCGAAATCAGCCGGCGCCGCACCGGCGCCGCCGGTGGTGTTGGCCGATGGAGCAGGCGGTGCGGGCTGAGGAGCCTTTGGTTTGGAGAAATCATCTAGGACCTCTGTTGCGGGGGGGGTTGCAGTGGTTAGCATGCAGGTCCGCAGGAGAGTTTGCGGAGCCGACGTACCATCTAGTTCGTCAAAGTCCGAGTCCTCGTCATCCCTTGGTTGCGCAGTCGGCTGGTTCTGCGGGGTTTCTATGGGAGGTGCAGGAGCAGTCGCGGGGGCGGACTCCTTGTCAGCGGGGACAGAAGGGGTCGCCATGATGGATTTGACGAGGGAAGAGAAGAGTCAAGGGAATAAAGGAATCAAGGAACGGATGGAGACTCTCGGAGGCGCGTTTGATGCCGTTGTTGGTGCGATTGTTGTTCACTCTCTCGAGGGCATGTGACACGGCGAATTTGGCGGGGAACCGAATCGCCGATCGCCGAGATTCTTAGTTCTTAGGACTGCATATTGATTGCATTCTACAATGCCTAGGGTATACTCTGTCAAGGCCACAGACTTATCAGTGTGTGAATTGATGGACTAGTCTGAACTATGAATTCTGGGTACGAGTATGTATACTCAATTGTGAGATCTAATGCTAAAGTACGTGCCAGATCGCTGGGGTTGGTCTAGTCTGGTCCTTGCGCAGTCTCTGATCAATCCCCCCCCGCACGAGGCAGCATTGCATCATTGGATCGCCGCGTGACATGGTCATGCGTGACAGAAGATCGGACTTGCAGAGAGTACGAACAGGCCAGCCAAGAGGGCTATAGGAGCAATAATACACTGCTAGCGCGCCCCTGAAAGCCCCGCGGTGAGCAGAACCAGCATGGGGCGGAATCCACCGATACAGTATGTATTGTATACAGAATGCGTATGGTAATATATTGTATTAAATATGTAATTTACTCAAGTACCCACTGAGTATACTTCAGATTGGATGTACAGATAAAATCTGGAAAGTACAATACGCCCCGGTATCGGCTATTCGGCGTTGGACATTGGAGAAAGTTGGAGTCCTACCACCACACCACCAGTTGGTACCTCGTGTCCAGAACCAATGGAGCCGGGCTTTCTCCGCGGGTGGAGGGCATTTTCTCGGGTTTTCTCCTGTTGCTCTCGCTTCCCTCGTACGATGCGACCAGAACCACCTTGCGAAGTGGCCAACCAATGCCAAGCTGGTGGACCCGTGCCGTCACCCCGAGGAGGCCAAAAATGAAAATTTTTCCTGGGAAAGACGAGAAGAGGGGGGAAAAAAAGAAAAGAAAAAGAAACGGGGCAAAAGAATAAGAAAAGAAAAGCAAAAAGAAAAAAAAGAAAAAAGGCAAAGCGTAACAAGTTCCATAGGCGAGCCCCTCTCTGGTTGGACCCGTGGTGGACAACGGACAATAGGGATTATTCGTTTAGTCAATCGCTTTACCTCACAACTTCTCTTCCTCCCCCAGTTCCCCCCCGTTTATCTCGAATTCTCTGACTCTTTCTTTCTCCTAATCGAATTTTTTTTATGTCACTCGTCTCTCATTACTCGCACGTCCCCTCCGATCCGTCCTAGCCGCGCGGTTCCTGCGTCTGTTCTTGTCCTGTTCTATTTGCCCCCCCCTCCACCCCCAAGCCCGTGGTTGTGGCTCGGGATTGCCATCCTGGTCGGAGGATTTTTAAGAGAAGTGCGGCGCGATCACAAAGTAGGAGGGCGCGCTCTGTCGGGGATTTCCCACCGTGGCAGGGTCAGAAAGAGAGAAGAGGATTGAGGGAGTGAGGTCCGATCAATAATTATAGATCTGTGAGATCAATCATTTTCCCAATGGTCTCTATGGTCGAGACCTCCCACCCCGAGCACAATGACACGGTCATGGATCCGGTCGTGCCCAAGTCCGAACCGTTGCCTGATGGTTCGATCAGCTCAAATGTCTCAACCCCGGACCCTGAAGTCGAGCCTTTAACCCAAGAGGCCGCGCAGACTCAAAAGAGAAAGGGTGGTCGGAAACCTGTACGTAACATCTTTCCCAATCTTGCATCGAGATGCAATAAATCCGGGGCCCGCATTCCTATCACCACAACCCCCATCTTTGACACCATTTCACTCTGGCCTGACTAATTTGCTTTTTCTTATCTAGATATATGCCACCTCTGAAGAACGCAAGCAGCGCAACAGACAGGCACAAGCCGCCTTTCGCGAGCGCCGTACGGAATACATCCGTCAACTTGAGACCACCATCAAACGCAATGAAGAGCAACTACAGAGCCTCCAACAGAGCCACCGTAGCGCCGCCGACGAATGTCTGATGCTGCGCTACAAGAACTCTCTGCTGGAGCGCATCCTGCTCGAAAAGGGCATTGACGTTCAGGCGGAGTTGCGCCTAAAGACTGGTGCTCCCGGTGCCGTCGCCAAACCGGCTCCTAATCCCATGCCACCCAAGTCGGCGCCAGCTCCTCCGGGCCCTCGTCCGGGACAAAGGCACCCTGCCGGCATTGCCTCCAAGCCCGATGCGTTCGGCATCTCACAGCGTGAAGGTGCCTACGGAGTTTCATCACCGCAGTTTCAAGCCACCCCCACTTCTCACGTCTCCTCGCCGTCGCATGCCAAGTCTCCAGGCTTCGCATATCAGGGAGGCGGCATGTCTCCTGTCGGCGTGGAATCGCAGGCCGGGCGCCCGCAGTTACTGCCGCAGCCGCGAACCTTCAACAATCAGACTTCGCCGCCGGCTATCAGTATGCCCCATACTGATCCGTCAGATGCCAAGCCACGGAGGCCCGGGGCTGGACGAGTCCCATCAGCATACTACCCTTCTCCTTTCCAAAAGCACTATGATCAGCTCGGTAAGCATCCACAAGGAGTACTCTTTCTCGTCCTTCCCAAGAGTTTGGCTAACACTTTTAGAACAAGAATACGATGCTCAAGCAGATATGGTGGATGATGACCAAGATGGATCTATTCACAGTTCATTTGTCCCGGGGTTCACACCTCAATCGGTTGCTTCGGGCTCACACAGCTTGACCGGGTTCAATCCCCCTTCTGGCGGAGAGGGTTCAGCCGGAGACTTTGGAAATGCAAACCATCTGCTGGGACAGTATGAACCGATGCTGGACAACGATCCGTTTGGACTGAGTGCCAGTATGCATTTTCCGACCCCATTCAACTATGAACAGAACCATCCACGAAATTGAAGGAGAAAAAAAAGAAAAAGGAAAAGGAGAGCGATGACAAGGAGTTGGATTCCTTGTTACTAAAAAGTCTTCTGAGCATTGCCAGGCGTTACTCTGTTTTGGGGTGCTATTTATCTGATGGATACCAGGTAGAACAATGTACAGTCTATCATGAGATGAGATTAAAGTCATAGCCCTAAAGAGATACTCGTAGTACTCGTAGTACTCGTAGGATGTAGTAGGATGTAGGATCTATGATGCTGGCAGTGACGCCATGATACCCTAAGCCCTAGCCTGATTCGCTTAGTAAATCGCGCCTAACCGGATTCGTGCTCCACCACAATGGACCTTGGCCGCCTCCTTCCTCCCTTCGCATCTCCATCACGATAGCGATATTCAATCTTCATTTAAAAGGCCGGATCTGTTGAGGTTCTGCCTTGTGCCCCTCCCTATCCTCTCCGCGATCGTCGAGTGCCTTCCCAGTCGGAAGGACTCCGCAAGCAGGCGTCATGGCGGAAGCCATTCGGTCCAAGGTACGCTGATGAAGATGAACGAGCTTCGAAAGCTCCCACTCGCTCCGGAGCAATTGGGATCGAACAAAATGGCAGGCAGGATAGCTAACATCTGCTGTTTTTGTCTCTACAGAACCTTTACGAGCTCCTCGGTAATTTTCATCCTTTGTTTCACAATCTTCCCACTTCTACTGCGCTTTGGGGCATTTCCGATCGCCCGCACACAAATCGCTTCCGGCGACCACCGGCATCACCATCAGCTTCTTCGAGATGAATATCGTCCACTAATCATGGAGTTTTTTTTTTATCGTTACAGGTAACGACCCCGAGCTCGACCCCAGCAGACCTCCTGCTCCCCCCCGCCCGGGCCGTCGACCGACCGGCTCCCCGCCATGGCAAGCGTGATGGCCCTAAGGATGCCCCCGCTGCCGCCGCCACCACCACCCCCCGCGAGAACAACAACCGCCGTGGTGGCCGTGTGAACGCTGGCAACGACGCTGGTATGTGATCAATTGAGTTCGGGGATTTGCAAAAGAGGGGCATGAGAATAAAAATGTCCTGGAGCTGATATATTCGGGTAACACAGCTTTCCGTGACCGCAACGCCGGTCGCCAGAACAACCGCACCAAGCCCACCGATGAGGCCGAGCAGCCCGCTCGCCGTGGTGAGCGTCGCCCCCGTGGTGACCGTCAGTCCCGCACTGGCCAGACGTAAGCGGCCCCTCCCGATGAAACAATTACTGCAATATCGAGAAGATCTTTTGCAGTCAGAACATCAATCATGAATCATCAGACAAAAGGCTAACAATCATCTCACAGCGACACCCGCAAGCAGGTCCAGCAGGGCTGGGGTGCTGAGGGCGGTGAGAAGACCTGGGACGACGAGCGTGCCGGCGAGAAGATCGCCCAGGCCGACGAGAACGAGCCCCAGACTCCCGCTGAGGACGCCGAGGAGGCCGACAAGTCCGTCTCCTTCGATGCCTACCTCGCTGAGAAGGCTGCCAAGGCCAGCCTGGCTGCTAAGCCTGTCCGCACCGCCAACGAGGGCACCAAGGCCGACAAGAAGTGGGATGCCGCCAAGGAGCTCGCCCACGAGAACCAGCCCGAGTACATCTCCGCCTCGGCCGAGAAGTCCCAGCGCCAGAAGCAGCGCAAGGAGAAGAACTTCCTTGACGTCGACCTGCGCTTCGTCGAGCAGCCCCGCACCGGCCCCTCCAACGGCCCCCGTGGTGGCCGTGGTGGTGACCGCGCTCCCCGTGGCGACCGTGGCGACCGTGCCCCCCCGTGGTGGTGACCGTGCTCCTCGCGGTGACCGCGCTCCCCGTGGCGATCGTGCTCCTCGCGGTGGCCCCCGCGGTGGTGCTCCCCGTGGCGGTGCTGCTGCTGCCCCCCCGTGGCGGCCGTGCCCCTGCCGGCCCTACCGTCGACGAGAAGAACTTCCCCAGCCTGGGCGCATAAATGTACTCTCGCCAAAGAGCTGCGGCCCATATGAATGGAGGGTGACCTGCTGCCCAGACAGCGTGCCTTCAATTTATTTTCCACTGATTTAGTTTTCTGGGGAATATCTCTCTCTCGCCTTTTTTTAAAAAATTAGTCGGCCTTCTTTCCGCCTTGATCAAGGTGTTTGGAGGTCTATGTGTGACTTGACTCGTGCTTAACATGTTTTCTCGGATGTGGATGTGTGCAAACGTGAATTGGATGACTGAAATTCAACGGGCCCATGTAATTTGATTCGATCCAAACGTCATAAAAAATTAGGAATGCAATGAAATCCTTCATCTGAAATAGGACTTGCAATTGTAGTTCAAAATTAGAGAGGCCTTACGCTAGGAGCTTGACTTCCAAGGTTCTAAGGGCAGTATTTGACATATCAACCTTGGAAGCATGGGAGGTACCAGTAGGGCTAGCAACAGGTGAGCTTGCTACCCAGGTGTCATGTCAGTCCAGGATATCTGATCCGCTTTCAAGGATACTTTGTGTAGTTGGTACTACTTCCACAATTGAGATAGGCAAGAGGAAGTACTGACAGAGAATGATCATGAAATATGTGTAGGATGCAAGGCTAGCTGAGGCTATCAAAGAACTAGATCCTTGTAGCGGTGTGGACTGACCAAGCCTGTGTGAGGCTCTGTCCTTAATACTCCCATTAGGGAACACTGCCAGTGAGTGCTACAGCTATCAAAAAGCATACATGGAACAAACAAAAACTGGTGGTCATTATCTTGAAGGAATAATGATAGATATGGAAGTGAGAAATCCAGGGTCAACCTCATTTGATAGCATCTATGAGCCTGGTGACAGACACCAAACTTCACCCAAGGTCAGCCCAATTGGCCAAGATAGTAGTATATAATCAGCTATTTACGTATGAGTAGCACCAAGGAAGTGACGTGCAGATCTATCTACAACCCAGCCCGGAATCTACTTCAAACGAGGGACTACCACTCAAGCCGCCGCCATTTACAGCTCTCCAGAGCCGTGTCTCCACAGCTGCGACTCCTTAGCCGCAGCTTCAGCACTAGCAGACCACTCCTTGAACGTCTGCTCGTCAATCTCATCCAGGAATGACAGACCCTGCATGGCCTGCCCACCACAAGCGCGTTCCAGCGCCAAGAAAGCGAAATGACCACCGATGACAGGACGAGCGAAGAAATTCGGACCGGGGAAGTTTCCATCGCCCTCGGTCTTGTGGAGATCGGTGAACGGCCGGTCCGTGACAGTCTCATTGACCCATCGTGCAACGGATTCTAGAATCTCCGAACGAACGGGCTTCGAGGCAACCGCCATAGAGAAGAACTCCCAGTCTGTCTTGGTATACAAGTGTCGGCTGTCGAGTGGAAGTCCGTACTTCTGGCGGACGTAGTGGTACCAGATGGACTGCTTCTGGTAGATGTGTCGTGGGACGAAACCTGCGGATTCATTGGAGGAAAGGTTCGTTCCTTCCAGGTGGAAGCAGAGCTGGGCGTCCGCATAGAGGTTGTAGATCGTTGTCCAGGAACCGTACCAGTCGTAGGCGAGTTTGGCGTGTGACTTGTCTCGAGACATGCCATACTCTTCCCACTTGGCAACATACTTGTCGGCAATACCCTGTGTATTCGAAGTTAGAGGACTGAGCGTGTGGTTGAAAGTGATGTTTTTTCCTACCTTGAAGTACTTGGCGTCGGAGTCGTGTCCGGTCAGCTCGGCGAGCTTGCTCATCGCGTTGATGCCCACGATACCCTTCAAGGCAAGATTTGTCTGCAGAGCAAGCCAGCCAGCAAAATCGTCGGTAGACACTATAGCGAGGTTAGTTTTAAATCGATCGGGAGAGGGCATCGTCATATCACTCACGTTGGTTAGCGGGCTCAAGGGAGAACTCCACAAGATAACCAGTCCACTGCTTCCAGAGGGTGTAGCTTCGCTGCACCCACTTCTTGGCGAGGTGCTCGCCCTCGATACCGCCGCCCCATTTGCCGTCTTGGTGCGCGATTCCAGAGAATGTCTGAAGATCACTGAGAGGGAAGAGCGAATCCGAATCGCTTGAGGCGGTCCAAGGTGGCGAGCCTTGCGCAGACCAGAAAGAGGAGGCAGTAGATGAATCCTCGTACTGGAGCGAATTGGCAATTGCCAAGCCCATGATCAAGATGTTTCCGCATTCTTCCACCGGCATATACTCATCGTTTCCGTCAGGGTGGCCGGTGGCATTGGGGAAGTGGGTCCCCAGATCGTGCATGGCATAGGTGTTGGGGTATTGTCCACTAAGCATATGCTCGATAAGAGGCTCCAGAAGATACGCCAACCAACGTGGGTTGGTATACAAGAAGAATGGGAACGCCGGGAAGATGACATCGATGGTTTGGAAGTTTCCATTCGAGGAAATCTCCTTCAAGAACAGGATGGGGTCGTCTGGAGTTCCTGAGAAAGTGGTGGCGCCCATAACCTGGCGTGCCGAGAGAGCGACGATATCAACGTAGTCATCAGCACCGGAGAGGTAGGCATCCTTGGCCACTTGAATCGAGTAGTTAGATGCCAGGGACGCAGCCACGGCATGATCATTGTAGTGGAAAGTCAGCAGCTCCTCAGTGGTGGGGAACCAAGACTCCCACAGAGGGCGCATCATTGTCAGGCCGCGGGCAGCTGCATATTGCACAACGGGGATTTGAATCAGAGCAAGGGTAAATGTGACACTTTCCGAGCTCTTCTTCGCGGAGTGGCCCAAGCTGAATGATTGAGAAAATGAAAAGACAGGAGATCGATCATCGATGGAACGGAAATCATCATCGTTCTCGTTCGTCAGGGAGCCGGTCTTTGCGAAGCTTCGACGGACCTTGGCTGCCTCTCCGGATTGGTATCGAGAATTCTAGTTTCATGTCAGAGGGACAGGGTGTGAGATACTGGATACTGCATTACTTACAGCCGGGCCAGTGAAATGGAGGGTACCCCATTCGGCACGGTCGCGGATTTCCGACAGGTGAAGCTCTTGTTCTCTACGAATCTGCCAGCGTTGGAGGGCTGGATTCTTGCTTGTCTTGTCTTGGACATTGATAGTATCCCACGCCCAGTTTATTTTAGTTCCGTGATCCCCAGTGACCCAGCGGGCATCGATATCCATATACACATTGACATCGGTCTCTCCATGTACATCGATCGTGACGTAGGAGGCCGGGATCGACTGTCGCAAGGTCGAGGTTGGCGTAATAGGCGAGAGGAAGGAGATGGTAATGTCTAGGGGAGTAGAAGAGCCGGTATCGATACGATAGGTGAAGTTTGTGGTGGAGGCATCGTAGTTGTTGCCCAGGTATTCGGGGAACTGTACTTGGTCCGACGGCAGGGAGTCCTGCGGTTTACCGACTAGGGGATAAACGGCTCCCTGGCTCGGGACGTGGGCCATCAGGGAGAGACCAATCTCCTCCCCGGTATAGAACATAGGCCATTTGGACCATGGAGCCTCTCGGGCGTTCCCTAGCCATGTGCTCAGGTAGGGGTTACGCACGATTAACGGAAGGACTGGCGGTGTCAAGGAGGAGGCAGTGGTCAGGGCCGCCTGTGTGACGGCCGCAGCCAGAACTGCGAGAGGAAGCTGCATTGTGGTGCAGCTCGAAAAGGAATGAGGGGAATGCAAGAAATCTTTGGCCGGGGTCACCAGGAGCCAAAGATGTGACAAGAACAAGTTGAACCAAAGGGGCCGGAATGCGAACAGGCTGCCCCAGGGTGAAATGCGGGGAAGAAGTCGGGCTCAGCTGAGTTCGAGTTCTTCTTCACGTTGACCCCAGGTTTTCACCTTCAGATCTTACTAGTACAGGGGTTGTAAAAGGTAATATTGAAGTATCTGATTGGATGGGGAGAGGTTAAATGCAGCCCTGGTGAGTACCAAAGGACCAAAGTACGAGGTATATTCGGGTTCGCTGTTCAAGTTGAGGGTTATGTGATGATGTCATGCGGAGACTGTGCATCCGCGGATCTATTCAGTAGTAGTAGTGCAGTACCTGTAGTAGTTGTAGTATAATACTGTAATACTTCCAAGGTTTATTATCGAAAAGGTTGTTGTAATGATATTACTACTACAATTAACCATCCATGAATAATGTAGGTACTAGTATATTTATTTCTGTATGCCATCAATGGTACTCCCGAGGTCACCGCACTGTGATACTCCAGTACCATCCAGTAGTATTGTGTGATATTTACTACTAGTACTAGTCGTACTGACAACTTGAACACGGCAATTATATATTCCATAAATCTCCAAATCTGTAACAAGAATAAAACACCTAGATTATACCTAGCCACTGGCGTGAACTTGAGTATTCCAGGAGAGAACAGGTCACATGATCAGTTGACTACACCTTCCAAGGTTCTACTTGTATATTATATGCTGTACCATCTTAAGAATCATTAGTAATTGCTACTGTCACCACAAATTCAACCTTCTCTTTTTCGTTTACCTCTCCATACGTAGCATCCCTACGTATATTACTATTAATATAGTCTATCTTGCTAACCCCAAAGGTCTGAGACCGTGACACATGACTTAGAGAATTCCTGGCGAGACACGTGATAGGATTGTCACCAACTTTGAATGGACTGGCATTTAATACACGGATGTTCAAGAATGAAGTATGTACTAGTACAGGTAGTAGTAGATGGAATTAGCAAACAAAAAATCACAATTGGCTATATTGAAAGTTTTGGGCATGAAAAAGATCTTAAGCTACAGACGCAATATGATCAAGCTGCCTATTATTACCAGCAGTAGTAGTATGCACAGTACTACCAGATATCGGTTCATAAAATGTCTACAACCAGTTGTCACTATCATTTGGCCTATTTCCAGTAAGCAGAATTCCACCAAAACAAGCAGACCCAGACTCGGGAGCTCCGCAACTCGCGCAACCCGTGGACGCGTGCTCAACACGACCACACGCTGTGGAGCCGTGACCGTGACCGTGTCCGTGCTTCTATACAAAGCTAGTAATCGGGGGTCTATACGCGATTGACGCGACCGTTTTTTGTTAGTACCCTTGTTCTTCTCCAATTCATTCAATCCCGTCTTTCTCTTCCCACTTTCATTGTGTCTATTGATCTTTTCATTTACCTCCTCTTTCCTGTTGGTGTCCCTCACGCGTCTATTGCCCCGATTCCGCTCCCGGTCCCAGTCCCGAGCCCACTTCCCCCGCTACGGCGTGTATCTTTCGCTCTCTCTCGACCCCAACACCTCCCCCGACCTCAATTGATTTCACATACGCCTCATGATGCAGTCCACAACAATGCCTTTCAGTCCGATTAAGGATGGCCGCCGCATTCTAGGCGAGAAAGACACCAACGCGTGTCTCTCGCCGGCCCACCAGAGCAAACAGTCGCTCTCGGTCGTTGGCACGCCCACCAAGCGAACGCTGTTCACGAATGTTTCACCTAAAAAGCTCCTGCCCTCACCCATATTTGCCGGCCAAAAAAGGACTAGGGATCAGGTGGATGAGGTCGAAATCAACACTGGATGCGGGCAGGACCCGCTGGGCTCGCAAGAATCAAGTTCTCAATCCACCATCAAACAGAGCATTAACGAGGTTGGTTGTCCAATCAGTTGCTTCTAGCACATACCTCAATGTCAATTAACTAACAAACATATTTTATAATAGCCTGCCCAAGTACCAAACGCGACGGATGTCAATGTCAATGTTGGCGTCTCGACACCCACCTCAACCCAACCGGAACGCGACGAGACATCCGACGATCAGATGGAAACAGAGATACCCCCAACCGCGTCTCAGAGCCTGGAGAACGACACAAGATCCATGCCCGAGGATTCAAACGCGCGAAAAATGTTTATTCAGGAGGTCAGTCGAAACTGTTCCACCGTTTGGGTTGTCATGGCATTGGTCCTAACTATATCTTAGAAAGCGCTGCTTCTCCGAAACACCTTACAAACCGCCATGCGCAATGTTACTACTCACCAATTCGATCGCCGAGTATCCGAACTGGAAGCACACAGCCGCAAGTGCCCTCGGATCTCTCTCGCCGCTCTCTCATCCCCCTCCGTCTCCTTCAAAAACACCACGCCCTCTCAATTCCGTACTCCCCGCATTGGCACCATGGCCGACATGACCTCCACTCCTTTCCGAAGCACCCCTGATCTCCCCAGACACCGCTCCGCATTCGCCGACTCTTCTTCCTGCGTGAAGCCATCCCAACGCACTCCACCCCGCGCATTTGGATCTCCAATGCAACTGAGCAGCCCACCCGCTACTGTCGTCCGCCAAAGCCGCACCCGTGAGGTGAGCGAGGAACCAAGGCCAGAAGAAAAACCTGAAAAACACGAGGATCTATCACCGTCTCAAAGAGGGGACGCGGTGGATGGGTTACTCAAGCTCATGAGCACGGCAGGCAGTCAGGACAGTTCAGACGCATGGACCGGACAGGTTGATGGCCGTGGCTGATGTGCACTGACAACACAACACTTTCTTTTTCATTCTTCGGGTACTCTTTGCATTTTGCGAGGCATTCTGTTTTTCTACGGATATCAGTGAACTCGATGCTTGTGTTGACTGCGATAAACGAACTGTGCTTTGATGAACATACTTGCTGGCTGGCATATGGAGATGCGAAGGTGGTTTAATTTTGGGAGCATGCGGCGTCCTCTAGAATATTCTTATTACTCTTACTACCAATGATACCATTTGTACACTTTTGAATGTCTGGAATCAACCGAAGTCATACGTCATCGGTGGAAGATGGTGTCAGGGCAGTCTTTTCCACGGCAAGGATAAAAGTACGTACTAGAATTAGTGAGTACTAATGTACACATGGTTTAAAGGAGAAGTAAGTGAAGGGAAGTGGTCACCAGGGCCTGCTGGGAGTGAGAAAATGGGAATGCATGAATACATCATGGCATGGCTGTGTTACCCTGGCATATGGCTGATCGCCAGATCTGGCCACATTGGGAAAGGATCAGGTGTGCAGGATAACGAAAAGGGATGGCATTTGTTGACAAAGGGCTCTCTCATCCAAAATCAAAATCAAACCCAACAAAATGAACCAGCTTGTGTACTGACGATTGTCTTGGTCCTGATTCAGCGCAGTAGCCCAGAGACCAAATGGATCTGCCCCCTGAATTAATAGCCAATAGAGGCCTGCAGGCCGCGGTCTTGTGACGGTGAAATATGTCAGATATCTCCATATTGAATCGAATGGAATGGAATCGAAAGATGTACTGCGTTCAATAGGGACTGTATTGCGACACTGGCTGGATATTCATTGCCAGTGTGGAATACTAGTTGTGCCATGTACCCAGCGCGATGCGGAAGAGCATGCCATGGAGCATCATATCTGCTCTGTCAACTATCGATAAGCCTTTTCGTGCTATTGTCTCGGGGAGAGGGACTGAATAATGGCCAAATTACTGCCTACCAGGTCATTCGTACATGGAGATACTCCATACTCCGTACTCCGTAACCCAATGAATATGCTTCATCTAGCCAATTAAATCAGAAAGTGCTATGCAGGTCTAGAACTCAATCTATTGGATCGACATATACGGTCTAAAGAGCACCCATCAATAAAACTAGGCTGGACCCAACAGGGGCTCAGCGGCCTTAGGGGTTCAAGCCAAATCGAAACCCGGCTGTGCACCGCAGGCAGCACTTCTCCTACTACTGAACCCATAACCCATTTTGCATATCCATTTTCATGCACATTCATTAACCATCAAGAGTCCCGAATTAATCATGTCAATATACGCTATAAGTCACAACATGATCTGCAACCCTGCTTGTGGCCATTGTCGACAGGGAAGAGTATGCGAAACCAGACCAACGATAACATGGCGGCCCCAGCTAACTTCTTTGTGATATGTAGTTGCCAGAACAAATCATAGTTTCTTCTTCCCTGACACAAGAAACAGAATGCAACTCAAGGCATTGGAATTGCGATAGCCAGGGCACAAACATACATCAACCAACACGACGCTTATCCGACAATATCGGAACCAACACAGAGAGCAACGACCTGAATGGCACGATAGGTCCGATGGAACTCACTGCGCCAACATCGGAGCTTAGGTCTCCCAGCGTTTTCTTTGACCCTGCACTCGAAGAGGCTCTAGATTCTGTTCTGATGGGAACATCTCCACCTTCAATGGACGCATACGACCCATCAACTATAAGTCACGGTGGGCAGACACTCTACAGCGCACAATTAGCGATAGAATCATCCAAAGAACCATATACCTGGACAGAAAATCAAACTGCTCATCCATTCGCCATCTCCCAGCATCCCTCTTCAACCGGACTGTCCCCGACGTCTTTCTTGAATACTACTCAAGACGACTACCTCGAGCTTGATGAGCTGAGAACCGCAGGACTTGGTCCCAGTGGCCCTCTGTCTCCCACTCCTAATGATATATGGCTTGATAATACCGGCTGTTTCGCTGGACTGGCTAGCGCCGAGCAGGGAATGGAGCCGATAACAAATCCGTTGGGGCAGTCTGAAATGAGAAGCCCCAGAAAACAAGGCAATGAATTCGAATATGTCTTAGGGGGGGATAGGAGGAGAAGTACCCTTGATACAGTGATCTTAAATAAACTACTGATATGATTATGGATAGTTGAGATAGAAATATCGGTTGCAGATGACCATGACATGACAACGCTAAAAAAGTTCTCATAGATTCGGAATATGGTATCAGATAGAAATTTAAATATGAACAGAGTATTTAAAACACCCTTCACCGGACCTTCTTGAGCTTATTGCGCTTCCGTCCCAGTACATCACGGCCTTCGTCGATCTCACCCAGAGCCTCGCGCTTGGCAGCTCCAACCTCCTTCAATGCGCCGGTCCTCGTCACACGGCCCTCGATACTGACACCCTCCTCGGCGAACTCTTCCATCTGGCGGCCTACGCGCGCCTCGATTGCCAAAACGAGTTCCACATCACGCTGTCCCACGAGCGTAACAGCCTCACCGGTCCGACCCGCACGGGCAGTACGACCGACACGGTGGACGTAGTCATCGGGATTGCGAGGTACATCAAAGTTGATGACGAGGCTGACGGATGGAATATCCAAACCACGAGAAGCGACATCCGTAGCGACCAGGATTCGCGCAGCGCCAGCGCGGAATCGACCAAGATTGGAGGTGCGCTCAGACTGGGGGAGAATACTATGAAGAGAGGTGGCGCGGTGACCAAGTCGGCGCAAAGTGCGCTCGATCAGATCGGCGGTCTTAGTGTGATTGCAGAAGATGATGGCAGGTTTCGAGACATTCTCCTCTGTAGAGAGCAGAACATGCAAGAAGACTTCACGATGGGTCATGGGGACCTTGATGTATGTTTGCTTGAGGGTGGGAGGAATGTTGCCTTGGTTTTCGGTAGAGACTTCGGTCACGAAGATGGGAGGCTTATTAGGGGTGCGCGGCAGTGACTGTAATGCGCGCACTTCGGCAGTCAGGGTAGCCGTGAATAGCAGAGTTTGTCGTTCGGCTGAAGGAGGGAGCGCCGAAAGACAGGTCTCGACATCTGGCAACATGCTACCCTGTCCGCTGGCGAGTAGCCGGTCTGCCTCATCGAGAACGACCATTTTCACCCGACCCAGTCCAGCCACGGTATCTTTGCCGGACGTCCTGATGTGATCTGCCAGTCGGCCGGGTGTCGCAATAACGACGTGAGGCCGTTGTGCGAGGTCGATTGCCTGCTGTCGCATGTCTGTGCCGCCGGTGACAAGGATGGGCTTCATGCTCTGGGGTGCCGAGATGGCTTTGAATTGTTCAAAGATTTGCAGCGCAAGTTCTCTGTAGATGAAGAATTGAATTAGGAACTGACGTCTTTCGGATACTATAGTATGTTTTTTTCTCTTCTTTCTCTGAAGAAAAAGGAACTTACCTTGTCGGCGTCAACACGATCGCAAATATACCGAATGGGTCCTGGGCCCATTTCTGTAAGATAGGAACCGCAAATGCCATTGTTTTTCCTGAACCAGTTCGGCTACCACCAATGCAGTCTCTTCCCTTCAGGATCTCTGGGATACACGCCTTCTGAATAGCCGTGGGGCGACGAATAGCCATAGTCGACAAGGAGCCAACAAGCCATGGAGCTAAGTTCAAGGCACCGAATGTGGATGACTCGGCCCGAAGTCCAATTTCCAGAGCATCTTTGATCAAAACGGGTTCTTCCTCGTCGGTCACTTCGGGTTTCTTGGTATCATCTTTCTTCTTGATGCGAGAGAGGGTGGGGAGCGGTGCTGGGGCAACATATCCATCGTCTGAGGATTCGGAGAGGCGTCGGCGCTTTGGCGCACGGTCTTGAGTATCGTGTTGGCTTGTTTCAGATTGATCAGACTCATAAGAGTCCTCAGACCTCAGCTCGTCTTTGGGGGACGCCATTGTTGCTTGCTACTTTTTGGAAAATTTGCGGCAGAAAAAGTTACATTTCTGACGCGGTGAGATGTGACCGCCTTCCGGGTGGGCAAAACGGCTCCGATGTATACTAAGTCACGTGGATTTAGGGTTGGGAATGTATAGACAAAGTGAAGTCAACTTCATATAGGAGCATTGAATTTTAGACATTTACATGTCACTATGTATTAGACAGATAGTTAACTTGATGCCAGGAAACGCTAAATGACACAAGCCCTGGTCCCTAGCCGATGCGGCTAGTGGTGCTTCTTCTGCGAACGGAAGACCGAGATGTCATCTCGTATGCCTCGCCCCTCTCAAGATCATTACCATCGACGGCAGATTCTGAAGAGGAAGAAAGTCGACCTTCGAGAATATCATTTCCACCACTAGTCGAATTTTGGGCTCCGCTTGCGACTGCCTCGGTAGTATCCTCGTCAAGCCCGTAAGTGCCACCAACACTCTCCATGGTGAAGGGGCTAGCAGTAGGTCCATCCAATGCGCCTAGTTCCTCACGAGTAAACCAAAGTGGAAGTAGGAAGGTCCGCACAGGGACCAGAATGAGAATGATAACAGGGAAACCAATAGCTGCAATGGTTTGGGTGATGGCAAAGGTAGCGCCAAATCCAACCAATTCGAGGATAACAAATGCCCAGATAGCAGCACGGCGCTCGATTCGCTTCAGGGGATTAGACGCGGGAGTGAAGGCCTTGTCTTGAGCAAGGAAAATAAGTTTCTGGGTAATGCCGTTGCCTTGTAAAGCTTGGACACCCATGACAAAGAACAGACCTGCCATGACACCCTGTGGAATCAAATGCAGGACAATCAGGAGCGGACCGGTCATCGTACCGAGAGTCAGTAGGCCTTGGGCGAAATTGCTCACTCTCTGTTCCACGACATGGTCAGTGACCCGTATAGCCTTGCCCTTGTTAGCTTCATCCTCATCCGCTACCTGTCGAGTGACGCAGAGCGCAGCAGTGTGGAAGGGGGCTTGTGGGATGAGTCCATTAGGGAACGGAATTCCGAGAAGACCGCCAATAAAGGTTGTAAGACCGAGAAGCCAGAGATCCCAGTGAAAACCAGCAGGTTTCCTCAGAGGAAACTCGGTGCCTTGCGCAATCAGAGAAGAGACTGAAGATAAAGTGAGCAAGCAACTCTTGGAAATGAGAGTGGATGTTTTAGGAGAGAGACCAACCATTGTGATCGAAATAGAAAAGAATCGTCAGAAGAAGTGCAAAGGGAATGGCCAAGAAGATGTCGCCAACATCGATATTCCAAAAGTGCACCAGCCACGGACGATCGAGGGTAGGGAAGAATGCTTTGCTCGTGGGAAGGGTGGAAACATCAACATCCCGCATTTGACCAATGTGGACGAAACCAGTGAAGAAGATAATCGTCAAAGGAGTTCCGTAGTCCTCTAGGAATTTGCGAACAAATCTTTTAAAGAGGTTGCTGTTGCCCAACTCCCCGCAGATCCATGCGCTCATCAGGACAAGAAGAGCCACCATAATTGCAAGGTAAGCGGAAGTCTCTCCAACTTGTCCCCATTGCCTTGTTAAGACTTGAATGCCCTTTTGAAGATAAATACAAGCAACATAGAATCCAAAGATATCACACGAGAACCGAGTGACATACGTCAAAGCATTGCAGGAGTTTGTGATAGCCAACAACCAATGCATAATTAGAGACCAGCTAGAGAGCATGTTAATGAGTGTTGTGAATAGACGATGCCGGGACATAATCTAACGACTTACATGCCAATCCAGCACATGAACGGTAGATATGGAGTACCTCTGGGGGAAATAATATCATAGACCGTGTAATTGAACACGGTTATAGGACCTGAATTATTAGCATTTTAGCTCAAGTGAAATATCGCCCAACATAAGTCAGAACCCACCAGTGACACCGACAATGACCAAAGGCTGAGCGGCAAACAGCGAGAAGACAATTGCCCCAAGAACGGATGCAAGCAAAACTTCATTGACTCCGTAACTTTGATTCGTTTTTTCAAACATATCCAAAGAGAAGGCCAGAGCGGGTAGAATACTGCAGAGACGTAAGCAACTTGAAGGTTCCAAGGATTCAGCTGTACTGCTATTAATTTATATAGTAGATGGCCACAATTTCAACCGAAACCCTTCAAGATAGATCCACCCATTCCATTGCAAAGAAAAGGATAAAAAAGCCCGGATGCAAAAATGGGAAGGACATACTTAGCAAAATACATATAAACAGTTGCAGGTACGATGCGATAGTCCCATGCATCTGTCCAATCACTCCAATAGTATGGTGCTCTTCGCTTAACATCCTGAATCATGCCACGAAAGAGGCGAATCCGCCACCATTTTGGGGGAGACGAGGCGGTGGAAGTGGACATAGAGGCCCGACGCGTCGAGTCCTCGCGCGCAGATTCTCTTAAATTCGCAGAAGGAATTGAATGCCTTAGAGAGTGCCCATGACTGGATCTATCAGATTGACCAGATGGTTTACGTTGGGACTGCGAAGAAGGTTTACGCTGAGTGGGTGCGGCGGCAGCGTGCATGTTCGGTCCCGAAGGCAGGGAGCAGTCGCCGTACGACGGTCCCTGCAGATGCAATGTAGAATCGATGCGGTGATAGAATAAAACTTAGCCGGCTCCCGGTACTGGGAGGATATGGCGATTAGGAACCAAAGAAAACAAGGCAGTAACTGTAAGCGATTTGCGGGGGAAAGAAAAAGTTGCTGAGTTCAAGTTGTGATGACCCTAGCCAAGACTGGAGAGTGTGGGGCCTGAGGCAGCGGTGGAGCTCCCATGGCTTCTCATGGATTGACAAAGGTGTGCACTGTGCACAGTGCATTGTTCTAATAATTCTAGTTATTCGAGTAGTAAAGGTGTATTAACATACCAAAGCCCAAGGCATTTGGAGTTTACTCTAGCCAGGTTCACGATCATAATATAATAATTACTGATATCAAGATTCACTCTTAAACCAAACTGTATTACTTCACATAAAAAAAAGGAAAAGAGCTAAAGCCATCCCGTCGGTATTACTGATAGCAAGTACAAAGCGAACACATTTCTGATGACTTTTCTGGGGTAACCGCAATTTCGTTTATGCTGGGGGAGGCGGGGGCGGGGGCTGATCGCTGGGGGGTGGAGGTGGAGGTTGATCGCCTGGGGGAGGCGGCGGCGGAGGGCTTCCGGCACCATTATACATAGGGGGCATTCCGGGGGGGAGGGGGAGGAGCCGCCATGCCAGGAGGATAGGCATAGCCACCTCCATAAGCACCGTATCCATAGCCCGGCTGTCCACCGGGAGGGGCCTGTTGTTGCCAGGGGGCGGCGCCAGGAGCAGCGCCAGGAGCAGTCCCGGGAGCGGCATATCCAGTTTGCTGACCGTAACCGCCATAGTCGTTGCCACGGCTCTGAGAAGCCCAGGGAGGAGCAGCGCCCTGGTCGCGGGGAACATATTCGTCGCGAGTGCGGGTTTCGCGGCCTCTCTGTTGCCAGGGGGCCACATCGCTTGCCGGCGGGCCACGTTGCTGCCAGGGCTTCGCATCCCGATCATCAGGATATCCAGACTCGGGACCAGCCTCGATGCGGCGAGGCGGGTACTCACCAGGAGCACCTCCAGACAGCTCGTTCATAAGTTGCTAGCAGATGCGTTAGTATTTTATGGAGACATTTATAACGGACGAAAGAACTCACCTCCATTTCGCGATCCACAGCGTCACCAGTGCCAACGGCACGAGGTCCACGACCGCCAACGCCACCATTGTTGCGCCAATCGCTGCCTCTCTGTCGGTCGGGACAGTCACGAGCCATATGGCCAGCGTTACCACAGACACGGCAGATGATGTTGGTAGTGAAGTTTCGCTGCTCGGGGCAATCATACTTGCGGTGTCCGATTTGACCACCTATTCATCGTGGTCAGAAGTGATACTCGAGTATGGGGGAATGAATACTTACAGTTCTGGCAAGCTTGGTTCTCGTCGTCACGGAGAGTACCGTTAAGGGCGGCGAGCTCACGAAGCTGGTTGCGCTTGAGCTCGTTTTGGCCTTCAGGGATGGAAGCAGCCTGCAGATAGATGGTTAGCTTATACATCCCAAAAAATAAGGATTGGACGCGACATACAGTCTCGATAACGTTGTGGACAAGTTTCTTGGCTTTGTTCACCTTCTCTTCTGTATCTGCCATGATCAAGCAGTGAAGATCCTCCTCCTGGTTGCTACCGTGAGCCGCATCAGAGCGACCCTTTCCTTCCTTGACGGAACCTTTACCACGGATGGCAATTTTAGCACCGGATTCGGTCTCCATTTTCTTCAGAGTGTTTCCACGAGGTCCTATAAGTAAGCCAACTTAAAAAAGATAGCAAAGAGCTAAGTGTTAGTAATCCGGTAATTGTGAAATCGCGTCAAGCAATGTGCAGCATCAAGCACCAAGGGTTAGCAAGAAACGGGCCGACGGCATCCGAGGAAATGTCTCGTCAACTCGAGTCGAGCAGGAAGTCATGGCAGACACGATGGAGGGATAGTTCGGAGTTAGAGGGTTAGTTATCATACTGAAGTTAATCTCTGGATAGTCATTCACTGGCACGTAGACCTTCTCTTGAGTCTTGGTGGGTCGTCTATAGTCAGAGGGCGGGTGATAGTTAGGAATGGTCTTCATGGCCTTCTCGACCAGCTTGTGACGCTCATCCTCAAGACGCTTGCGGTAGCGGTACTCGCGGGTGTTTACACGGCGACCGAAGTTGTCATATTGAGGCGGGGGCGAGGGAGACCTGTTGAAGGAGTGAGTAGGAGGCAAAAACACAAAGAAGGATAAAATGGAAAGGCACATACCGATCACCGTCGCCTGGGACCACATCGTTGATCCGAAGCTTTTGGCTGATCTCCTCAATACGCAGGTGCAGAGTGTATGCCTCGAGCTGCTCGCTGGTGAAGTTGGCCATGATCATCGTGGGAAGACCCATGAGACCAGCAGCCTTGTTCTCCTGCTGGTCACCCCAGCGGTTACGCTTCTTGCGCCGCTTGACGCCATCGCTGTCGACTGGGGGGTCCGCTATTGATAATAAGAGAGAATGGTCAGAGAGAAATGGATTCCGGGATTTCATTAGTGTAGGGGAACTGACCTCGGACAGGGCTGCGACCACGCTTAGGGCCATCGGGTACGGAGGAAGGAGTCGCGGTGCGACTATCATCTTCTTCTCCTTCATCACCCGCGAACCGACGTCGGCCCAAGGGAATATTGTTGGAGCCGGTGATTCCTTGATTGCGCCAGGCCATAGCAGCGGTTTGAGGGCGAAGTCAAAGGATGGTTAGTGAACAAAGCTTGAGATCAAAGAAGGTGTCTTGTTCGCCCGTGAAAATAGTGGCAACCGAATCACGTGAGTGTATAATTGTTCCGGCGGGCGGTGAGATCTCGATTGGCGGTCGCGTTTGGAGATCTCTCAGTTTATTCTCATTGGACCTCTGTTTCTTTCGTGTACACTACATAATCGTATGCATGGAAGTGCTTTATGAGTGAATCATGGTTATTAAATTTTGGAATTGGATGCTTATTATTGCGTGCTACTGTCTACCATATGGTAGGGGTACTGCCTAAAGGTTGTTCTTAGCATCCTCCTTCATGCCCTGCTGGACCCATGCTCGCGACTCTGCAGCAGCCTTGTCGGTAGCGGCCTTATCCTTCAACACCTCTTTGATCGTGTGTGGTGAAGGAACGTGGCGTCCCTTCTCTGTGCCTGGGCGCTGTGCCATGCGCTCCTCCCACGCCTTCAGATGCGGGAACTCCTCGATATCGATGCCAGCCCAGCCGGCAGCGGCGATCCAACCCCAGTGTGAAATATCGGCGATGGAGACATGGTCTCCAACGAGATATCCAGAGTTGGATTTGGCCAGGTGTTTGTCGAGGACCCCGTAGAGTCGGCGCGACTCATTGACATACCGGTTCACACCATACTCAATGCGCTCGGGGGCGTAGCGAGAGAAATGATTGGCCTGGCCTTGCATGGGACCAACACCAGCGTTTTGGAAAAAGAGCCAGTTATTCATCTCGTAGTCTTCGCGGCTACCCTTAGGGAAAGAGATCTTGTGGTCGGGGTCGTACTGCTCAGCTAGATATTGTAGAATGCTACCGGATTCGAAGAGACGGATCTTCTGGCCATCACTGAAGGTGTCGGTCAGGGCTGGGATGCGGCCATTCGGGTTAATCTCCAAGAACCAGCTATTCATCAGGTTAGCTTACAAGCTTGGACGCCGGGGTATATAGGTGCGTACTCTTCTTTCTGTACATTCTTGGACATGTCGATCTTCTCAACCTTGTAAGGAAGGCTGTCGCCAACATGTCAGTCTCCGCCAAGGCCCGCTGTACACTGTGGTGACTTTGGATTACTTACCCCAGCTCCTCCAGGGCCATGGAGATTTTTATTCCATTGGGGGTCTGGGCAGTATAGAGTGTGATGTCCGGACGAGTCATTTTGGGCACTGGGCACTGAGCAATATTACAATGGGTTTTTGGGAGGGAGGAGAAAAGATGATGCTAAGATTGATCTTCCATCAGAAGTACTGCGGGGGGGAAGTCGCCCTGTTATACACCCCCGCCCGCCTCGGATGGATTTATAATCCCGCCGAAGCTTCTCGCCGCGTACAACTCCCATCTTAATAATCCATGTTCCATCCGAGTTTAACATGATTCCAAATCCATAAATGCCAGATGAAGTCGGTCAAATATACATGGAATACCGGGTTACCCGAAAATCAAATGAATCAGTTAGTGATGGTTAGCCGGTGGCAGTTCCCTGAAGCGAGCATTTACTGATTCCAACATCAGTTGGTACTATGTAAATGCCCAGGTGGAGAATCATTGATCTCTTTGCAAGTAGGCCCTCTCTAAGAATTTGAACCTTGTGGGACCCGTTGTCATCGTGCCAAATGGCATGGCCGTTATCTAGCTCTTTCAAGACGAAAACCTTGAAATATCATTAATCTATCATCGCCCATGGCTGAACAACACTATAAAAGACACCTCGCTGACGAGAGAAAACCAAGCAATTTGGTGCTCGGCAAGCAATTCGCTGATCGCGAGGATATCAGACTTATTCTCTAGGTTCTGAGCCAAACGACTTCGGGGTAGTATGAAGCCATTTTCTTTCATTCAAGCCGACTTTCTTCAAACCATGGGCTCACCTCGCACTAGTACTGATAAAACTTGGTCTTGCATGATATTGTCCAAATAGCCAGTCAAAGAAATATGGTATAATGCTTCAACCATTCTTTCGTGGATTTTGACTGACATCCCATCTCTTTGGAGGGTGATCAATAAAGCCGTCACCCTAACCAAAACCAGTCAGTCCGAGGACGATATTTTTGGACGAATCTTCTTTGTGTCTACTCGGTGCCTGTGGTGAAACTAGCAGGTCTTCATTGATCTCACTGGTGCCATTCTCAAGATGAAAGAAAAATAAATAGCCAACAAAGGATCAGAAGGGTCACACGGAGAGCCCAAATGAACCTGCCCAAGAATATTTGAAGGCCCGAGGGATCCCTTTTTGATGATGAATATATACCAACTTGAATATCCCTATCGGAAAACGCACTGGCAGAGGAATCGCCTAAAGAATTACCTTGGTAGCCACTTATAACTCAAACGATTTTGCTTTTCATCCTCTGCTTTCCGGTTCGTACCACACGATACAATGGCCATGGCACCTATGCAAAATTTCCCCTTGGATCTGCATCGCCAGCTTCTGCTGGTTTTGTTGAAGGAGGGAAGCCATTCTGGTCTGCATGCTCTGAACGATATCATGTTTAACGACTCCTTAGGACCAAGAATAGGGGCGGCCTATCGGGGGTTATGGGGAACTTTCGAAGACAGGTGGATAAGAGAGCGTTGGCTGATCAACCATAGTCACAGTTATGATAATGCGATGGATGCCGCCCGAATAGTAAATTTGAGGGGCCAGATGGCTGCGAGTCTAAGAGAGGGATGGTTGTCGCTTCAAAGATATAATCATTTGAGACAGAAAGCGCTCACACTCTCCCAGACGCTTGGGTTCGACAATATGGTAGCGCTTGCGGCCTTAGATGATGCTAATAATGAATGGAATGACAACGTTCTCCGTCTTCGAGAAATCACACGAGACGCTTATAGGGGAGTTCAACAACGCAAAACGTCAGCGCGCGAACGGTCAGCGCGTTCCTCCAGTCACCCAGCGCGTTGACCTCGAATACGATGATTTTGACGCTGATCCTCCGTGCGATACCCTTCAGCAGGTATTGGAAGCCGGCTGCCGTGGATGCTTGCACTTTCTCTATCGAAAAAAATTGATTAACCTACACGGGTTTGATAATATGGGACTGTCCTACGTCTGGCTCGCTACAAGAGAGTATTGGGGAAACAACCCTGGTCTATTACATTATATGGTACAACGTCTGCCCTGGGACCATCTAGTGGGCAGTTGTGCGGTCTTTGCTGGGCATCCTGATCAAACGCCGCGAACACCCGGTATTCTCCCACTCATAATAAAGTATGAGGCAGCAGCTCGAGAGTGGGAGAGACGAGTCAGACTCACTTTGACGCAACCGTTGGAGATACCGTCGGACTGGAAAAGACTCTGGGAGGCAGCAGAATCCTGCGATGTAGCAGTCTGGGCCGATATGGCCTTCTGCGGCAGACTCCTGGATTTAGGAATTAATGCCTATGAAGCCTACGTCACGAATCCCACTCGTGATGTAGTTCGCAACATGTGGACCCATTTGATTAAAAGGAAATTTGATATCGCCGCCCATGCGATTGTGTTCCATCTCCATACGAATGCAATACATGTTCATACGGAGATATCACGTTTAATGGATGATGAAGTTCTTCCCGGTATTAAAAAAATCCTTGCTCCACCCTGGTATCATGCCATAGCTCGGGACAACACCTATGTTGCCCATTGTCTTAGCGCGCCCGGGGAATATCGTGTGAATCCAATGCAAGAGTGCACCGTATTTGATGATGATGATGATTATATAGTTCTCATCGGCCATGCGGCCGCATATCAGCTCAATGAGCATGGATTGTGCATGCTTCGTCGGTGGGTGCAAGCAGCAAGCAATAACATAACACTTAGTAAAAAGGATCACGAGATGCCTTGTTGGATTCTTTTGGCAATCTGCGATTCTGCGCAAGAGGACCGCCGGAGAAGGTTGAATGAGAGCGCGGCTCGGATAGCTCGGTCGCCACAGACGAAGCATCGGATCCTGAAAGAAAGAGCTCAGGGTATCAAAAATATGATGGAGTTCGCCCGCCGGGTGATTCGATGTGTGTTGGATGAGAGCATTCGGGTTATTGAGACTACAGCTGACGGCCGGCCCGGGCCTCACCGGACTTTGTTCGATACCCCTGAATATCAAGCATGGCTTGTGGGTTTCCAGCAAGACCACGAGCCAGGAATGGGAGCAATTAAATCAGTCGTTCAGCAACTGCACTTACGAGAGCCTCGCAGAGCCACTCGTAATGCTCCTCCCCTGGACTTGATGGATACATCGTGGTAGATACGGCCAATAGTCAGTTTCGTATCTTACTGCCACTATATTCTTTGATTTAGATGAGTTAGTTTTGAATTTATTTATACCTAAATGGTTTACTATATCCCCTGAAAATCAGACTTACTTCAGCAAAGCGAAACATAAATGTGTTGAGTATGATATCAGACTCATTATTATCGGTTCTTATTTTTGATACTATTCTAAATGACTCCATCATGTCATGGCTCCATTCACTCTCAATATTTGACCAGACATCCAACTGCTATCCTTGCCACAAAGAAAAGCCATTACCCCAGCAATCTCTTCGGGCTCTCCAATCCGGTTGAAAGGACTATTTGAAGCCACAGCTCTGATTATTTGAACGGGTTTCCCAGTAAGAAAGAGCTCCGTGGTTGTTGGCCCAGGAGCAACGGCATTCACCAAAATACCCTTTCGAGCCAAGTCCTTGGCCATCACACGTGCCATTTGCTCGATTGCTCCCTTTGCAGAGGCATATAGAAGATATGCGGGTGCGATATTCGACAGATTGGTGACTCCAGTCGAGACAAAAATGATTCGTCCTCCAGATGGCATGTGCTTTGCGGCTTTCTATACACAGACCAGTATTATTAGCAACCATTCGCTATTGGAAGGAGGTATAGTCGAAGAAAATTTTGCAGATCGACATGGAGGTGAGGAAGCCAATGTTCTTTACTAACCTGGGCAAGGAAGTACGGCCCTTTTACCATGAGATTATAGGTATTGTCAAAGTCCACCTCACTGGTGTTCTCTAGGTCTTTCATCGGAAGTATTCCAGCATTGGGGATCAGGACATCAATTCGTCCAAACCTTGCGACCGCCGCATCGACAAGATGATCCAAGTCGGGAATCTTAGAGACATCGGCTTGTACAGCCAAAGCACGATCCGATCCGATCTCTTCGACTAGTGCGTTGGCTGCAGCTGCATCAGAAAGGTAGTTGATCACCAGGCTGGCGCCTTCGCTGGCAACACGGAGGGCGGCTGCTTTGCCAATTCCCCTAGAGGAACCGGTAATCAAAATCACTTTCCCAGATAGAGACATTATGAGAGCTGAAATTCTCGATAGCTGTTTGAAAATTAGAGATACTGTATTGACTGAATTTTATTTGGAAATGTTAATGCAAGAATCAGACAAGGCAGTGTGGGTCTTCTTATACTCTTGTCCCTGTGAGAATATAACGGATTAATTGGTGGGGATGCTGTTATTCCCGAGGGGGGGGTGGTCCGGGGTTAACTACGTGAAACGCCACACACACACACACTCTCTTGGAAGCCGGACATCTGACAACAAGATCGGAAGTTGAATCCATAGCGGAATTATGCAACTGGTGCTTAAAAAACCGTGCTGCATGTCGAAATCTGGCAGATAGGGTAAACCTTGCGGGTCGTTGACTATCAAAGGGTGAGCCGGACTTCGATGCTAAGCCGAAGCGAGTGGGGCGATTTCCGAAGCCAACGTTGAACGGATTTATCGCTAAGCCGCAGGGCCGCTTATACCGATGCGAGTACCACAGGAGTGGGCTTGGATTGGAAGATCCCAAGCTTAGAAGGAAACTCTTCGTGCCTCATGTGGAGTATAAACCCCCTCTTCATCTTGAAAGTTACTTTCGCTGTGTTCGAAATCCCGTTCAGTCCATCCCGATCCATCGAATCAGACAAACCTTTGTGGAACTGGAGGAGATCATACGAGAGCCTGCCCTGATGGCATTCAAAATAGTCAGGGTACCTGTTTCCAAGGCTATGCGTGGCCTTAGATCCGCCTTCAACTGAGAAACCTCTTGCTCAATCCTGAGAGGCGCCTAGAGTACGATGAGTTGGAAAATAATATATGAACCTAGAAGAAAGCACCTCATATCTTGCATTCGCAAAAAAGAAAGATATGTACAGCTCTCCGAAGCCCGCGATACATCAAAGATGACAGGCAAAACCGGAACAACCACGAAATATACAAAGAAAAGCCAGGTTCAGGGCTGATAGATCAAAAGGATAAAGTATACCCCCGAGAGAACACGGAGGATGTACCGCACCCAAAAAAGAAGAATCGAAAGAAAGAGGGGCTTAATGAAGCAAAGAAAAGAAAAGCGACCAAGACATGAGAGCTCTCCAACAGCATCCACCTGACGAAACAATCCATAACATGCTGCTCATCAACGCAAGACATAAAGAGGAGTCTGAATAGACTACCAGGAGAAGCTTTCCTCGACGTAGTCAACATTCGTCCGCTTTTGTCTTCTGCGGCAAACCTTGCGGACATCATCGCTCAGTCCTCCGTTACCACAGACCAGGACACCCATCGAGCCAACCTGGTTCTCCACTTCCATACCGACCAGAGTGTCGATGTTAGGACGGCCAGGGAACATCTGCACAGTCGCCGACGGGCTCTGGATTTCCTTGGTGTTACGTGGGCGGGTAACGAAGAGCATGATGCGGAGAACTTCGCGGCGACGGTCCATGGCCAGAATGCTGGTCATCCAAGGCCGGATCCACTCTAGGTGTTCAGGCGATTGGATGATCCAGACAAGTGTCAAACGACGGCAAGCGACAGTACCCTCGGCGAAACCAGCAACGAGATGGCGAACGAAAGGGACGTGATGGGTGATACCGACACCACCGGCAAAGAGCATTACTGTGCCATAGGAGTCCATGGTGTGGATATTGCCGTAAGGACCTTCGGCAAAGGCGCGCAGGGTGACACGGTTGCCAATGGCGTTGGAGGCGCGCTGGAACAGCTTGTCGGTCATACCGGTACGGCGACGGACCAACAGAGAGATGGTCTCTTTTTGAGGCGCGCCGACCAAATCTTGCTTCGACATGGGCAGTGATTTCTCGTCAGACATTGAGTCTTCAGTCTCACTCCAGCCAACGGAAAAGGGGTGGGAAGTCCACCAGCCAACAGCTGGGATGTACAGGTAGATGTGTTGACCAGGGCGGAAGGTCCATGGGCGGGCCATACGCAGAGTAATACGCATTGCATCTCCCGGCATCGCCTCGACAATGGCGGTGGTAGACTCGCGACCGAAGTTACGGTAGAAAATGATGAAGAATCGAACCGCGCGCTAGTGAGGGAAAGTGAGCCTTTTGACCATTTAGTAGAATAGCATCGGCGAAACTTACCTCGAGAGCCCACAGGACGATAGCGGCAATGAGATACGCCTTAGCAGTCAATCCATGCAAATGCACCCAGAGGAGACCGAAAGAAGCTGCTGCGAATATGAAATGCAGGTGGACGAAGGTTTCGTAGAATGCATGGCGAATCGGCGACGGAGAGTGCAACAGGAGGGCCACGAAGGCAGCAGTTGTCTAAAGTTCGAATAGGTTAGCGATGTACGCATAAAAGGAATAAATAGACTAAGACATACCCCCATGCCAGTGTACAGAAAGCTGCTAGACGACAGAGAAATCCCAACGACGTCCCAGCCCGCTATAACAATATTAGTATTGGGCTCATCATGTAAGAGGTATTTGGTATTTACCTTCTTGGGCCTTAGGAATCATCCATGCAAGTGTATGCGCAACACCCTCAAGCACAACGATACGGCCCAGCCACCGATGGAGCAAGTTCCAGGTATCGAAGGGGACATGCAGCATCTCGATAAGAGGGTTGTTACGGCCAGCCATAAGAACAAGGGGAATCAAGTTAACGGTGGCCATTGTACCTGTCCGGTTGCGAATGATACCCGACAGAGTATCTTCATCTGATGCGTAAGGCGTAGTCACCACACAGAGGATGACGTTCATGGCAACCACTCCGAAGACTAGAATACCGTGGAATCGGCTGGGAAGCGTGCCCATGTTGATGGCGGTGGAAAGTTGGAACTCGCGGTTGTGACGGACGCCGAATAACGGGGCATAAATCAAGTGCTCCTTGAACCAGGAGAAGGTACCATGAGCAGGTACGAAATATCGCTGTTTGTCATCGGTAAAGCTTGACAATCGTCGCAGATGGCCGGAGAATCGGAAGACGAGGGTCCATACCAGCATGGCCGCAGCCGCACAGCCAAGGGCGAGGATACAGTACCGAGCCAGATCATCATTCACTGCTTCATACCACAAATCTAAGGCGGACTTTGGTTTACCACCTCGTTTTTCAATTTCGGCTGCACTGCTCAACCCCGCGAGGGATAGAGCGAGAAGAAGGCGGAACATAATGTCGTATCGCAGATAGATCCGGTTCAAAGCCTAGCGGTAGGTTCTATATTTTGCTTTTTTGGTTTGCAAGACCAGCTTGCGTGGGGACGAACAGGTGGTGCACGAAGGATGTGCTACCAGGTCCCAAAAAGGAATGGAAGGATTGAGTTGGAAATTGTTGGAAATATGATCCAGGCTTGAACAACACCAGGTTGTTCGGCAATTGATGGTGAGCGCAAATGCTGTCGGAAGACGTGTTGATGGTTGCTGGTATCGGAGAAGGTCTCCTAGGCTGAACTGGTCGGTCGGAGTGAATAACTCGCAAGAACGGGCATCGACTGGAATACGGCTTTCCAAGTTAAAAAATTTCGCTCAGCAACAAGCCAAAGAATGTTAGCTCGGCCTCAATATTCTCCAGAGGCTTTTCTTGTTGGCGGGCAACGAAAAGAATGCTAGTGACCCAGTCACTGCTTGTAGAAAAAGGATAGACAAAAAAAGTGGTTGGTTCTAGCCCACCACTTGAATGACTATTGTCAATGAAAGAAAGTGCGACAAAAAATGAAAGACACAGGACAATGGGAATGTCGCGGTAGGAAGAGAAAAAAGAAGAAAGCAGAGACAAGCTCTTACAAGGGGAAGAAGAAAATGACAGTCTATTTTTTTCCCTGCGTCCACTCTTCCTGAAGGGTGGGGAGTAATGAGACAGCCAAGTACGTACGGCGCCGGGACCAGCGCGGCGGAATAAGTAGAATCAAGCAAGGCTGGGCCGACTGGCGTTTGTACGAATCGTAACTTCGTAAGTATCATATCGTCATGGAATTGATCATACTCTGAACTGTGTCGCAGGAGGAGGGGTTTTGGCGCTGCTCTCAAACTCCTCCGATCTGAGGAATGTCCATCCGTACCGATGAGAGGCCATATTCCAAGGGAAACCCAGGGCCGACTCAGGTCGGCAAATCCTAGATGGGGGATCATCAGATCGAATCAGGGGTAGGGAACGACCCGTTCGAGCGGCACTGCTAGTGCTGTCATCCTCAGTATTGTAACATGCGACATGCGACAGGTCGAGGGAGATCTTGGCGCTCGCAGCGGCGGGCCACAATGGACCACAATGGGCAGATGTGACTGGATCATACTGAAACACCCAGGGAACGGCCAGAAAGGAACAAGAGTCCATAGACGCCAGGTAGAAACTTGCGCCGATCCTAGTCAGCACGACGGATTGTTTGAGAATCGCCCTTGCTTCATTCGTAGACCAATCCGTTAGATGATAGTGGGGAAAGGGGGAGGCAAAGTGCGGAGGAGCTTGCCAATGGTGGATTCGCGGATGACCTTTCCATTGGACCATTCGGTGTGATCTTGTGTAGCCGGTGTTTGATGTTTGGTGTTTGGTGTGTGATGTGTGGGCACTGTAGGATTTAGCGCCCATCGCTAGACGATTCCATCACAGCGACAAAACAGCCTCGATTCTTCACAAACGTGAAACGCAGCAGGCAGAACCAAGCCGCCGTGCACACATGTCGATATCTCTTATCAACCCAAGACCAAAATTGCTGGTGGCTTGCGCGTGTCATTTGGAAGAACTCAGGCTTAAAGATCTTGGCACTTCATCTATGTCAGACCTTTAATCTCCCCAGCTCCATCACAAAAAAACCCCCATGCCCGCCATGTGGATAGTGTATTTAACCCACGAATAGAGCCGGCACCCACATCGCAGGCGGCTGAAACAATAGTAGATTGGCCGATAAGTATTTCCGGTGCCATTCTTTCCCTTGCTGACACTATAGAACAAATGCCATTGCCGAATCCAGTGTATGCGCCGATGGCTGATCCTGCATCCCGCAGATAGAATGGCATCGTCAACAAAAGAGAGCGTCTAGACGATTCGAACCCCCTCAGAAGTATTTTGACGGGTGTCACCCAGTAACCTTAGATCCGAAACTTACAGGGGATTGTTGACCCTAAGCATCAAACACAAGAGGGATCCAGAGAGATCCACAGCCATGAGCATGAGCAAGTAAACGGTATGCATGAGCAATTCAACAAATACAAGAGGTTAAAACAAAACACGAATGCAATCTAACGCCAATCATGGCCCAAGGGTATAATATCATAACAGGTCCCAAACACCGATTTTCCCCCAAGAAAGCTGAACCCCGCTATATCCACCGTTTCCTTGGAAAATCGAGCCGAGCAATCTCGACCACGCTCGGTCGAGCTCGGGTGATCCATTCTCCAAGATCACCTCAATTTACAGAAAGGTCCGTCCGCAATGTAAGACTTGATGGTCAACGTGAACCATGGATAGACAGTAGACCCTGAAAAGCAGTCAAACTTATCGAGTCAGTAAAGATTGGACCTTATTCCATTCTGAGCAAGCCCACGCGTGCTCATAGAAAGCTAAGCTCGTCATCGCTTTCATCGGAACAGGCAATGACCGTTCTCAAGCTCCGAGTAGGAACTTCGGGTACGGTCATTTTGGATACACCAGGAAGTTCTCGTCGCCCGGGCCTTCGTCGCTCCATTGTTCGGTGGACCTGCATCTGGACGGGTTCCGGAACAGGCCGTGGAGGCTCTTCGTTTGGTGCGCTCCCTCTTTGATTAATGATCACGACCTCGACCTTGTTTCTGGAGCTTATCCTCGTGGGGGCCAACCGATTGCCCTGGTGGTGATCGGTCATTTCACGCAAGATACGACGACGTGAGGGCTCCCGCTGCGAAACCGAGGACCGAGTCACAGTACTAGGAGCATCCCTGCTGGCTTCGGAATTTTCTATGATCACCGGGTCTGGTCGCCGACGTTTAGCTGGGCGAGTCGGCGACGATTCTGTCACCGCAATACTCCGTTTTACCCCAATAGAGGTGGACTCCGCCGATGTAGGGGAAGAAGTCAAGCTTGAAGCGGTCCTCACAGAGTTTTCTGAATCGGAAAAGCTGCTGTCGGTTGAGTAGGGAATGTATGGAAGTGGCTTCGCAGTCATTGAGTTGCGTCCTCTGATCACTTTAGGTACTGGGTTTGGTTTGGCTGCGGGGGTTCGGACTACCCATTCGCCAATGCTTTCTTCCCATCGATATCCTCTACTCTGATTTTGTACTTCTAGTTGATCCGAAGTATCGGGACTTGCTTTTTTTCCGTTGTGGAGAGCAATGACCGTTTCTTGAATCTCGATTGCCCACAGGTGGTCATCTGGATCATCGGTTCCTTCCGCAAAGTGCATGGCGGTTTCCACAGCGACTTGGCCGAGGAGTGCTGAAAGGTAAGGCAGCTTTCCCAAGTGAGGCATTCGAGAGACCATGCGGCGGACATCCCTACCCATGTCGGGGTCGTCACCTGAAGGAGCACCGCCAAAACAGCGAAAGGACTGTTGGACGAGTAATGCTAGTTCCTTGACAGAATCAGATCGGCTAGACAAGTATTCGCAAAGGCCCTCAAGACTAGGCGCTGGTGGGATCATATACTCGTCGTCGTTTTCGAGAATCGCGTCGTTACAGTGTAAAAGGCAATCTGCCATTATAATGCAACCCCGCCTGAATAATTGATGTGACGTGACTGCTGTCGGCTTTTGAAGTGGGTTCTGTTCCATGTCCCTCTCCACCATATAACAAGTACGGTTGATAATATGGCCGGCCTTGGTTCCGTCCACTTCTGCCCAATCGTCGAGTGCACGAGACCGTGATATGTGTATACCGCATAGTGCTGATAAAAGACTTGTGATATGGTTGCTGAATGCATCTTCTACAGACACCGGGCATGGGTTTACCATGTCGGGCCTGCCTGCTTGTCCTATGGATGAAGCCCGAGTGGCTCTTACTCGGCCTTTATCAGAGAGAGATCTTGTAGGCTGCGTGAAGCAAGCTGCCAATTGTACATCACTTGAAGATACCAAAACGGCCTCAATCAATCGTGAGGCAAAAGCACAGTCATTGTCTTCTTTAGAGAAAGATATTGTGGCTCGGGTCATCCAGCTCGTCCACAATTTAGTTGACATCCATTGTGGAGGCAGAATGCCTTGTTTCAGAAGTTTTGTTAGCTCATCAAAGATATATGAGCGATGCGCAGGGCCGTAAGACGCGTATTTGCGCAGTAACCGTAAAGGATCTCCAGATACGCTGCAGTCGACGGGAGGGTTGAGGGCGTGAGGGAAAGGGTAGGTATTGCACGTGGAGAGAAAAGTCGTCAGAAGGGCCTCGCATGCATCTGGTTCGTGATATCGGCATTTTTCTATCAGAGCACAGGAAATGGCATCTGTAATCCATTTGTTGTAAATCATCCTGGAAATCAGATATATGCCCTGAGCCCGAACAGCTTCACGTAGTGGCCTCCATCCTCTGCCATGGGGGGCATAAAACGACTCGAGTTCAGTGAAATACGCGCCGGTCATATCATCGTCCTTGTCATCTTCCATCTCATTCTGCAGTTCCTGCTCCTTTGCAATGAACTCCGGCAGACGTCGTGCAACCATGGACATCAACGAGCGCGCACCTCGTTCAGTCTTTTTCTTTGCCCCACTTGGCGCTTCTTTGTGAAGTCTGGTATTGCAAAGGAAGTTCTGAAGAACACGGTCCAGATTGTTTGCGATGTCGGCGAATCCTGTATCTCCTGACTGATCGAGCAGCTCCTGCCATGGACTCTTCTGGAGTTTGTATCTATCACGGAAAGCTTCAATTTGACCCTGAGATTTCCTGGTCTTAGGTTGTTCTGCAGAGCCCTGCGATTGTGCACTCGGTGGTGCCTCCCATCTCTTCCCAGTGATTAAGGGCGTCGCCAACTCAATTGCGCCGGGCAGGGTGCGACTTGCTTCCGGGCTGTGCACTGAAATACGCGTTCTTCTCCTTGCAGTCTTTGCACCTCGGTTCGAGAATTTATGTCTGACACGTCGTTGATCGGGCTGCTTCCCGGGTATCCAGACTGGGTCGTCTTCGTCTGCGTCTGATCCGAGAATACTACCATGGTCGGGCACAGTTTCAAGCCGATTTGGCATATGCGTGATGTTGATATGATTATTCACTGTATCCTCAAATTTCGATTCGGCGGCGATTATTGCCAGCGTCTCCTGATGTTTCTCAAGTCGACGATAAATTGAGGTCAGAGGGCGTAAGATGCGGTTTGCCCACTTGGCTGTCGCTTGTAGGTCGTCCATCTGCGGCATCGGGAGAAATATTATGGGCAAATGCTAGATCCGCGATTCAAACGTTAGATATGCAACAAGAGGGTTTAGAGCGCATCCGACTGTACTGCAAGAATAGGGTGGCTCAGCACGACTGCTGCTGCGAAGGTGCATAATCACCAAACGCGGTATCCAAGCATAGCTATTGATTGACGACGAAAGTGTCCATGGGAAAAAGATACCATAAGATGTACACTAAGTAGGTCCAAATAAGAGGCGCGATAAAATGCGATGCAAGGTGAGTGCAGGGAGATCGGAGGAGGCGGCAGAACAAAGTAAACAAGGGTGGGTCCCAATGCGGTCAAGCGGCGAGAGGCCGACTCCTCCGGGCCGCCTTGGCCTCTGACTACTGACTACTAGAGTAGAAGGTTCTGTGAAAGATACCAGTGATTTAAATCATGCATCAACGACCCCACTCACATTATCATATGCAAAATAAACTCGTAAGTATATAGACCTTCCATCATCATCATCCATCCACACCAAGGATTTGGGCCATATAGTTCAACCGAGTCCCTGAACTTCATCCCGCGCAGTGACCCAGGACAAAATCAACAGATCGAGAAAACATGAAACAAAAGATTTGAAGAGAGGAGAGAGATCTAAAAATAGTAAAACACTTTTCCGCTCAAGCTGGACCCCAGTCCCAACAGGAAACAAAATCATGGAGTATTTGATTGTTAAGACAAGATATGGCAAAAAAGAAGCCCGTAATTGACGGATCAAAATCCAATCAAGCTGAAAATAAAAAAGGAAATTTTAAGCCTTAGACTGCTTAGAGCCACGGAGCTTGGGGTTGGCAGTGCGCTTCTTCTGCTTGGTGCGCGAAGAACCGGCCTCACCACCCTCGATGAACTTCACCAGCTCGTCGATGCTGCGGTTTTGCATGTTGGGGTCAGCGGCGCCAGCGCCAGCGGTCTCAGGAGCAGTCTGGCCGACCTGAGGCTGGACACGAGTGCCCATGGTAGAGACACGGGGGTTGATGTTGACACGGCGCAGGCGGCGTGCCTGGATGTCCTTGGCGTGCTTGGCGATAGAGACAGCGTTCTGGGTAAGCTGCTCGAGCCAGGTCTCAGCCTCCTTGGTGTTGCGGTCCTCGGGACCGAGCTGAGCGAGGAAGATGTTGTAGGCCTCCCGCATCTTGCCAACAGCAGCCTTGGAGTCCTGGTCCAGGGCCAGAGCCTGGGCCAGCTGGAAGAGGATGGTGGCGGTATTGATAGACTCCTTGCCGAACAGATTCTCGCAGACGGTGAGCGAGGCCTCGAACCACTTGCGAGAGTCAGCATACTGCTTCAAGTGCTGCAGCATCACAGCGGCGTTGTTCATGGTGGTAATAGAATCGGGGTGGCTAGCACCGTAGATAATCTTCCAGAGATCCATAGCGTGCTTGATATATACCAGGGCAGTCTTGGTGTTGCCAGAGGCATGTTCGAACAGACTCAGGTTGAGGTAGGCAAGGATAGTGTCAGCAGAGTCGACACCAAGAGTGCGCTCCGTGACGATGACAGCCTTGCGGGCCAGCTCAACAGCAGCCTCCTTCTCGTCGGTCTGGTAGTAGAGCATGGAAAGCTGGTGATACAGCTTGGCAACCTCGGGGTGGAGGATACCGTAGATCTGCTCGTGCAGAGAAAGGGATTCCAGAATGAGCTCCTGGCCCAGTTGCTTCTGGTTCTGCATAAGAGAGATACGGCCAGCCTCAAGGGCCTCCTCTGCCAGAGCACTACGGGGCGAGGCATCCTTAACAAGAGGCACGATGTTCAGAATATCATCCGCAGAGATGGACAAGGCAGGCTTGGTCTCAACAGGAGCACGGCTAGGGGACTTGTTGTCGCCACCCTTCTTCTTCTTCTTGTTCTTGCTGCCGTCATCGTGGCCATTTCCGTTGGCGGCGGGGACGGGGACCGGAGCCTCCTTCACTTGGTCCTTGGTGAAAGCGAACTCGCGGGCACCGAGCTGGAGACCCAGCTTGATGGAGATATCACGCAGAACCTGCATGTGGCGAAGGGTGTTCGCCCAGCTCTTGTCCAAGGAGAATCGGTAACGGATAGTGACCTGCTTCTCGATCTCAGCGCGGAGAGAGGCGGGAGTGACCTTCTCGAAGGAGAGGTCACCCTCAGGGTAAACCTCACGCAACGACTCGTCAATTTCAGCGCGAGGAGCGGCGTTGACGTCGGCACCGAGCAAGCAGTTCAGCAGGTGCGCGATGCAGGGAGCGACAAATGGAGCCGGCACGTTGCGCAGGTACTTGTGAGAGACATGCTTGAAAGCACGAGCAACCATCTCCTGGATCACAAGGGTGGATAGAGCCGCAAGGCGAGGGCCCTTCTCGCTGGACAGCTCAGCCAGCTTACCCAAGTAGCGCATGTTGATACCACGCTTGTGCAGGAGCTGGGTCAGGGATTGGCCATCCATAGGGAAGCCAACGTCACCATCGTGCAGGTCCTTAACCAGATCAGGAATGATCTTGGAGCGCAGGTGGTCGCATGCACTGCGGACCTCCTTCTCGTCTTCAGCCCACTGCTCCTTCTCCTCCTTAGTCTGGGGAACCTGGCCGCTGAAGACATCGGGGTTGAGCGAAAGCTGGAATCCGGAGATGTCAACACGCTCCTGGTCCGCAGACTCCTCGGGCTTCTCCTCGGCGTCCTCTTCGGTCTTGCTGTCGGCCTTTTCGGCACGGCGGCGCTCGACCTCAGCCTTCACATACTCGCTCATCTTGAGGCGCCAGTATGACTCAACGAGTTCCAAACGCAAAACTGACATACGATGAGGGTAGACATCGCTGCCGTCTTCCTCTTGCCAGGTGGCGTCCATGGGGGCCACGCGGTAAAGGTCGAGGACATACTTGCGTCCATCAGTGCCCAAAAGACCCTTTGTCTCAACACTGCCCTCGAGGTCATGGCGCTTGCCATCCTTGTCCCAAACTGGGTGTTGCTTAACCCGAAGAGCTTTGGAAAGCTTCTCGAAAACGGGCTTGAAGTCAGGGTGGGTAGCCACAACCTCCTTGCCCTCAACACCACCGTAGTCGATCTGGTGCTCACCCGGCTCACGCTGCTTGAAAATACCAGGGACGATACTCTGTCCAACAATACGCTTGCCAAGGTAGTCAACAACTATGGTACCAGGGGTGAACAGACCCTGAATATCGAGCTGGTTCACGGCCTTGATACCCAGAACATCCTTGCCAACAGCAACGCGGGCGGCCTCGTCGCCACCCTCGGAGGTGAAAGTACCAACACCGTCAGCACCGAAGGAGTAGAAGATGTTGTTATAGACGAAGATCTGGGCCTCACGGGCCTCGGTAGGGTTCAGAGGAGCAACCTCGCCACGAGCAACCAGAACAGCACCACGGGCAGCAGCCTCATTATAATCAGCAAACAGCTTCGAGGTCAGACGCTCGCGGAAGACACGGTCCTGGACAGTCTCGCGAGGCAGCTCGCGGGTAGTTTGGAACTCCTCGTTCCAGTCACGCAGGGTCTCGGCGTTGTCCACGCCAGAGATCAGGTAACTCTCTTGAGAGCGGGTAAGGTCGGGCTGGTGAGCGTTCTGACTAGATGACACCGGGGCGACGAGCCATGGGCTGTTGGGGATGGCGTTCTGGAAGGGGAAGGTGGTCAGGAGGTCCTTCTGGTTGTTGGACTCCTGGAGGGCCTCGAAGGAAGTATTGAAAGAGGCGGACAACTGGGAGATCAAAGTAAGGAGAGAGTGGGCGCTGCCCTTGATTCCCTTGGGCATGGGCTTAGGGAAAGGATCGAATCTGGTGTTGGAGTTCTTGTTGACGAAGAATCCCGACACGTGCGCAGTAATCTGAAACTGCTCGCCCTCGTTGGTGAGGACCTGGAGGTAGAGCAGGTGCCCCTTCTGGCGGAGGTGGTAGGGCACCGGGTTCCATGCCGACAGCGAGATAGACTTGACAGTCTTCGGCAGAGGCGATTCGGGCTTGGGCAGAATGGTCTGCAGCGATGAGGGTCCAGTCAGGTCGTACTTGAGCAGCGAGTGGTCCTTCTCGGACTCGACTGCGAGGGCAGCCTCAGCAGAGATATCGTCATGCAGCGAGAGGCCGGCAGAGATACCATGTAGGCTGTCCACCCGGTCGCCCGCCGCACCGACAAGCTCCCTCAATCGCACAACATGCATGCGGGCCTCCTTCTCGGTGTAGGGATCCTCCACCAGAGTGATTTCGGAATCCGCCTGCAGGTCCGGCACCTCGGACAGCTCAATGAAGTCGTTGATGCGAGTTCCGTTGAATTCGAGGTGGAAGCATGTGTACTGGAAGGTGCCAGGCAGCTCGACGATAGATTGGCGGACATCTTGAACCTGTTCTTGGCTGGACACCTATGAAAGAAGAAAAAAACCACGGTGTCAGACGTCAATTTGCATCAACCCCTAGGGGAGAAACACTTACCATGACCTGAATCTTGTAAGGCTCATGGGGCAGCTTCACGGAGATCTGGAAAAGGCCTTGACACGAGTCAGAAAACCACAGCATCGGTTCGTCTCAAAATTGTGCCACATACCACCAGCATTATCATCCTCCACACCCTCGGGGTGGTCGCCATTGGTCTGGTCCTGGGAAGTCGGGGGAACCTCTATAAGATGGTTAGAAAAGTGCATCCGGAATTGCGGTCTGCCACGTTGTATGCTGCAATCCGATGTATCGTGTGACCGGGTCAGGGAAGGCTTCGAGGAGCGGGCGGACCTTTCGAGTGCTCCAACTCTCCATTGGATTGGGCCATTATGTCTGATTGATTATAAAAGATAGCTGTTGCAAAGTCAATTTGCGACAGACAGCTATCTCACGCGCGATGCGTAGTTGAGACGAATGGTGTCGGTGAGTGGGAAAAGAGGTGAGGACCGGGGATTGAGAAAAGGAAAAAAAGGTCGCTATAGTACAAAGAGGAAGCAGGGAAAATGAATCGAAAGTATCCAAAGCCCCCGTACCCCAGAGAATTGATGCAAATAGGAAAATCGTGTGGTGAAGAACTGAAGCGGTAGAACGGAGAAAATTTCGCGGGATGCGGCATACCCTCGGAAGTGCTCGGGCGGTGGGTTCGGGGAAGCCACCGCGGAGAGAATCTCCACAGATGTGTCATAACTCGGAATACTACTAGTAGTACAGAGTACGGAGTAGGGAGGAGGAAGTAGTGTAATAGTAATGGTAATAGTAATAGTAATGCAGTGATATTAGTCTCAAGTTAGACGAAATGGGTGTTACGGATTAATTCGGCAATGTTATTGCGATATCAGGTGTATCCTACGGTAGGAGGGAACAGTAGTAGGGAGTCTGACCGGGGGTTATGTTTCTTTATTTTTGTACAAGTAGTAGTTCTAGTCAGAGTACTCAGTCTAAGTGCAAAGGTAGGTTCTAGTCTGAGTTGACCTCGTACTACCAGTACGGCGTTGTTTCAACATCACGGGACTTCACCGGGTAGCTTCCCGACTCCAAGAGGTCAACTGTTGATAGGTAGTACGTACTAGGTATCCTATAGTACTGGTACTAGCATTACCAATGGGCTATATGTACTAGTAGTAGTCTTTTGATCAACAGTCCATAGGGCTAGGGATTTAGAATCCACTACTTTCCCTGGATATTTGGTCCTACTTATCATATATATTTTCAATCCACCAGGGCACTAAGCATACAATGTTCCCTGGTACTATTGTCCTCATTTCCAACAATAGTAGTAACCTTGTACTCCAGGGCTAACAGCCCCTCAGGTACTACTACCACTACAACATCTCGCACTAGTACCCTCATCTGGGAATGCAAACGCCCCCGAATACTACTACTAGTACTGGTAGTACTCCTCCACGTCACAGCTGAGCAACACGACCGCCAAGCCTATGAGAGCCCTGGATCGATCGAGGCTGGGGACTCCACCGCGACTAAGCCACAACATCTTCTCCCTTCTTCTCCTTCTCTTTCCCTTTCCCTATACCTTCCCATCATTCATTCCTTTTCATTTTTATCAAATTTGGTGCCTTTCGCACCCCTTTTTGGGTCATCTACCCGTCCATTCTCTTCCCCCAACACGTTCAAGTTACCCTCTGGTGGTGTGGCGCCCGAACGCATTTAGTGTCTTAGCTGGGAGATCGCCAAACCCCTGGTACGACTGTTACGAGAGGTGCATTGATCGACCTGACTTGCATCCTTTAACGGCTTTGCATCACTGAAAATTAAAATAAACTGAAACCAATAAAAAAAAAAAGTTGAAAAATTTGAAGTCTCTTTGGCAACCTTTCTTGATTGAAAGTCCAGACTTGGTGTATTCCCACCTAGCCACTGTTAAGACTTACAGCCAAGATGCTTTGGAATAGGCTCACGCAACCTCTGTCTCGCACTGCCAGGCAGGGTCTACCGAGGCCTTTTAGGTCTTCAACAAGATCTGTTCCACTTACAGTCCGCCGATTCAATTCATCGGATCCAAAGAACACAGGCCAATACAACCCGGACCCGACGGATCAGAATGACTCGGAAGAAGATCGTGGTCAGGGCCGTAAAAATGATGACCCTACCCTGAAATCAACGATTTTGAAGATGCTCGAGACAGCAGCCACAACTGCCGCGTCTATCGCCATCCTTGGGTACGTTTCCAATTTGCCCTGAATGATGGTAGTCTTGAACTAACTCTCTCTCTCCCCCTCTCCCTCAGTGCTGCGGGTTACTCGTACCATCAGTACTACAAGTACTTGATCCTGGATAAGATGGATAACGCTTTCAATCCGGGCGACCCTGCCCTCGAAGTTGCAGGTGTTGTATCTGGAAAGCACCAGTATGCTGGCGAGGAGCATTGGGTTGTACGAGATGAGCAAATGCGCATTGATGATATTATCGCTGGCCGACGTCGTGGCCATTACTATCTAGTCATCGGTGAAAAGGGCACCGGAAAGACCTCCATGCTTCTTGAGTCAATGCGCAAGATCAACGGCGATGGATGCGCCATGTTTGAGGCTCATGCCGACCTCGAAATATTTCGCATTCGACTGGGCAAGGCTCTCGACTACGAATTCCATGAAGAGTATGTCCTAGTCCACCATGCTTCTCTCCATGACTCTTTCTAATGCATTGCACAGCTACATTGGAAGCTTGTTCAGTATTCGCGGCCCGCGCGATACCACAGCCCTGCTGGACATTGAGCGAGCATTCAACAAATTGGAGAAAGTTGCTCTGACCAGAAGAAAGCAGGGCTCTTCACCTTTAGTCCTCATCGTTAACAGCACTCACTTGGTTCGGGATGACCATGACGGCCAGGATTTGCTTGAAATGATCCAACAGCGGGCCGAGCAATGGGCTGCCAGCGGCCTTGTCACAACGAGTAAGTCCCAAGACCGTTTAATCTATGCTAGGAGGCAACAAATACTCATCTCTTCCAACAGTCCTCAACAGCGACGATTACTGGGTATACGAGCGTCTCAAGCGTTATGCAACCCGAATGGAGGTCATTCCTGTCACCGATCTGCCCAAGGACAAGGCCATGACTGCTCTGAAAAGGTACCGCAATCGGTTCTACGGCGAGAACCTACCATCCAAGACCCTGGAGGAAGTTTACGATAAGGTGGGCGGTCGTCTCTCTTTTCTGAATCGAGTAGCCAAATCTCCGGACATCGTCAAGACTTGTAATGAGATTTGCCGGGCCGAAAAAACTTGGGTACTCAACAAGTGCTGGATCCTTGGAATGGAGATGGATGATGATGTGATGGACGAGCAAAAGTATTCGGTAAGTCGCTATCCTGGCGGAACCATCAACTTAGGAGGAGATCATAGTGGTATACTAATATTGCATCCAGTCCGCTGCCATGGTCCTGGCCAAGGCATTGGTGGATCGTGAGAAGGAGATGGAAAACACCTACGACCCCGAGAGAGGTCACATCTTGCCCGAGATTCCTCTCCACGAAGCGCGCGAAATTATGACGCGCGCCGACTTCATTCAAGCCTATGATCACGATAATATCTTTACCATCGATTCGCGTGCGATGGTACGCGCCGATTCCGTTCCTATGCAGCTCGCATTCCGAGAGATTTGCGCTGTTGAAGGATTCGACGAACATCTGGAAGGCACCTTGCAACGTATAGGTGACATCGAGAGTCTCGGCCGCACCAGAGAGCTTACCATTAAGGATCTCTGGAATCAAGGCAAATACCGCATTGTTGTGCGGGATAACAGAGGCAACGAGAGCGGAACAGTAGAATTCGCTGTGGCCGAGAGCGAGAAAGAAGAGGAGGATTAAGTCGAATTGACCGGGGCAACCTTTCTATGTAATTTTTTTCAGACACGGTTAAACAAATTTTTACCCAGTTTTTTGGTTTCGGATGTAAAATCGTAGTTGGCCTTGAAATTGGCGGACGCGACCTTGGAAGCTTCAAGTAGTGACATCATCACGCACTCACACCGCATTCCACGCCTGCCTTTTTCCTCCGTCGCTGCGTGCCACTTCACTTTCCTGCAGTTACTGCTTGCCATTGACAGTCTGAAGCTCGCTATGGCTCCGAAAAAGAGAACTTCGTCGGTAAACGATCTCGCAGTGCCCGCCTCTCAAGTGCGCGACCCCAAAGATGCCCTGACAGCAATGGCTCCTTCGCCGTCGTTGGCGCGCATCCCCTCACCAGCTCGCTTTGCCCTGGTCGTCTTTAGCAGCTTGGTCATGAGCTCCGTCCTATTTACCTTGACTGCAGACGTCACGCAGGGTGAGCTTGGTCTTGTCAGCAAACACCTAGAGGAATGGTGGGAAGTGGGGGGACTCGTGGCATGGAAAGCGGCAGAGGTCGGATTGGCCTGGGTTCTTGGTTTCGACAGTACGTGAATCATTCTTGACTTTGGATAGACACAGCAGGGGAAGTTGCAGCTTCTCAGTGTAAGGATTCGAGCTGACTGGAGATTTGCGATCGTAGGCTGGGATGTCGCATCATTCCTATACCTAACCCACCAACCCACCTTCTCGCTCCTCTCTTTCTTCTATGGCGTGCGACCAACTTCGACTCTCGCCTCATATTTGATCACAATTCTTTCAACTGTCGTCCCATTTGCGTTCCTACGTCGACCCACTTCGGTTCACGATCTCTCCCATGCGCCGTCTGGTGCAGTGGCCAACCGAGCTATCCTACAGGATACCCCCACCACTATCTATACCATCCTCGCCGCGACTTCGATATTTAGTGTTGTGTTATATGGTAGCTATGCGTCGTGGCTTCCTGCCCAGCTCGTCGTGCACTTCGAAAGTCTTCCGGATATCAGCGCCGCCCACGCTGGCCCTGCCGGTTTCCCCGCTCTTTTCTTGACGCTCATCCCCTCCGGCTATGCCGTGCGTGACTTTTTGTTCGTCAGCTCAACTGGCCACACTGAGAAGACCACCGAGGAAGAACATCCCACAAACCGCGAGGACGAGTACTTGCTTGTGGATTTCTACCGCAAGACCTGGGGTCAACTGTCTACCAAGACTCGTATCCTTGTCTCCCGAACCCTCATTCTTGCGACCAGCGTTTTGCTCAACACCACTGTGCAAATTGCCGGTACAATCCAGGAAGTCTCCATTCAAGGTGCGGCTACCTGGGGCAGTGTCTGGGCTGTATCCGCTTTGGTTATTGGTGCTACCTTTGGTTGGATCGAAGCCGTGGATGGCGTATGATTTGTGATGTTATAAGCCTGCAAGGTGCTGATGCCTCTTTCAAATGGCAACTGGAGTGGAACACGATTTGATTATGCTTAAGTTTTAATCCTACTACTTGGCGTTTTGAATAGATTCGTCGGAAGTGTTTACGGAGGCTATCCCCTCTACTTTATGTTGAGACGGTCACCTATTTTTACCCATATTGGACCTTCTTTGTGTCTTGCGCTTATCTTTATATCATGTTATTGTAGTTTTCAATCCGATACCTTACTTTATCTCGTGTAGTCTTTCTTGGCTGGAAAACTTAACGGTCGTCATCATCATCTTTAACAAGCTGAAAGCCCTTATATACTTGGTGCGTGATGCATCTATCTGCGTAACGGGTATTTGAAACAAACGCGAAAGGACTCGGATATAAAAAGTGAAGTAAGAACGAGACCCCCCTAAACGCCATGCTTCTGCTCGAAGGAATTGTTCAGCTCGACCTCATCAACAGAGGAAGCACCCCGCTTGTTCGAAGAATTCCGGTTTTGAGGAAGAAGCCAACCGGGGTGAAGAATGTTGAAGATCGCGACAGCAACAATCATCATAGCACCGTCCAGTGCAATAAAATAGCTTTCGTGGGTAATCAGATAGCCTGACCAACCCTGGGACAACTCGATCGTACGATATATGCTTCTGATATAGATGCAAACCACGGAGAGGATCGTCGCGGCGAAAAGAGGGATAGCGGAGCCGGTCAAGTTCTGCAGGAGACGGAGACGTATACAGCGACGGACGAAATCTGCAGCGCAAATAACGAAGATGGTTATGGAAAATAGTTGAAAGACGATACCGGCCACCATGGTGTGGGTTCCAGGGGCCGTGTTGCCGCCGATTTTACCTGCTTGGCCAGAGGCCAAGCCACCACCAATTGCTTGGACGACAAGCGATATCACATCACAGGTGCAGAAGATCCAGAGATATAGATTTGGTCGGAGGATGGAGGACTCGGGGCCTAGGATTTGAATGAACCGGCCGAGGATGACATAGATACCAGCGGTAAAGAATGTTGGAGCTGGAAGCATTCGAGTTAGTAGGGTTGGAAAGGTAGTAAGTAGTTCTACCATTACGACTCACCGATAATTAGGGTGGAAATTTGCATCAGGAACGCCGTCGAGTTGTATGGACACTCAGCGGACCAAGTTCGACCGGCCCATCCGATGACTTCCACAAGGCATCCGATGCTGAAGACAGATGCCCACCATGTTCGCGTCCAGCAGAACTGAGCCGTGTGTAAGATCATCGATACTCCGAAAAGAACGCAATAGGCGATTCCGGCTCCAAGGGTTGGGACATATCCGTAGGACGTGCCAATTCCTTCAATTTTGGCATGACAACCAATGAACAGGTTCTGTCTGTCCATGGTATAGTTACTCGGTCAAGCTTATGACGAGAGCCTCGATGGAGTTATATGTCGGCGAAAAGAATATGAGGTAACAGTAATGTGCGAGTTATTGCCAGTGTTATTATGAAAAGGACGTGATGCTTCGGATACCGGCGGATAGCCGTTTGTTTCGTCGTTCGTTTCCAGAGTGCAGCAATGGACTCAAAATTGGGAAAGAAAGAAACATCAACAGAGAGAATAAGGCGCAGAGGCGTTGAGAAAGTCACTGCCAGCATTTACCCGGGCAAAGTACTTAACAAAGAGGGTATGTTAGTAGTGTCAAGGCTGAGCGGCGGCGTAAGCCCTAGGTCAGCGAGTGGGCTCATAATCTCATGGAAATGGGCTGTCGCAAGATATTTGACTTGAGGCGCCCTCCACTACAACGGCGCCCGGCCATAAGCCATGCCCAACCGATGGGAAAGCCAATCATGACTCGCGATGACTCGAAAAATTCATGCTCGAGGGCGGATTTATGCACATAATCCCGGCGGAAATAGCACAGAGGGAAAAAATCATTACAAAGTGGGGGTTGAAGTACGAAGGAGTGGATCAGCCACGCCATGCGATATTGAATTTGTGCCCTATCAGATATAGCATCAAAGCACAGGAACCATACGAAAGCCAGATCTGGGTGGGAGTTCGGTCCGAAGAGCAGTTCCGCCGGTGTACACTTCGCCTTGACCTCGCAAGACCATCCCTAACAGGTTTAGCGTAGATGGGGCTCACGGTCCAACTGTCACCGAATCCTCCACGATTCGAGGCGATTGTCTGAGTTCTCCTTGTCCGATTCGATGAACCCCGTGTCCGTGTCCGACTGTAATGTCCGTATCCCGGGAGAGTAATGTGACTAGGCCCATTTCATGCATGTACATGAAATTGGAAGAAGAGGCTCCAGAAATGGGATATTTTAACTTTAGGCTTATCGCCAGTATCGCACGACTTGGGCTTAAGGTCATATCTCTTGGCCTCGCGTTCCACTACTTGCTGACTTATGGCTTGCGGCTACCGCTGGCGTAGTACGCCTTGATTTCCTCGTTTCCATGCGACGGTCATACATGAAATAAAACGAAACTTGGATTTGGAACCGATCGCAAGTACTTTCGAACAGGGCCGTAACCTGCGGATTGATTTGGTCAGATACGCTGTTTAGTAGACCCCTCGGCCTCTCACCAGCGATACTTGCTTGTTCTCATCTCGCAATCCCTTCCAATAGATTCCTCTGGGTTGGGGCAGCGCGCCTTTGGCTATTTAAATGCGGCTAGTCGTACATCTTTACTTATTGTCATTTATCGGCCTTACACTCCAAGACACTTTCGAAGTCGTGTCCACATTTGATTTCATGCAAAAGATCTTGACGCTCAAACCTTTCATATCTTCTTACACAATACGTGACAAGCTTCCCAATACAAAGGATGGAGAATGGGAATACGACACAGAGGAAAACGGAGAAGTTTTTCAGAAACGAGTTGAAGATGCAGTGACGGAAATGAGAGCTTGGGATTGGGGTGCTGCTGGAAATAACTTTGTGGACCTTGCTGAGGCTGTGGTGCGAGACTGTCGGTCTATTCCGCAGCTAACTAGTTGTTGGCGAAACGTAAATATTCCTCTTCCAGTGTAGCCCGGAGTAGAGGGCGGATAAAGCCTTTGTCTGATACAACTTGCGGACTGCAGAGAGGTGATAGTTCTCCGCCTCTTTGGGATAACCCTCAAAGTTTATTTTAACTCCATTTCTAGCGAGCCAATTTAGGAGCTCCTCAATGTTCTCCTCAATGTTCTCCATGTCGGTAGTTGCCTGTTCTATTCTCCAAGGGCGGGCAGACTCGGATATCAATGACCATCTCTTGATCATGGTCCGGATGAAGACGGATGGAGTCACGATAGGGACTATAATCGGACGATTGGCCGAACCTCGCTCTACTAGAGGATACAAAACCTGAAAGGCCACTCACTTCGGATCTCCTCAACACACATCGGCCGGTCAACTCGCAGTAAGAGTGAAAAAGGAAATGGACCCTGCGTCGGGAAATCTCAACTGGCCAGTGCTACCACTGCGAAGAAATTCAACTGCAATTTTTTGCGTCTCGGTTGTGAAGATCAGCTTGTTAGCCATGGTCAGTGAGAACCCGGAACACGCCCGAAGAAGCAGGTCTCTCGCGTCATTCGGATCTGCATCAATGATAACATGAATGTCCTGCAGGGTAGGCCAAATTAGCCAGAGCGATCGTGAGAAACGCTATATAAGAAAGGTGTACCTTTGCCATTCTCGCTCCGCCGGTAAGGGATGTCGCGTATTCGCCAATAAAGCCATGGCGGATATTTGCGCAAGCGAGAGCAGTCGTCGTCTCCTTCGCAGCTAAATCGAGAGCATGGAAAGGATCCGGAGGCCCCTGTTCCTGGGTTTGGTCCATCACTAGGGCGAACTCGTTAGAGTGTGGGCGAGATGGTAATAAGCGCGACCAGTGTCAAATTCTACCGGTTGAAACTACCGATAAACCAGCGACATGAAGTTGTGTTCGCCGGGTTAGTAGAGAGCAAATGGTTGTTAGAGATCCTATATGGTGCTGGTACTAATTGCCAGTGAATGGGAAACACTTAACTGGGGAAGAGCATCCCATAGTGGCTAACCGAACGGCAATATAGCAGCCGCTGGAAAACTCACGAAGGAACGATCAACGATCGTATACATTGGTAATAAATATTATACTACTCGGTATCCTACCCAGTCATATACTCAGTATCCTGAGCTGTTAGGATCAAGCAATTTATACGAAGTGGAATAGCCTCACCGAGGGGATGGCAGAGCCATATTTAATAGTACTAGTAGGTAAAACTATTAATTTTGAGACGCTGCTGCCCTGGCAGTTCTATCTGCGACAGAAAATTAAATTGACAGCATGGAGTTGTGATTGTTGACCTGGTACAACCTTTTTCATCCCGAAATCTAGAAGACCCAATAAAATATCTTAGCTAGTTCTGAATAGACATTGGCGCAAAGAAGACATAAAAAAGTGAAAGAGAAAAGTAAAAATGAAAAGTAAAAAAGAAATAACTCCCCAGAAGCCGGCTATGCGTTTCTTCATTTCTCATTTGATGCTAAATTGTATGACCCACATATTTCGTCTAACTAGCATTGCAGCTTGGCGGAAGTGAATTTGCTTTCGGCTGGTGAGCCCTTTCGTTCTTTTGTGTCTGGGGTGTTGTTTGATCGCAAAACAACGGATGGATGGAAGACATTCATCACTATCATGACCAAGAACATCATTGAGGCGTCAAACACGTAGAGAAAAACTTCATGGCTGATCACATAACCGTTGTTTCCTTGAACGAACTCGACGACACGGTAAATGGATCGAATCAAGATCAACAGACTAACAGTATATAGTGCGAAGAGAAGTCCTCGCCAGTCCCGCGGGATCAACCCACTGGCAACTGAAATTTGGGATTCTTCTGTGGGCGATCGGATAATTCGGCAATTGAAGATGATGGAAGTAATCAAGAAAGCGCCAAAGAAGACAAGTTGGACGCAGAGACCCCCGACAATGATCCACTGGCCTACCACCAGGAGGTTTTCAGATCCACTGCTACTAGTACTCATGACGCCACCACCTAAGGTAAATTAAAGTTAGTTCGATATAATCAATAATTAAGGGGACTTGTATCGTCAGCGCGTACCTGCACCTTGAAGGACGAAGGAGAGCACATCTCCCATGACGAAGATTTTGGTCACGAACCGAACAGGCACATAGCTCAAATGTTCTCCTTTTAGAGATGTGATAATTCTTCCTAGGACCATGTAGATGGATGCCGCATAGAGGGTCGGCGCCAACAGAATAAATAGGGTCTGCATGGCATATAGTGTGGTCGCGGTTGTATGGAAATGAGAGACGGCACGAGCTGCATAGCCGATAATCTGGACTGCGCTTGCAATTAGAACATGATAGGGATGGTGTTATGGCTGAGGACCGCTTTCGGCGTACATATTCCCCCGGCAATAAAAGGGTTGAAGTATTTAGCATGAGCTCGGATTCGTTGGTGAAGGTGGAAGGCCGTGGTTAAGAAAAATAGCGCAGCGAACAACACCGCACCGACCAGGGTAGGGGTATATTGGTAAAGCTCGAAGGTGGAAGGTGCCATGGCTAAAGATGAAAAAGGCTGACTCGGTGGATCTGGAAGTTCTCGAGTTCGGCTGGAATGGCTGAGGTCTGAATTCTAGAGGGTCTGGCAGACAACTCGATACTTAAGTATTTTGGGATGACAACAATTTTGCCCTAACGAAAATCTCAATGAGTAGGTATATTTCCAGGCATCATTAAATGAAGAACCTACTGCAAGAATTGGTTCTATGTTTATCCCGCCTAGTTTAGCTAGTATGTAGTGTGTAGGAAGGTTAAAGTAAGTTTTTAGATTTTAGTCCGAATCCGAGTACGAGTCCGAGGGCTTAGACTTAGCCTCAGCCCGGCCACGACTGCGACATCCCCACTGAATGGGCATGATCTTTATTTTAAGTCCCTGCAGTTGGAAAAGAATTTGAGATAGAAAAGAATGAAAAATGAAAATTTGAAAGTTGGTTTTCTCACCTGCAGTATACGCGAATCTTTACCTGACATCAGGGGAGCGAGTTGTGATAAGATACTTCAAGTTTCAATACAAGCCACCTACCAAATAATCCTGGGGCAGTATGGTGCTAAGCCGAAATATAGTTCGGCAGATAATCGGTTGGAGGTTACAAGTGATTGCTTGTTTCAAAGGTTAGAACGGGTTAATAGGCGGCATGAGGGGTTCTTTTTTGGTTGAAATAGGCTCCATCTTTCTCGCATCCGCTATCAGTGTTCTAGAGCTGCTACATGCTAGCGCAGCATATCCATAATGTAGGGTGGTAGAGGTGGGGACGTCTGGACTACCATATCCAATTAGATCTCATAAAGTCCGAACCCGAGCTCTGTTTCCTCCGCTGGAACAAAATAAGCTTGGCATCCCTCGAATTTTTGAAGATCAACGTAAAATCTGAGTTAAACAAGAAATTCACGGCTATAGCGTTATTTCCAGCCAATTCTTCATTTTGAAATAGGCATCTACATACCCTGAGGCTTAGCGCGTTTGTCGATCTCCAGCCTCGAGCAAGCAATGAAGATCTCGAGCTATGGAGAACGCCAATGTAAGACTCAAACATAAATCTCAAATTGAAAACCTGACCGCTGCACGTTTCTTAATATTGAACGTCCTTGAACTTTCCCCTTGTTCTATCCAATACTATATGTCTGCCTAAATCATTGCTGAATCTTTATAAAACGATTCTCGAATGACTGCAATCATTGCAATCGTTACAATTATTCGCCCACCTCCATCCCCCATATAACGGACTCTGGGTTACATATCTTTCTCTATGGAGATGGAACCTACGCAATGCGAGCTATACCTATATACACCCAGCTTTACTCTGGCATTGGTGGCTATCATCATCTTTTCGGTGTTGACGACGATTCATTTCCTCCGCATGACTAGAGCTGGGACATGGAGCGGTATATACTTTGTCTTTGGAGGCGTCGGTAGGTCCTGAGATCAAAAACATGACACCTAGTACCTAGGGTCGTATGCACTAGAACTAATTTCTAATTATTTACAGCACAAACATCGGGGTATATCGCCCGCTTATTTTCAACACAGAACCCTTGCAATCGAGTCGCCTACGATATCCAATCTGTTTTGCTACTAGTGGGACCAACTTTGATGATGTTCTCCGTCAATTTGGTCATGGCTGAATTTACTCGAGCTCTGAGAGCGGAGAGGTTCTGCTGGGTTCCGGTCAACTTACAGCGGCCACTATACCTCAGTATGAATACAATTTTGGCTCTCATTCAAGGCATTGGAGCTATTATGACTGTCTCGTCTACCAACCTCACGATCATCGCAACCGGAGCTAAAATCGGAATTGCAATGTTTGTAATCCAACTGGTGTTTTGGCTCTTTACTCTCGCAGAGAATACGTATATAACAATACGTTTGCGCCGTGGGCTGTCAGAGACCAGTAAATCGGCATTTCCAACTTGGAAGTATTGGAGCCAACTTTTTGGACTTGCAGTTTCTATCATCGCATTTGGTCGTAATATCATGCGATTGACCATGAATGGTGGGGTCGAATTTCTTGTTGTCAACGAATGGCCGTCATATGCATTTGATGGTTATCAAATGGCGGTAGTTCTGGGGGCGTGGGCAGTCTGGTATTTACCAGGGAAGTGCCGAGATGCATCAGAAATAGTGTCCAATAGTGTGAGTCTCTCTAGACTTCATACCGGATATTCGGAGGATTCCGGGGATTCAACGCAGAGCGGGGCTCAGAGGAGACATGATAGGATGCAGCGAAGAGAAGACAGACTCCGCAGAGGAAGATACGAAGCTTGCTGAAATGTATTTAGCTCTGATCCAATCTAGAGATGCTAGCTCTTTTTTTTTTCTTAACTCGGATTTATCGCCTCTCTCTACGTTCGTTTTTATCGTGCTGAACTAAAATAGACCATACGTGGCTCTAGATTCTTGATCGTATTGGAGAAAGTAGCTATCCATGGACTAGTAATATATTGGTTCTGACTGAAAGGTCTCAGAAGAGCGAAAACTCCATTTGAATAGTTCTATCTGAAAGTAGGCATATCGTAAATCTCATCCGGATCTAGAAATTGTGTTAGCTTGACAGAAAGTTCAAGCTGGATAGAATAGTAGGCCCAAGAACGGCAACTTACCCTCTTGATGTTCAATTATGTACTTCCGGATCTGAACAATATCATGCTGGAACTCAGCATCTAGTTCGTGCTGACGGACACGAACTTTTTCATTGTACTTCCCCGCGCCACGTAAAGCTGCCTGCGCAACATGATAGCGCGAGGTACGATTCACGAGCATCATATCAAAGGGAGTGGTCGTGCTGCCCTCTTCCATGTACCCGGCAATAGAGACTCGTTCAAGTCGGGGCCTACCGAATAGTAGGCCCTTCATTTCAGCTGGGTAGCCATGATAATTAATATGGATGGACCTGTCCTTGGTAAAAAGATTGTCAAATGCCTCCGTTTCTAGGGCATGAGGATGCTGTCCTTCGTTACTAAGGATCATGAGATCAGTCACATTTACCACGCGGACATGCAGGGATGGTATGCGTTGTCTGAGAAGGGCAGCAGCTTGAATAACTTCAAACATGAGCTCAACGCCAATACCCACTAGTACCACATCGGGATCTAGCCCATCTTCTGTGCTACAGAACTTCCAGACAGACGCTCCTGCGCGACAGTGGTTTTCTGCTTCCTCCGGCGTCAGGTATACGGGTGTCGGCTGCTTGGAGCCAATCATCAGATTGACATAATCCTTTGACTTCAAGCAGTGGTGGATTGTTGTGAGGAAAGTATTTGCGTCTGGCGGCAAATAGACGCGAGCAGCCGTATGTTTCAGGTTAAGGACAGAGCCAATGAACGAGGGATTTTGGTGAGAGAATCCGTTATGCTCCTGACGTGTCCAAGTGCTGGTCTCGATATAGTTGATACTGCTGATTGGACAACGCCATTGGGTTTCTTTGGCCTGGTCAGTAGGTTAGCGAGCGAGTCGAAAAGAGAAAAGCATGGCTTGAACTAACCATCTTAGTGAATTTAGCGTATTGCACCATCATAGTGTGAATTATATTGAGGAAACTCTCATATGATGGAAAGATGCTCGTGCGACCAGTCAAGGTATACCCCTGCAGGAAACCCTGACACAAGTGTTCGCTGAGAACCTCAATAACTCGGCCCCCACGTGCATTGGCGAATTCATCCCACTGGAAGTTGCGATTGGTACTCTCAAACACGGCGTCGAGCTTGTTGCTCTCCATCTCGTCAGGGGAGAAGAGTCGAACATTGCGGGGATTCTGGATAAATGTCTCATTGATGAATTTGCCAACTGCTTTCATAGCGCTCTCATCTGACCCCTTTTTGGCACAGAGCTTTTGCCAGTCTGGAAGCTTTGGTGCGATATAACTGTTGTAAGACTCAATTCGCTGGCCTAATTTCTTTGAATTATTGGTTGGGATAACGGATTTGATCTCGTCTACAATGTCACCCATCTCTGTGAAGAGTTCTCGTGGCTGATAACCGGAAAGCCAGCTCTGTAAGAGACGTAGCTGCTCTTTGTCGGTCTTGGCCTTTGGCAATGGTACTTGATGGGAGTGGAAAGAGCCTTCGATAAAGTGACCCTCAAGTTGTTTTGGTCCGGACCACCCCTATAAAAAGGTATCAGTTTTCAAGATCGTCGAAAGCTATTTGGATAAGTCTGTCTACCTTCGGAGTGCGCAAAACAAGCATCGGCCACCTGGGCTTAAGAATTGGCTTGTCGGATCGAGCAGCTTGCTGGATTTTGTGGATTTGGTCCAAGGCCCAGGCAAGGGAGTAGTGAAGATCCGTGTCAATATCATTAATATCTTCCACGATGCGGACCTGGTATCCGTATCCAGAAAACAGGGCTGCGAGCTCTTTGTTGTCCATGCAACCAAATATCGTGCGCTCGCTAATTTTGAAGCCATTGACGTGAAGTATAGGTAAAACAGCTCCAGATTCCTTAGGGTCCAGATACTTAATTGCATGCCAGGACCTACTCTAGTTAGAAATTGCAACCATGGAGATATGAAAGGTTGGACTTACGTAGCTGTAGGCCCGGTTTCAGCTTCGCCGTCCCCAATGACACAAGGAACAATAAGATCAGGGTTATCCATGGCAGCACCAAATGATACAGCCAAGGCATAACCCAGTTCCCCACCTTCATGGATAGCACCAGGCGTTTCGGCATTTATATGACTGCGAAAATGTTAGATGGCTCGGGGAGTGAGATGATATCTCAAAGATACCGACCGACCTCGGAAGCCCGGCTGTTGTGCTAAATGAGGATATGAGATTGTGAAGACCTTGAGAGTCTCGAGAATACTTTGGATAGAACTTCTCCAGGGAGCCTTCCAGCCATAAGGAGGCCAATATTGCAGGAGCGCCATGTCCTGGACCAACCACATAGAGCATATCAAGGTCTCTCGTTCTGATCAGATAATTGAGGTGTGAATATACCAAGATTAGACCAGGACATGTTCCCCAATGTCCTAAGTAGACTGTATAAATATCATATGATAATAGATTGAGAAAGCAGAAGATGGGCTTACCAAGCAAACGGGGCTTGATATCGTCCGCGCTGAGGTCTCTCTTCAAAAGAGTATTGTCACGCAAAAATATCATCGCTGCAAACTAGTCAGTTGGCTTCAAAGTTCTTTTCTTCTCTCTTTTTTTTTTTTAAAAAAAAAAAGAAAACAAAAAAGGTCTCTGTAATTTGATTTACCTGCTGCAATGTACGAAGCCGCTTTCCGGAATTTCAACAAGGCATCGCATGCTTCTTGATTAAGAGTCTCGGGGGGAAGTCGAACCTCCAACTTCTCTAAACAATCAAGCAGGTGCGAAGGTAACGGCGCCGGATTTGGATGGTCGATGACTTCTCCAGGCATAGTTGCGAGTGGTTAGGAAACCCGATGGTACGATATGATCGGCACGGGATCGACGGGAAAGACGGGATCCGCACGAAGTAATAAAAAATTTAGATGTAAAACGGCTCAAAGGGCAACAGATCGATTGAGTGATCGATTGTTGGGGATTGGGGAATGTGAAAACAAACCAGACGTATATATCAGACCATTACCACATTCGTGGGTCATGCCATGGGATCTGGCCATAAGCGGCTGATAGGGGGGTATTTTATCCGCCTTTTTCCTTCCGGTCGACGTCACAACGACCATCCTGACATCACCTTCACAACGTCGGTCGCCCAACCAGGCTCTAGTTGAACCACTCTCACCTCATTCTTGCGACAGAGAGCAGTTGTACCTGCTTGCCGTATAGCTGTTATGTCCAAGTCTATTCTGGCCGTCAACGCTGGCTCATCCTCGGTAAAGGTGACCTTCTATACATTCACGAACCCCCCGCGCGCTATCGCCGATGCGCAAGTGTCCGGCATCACAGCGCCCCCTGCCACCTTCAAATACCAGCGAGGCGAGTTTAAACAGAAGGAACAACCACAGGAAAATTTAGGCACACCGCAAGATGCCTTTAAGTACATCCTCCAGCGCTGCTTCAGCGATCCCGAATTATCCGAGGTCGCTAGTGACAGTGATCTCGCGTACATCTGTCACCGAGTCGTCCACGGCGGCGACTATTGCGAAGAGATTGAGATAAAGGACGATACACTTCATCGTCTCGAAGCACTAGAAGACCTGGCACCGCTGTACGTGGGGGAAACAACCCAACAAGACTGCGATGTGTATTATATTGACAATTTATCTGGGGCAACAGACACAACTTCTCCGCACTAGAAATCATTCGACTATGCAAGAAAGAACTTCCAAGTGTGGCAAGCATAACATTCTTCGATTCGGCCTTCCACCAGACAATGCCTCTTCATGTGAAGACATACCCAATTAACCAGCAAATCGCCAAAGCTAATGGACTGCGCAAGTACGGATTCCACGGAATCAGCTACTCTTTCATTCTTCGCTCCGTGGCTCAATTCTTGGGCAAGCCGGCGGAGAAAACCAATTTGATTGTTATGCACATTGGAAGTGGAGCTTCGATCTGTGCGATCAAGGAGGGCAAATCCATCGATACCTCGTAAGATACCCACTTCGGCAGACCCATGAGGATTAAACGCTAACAGACGGATAGAATGGGCCTCACACCCCTGGCAGGCTTGCCTGGAGCGACACGAAGTGGAGATATCGATCCCTCGTGAGTGCCATAGTGCTGACGCGGTAGATCTTCGTGCGGATAATAAGGCTGACTGTCCTCGTTCTTGTAGGTTAGTGTTCCATTATACAAACGAGGCCGGGAAATTGAGTCCCGCAAGCACCAAAGACATGCATCTAAGCACGGTAAGAAGTTAGCCCATTCGTTGTTCGCCATTTCCTGGCCACTAACTTGCGGCGTCATAATTAGGCAGAGGAAATTCTCAACAAGAAATCAGGCTGGAAGGCTCTGACCGGAACCACAGACTTCTCGCAAATTGCAGTTGAAAACCCGCCGTCGGAGGCTCACAAGCTTGCCTTTGATATCCTCGTTGATCGCATCTTGGGATACATTGGGAACTACTACGTCAAGCTGGGGGGGCGAGGTCGATGCACTCGTTTTCGCCGGTGGCATTGGCGAGAAGAGTGCACTATTACGGCGAATATTGGCCGAGAAATGTTCAAGTCTAGGCGTGGCGATTGACTCCGACGCTAATGACAAGGGGGTGGATGAGGATCAGACCGTGAAGGATATCTCCAAGGGCGGCGGCAAGGGGCCCCGCACGCTGATTTGCCAGACCAATGAACAGGTGAGTCAATCTCAAGACGGGGAGAAGGTTAAAGATATTGTTTGCTAATCGGAAATCCGCAGTTCGAAATGGCATACCACATCGTCTGCTCGTGGTCTTGATTCCCGGCGAGGAGGCGATTTCAAGAGAGGGACTAAAGGACGGCGACAGGACACAAGTACGATCATTGACTATGGCCTGTACATATTTAATTCCAAATCCAGATGTGACAGGTTCACATTTAGACTTCTTTTTGGGTGTTTGTGAAAGGTAACATGACTGGTGGGAAAGCAATCGACGCGTCAAGAAATGTAGTGTCTTGTAATAGGGTTCAGGAACGTAGCGCACAGTTCGTCAACTTTTTGCGCCTCACAGAAGTTCCAGTCTCTTCCTTTTTTTTGTCATTCTTGGGTAGGGGGGCTCGATAGGTCCCTGCATACCAATGCATCTTTCAGTCAAACCCGGTCGAAGATCAGGCGGTCGGGGTGTCCGCCCACCATGTCATTGGGCGGCAGCCCACCACCAGAGGAATGAATGTGATGTATCAATCGGGCTAAAGTGGGCAGATTCGACAGCTTGCGTCGGGGGGAATCTGCTTCCCCGATCCCCCTCAAGGTTGATCCCCTAGTGTAATGCACGATGCGGGTAGGGGAAGCAGAAATTCTTATCGGGAGCAACATGAGATTGGTCGATCGCTGAGTGAGATTAATCTGCTTTTCCGAGGAGATCAATGTGAACCACAAAGATAGCGCGGATCTGCAAGATAATAGAAGTCGGCAGATCCGAGTCTAACCTTAGCGGTGGGATCATTTAGGTCCTCCTCTCATGTACGGAGTGCAGGTTTAGGCTGCATAAGCGTCTCTCAGCCCTTCGTACTTCTGATCTCTCTCTGCACGGTTGTACAGAAGTGCATGGTGCAGTCGATCGAATGCAGCATGTATGTCACCTTCAGTCAATTTTGGAGGCGATGTGGCCCGGCACATTGGTTGGACATGTACGGAGATGTATTCCGTACTCCATGTCGAGTACTCTGTAGCCAGGATGCAGCATCCCAAGTCCTCTCGATCGACACTGCAATGCACCACCAAAGTGTCGTGCTTTGCAGTTTGGGTGTGTCATTCTGCATTTGGGCGCAATGCGCGCGACCGATCTGGCGTGACAGCCACTTCTTTCCTTTTTCCTTTTTCCTTGTTCCCAGGGGGTTGTTTTTTTGCCTCTCCCAACCTCTCATTTCCTCGGGTGCGCACATTTGGAAGCTGTGAATCTCCACTAGCGGGGTGGAAACATCAGGCGTTAGCATTCAACTGGTCGCGGAACCCCTAACGAAGGAGCCGGACCCTCTTTAGCTCTTTTCTGGCTCATTTGGTGGGTCGCACTGGCGTGAAGTGTATCCATATTGTACTGTGTATGGCTCGATCGAGGGCAAAGATACTGGTTGTAGCCCCCCCCCCCCCAATGCCTCGAGGCTGGACCTGCGTCACAGTACTTTAGGGCGACGCGATATGGAGAATGGAGAACGCAAGAGAGGGAAAGTCAGGGGCGGCTGACCCGGCAGGGAGGGAAAGGATGGACGATCGAACCCGACATGGTGGGTGTTGGGGCCGTGGAGAGGCAGCGATCATCATCATACTGCTCGCCTGGCATCTGGGAAGATTGGAGGATTGGAGGATTGGAGGCTGTCACTCGCTTCCCAAAATGGAACCACCAACTCCACTGGATGGTTTCCGGCTGGCTTGACGGAGAGCGGCGCGCAAACAAAGGATCTCCATCGCGGGTCTCGCCGCGGTGCGGTCTTCCGGTGATCTCAACTATCGAACTGGAAAGTCTTGAGGGGATTGGTCAACTCAAAAAAGGGGTGAATGAATGATGGTTTACTACCATCATGGGCGGAAGTAGAGGTGTGGTGAGTTCCAAAAGTTGCCCTACTTTATGGAGTAGCCAGCTTCGATCCCGGGCTATACGGCCTACAGATGCATCGTGGATCATAGTCTATACACGTTCCAGATACTCGGGTGGGCGCAGGTCCATTTCTTCCCTTTTACACTCTTTGCTTGTCTCTTTCCTTTCACGATTGCCGTTGCGGAGCACAGCGGACTTGTGAGCTCCAGGCCCAGCGACGATGGAGGAAAAGGTGGACTTGGGTGGACATGGTGGATCAAACTTGGTTTCCACTTGTTCCAGAATGCTTCTGTTTATGGAGCTGAATTTCCAGGAAAATCCTCGCTAGGATCGTCCGGCTTCACTTCCGCGCAGCCCTAGGTACGCCACTCTGAAATCACATCCCTGTGGTTGTAAATGGTCGGACGAATGACCCGTCTGGAACAAACAATGAAAGCAAAGTACGCGTACCTGTATACAAGGCCGCATTTTTGAGGGATTGACACATCGATCGACGGCTGTCAAAACAAAGAAGATCCAGGGTGGTTCCCTGCTTGATGATGCTCGATCTGCAAGGCGCGGCGTCGGCGTTGCTTCTTCGCTTCCAGTTGGTCCTGTCCCAGCGCCACCATGCAAGCGGACTGCATCTACGCACGGGACGGCAGCGCTGTTCTATATACGGTATCCCGATCGGAAAATTTTCATATCTGATTTCTATCTACGATGCTCTACTCCATACATACACTACGCCAAAGAGTTTTCTGTACGTTGTACATGTACTCCGTACTCCGCAGCTGTTTTGTGTACTTCATGCAGGCAAGGATCGACGATGATTTGGTGGGTTAAGGCTCCACGGAGTTGAACAAAGAAGAACGACAGTCCAGTTCATGCAATCCAGCTAAACCTTGTTTCAGCGGGAGAACTAATGCATCGAGCCGCACTCTGGAGACGCATCCAGGAACCCGCTGTGGCGAGCTCATCCGACAGGATCGGCTCGGGATAGAGCCTAGAAACCCAGGGAACCAACAGAACCAGAACCTTGGATCAAAGGACGGGCCGTTAGAGGCTGTCAGAAAACTGGGAACCTAGACCGACACAACAGACACAAAATAAAGAGACACAGGGTACCCAACGGGGAGAACGGAGTAAGAGCCCGGCGAGAGGAGCCTGGTCGATTAAGATTGAAAAGCCTTCCTATTTGAGCGATCGAAAAAACAGTTGGGTCTTCCGCTTAAGAGAGTTTTCTTTGGCTTTCGTTTCTTTCTAGCGTGATTCTAGCTGTAAGAGAAATGGGGCCTTCCCGAAGATGGAGACTTCCCCCAGTTGCCGGGTCCACCATGGACGAAGAGGAAGCTCGTTTTCCTGTAAATTTCGAGTCCGCTTTTTTTACGTACGAATACAAAACCCCCGACGGAACTGCGTGTCCTGCCCGCATTGAGTCGCCCTAGTGCAACGTAAATACCGCCGGGCCCATTATTTGGGGCGACTCTACCGCGTGCGCCCCACAGAGGATCATCGTCACTATCCCTCCAGGGCCAGTCTTTCGGGCACTGGTCCCATCATCGCGAATAGGAAATGGTCCCTTGGAAAAAAGGATGGGGGGAGAACTCCATAAGCGGCTGGGGACAACACGAGTGAGCACCCCAGCAACGGAAAAACGAATTCGCTAGACAGCTTTAGTACTCCGGACCTACTCCGTATGTACCATGTACATATTCGCGATCAACTTCCGCGTGGTGGAGCAAAGTTTCACCAGTATCGTCTCGATCTCGCTAACGGCTCCGGAGGATATTCCGCGGTAGATCACCGGTCCCGATTTTAATAGATTGATTCAATATCAGTGAGTATCTAGTTTCCCCGGGCTTGAGGAGTCAGTGGCACGGCTGAAACAGACTTACGAACCTAACTGTCTAAAGCCACCATCAGGGGGGAAAAAGGGCCCGGGGGGAAAGGGACACCTGGCGCGTTTGATCTGACGCAACGACTCAGCGACTGATCTATCCCGTCACACCCTCCACCGGAGGAAAGGATTGTGGCTGGATGCCCCGGTGCACGACGCGGCTACAGTGTGGCGAAATCCGTGATTTGCGTCAGCTGCAACCCTTAATATATCTTGGTATAACGGAGTACGGAGAGTACAGATGGAAACATAGTTACTCCATCCCTTGAGTGTAGACGGGACCAAAGATACCGCGTAGATGTACATGGCGAATACTGTAAAAGGGGGGACAGGATATGGGGGTGGAGCTGGGGCGTAACTGTTTTCTGCAGTGCTTGGACGGAGAAAGAAGGAGTCCAGAATGTTTCCATAGAGAATTTACGGCTAAACCTTTGGTAATGCTCATACTCCGTACCATGACCCAAGACCCTGGGAAACTAGAAAGGCTAGAAGGTGAGAAGAATGTTCATACGTAACCGAGACCGGGAGTGGGCTCGCTAGCGGCTCTGATTCATCGATACACTGGCGATGATGGGTCCCTCGGCTTGAGGGTGGCCGGGGGCCCACCCCCTATGATGGAGTCAAGTTCGGATCGATCGAATGTGAAAGAATGGGAAAGGAATAAAAGAGACAACTACGAGCGATGGAGTGATCCGTGGATGAGGAAAAAATGTGTAGTATCACCTAATATTCAAAGCTAAGCGTGATCAGGGGAAAGTCCGATGTCGATTGGCTTTATTTGGAGGTGTCTGCGACGAAAAGCGCCCAAGGGGGCCCTTGGGAGAGCGAAGCGACAAGCGATTGGAGGGAAAAGGGACCACAGCAAGGCTTCCGAGACTGTTTTCTCATTTATTGTTCCTCCGAGCCTGTTCGACTGGACAGGAGTACACAAGACGATTGCACGGCGGACCGCTCAGAAAGCCGAATGTCTGGTCTTGATTACTCGACAGATGGATCTTTGGATGAGCCTAGAGCTCCACGAGACAACCGGCGAAAGTACTCCGTACCTATGTACTTTACCTAGGTTGGCCAGGGGATGATACCGATTCTCTACACATCCAAAGTGGCTTCGATCTGTTGGTGACTAGTTACTGGCAATGGTCTCTCTGCCTAGGCATCATATGTCAGCGCCCAAAGGACCCCTGGCATTAGGGTTGAGAAGGTTGGGAGGGCTAGTGACGAGAACTTCATCCAGTAAGAAAAAAGGACCATCTGTCCCTATGGAGCCCGACCACGCGAGTCCCGATGTCCAGTTCGGATGGATCCGTTTCTGTTCCTGCGGCTGCTCCCCCTTCTCCACTTATGCAAGAGGGCAGCCCGGAGATTCGGTTCCTAGCCTCCCCTTCCAGTGGAGCACCAGAGCTCGTCTGGATCAGGGTGATGATCTCTGTCGGGAATCGTCCATCTGCACGGTACTTTCGTTTGTTGGGCCCGGGGGGAAGGGGAAGAGGAGGAGTTCCAAACACTTATGTACTCCGTAGTATGGATACATATCAAGGGGGAGGGAAAAGACTGGATAGATCCACAAACTAATTGTGATGGATCAGAGGGGAGAGGTGTACGGAGTACATCGATAGCAAAAATCAGGCCCCGATCCGCCCTGGCGCTACTGCAACACTACCGGGTTTAGCAGACGTTGGAGAACGCAGAAAGGGGGCGCGTTCCTGTTCCCCGGGACCAACGCGGGAGAGCCGCTCGCTGCTAAACAAAGAAAACCGGGGCCTATAAGCTTATGATCTGGATTAATTTCCTTTTTGCGTTGGTTTAGGTAATTTCGATTTATTGATTTTAGTCTGGTTTTATGTTTTTATTTATTCCAGAAAAAGGAACTGAGAAGATCATCCTAGTCTTTTTGCTCATTTCCATTTTTTTAAAAAAATTATCATTTTAATTGATTTTCCCTTTTCTTCTTTTTATTCCTTTTTTATTTTATTTTTTAATTTTCATTTCCATTTCCATAATTATTCTTTTTTCCTTTTCATTCATGCTATATCTACGCAATCGCTGCTCGTACACCCCTGTTACCCTAAGATAGTCTCTTCTTATTTAATTATCTCTTGCTCCCTCCGGACTTTTTTTTCCCTTCTTTTCGCATACTTGACTATCGTCAACAACTATCATAATCCTCCTCCTCCTCTTCCACCTCTTCCTCCCTGCGATCAAAACGCCCTCCCTGCTATCCGCCCTGTCTTCTCCCTTCTCCCTTGCGATAACATCCTTCTGGTTTTCAACCGGATCTACCGGACCCCAGTTCCGCAACTTTCTCCTTTCCAGGGTCTCCCTTGCCGACTTGGCTTCATATCCCTTCTCACCCGTTTTGCTGGGTCAGATCGCGATTTCATGGCCTTGATTCTGCAGCCACCCTCGCGCCTATCTTGTTGATTGAATATTCCTATTTTATTTTATTCTATTTTTTTTGGGAAGTACTTTCTGGTTACTTGCGGATCTATCGTTTCCTTGGGGGAAATCCGATTGACGCGATCTACCGGTGGAGCCCAAATAAAAGCAACCGACAACGACCTGTCGAAGCCTCTAAAACCAGCCATCCGCCATTCTCTATTTGTCGGTCTCTCAGTCGTCACATTCCTGCCCTACAACCTGCTGGTGCCCGCATTGTTCCAGTGAAGTCAGGTCTACTTTTAAAAAGGATCCGTCTTCCGATCTTGACTGCATCCGCATCCCATCGCCTGCACCGCCCGTCCCTGTCTAGACTCGGTACTTTTCGCTTTTCGCTTTTGCTACGGGGGGTGGATTGGGAGTTCGTTTGTCTACGATTCTCTGGCCGAGAAAGAAATAACTACTATTTAAGACCCGTTCGTGGTGTTTACCTGGTGAGTTATTCCATCTCATTCTTAACCCTGCCGTGTCGCATTCGCAATATCTTTGCCGCAATCGTCTTTTGCATCATCTTCGTCTCCAGCTTCTCTGACAATGATTGCCTCCGCAGACCTCAACATGATTCTCCGAGACCTATCAGCTTTCAACATGGGACGCGGCGCCTACGACACAACGGGCGTCAAGAAGCCTGGTGCTCCTCCCCCACCACCTAAATAATCACCTGCGATGATACCCTTATTCGGCACACATATCCTCCTGCTTTCTGGCGATGTTTTGGGATTTGTCAGGCGCCTATGCTTCCTGGGGGTTTGACGCCTCTACGTTCGGAGTTTGCTCTATCTTTCGGTGAGTACCCTAATGCAACCGCCTCGTTTTGGGCATCAAGGCTAACATTAGTTGCAGACATTTGTAACACTATTTTTCCTCCTGTGACTTTTTTTTTCACACCTCTCGGTCATATCTTTGCTACTGATTCGCCACTGGCCTTGCGCGACCTCATTATACCCTTTTTAATTTCTTCAATTCTGCATCGGGTTCGGATTTTCAGCGTCGACGTTTCTTCGGTTTTATCTTTTCTTCATTTTTTTCCGTCTTCGCACGTGCGCCTTACCGTTATCTCGGATGCCTTCACCTCTACTTCATTTCGATCACCTCTTCTTTCTCCTGTTACGACAAATACCGAGATGACCTCACTTCGACCTCTCAAAAGTGCCTTTTTGTTCTTTTTCATTTTTATTATCCTGCTTGTCTTGTGGTTATCTGCTTTTCGTTTGACTCTTTTTCCACGGCGTTATGGCATAGATGGGACGGAATTTATTGCATGGGATGCATGGACTGATACCAGAAGACTTAGACCTTCGGACCTCGCGGTCACAATAGTACGTTTATTGACGCGCAATTACTTTTTGACTTTATGTTTCTGTATTTGTATCTGGGTATATTCACGTCACGCCTGTATATTATGTTGCGCACAATCGCGAAATCGAAGCGGCTATCATTCGTTGTCTCTACTCCCTCTTTAACCCATGACGATCTGCTGAACGCAGAGATTCGTTTCTAGACCTCCGATTCGTGGCCAGATTCTCTACAGGTTCCGTCCCTGCCCTAGAACTCGAAAAGCACGGACATGTTCGTGTAGCCCAAATGTCGTGTCGCTCAGACTTGACAGCTGCGATTCGGGCGGTATACTAGACTGAGCGTCGGGCAGATTTGCTTGGGGACTAATGCCGAGCCAGGAACCACCAGGCTGATTTTCGATCCCCCGGCGCCTGTTGATGCATCGGCAGATAGATCCCGGGCCCGACTGGAGTCCCACTGGCGCCTGACATCATCTCGCATGCCCGTTGGGCACTAGTCCGTGAATCACGTCGTGCCAGGAACAAGAACTCCTCCACGGGGAGTTCTTCCCTGGACCCACAACCCCTCATCCAGCAAGGTCTGAGAACTTAATTGTCTTTCTCGACATTTCGTCTTGTGTTCTCTCAATTTTCTAGGTTGTGATGATTGACCGCCATTCAATAACAAGCCTCTTGGGGTCGAGACCCGCAAGTGCTGAGCTGTTGAGCTAAAGAAGATACAGTGCGATCTTAATAACCATCATTTTTCCATTGTGCTTCTGATGGAAAGAATCCCATCAAACTTTCCGTGACTAGGATTCTTCGTTTCGATCGCCATGTTATTTTAGTTTTTGGTTGCGCTTTGGCTGTGATCAAAACTTGAACGACTCTGGCATTTGGCCCTGGTGGTTAATTGCAAGGGCTGTAGTTTATGCGTATCCGGCGATGTTTCGGTCTGCACCAACCTTGAAGATCGCTTCCGTTATGTGGAATTTACTAGTATAACAGCCTATTCATGTTCGTCCATGTTCCTCCCCAAAGCAGTTATCAAGAACTACATCCTGACAGGGATATGTAACTAAAATATGCGATCTCCACATATGTTATATGACCTAACCTGTATTTTATATTTTCTGGATGCTTCACATGGATTCTAATAACTTGAACTGTACTGGGATTGCCTGCTCGCCTCGATCTAGGTCCATCTGCTAGGTAATAAATTTCAAGTTGAATATTAACGAAATAGTAGATTAAAAGGTTACTCCTTATTTGGGACTATTTACTATTATTTCCAGGACTTAACTAAAGATTTCATCCTTCAACTTGAGGGAACCTCATGTTCAAAATGTATTCAAGTTCTCAACCTTCAGGGCTTGGAAGCTAGTATCAAAAGTGGACCCGGAGGAGAGTTGAATATATCTTCGTGAGTTGAACCCTGATGGTCTCGTCAATGATACTTCAACTTTGATAAAATGCGTCTTAAATTTGGGAAATGAAATATTCCATGGTAGTAATGTTCCAAGGTTTCAGCCCATAAACTCGCGCACAATTAATAATCAGATTAAATGCAATTCAAATAAATTCAATTGCATATACCTCGGGGCCTGTACCAGAGATCCCGTGACCAAAGGAAGTACGGCTCACGCTAAACCGGAACAGGACCTCAACCATCATCATCAGCGCCGCAACCCCCCCTCAAGACCTTCTGCTTCCCCGTGGATTGCGACATCGAGCTTTTACTCATCCCAACAGCACGAGGAAATTGAGATTGTGAAACAGACCATCTCTCACTCATATAATCCTTGAATACCAGTTACCAGCATCGCAGCTGAACCTGCCGGCTCACCCGCCTGCCCGATCACCTAACTATTTGTCAGGCGTCGCTCTCTGCAGGACGGCCTAATCCTCGCCATCTTTCTATCTCACATCTTATTATACTGTCTCAGTCATGTCCGAGTCAGCCGGCGCAAACGCTCCGAAACCGAGCAGCAGCGTGAAGCTAGTTTTGCTGGGTGAGGCTGCCGTCGGCAAGGTACAGTTGTCCTTCCCAAGTTCCACGGGGTTTAGTTGCTGATGAACTTTCTTTTTACTTGCAGTCGTCACTCGTTCTTCGATTTGTCAACGATGATTTCCAGGAAAACAAGGAGCCCACCATCGGCGGTAAGGAACACCTCCAGATGAGCACTTTGGCTTGAGGGGAAGGCTGCTGCCTGCGTCCTCTGCGAAGCCTGTCTTAAAGATCGCGCTCTCTGCATACTAGGATTATGACATTTAGTCGAAATCCTCAAGCGTAACCTCGGAAAATTCCCGGCTAACCTCATTGCTCAGCTGCCTTCCTGACACAGAAATGCTCTCTTCCTACGCGCACAATCAAGTTTGAGATTTGGGATACTGCAGGCCAGGAACGATTCGCTTCTCTCGCTCCGATGTACTACCGCAACGCACAAGCCGCTCTCGTGGTCTACGATGTCACCAAGCCCTCGTCCCTGACGAAAGCAAAGCACTGGGTTGCCGAGCTCCAGCGCCAAGCAAGCCCCGGGATCGTCATCGCTCTTGTCGGTAACAAGCTGGACTTGACCAACGACGGCGGCGATACTTCTGCGGCAGCGGCCGCTGGATCCGAGAGCGAGCCCGTTAGAGATGATGGAGAGGAGGGTGCTGCGGAGGAAGGCGAAGAGCAGGACACGACCCCTGGCGATGCTCGAAAAGTGTCGACCCGTGAAGCGAGCTCGTATGCAGACGAGGAGGGTCTCTTGTTCTTTGAGACTAGTGCTAAGACCGGAACTAACGTGGTGGACGTTTTCACTGCCATCGCTAATGCCATTCCCGAGAGCAGCCTGAAAACCGGCCGTGGCGGTGCCGGCACGGGCCAGACTGCGCTGGGAGGCCGGTCGGCGGAGGACTCTCGAGTAAACCTTGGCGACCGAAGTGCAGCGACAGCAAAGGAAGGCTGTGCTTGTTGATCTGCCTTTTTTCTTTTTTTGAATCACCTTGCAAATTTCCCCATGGGTACAGGCGTCTCCCGTTCTGCTTGTTGGATTGCTCCTACGCAATGCTCATTGTTCACTTCTATATCCCTTTGCCGATAGCAATATTGAACTCTTGCAACTGTATACTGCTGCCATGTAGAGCATGTTCGCATCAGCAGAGTTTGTAATGCAAGCAACTGCAACTGCAATCATACTTCATGTATGTTCATACATCCCAAAGGAAGTAAGGATTACAATTTATGGTCAGCCAATCAGCGGCCACGCGAGGGCAGAGTAGTCACGTGACAGCCATCACCTAAGTGGAAAGAATAACGCTAATCCCCTTTGGGAAATAGTGCCCTCGCTTAAGCCGGATCCCACAGCTGGGCAAATTCCATTCCCACGTCTTGAACGCCGACCGACCTCACCCTCCGCCGACCTCAACCAGCAAATTCGCAGCACTCCCGTCGCTCGCAATCATGGCTGCCATCAACAAGATTGCCACCAACTCGCCCTCCCGGCAAAACCCCTCCGAGCTGGAGAACGCGATTGCCGGCGCTCTCTTCGACCTCGAGAGCAACACCCAGGACCTGAAGGCCAGCCTTCGTCCTCTGCAGTTCACCTCTGCCCGTGAGGTAAGAATTGCATTCGTCACGCCTATCGAACTCTTCCGGAACCGCATTGCAAGGGAATCTCGTCGTGGTGGTCTTATCGGAGAAAGAGGTGGAAATCTTTGTGGGCATTGTGGGATTGCATCAAATTCGCAATGTACATGCCCCAGTGCAACTGCAAAATGAATTGGGATCTTCCGAGAGACAAGGGACCTCCGACACGCACATTCCCTTGACGACAGTTCTGGCAGGGCGAGAATTGGTTTTTTTTTTTCTGCTTCCGCAATCATTCGGTGCGGATACCTCGACCGGAACAACAAAGTACTAACATACCCTCTCCAACAGGTCGAGGTCGGCCACGGCAAGAAGGCGATTGTTATCTTCGTCCCTGTCCCTCTCCTCCAGGGATTCCACAAGATCCAGCAGCGGTAAGACGACATCTCTCGACAATCTGGATTTTTTTTTTAAACCAAGGCCTGGAACAATGGGACTAATTTGGATTTTTTTTCCGCCAACAGTCTGACCCGCGAGCTCGAGAAGAAGTTCTCTGACCGCCACGTCCTCTTCGTTGCTCAGCGCCGCATCCTGCCCCGCCCCAAGCGCTCCGTCACCTCGCGCTCCAACCAGACCCAGAAGCGCCCCCGTTCGCGCACTCTGACCGCTGTCCACGAGTCCATCCTGTCCGACCTCGTCTACCCCGTCGAGATCGTTGGCAAGCGCACTCGTACCAAGGAGGATGGCTCCAAGACCCTGAAGGTCGTCCTGGACGAGAAGGAGAAGGGTGGTGTTGACCACCGTCTCGATGCCTACGGCGAGGTCTACCGTCGGTTGACCGGCCGTGCTGTTGTTTTCGAGTTCCCCCAGGGCGGTGCTGAGTACTAAGCTGCTCGTTTGCTGTTTGCGGGTGGGAAGGAAATGAGGTGTATTTTGGGTTGCTTGTTTCTAGGTCCGGATTCACTCTAGATTCAAGGAGAGCATGACGGGTGAAAGAACCAAAAAATGCATTACGGGTTTTTCTTTTGAGTTATGTGCCCCCCCATTGACTGGTGCATGGTTTTAAGGCCTCCGTTTCATACTACTGGGCGAGGCGACGGAGATGAGTTTCCATCCGAGCCGTGTTCCTCTTAATGAGGATGGGATGGGATATGTGATAATATTCCAATCGAACAATTCCGACTTTCAAAACACATGCCTGCGTAGTTAAGAGCAGCGCCCGGACCGCTCTAAGTTTGATCCTACCCAGTAGTGGCTACAGTCAGTTTGGCTTTCAGATGCCTCTTGTCTTTTATCTGGGTTCGATGCAACATTGTAGAACAATTTACAGCATTGAGTCAAGTATTTACTGAAACTAAATGCACAGGGGTATGGAAAGAAAGAAAGGAAAAATAAAATGTCAACAACAGCCATCTCTTCACCTGTCAACTACAACGACGCCGTGATTCTCCCCACACCAAGCACCATCCAGTAGGCCAATTCTCGAGCCACCAAGTCACCTGGCTTAGCTTCCTTTCCAACATTCTGCTGCTCGAGCTGTGCCTCGGCATCCCATTCCATATGCACAAACACTGGGATTTCGAGAACATCCTCATCTTGCTGCGAAGCAACTGCGAGCTCATCCTCATCGGCCCCTTCCTTTCCACCCTCAGCTTCTGAGCCAGGTAGTGTTCCCGGGATCACTTCAAGAACAACTGTAGTCCAATTGCGACCCTTGTCCCAGACCTTGCCGGCCTCAGGAATCTTCTCGGCAGCGCGGAGGCGAGGGTCGGTAGTGATAGGCGCCGACGCACCTTGTAAAGCCTCATCCCAGACATCGCTGTTGGGCCCAATGTCGAATTGAGGGGAAAGCACCGTCACTTTGCTTGCAACGCGGCCTGGAGTAACAGACGGAGTAGCCAAGGTAATGCGCACCGGATCAAACATGTGATTCTTCAATGTAAGCAGAACATGGACGGGACGCAACGGGGCCAGTGCATTCAGATCCGGAGCCGGAGACGGGGCCAGAGACGAAGATGGAAGCGTAAGGGGACGTAGTGTCGGGAGTGGGATGTAGCTGAGAGCAATAAGCCGAATACGGAAGCGTGTAGACTGTGGCTTGGTTTCGGGCTTGACGAGAATATGCTTGCAAGACTTGCATCGCTTAGCACGTTTCGTGCGAAGAAGCACCGGTAATGGCATTAGGTCATGGGAGAATCGGACATCAGGAGATTGTTCTGTGCGCTGGCTCAATGATGCAACGCCATCCCAACCGCAATCCGGGGAAGCAAGTCGCTCTATGATGGAGGCGTCGCCGTCTTCTGAGGCAATGCGAAGACCCTCGCTAGCATTTATTGCCTCGCGCATGACTGGTGGCTTCGGCTTTTGCTTCTTATTTCCGCCATATAGTCCGCTTAGACGTGACGATGAAGCATATAGAGACATGAGTCGGTTCAAGGCACCGGGCGACGAGAACCCAAAGTCCGAGCCCATAGCATCACTTGGAGAAGTCGATGTCTCAGAAATTTGTGATCGATAGAAGTTCTTTAGAGTCGCAAATCGGGCCTCTGCGCCTAGATTGGGCGTAACTTCCTGGTCATTCTGCGTGGGCTGCTCTCCGGCACCATCTTGGGTAGTAGCCGGCTCTTCAATAGACGCCAGATTGGACAAAGGTGATTTGAGATCGCCGAAAGCGCGGGATCCTTGTCTTGACCGAGTATCGAATGCTGGGCCAGATAGAGAGTCGGTCATCTTCTGTAGCTGATTGCGAATATTGGTGGGTTTGTCGAACTTGATACCGATGTCAAGCGTTGTCCAAAGACAATAACCACAGGATAAGACCCAAGGGCCTTGCTGATTACCATTTCCTGTGACATTTTCAATTGTACTGACAGATAGCGGAGCTGTACAGACGGGACAATTGAAGCAGTTCCGACCGCATCTGTGATGTCTTGGGTGAGCAACAGTGGTATTTGAACAGGGATGGGTGCACGTGTACATACCGGTTTGCATCTCCTCTCACCATGCTGCTGGGTGTCTCAAATAAGCAGTTCGGGCAGTACCAGCTCACAATCTCCTCTGTTATACATCGCGGGCATTTGATCTGGTGGCAATCTTCGCAGTAAAGGAGCTGTTCAGGTGGATATAGTGAAAAATTGGACCGAGGTGATCTCGGGTCGAAGGTTTGCTCCTCCTCCTCCTCCTCTTCATCTTGCTCATTTTGAGTGTGCGGCGGTTTCACTTCGTTTGTGTCTTGACCGCTGCTAGCTTTTGTGCGCTCGGGGGTTGATTTCTGCGGCGACTCCCTGGACCTGCGCTTTCTGGCTGGGTCGGGGACAGGTGTATCGGCACAGGGGCACGAGACATAGGTATAAGGAAATGGACAGGCCATCTTCTTTTGGTTTATAGGACGAGGATCTTGCTAATCGGGGGACGGGTGGTTGATATGAGGATTTATTGCTCGGTCAAGTCATGCTTCACGGTGGGGGGCTGTAACAATGGGAAGGACCAGGGTGGCCAGGGCGATTGGAGTATTGAGCGTGATGAAAGGTGATCCCCGAAAAATAGAGATGATCCCTATCGGGAGCAGGTGTTAGCATGTCTTTCTTGCAAGCCCCCGGGCTGCGACTTTGGGCCTCCCTCCTGGCTGGCGCATGTCGGGGGGGGGGGGGGTCGAAACTGCGTTGATGGCGCGATAACGAACCAGAGAAAGGATGAAGGCAGCAGTAGCTATTCCCGATAGACCTGTGGTTAACTGAGAGTAAGGAAGCTTGCAGAAATCGAGTTTGTTGAGCCGCAATTGCGGGCGCGACGGAGTGCACGAGCAGTCGCGGAGAGGAGCTGCGGAGGTTCCGCATCAACAATCGACGTCAGACAAAAATTAAGATTCGCCCTTCCCTTTCACCTTCACCTTCACCTTTACCTCCCACTCCACTCCACCCCCTCCGCGCAAAAGGTTCTAGGATATCTCTACCCTCGATTTGGACGTCAGCTAATTACGGAATATAGCGATTATACTTATGATACCTCTACACACATTCCGGGCCAATGTGCCACGACGGTGCTTCGCTGCAAGCGCCAACATCCGGACATACGCCAGCCAAACCCCCGGCAATCCGATGCTGGAGGTGTTCAACCGCAAGACCAAGCACCTCCAAAAAGAACGGGCGGCCCAGAATGTCGAAGAGAGCCGAAAAGTCGATTATTTGAAAGATGAGGTTGCAAGGCGGTTATGCGAGCGCTTATTGGTAAGACCCCAATGGAACGAGGGTTGTGTCACTGGAGAGCTTAAGCAGATACATTTGCTGACTCAAAGCTTCTTTTGGATCAATAGGATATCAAGCGCGAATTCCCGAATGTACTCGACCTAGGCGCAAACAGCTGCAACATTGCCCGGGCCCTAACAACAACTGATCTTGACCTGGCCGCGCCGGAGGGCCAATCGACTCCGCCACTAGCAGAACGTATCTCAAAATTAACATGCGTGGATACCTCACGAGCGCTTCTGTACCGAGATGAAGAGATGCCCTTTAATAAGGGGATCAATATCCACCGTGAGCTGATTCCGGACTTGGAGACACTACCTTACCAACCAAACACCTTTGACGCGGTGCTCTCATCGTTATCAATCCACTGGATCAATGACCTCCCTGCCTTACTCAACCAAGTCAACACAATGCTCAAGCCGGATGCTCCATTCATCGCGGCGATGTTCGGTGGCGATACCCTCTACGAACTACGTGGATCGCTCCAGCTGGCAGACATGGAGCGACGCGGCGGCGTGAGTCCGCATGTATCACCACTGGCAGATGTGAAGGATGTGGGCAGCTTGCTGAACCGTGCTGGGTTCAAGATGCTTACGGTCGATGTTGAGGATATTGTGGTCGAGTTCCCAGATACATTCGCGCTCATGCAGGACCTTCAAGCGATGGGCGAGAGCAATGCTATTCTGCATCGAGAGGCTGGACCTTTGTCGCGAGAGGTATTGCTAGCCAACGAAGCTATCTATCGATCTCTGCATATGGAAGATGGCGCGCCTGGTATCCCGGCCACATTCCGACTGATCTATATGATCGGCTGGAAGGAGGATAAGAACCAGCCGCAACCTTTGGAACGTGGAAGTGGTGAGACGAACCTCTCGGAGCTCCTAGGGGGCGGTGACTTCCAGAAGCCATAAATATAAGTCGCGAGAAGACCGCGCCAAAAAAAAAATAAATTGGGAGGCAGACAACCTGGGAATGGAAGGCCTACTATGGCCTATCAATAATTTTATAGTACATCAATTGTAAAATGGCTACGCTGAAAGAGTCGACACAAGAGAAAGACTGTTTAGCAGAAGAAAACTTTATGGAATGCAATCCACCCTCTACCAAGAGTAATAATATAGAAAAGAAAGTCACGATATTTGTTGCTTATTTCACGCTTAAACCGTCCGGCGGTCGGTCATGACTCGAACGATTGAACCGGTGCCTGCAATTTCGACTAGCTTTTCATGCCAGTTCAGTAGCACGCTCATTTGCTGACCACCACCACCTTCACCCAGGTTGCGACCTTGGATTTGCGAGAAGCCGCCGGTGCTCTGCGGGGAAACGGATTTGTTGCGTGGCGACTGGGATCCGCTGCCGGGGGCAGGGGAGGACATACCCTTGTAGCTGGTTCAAGTTAGCACAGTTGTCTCAGGCCTAGATGGGACACCGTCGGTCTGGAGAGGTTGGATCCTCGGGGGCACACATACAGGTACTTCATCAAGCAGTCTGCTCGCTCTGCCCCACCCTCTCCGGCACAGACGCCCTCTAGGACACGGGTCATTTCGCCCTGGCGAATACCCTGTAGCACCTCAGTCACGGTAGCAAGATGCACCTGCTTAGCACCCTCGTCGCCGCCAAGCGGCGCTGTGTCCAGGACGGCACGAAGCGCACCCTCGGCGTCACCACCGCGCAGCAGTTGTCGCACTTGGGTTGCGACATTAGCCGCCTCACTTGAGGTTCCGGGTTGGGGCAAAGTAGCTGGGAGGAGGGTCTCCATAGGGAAGTTGACCGACGACTCGGGGTCGAGCTGGTCGATATTGATGGTACGGTAGTTGATTTGCGACATCGTGGCGGGTTTGTGTTCGCTTGTAGAGCGGAGGAAGTAGACGGGGATAGGAATTGGTATTCAAGAGTAGTCGCGATCGACCACAGCGGTGTTGGTGGAGGCGTTGTACCTGGCGGGGTGCGGCGAGTGTGGCTTTGGTATGTCAACGGGAGAGCGGGGGAGGTCTCGAGGGGAGGAGTTGCTGACTCGAAGCGGTGGGGGGAATAGGTAGACGGGAATGGCGAGGTGAGGTTGGGCAAAGTCAAGTGAAACAGTAATTTCCTTGTTCAAATTCGAGGAGAAAGGAGCAGAGAGGAGGGAGAGAGGAATGAGGATCGAAGTGTCCACGAGTGACGGAGCTGCCGGTGGTGGAGGTGATGGGGGCTTGTTGATGGCCTCAGGCAGAAATCATCATCCCGCAGCGAAATATTTTGATGCCTAGCACGTATACTCCTACTAACTAGTATATACTCTAAATCTATTTTAATTGCAAAAAGGGAAGTCTATGTGTTTTCCTTACTCCCTTGACTTAAAAGAACCAGTGCTACTACCATTAATCAATGCTCAATTCTGTTCTATTGCAGCTTCAGTTTTAGTTGATAGAGACAAAGTAACATTTGAAGCAACCAATGTAGTAGCCCAAATCCAGAGGAAATTCAAAGTCCGTTTTTCTCAACACTGTTCTCATGATAAACCTCTAGGCTATATCGAGCAAACTTACTGCGAGCTCGAATTTGCTTGCCATATTTTGTGAACAGCGGTGGGACAACACAAAACAAAGTAGCTAGACCCGCGAGAATCGACGAGGCTACATTTGCACCAAGTCCTTCGAACATATCCGCAGCAAACAGTGGGAAGGCGGCTGACAGCAATGAGCGGAAGAGCGCAAGAGTTGCAAAACCACTGGCAGAGAAACTCAGATAACTGTCTGCTAGATATCCGCCAAGGACAGTGTCGAACTCATTCAATGAGTACCCAATAAAAACCAAGGATATGGCCGATACGATCCAATGAACATGGTCTACCAATGGAGGAATAGTCCAGGCAAACCACCAAAGCCCGCCAGCCAGCAAAGGTGCTCCGATTGAGAAGCCGATGAGTTTATGCTCCGGTTCTAGCACGATACCTTGCTCCTCGGCGTATGCGATTTTTCGATGATCATTGATGCGGGTTAGTAGTCCCAATACCAAACCAATGCATATCGCCAGGAATGGAAGAGTAGACGATTCATTAGAGAACCCCATAGACTGGTAGACCGGAGGCAAGGCCTCTGTGAAAAGATAGACCATAGCGAACGCGATCGCACTGATAGTAGAGACCAAGAAAATGATTGGCTCCGTAAAGAAGAGCTGAATTGGACGAAAGAGTGCGATGCGTATAAAAGTCATCAAGTCCGGTGTATGATCGGGGTTCAATGCTTTGAGTGTATCGATGCCGGTTTCACTTCGCACTTTGGCCACTTCTCGTACGAGAATTAAGGAGGGCCGTGACTCACGAATTCCGATGAGAAGAAAGCACACCACACCAGTTACAATTGCTGCAACATGAAACACCCATTGCCTATATATCCGACGTTGTTGAGTATCCATTCCATCAAAATCCAATAGGGGACCAGTTACTTACCATCCCAAATGCTCAGCGATATATGTGCTGATAATTGGCCCCATACACATGCCCATATTGGCAACCATAGCCCATAAAAAGATCATCCAGATGCGGTCTTTTGAATTATACAAATCTTCAATACTGCCGGCCACGACAATAGTCGGAATAGCCGACAAAAAACCCGAGAAAAAACGGCCGACTGCGATGCCGGTAAGAGAAGGCGAGACACCGACAACTACACAAAAGACACTGTACAGGCCAGTGCTAATGATGTATAGCCTTTTACGCCCAAAGGCTTCTGAGAACGATGGAAACATGATCCCCCCCAAGACATTGACCCAGTAGATATCTGCAATCACAACCGAAATTTAGTCAAATACAAGGTATGAGGAATCTGAAACTGACAGTGAAACGAATATAAAAAGGGCAAACTCTTTCCCAATATCATAATCATGTTGAGCACGATCAGCTGCGGCGCTCTATCGATGCATGGTTAGTTGTGGCCAATCGTACGAGATTCCAAACTACTCACGCCGGCAGTACTAATAGCAGTACTAATAAAAGACATATACATTAGCCGAGGCAATCCTTGAAAGAGAATTCAGCATAGAACTTGCGTGAAAAAATCAAGAAATATAATCAAACTGCTGTCGTATATCTTTCGGGGCATGTGCCAGTTGCGCGGGTGTTTGGGATTCGAGGCCGACCAGCGGATGAACCTTTCATCTGTGGTAAACTCTAGTCCATTCTTATCGAGGATGAACTGCAAGTAGCCCCTAGGGGAGGGTGACAATGAAGGTGACAAACCGTCGGGGCTTATTGTCGAAGTAGATTCCATGGTGTAAGAAGAACGGCGTTGAAGAGGATGGTGAAGGAGTTGTCAAGGAATAATCGTACGGGTCTAAATATAGAGAGAACAAGAGAAAAAAAAAACAGAAGAATGAAATGAAATGAAAGGCACCTGGGCAAGTATTACCTGAAATCAAATATAGAAGCAACTCATGACTTGAACGGTTTGACAAATGCACATGCACCTGCTTGGTTTTACGGTCGCGGGCGTAAGGATGGCCAGTATACTCGTCACCTACAGGTCTACTCATAGCAACTACTAGACAAAACTAGTGTAATTAAAGATGGAATCCATGCGGATCTCCCGCCATATTCTGGACCTCGATCACCTCAGTGGCCTAAAAATGGACTCGGGCACCCGAAAATGGCTAAGTTTTGTCCGGATCCGCGGACCAAGCTTTCCAGGAACCACCTCGCCAATCAATGGTCCGACACAGATCATGTTTTGAGCTCCAAGCTTTCCAATTTATGCAGTGCAAGGCACAAAGTCCCTCATGGGGCTTGAGTTCGTCTCCGCAGCCCCATGTGTTGTCGATCCTAGGCTAGGCGCAGATCCAACCGATGATGAAACCACTCCACCAGGGAGTGACAGAGCAGGAATCGAACAAATCAAGGGATTGACTCTAAATAGAATTGCACCAGAATGCAGGTTTTATCCAGTCTTGAACTAAGTAGATCACGAGCTAGACCCTGCAGTGTTGCAAATACTAAGTGGTACTGAACTCTTTATGATCCCCTTCATTGGAAAATTGTGCCAATGCATAAGGTGCACACGCAATCCTCGACCCCGGAACAACTGCAATTAATTTGATCTACAAGACTCAATATTGACAAACCTTATGCGCTATTCATATGATGGTGAGCCCCGTATCGTTTTCGCTATATTTCGGTGCGTAGAGAATTTCCATCGGGTATTTTCTAGTGCGTCTGCTTAGCAACTTTTGTTCTTCTTCATCAAGAATAGGAAGGACCAGTAGCTAGCTAATCACCCCGATGAATATGTAAGTCTCATGTTTATCCTATGCCTGGCCATACATGCCCAAAACATGCCCCTTGTTTCGATACTCGCAAGGCCCACAATGGCAATTCGGACGATGTGGCCATGTGGATATGACATGTGAAGTAGAAAAACACTTTGATTCTGATGTTAGATCGGGTAGCTCCTGATGAAAAAAATACCAAACTCGAGGTCGTATGGAGCCGGCGCAGCCTGCCTATTCCGGGCTTCAAATTCGAGTGGGATCTTTCATGGGGAAACTAAATCCATCAGCAGCAGCGTGGCTTTTTCATGGCAATACGTCACATGGACCTTATGAGTTTTACCGGTTTTATGCTCTATACTTTTTACTCCTTCGCAGTAACAGAATACCTAGAGCCAAGCCCATCTAATTCGCCACCTAGTCCTTTAAAAAGCCGAGCGGATACTAAGCAACGAGGTGCAATTGGGAAGTTAAAATATATAACGGAATTGTCTTTTAATTTCGATAATAATTGCCTGCAGCTTTAAATAGGTGATGGCGGTATAAACTTTTAAAAACATGACCCGAAGAAACCTAGGAATCAAAATGCGCAATAGCCGAGTAAGTATCTGCAAAAAAAGAAGCAGCGACATTTGATGTGAACTTCTATAATAAATATCAGACAGCGCGATACCATGAGATAAATCTTGTAGCTTATATTTCTCGCTACAGCGAATTTATGGCGGCGTGTCACGAAGCTTGATTCATCCACGTGTGAGATCCTCCACAACTACCAGGACCTTAAGGGACCGCCTGGGATCATATCTTTTTGAAATCATGCATCTCTCTTGGTCCTCCAAAATAAATCGATTCATTAAGTTATTGTAAAGATCCCTTATGCCATCAGTGTCTTCCGATTCAGAAGCATGCTCGTCCACGGCCTTATTAAAATTCTCCCATACCGCTTCGACCCATTCGGGACTCTTAGGAGGCTCAGCTAGATCTCGAGCTTCCCTTATCTCGCGTAGTAAGTCAATAACTTTAGATAGCAGTTTCTTGAAAGCAGTTAAAGCCTCAGGAGACTGTCTCGTATGGTCTTTGAGCAGGTTGACCTGACCATCCATGACATCAATCGCTGTGCCAGTGTTGATCTCGTCGATGTTCAGATTAGAGTTGGACTCAAGCATGGTCGAGATTATACCACAAATATGGATAATCTTAATAGGAATATCATTCTTTAACCCCCCCCGAGATGCCCGCACAGTGACAGGCGAGAATGTGAACGATCGAACGAAGGCGATCGGTGATAAATGGCATGACCATCAAAAATGGGGCCGAGCCAACGGAACTCATAGCTCGATAATATCCCAAAGAGATAACGGTATTTGATTCACCGGGATTTTAAGTCTCGGGCTTAAAATTTCAGGAAGACTTCGCGTAGTTTCGGATCTTTATATGTCTGATGTTGGTCCGTAAGTAAGTAAGTACTAGTAGTAGTCCTTTGATATTTGTTTCCCGAGACAACCATCAACATGAGGCACGAGTGAATAGAATTCTTCGTCAAAAAGGGGACTTTAAATAATGAAATTCTCTTAACATTTTCTAAAAAAGCCTTTTGGGGCTTTGTGTCCGAGTCTTTGTTCATCAATTCTGCACTTTGATTGACAAATTATCGTCTTTCAACAACCCATGTGCCTTTGGACTTGCTGCGAGGTACCCCCACAAGAGGTTCTCCTAAATATGGTGACTCTTCTTATCCTATTAACTCGAAAGACTGGAAGCATTATGAGGAATTTTCGAAATAATATGTTGTAGCTACCTGACTACAATAAAGTCATAGAAAAGCAATGTGATATTTACAAGGTCTTCTTCGCCCCAAGGAATTCCAATCCTTCGAGTGTTCCCCTTTGAGCGAACTTCATATCATCGAAATAGTTATCACGTGGCTGCCAAGGTCCCTGATCACCTGCCTTGGGGAAATTGTCTTTTGCCTTCATAACATATGTAGAGTTCAAATTCAATAGGCGACGAGGAGCCATAATTGCTGCAATGTCTGCCTCTACTCTTGGGACAGAAGCTTTGACACCGCGATCTTCCATCTCTTTCAACAGCCGGCAGATAAATTGTGATGTCGCATCTGCACCAAGGGTCCAAGATGCATTGACATAACCCAGAAGGAAGGCAAGATTGGGTAGATCCTGCAACATCATGCCGTGCCAAGTGAATTTGTCAGGAATATGTTGAGGCACACCATCGACGCAGAGAGAAATGCCACCCGCAGCTTGCAGACGGAGTCCCGTAGCAGTGACAATTATATCAGCATCAAGCGCCTCGCCAGAATTTAGTTCTATTGACGACGAAGAGACGTTGCGAATTGTGTCGGTCTTCACATCTGCTCGGCCTGTATGAAGACTTTTGAAGAAATCGCCATCTGGACACACGCAAAGACGTTGTTCCCATGGGTTGTAGCGAGGTTGGAAGTGCGGGTTTGAAGGAATGTGTTTAGGAAGTTGTCGAGTCATGGATCGACCAAGAAGCCAGCTGGAGAAGCTTGGGAAGGATTGACAAAATAGGAAGAAATATCGAGATATGTAGAGAAATCGAATTCGTTGAAGTCGGCGATGGAGCGACGTTGGGAGTATTGAGCTCAGCCAGGAATTGGCTCTGTTTGGCACGGACAGAATGTAGGTCGGGCTGCGCTGTAACATTGTCACATTTGCTTTCTCGGCCAGCTTCGGGAGAAGCGTCACAGCCGTGGCGCCACTTCCAATAATGACGATCTTTTTGTCACTATAGTCAAGATCCTCTGGCCAGAATTGCGGGTGGATGACTTGTCCTTGAAACTGATCTAGCCCCGGTATCTCAGTCTGTAGAGGAGTGTTGTAGTCATAATATCCAGTACCGAACACTAGAAACCTGGCTGTTAGGGATTTGGATTGCTGCTCGTGTTCAACGCTGAGTGACCATTTGTTGTCAACCGATGACCAGTCAGCACCAATAACGCGATGTTTGAAGAGAATGTTCTCTGCGATGCCATGTTCCTCAGCGGCATTTTTCAGATACTTGACAATCGAATGGCCATGAGCGATTGGATTGTCCTGATCCCAAGGGTGCCAGGCAAAGCCGAATGTAAAGAGGTCCGAGTCGGACCGGATGCCGGGATATTTGAAAAGATCCCAGGTACCTCCGACGTTTTCGCGTGCCTCTATAATAGCATAGCGAAGCTTCGGAAATTGAGATTGCAGGCGGTAGGCAGCGTTGATGCCAGAAATGCCGGCGCCAATGATGACCACGTCGTAATCCTCTTCCATGATGGTGAATGATTCAAACTTGGGAAAATATAGATGATGCAGCTGGAGTGGCGCGCCGAGTCTCTCTTATATTTGGATCTGGTAATCAGAATGGAATGCCTCGGTAAGTTTTCATCCCAGAGGTAGAAAGCAAGGGTCGATTTACCGGCCGTAAGAGTATGTTAGCCTGTTAGGGGAATGATTGCGGGGAAACCGAGGAACTGCATCTCAGCGAAAGCCACGCCATCGAGAAGAAAGACTAAAGTCCGGAACGGACCCGGGATAAGCTAGCGAAGAGCATACTCGACACGGACACCAGTACGAGCGAGCAAGTCCCACAGGAGAAACCCACTTCGATGAAAGGGGCGTCGTTTGCGAGCCCGACTCACCGCCTTGTTGAACCTCGGGCTGGGGAAATGAGGAAATGAGGAGTTTGATTGGTCGATCGAGAGGGGAGTGATAGGAGTGGCAAAACAAAATAAACTCATCTCCACAGGGGAATCTAGGGTCGAAACAAGATGCGATTATTCAACACTCGGCATAACCGAAAGCCCCGTCGGCATGGGGATCGTCCGCTAGGAGCTTCAACTCACGATAAAGATAGCCTATAGGTTTGGGTGGCTGGATTATTCCTTTCTATTCTTCCCATCTTCTTTTCTAAATCGACATGGCTGGCCTTTCAAACGTGATGGAGGCCCTGGTCGGGGATCGTTCAACTTTGACTCGACTTGCAAATTATGGTCTTGGAAAATCATCCGGCAGTGGAGTGAAGATCAAATCAATTCCCATTCCATCTATATCAGAGAACGAAGTCTTGGTTCGGGTAGCCTGGGTCGCACTTAACCCTACGGATTTTAAACATGTCGATATTCTCTCCCCACGAGGAGCTATCATCGGCTGCGATTTTGCGGGGACTGTGGCGAAAGTTGGGTCTCAAGCAGCCAATAAATGGGCTGTTGGTGACAGGATAGCTGGAATGGTTCATGGTGGATTGTTTCCCGATCGTGGATCATTCGCCCAATACCTCAAAACAAGTGGTGATTTGGCTTGGAAAGTTCCGCCTGGGGTTAGCGACGAAGATGCGACTACATTTGGTGTTTCGGCCATTACTGCGATGCTTGCATTGAACACGCGATTGGATGTTCCTTGGCTTGCAGAGAATGCGAATCAAGGGCAAGGTCCGAGTCGGGGAGACACGCCAATCCTGATATATTCAGGCGCAACTGCAGCCGGCATTTATTCCATCCAGCTTGCTAAGCTAGCGGGCCTGACAGTCGTGGCCACGGCATCACCACGCTCTTTTGACCTGGTGAAAAGATATGGCGCAGACGAGGTCTTCGATTATAGAGACCAAGCGGCTGTTGACCAGATAATTCGAGCATATCCCAACCTCGACCGGGCGATGGACTGCTTTTCTGAAGGCAATTCGACCGAGTTTTGCGCGAAATGTGTCCGGAAAAACAAGGGGAAGGTGGTAACATTACTTGACAGTGGAAAATCCACCATGGATGGAGTGCAAATCGAATTCATACTTGGATACACTGTTTTTGGGTCGGAATTTCAATGGCTTCCTCCCTTCGGACCAAAGTTCCAGAAAATACCGTCTGATAATGAAGCGCTACGTCGTTTTTATTCAACATTTCCCACTATTGTTACGCAGCTAAGACCGCCACCTTTGAAAATCATTGACCCAGGGCTAGAAAATTTGGCCACAGGACTTGAAATGCTTCGTCAGGGGCAGGTATCAGGAACCAAGTTGGTTGCGCGTCTGTGATGATAATATTGTATACTAGATACTATAAGAAGTTTTCAATTTTAGCGCAAATAGTGACCATGCAGTAACTTAGTCACACTTAACTAGTAGTTACCTGCAGCTCCAGCTCACTTACTACTCGTAAACTTCCTCAATCATATTCAAGATTTCGCTTTGTTATTATGTAGCTAACTCTACTTCATTGGTAAAAGGAGTAATACGTATTGAAAAAGGGCCGAAAAAACAAGTTTAAATTATCTTAACAAAGAGGAGGCTCTGTGACAATGAGGTGAGACCATCATGACAACTCCCTTCGAATTGTCTTGTCTTGTACTCAAGCAGACAATGAGTGAGCTCATATTCGAAAACAGTATAGAAAACAAAGAGTCTTCTATTGTAGAGTTTTACCCAGCCAATGCTTTTTCTAGTCCCATTCCCAGATGGTGCAACTATGTCTCAGTCGTTTTCTCTATCATCCATTGTTCCCCGAAGGGCTTTATGAGTAGTCTACATATGATAAGATCCTAGTGGGAGAAATATTTAAGGCCTCGAGCTTGGCCGCAGTGAATGGAGTAGACAAGCCACCACCACCACCACGATATTTGCTCACTTCAGCTCACTTTACTAACTTCCCCCAAAGCTCCCCCGTCTACTCTAGTACTCTTCACTCCCACTGACGTCTTGCACAGGTATCTATTCACCATGCCACTCAGCGAGTTCTCGTCCAACCTCGAGGGTTTCCTCACAAGGATCGAATCGGTCAACAGCGTGCTTATTGACATCAGTCGCACCAAGCTCTACGACGAGGCAGTCGCCATGCTCCACGGCATTGCCGACGATATCCAGCATTCTCGATTCAGCACCTCAGCACGTGCTTCTGTTACACCCGCTGAGATTGGCATGGCCAACAGCATGATCACCACCCTACGTTCCCAGGCTCGCATCCTCTCGTCGCATGCCGACAATGGGTATGGCGTTACTGCATCACTTCATGGCCTTGTGACTGGAGTCAGATCCAACCCTTCATTTGGTACCATCGACCCCGATATAAACCCTTCTCCGGGACAGACACCAATTGACTGAAGTGGCATACTAACGTGAATAGGAGAACCGTCCGGCATTTGTTTCCATCCCAGTCGTCGCTCATGACACACCTCCCTTTTCTTTGTGATATCCATTTATGATTGTGCGTTTGAATTTCTTTTTCTTGAAACAGCAGATGAGCTAATCATCTTTTTCTAGCATGACAAAAAGCCTCGAGAATTGATATTATACTTCATTTGACATTCTTTTGCTTCGATCCTTGTAGGTTCGAAGCTAAACTCGCCAAAAGTCAATGGACATATTGACGGTCAGAGGGCAGAAAGTGAGAATAAACATAGATGATTGTTGTAGAGTATCCTTAAAAGTACATATTCGAGGGGTATCCCATTCGTATATCTGTAAGTCCGTGATCTATGATGCAATTAAGTCAACGCTAATAGCCGCCCAATAACACCCGCTCTATGACAGGATCCAGAAGCATAAATACAAAGCCATATAAGAGGAAAAGAAAAAGAAAAACATTAAGGTGAAATCGTAACCGTAATCGGAGGTACAGCAAGCGCCGGTGGCGTTTGCGGACGCTCAGGACTTTCCTGCCGAGCCAGCTTCGCCGGAGCAGGAGCCGGGGCTTCTTCATCGATAACATGAGACATTTTGACAGCAGAGTTGTTGGACAACTCCTGCTCATTTTCGTTAGTCTGCTTTCCAGGTCGAGTGAACACCCGACGAGTCGTGCGCGCTAAAGGTCGGAAAGTAGCCTTTGTACCGCGGGCGAAAGCATTGAATCCTTTGGCAATAGGTCGCAGGACGAATGACATCGCATGGACAACAGCATTGAAAACAATACCAAAATGTCGGTCAGGTAGTATGCGCAGAACCACAGCCCACGGCAAGCAGCCCAGCGCGCAGATGATACAGATTCCCCAAAGAATGCCGCTCAGTCGGGTCACGCCGAAGGCTGCGCCGCCAACGTAGATGATCATGACTTGCCCGCCGACCATTACGGCGTTAATACCCAGGAACCAGTAGTTCCGTAGCATTCCCTCAAATATATTGAATTTATTATCAAGGCGACGGTTGTTGAATTCATTGAAGATTTGCATCCAGACGAATGTATTGAAAACAACTGTGGAGAGTTGCTTCGAGCGTAGTTCCAGATCATCGCTGTCCAGATGAGCCCCGAGAAGCTTGTCACCGGCAAAGTAGAGCATGAAGGTGATGGCGAGTTGGTAGACTGCTTGGCCAAGGATCATTTTCCACATCGTCAAGGTGAAGAGCGAAGCACTTTTGGGTACGGGTTTGCGGTCAAGGATCTTCTCTGTTGGAGCATCGGTTGCCCTATTTCTGGTTAGAAAGGGAGAGAAAAGAATAAGAAAGTTAGAAAGGAATACTCACAAAGCCAGGGCAGCGAATGTATCCATAATCAAGTTCACCCAGAGAAGCTGTACAGCACTAAGAACACTGCTGTTCGAGCTGCTGTAGACAGAAGAGACAAATGTCAACACGACAGCCGTGATATTGACGGTAATCTGAAATTGGAGAAATTTGGCAACGGCGTCGTTGACAGCTCGCCCCCAGGAAATAGCAGTGACAATGGACCGGAAGTTATCGTCAAGTAAGATTATTGAGCTGGCTTCCTTCGCGACCTCGGTACCGGCAATTCCCATTGAGAAGCCGACGTCCGCGGTGCGAAGAGCAGGGCCGTCATTAGTACCATCACCAGTGACAGCGACTGTCTCTCCAAGAGCCTTGAGGCGCTCAACCAAGATACGCTTGTCATCTGGCGAAGAACGCGCCAAGACTTGTAGACGGGGACCACGAGATCCATCTCCTCATTCGAAAGTTTTCGGAACTTGGGACCTTCCATGACCAGTCCATCTTCAGTCTTAATGCCACAGGAAGTTGCAATCGCGGTGGCAGTTGCAACATTATCACCGGTGACCATCTTCACCTGCACACCGGCAGAATGACACTTGCGAATCGCCTGGGGAACCTCAGGACGAAGGGGATCTTGGATTCCCACAACTCCGACCCAAGTCATGCCTCGGAAGACATCGTCAAAGTCGGCCGCAGAATTATCATCTTCATGTAATTTCGCCTCCTTTGGCGGCCACGAGGCAAAGTCCTTGTACACGATACCGATCGTGCGAAGAGACCTTGTGGCGTAATGGTCAATGGTTTCCAAAATCACCTGTCTCTCTTTCTCAGACAATGACACTGCACACAGATTCTTCTCAGTCATGTCAATGTCTGTGATCTGTGTATTGCAAGCGTCGACCATAATTTCCGATGCACCTTTAACAAGAAGTCTGTATCCAGAACCATGGTGACGGTATACGACGCCCATACACTTGCGCGAAGAATCGAAAGGAATAAGCTGGACAATCTCGGCAGACCCACGCTCAGAAGTGAGATCCATGCCTAGATAATCCTGGGCCATTTGGAGAAGTGCAACTTCAGTCTTGCTGCCGACGAACTGCTTCCGGCCTTCTCGTTCGTCCTCGAAGGCTGTTGAGTTCAAAGCAACGCTCTTGATAATCAGATCCCGTGTAGGAACTGAGCACAATTTGAAAAACTCGGCGGTCGATTTGGCAGAAATATCGACCTCGTCCTCCGATGGAGATTTGAAACTCTGCTTAGTGCCCAAGGTACCGGCGACAACAGTCATTTTGTTCTGTGTCAAAGTTCCCGTCTTATCCGAGCAAATCACAGTGGCATTTCCCATGGTTTCACAGGCGCGAAGAACACGGACCAGGTTGTTCTCCTTGACCATGCGAGTGGTAGCAAAGGCAAGGGCAAGTGTCACTGCCAGTGGAAGACCCTCTGCAAAGGGAAAAGGGTTAGCATGAGGACCAAAAGATTGGAGAAAAGGATACATACCAGGAATGGCTACAACGATAACGGTGACAGCAACAATCAAAATGTCAACGAATTCCTTTCCCTTTTCTGCAGGGCCTATGTCGGGGTGATTCGGGAGGTCCGCCACAAATCGGAACAAGAGGACGAGGAACAAAACAAGGGCGGCACTAGAATGATAGTTAGTTACCAGCCTAGGTGTTGATTGGACTGATAGTAAGACTTACGCTGAACCCAGATAACCAATCCAGTTCGCGAGACGACCCAGTTTAACCTGAAGCGGCGTAGGATCATTGGTAGTCTGTAGCGACATCATGATTCGACCATGAGAAGAGTAAGGTCCAACGCTAGTGACAACATAAGTACCGACGCCCTCGAGGACATTACTTCCAGATATCATGAATGGATCAATCTTTTTGGTTGCAGAGCCCTCGACAATTTGCTGCCAGACCTCATGGCCGTCTAGCTTTTTCATCTGATCGGATTCACCTGTGGCCGATGACTCGTCGCATTTCACGCCATGGCCCGATATGAGAACACCGTCCGCAGGAATTGAGTCACCAGGCTCAAGGTGAAGCACGTCGCCAACCATTACATCGTAGATAGATAGCTTCATAGACCTGCCAGACCTAATAAGCTTCACGTAACGATCGTCATTCTGTAAAAGGTTAGTCAGAGTTGACAGAGCAGGCGTTTTATTATCACATACCTTCTTATTGAGTTTGGAAAATTGTCGTTCTTTTTGCCAATCATTGACAGCCGTGACGACCGTGACAATGAGAATGGCCACGCAGATAGCCACACCTTCTACCCAGTCCACACCAGTCCCTGCATCCACAGTCTCATAGATACCCAAAGATAATGAGACAACCGCAGCGATAGTCAAAAGTATAATAATCTTATCGTTGTATGCAATCCAAAAAAGCTTCAAGAAGCCAGTGGACTTTCGAGCAGGCAGTCGATTTTCGCTGAAAACACGAATGCGATCCTCGAATGGTGAACCTTCACCAGCGGATGCTGGCGCCGGTGTGGCAACGTCCTTGTCAAGAGGCGGTTTGCTTATTGAAGGTCGTTTATTATATAAAGGAGGTGTCACTTGTTGGAAGTCGACTGTGCCTTCCAATCCAACTTCATCATTGGAGAGACCTGCACTGAGATCTGTCCGCAAGCCCCGCTCCAATCCTTGCAAGCCACCAAGTGCATGGAAGGCAGCAAGAGACTTTGGGTTCTGCATCTTATTCAGCTGACCGGGTGAGAAGGCGAAGCGATTGTTCTCGATCAGGAAATCAGCCTCATTCCGGGGATCCGGTGTCAGCGCCTCTGACAAGGGCACGTCATCATAAACGGCTTTGCTAGTATGTGAAGGATCGACATCTGAATTAGTTCTAGACCGGCTGGAGCCCATTGTAGGTGCAGTAGATGCAAAAGACTCTGATCGTGGACGTAATGTGTCTCCGTCTATTGACGATGAAGGCCGATGAAAGCCATTATGAACCATCAGGCGTGCCGGGTCCGGATGGCCAGGATTCCACGCCATACCTGGTGAAAGTGAATTTGTAGGGGATGCAGGGGATACAGGAGATGTGGGAGAGTGAGGTTGATCTGTCGGGCTATATGCAGCAGCAACAGGTGTGATAGATAAAGAACGCTGTATTGATTAGTACGAGTTTGCCGCCCATTATGTATTAGAATAGCTCACCTCTCTACCCGAAGGATCTGTTTCGATCACAGGAGTCAAGAACGAGCCCTGTTGAGGCGTATTGGAGTTTGATGATGAAGCCATGAGGTGTAAATTGCATTGATGGGGTGATCGGTATGAAATTAATGCAAAGGTGATATGCTCTCGTCAGGAGGCCCGTTCCAAAACTGGGGTGGAGGTCCTGTTATCCCCTCTCGAGGGGGGGCTGTGTTCATGCCCAGAGCCGCCGAGGAAATCAACATTGACCAAGTCTTTCAATCCACTATGGAAATTAAGAAGATGCCAAGTGAGGAATTTGTTTTATCCATAGGCTGTATCTGGATACGGAGTGGAGGGGCAACAATGCGTATTCTGTGCTGATCAATTCCCAACCCTTCTGACTTCACGGTCAAGACAATATTGAGGCTGTGCTCTATTATCAAAAGGCCCGGGCGACTGTGCCACGAAGTGCGAGGTACGCGAGGATGTAGATGGCAAATGTGGCGAGTGCAAGCTCAACCCAGCTGGAGATGTTTTAAACCCAGGGCGAAGTAGAAACAACCTGACACCCAGCACATGGTGACGGCTTTAGCGCTGTGATGAATCTAGATTCGATTGAGTGAGACGCTACCCATCATCATGACTCCCCAGAAACCTCTAGTTTCAGGACCCGCATGTTGAAGCGGTCCAATAAAGTGTGAATTATGAGGTTGGGCTTGCCGCCGCGACCCAGAGTGGGGTGCTGCGCCCCCTTGTATCATCGAAGTAAAGGGTAGATCCAATAAAATTGCATTCCGCTCTGATATTGCTGAACCTTCTTCGATCAGGTGGTGTATAGCATTGTCGAAGGTACTCTGGATGTATGGATTCTGGGCTCCGGACTCCGTGCGTGCACTCCAGCAAGGAACCATGAATGCCTCGGTGCGTCATTTGGCTTTGTTTCGGGCTGTGAAGCCGCAAGTAATGAAGGTCAAGGCCCCGAAAGTGAAAGCCTTTTGCGTCATGAAATAGGCATCATTGTGTAGAGTTGATCATACTAAGCGTTAGTGGAGCAATTCAGACTGACATGGGTAAAAGACTCCCTCAATCAAGTAAAGCTGCAGCAAGGCGATCATGATGTTCCGGGACCGTTGCCACAACTGAGCCACACTTGGTGTGGCAACGGTGGCGGTGCAGGTCCGTTTATACTATCACGTGATATAGGTAAGCTCGAGATCGCGTGGCTGAGGTATAGGCAGCAGATCGGGCAGGCTGCTGGCAACCTAAATTTACAGCCTCAAAAACACCACTCCAAGTAAATGCTACGTACGTACGTACGTACGTACGTCTTCACTGCCTCCTCTAGGCTCCTGCCCTGGGAGATCGACATTCAATATTCTTCGTTGATTTCAGGGTTCAATTAAGAATTAACTTAGACAGTAAGAATTGGAGCCCAAAGTGGCTCATAATCATATCAACACTCGCTCTTTTGAGCGATAAATGAACAGATCAACATATTTGCGACAAAATGAGGGGGAGGAAATAAGGGGTATCTATCAGACGAGGAGAGAAAATTGGAAAAGTGACAAATGAGAGCACTTTTCAAAGGACAGACACGCCAGCCCGGAAAGATCGTACAGCGCGACTTTTGGGGGCGTAGGCGAGGGGTTGAAAGATGGCTGAAAAACAGCAGCAAAAAAGCAAAAGCTAAGTAAAAAAAAATCAGCGACGCTATGATCCGTGGTCCGAATCACAACGTCCAAGAGAAAATATCGAAACATGTTGGCTAAAAATCAAAGCATTCGAAGAAATTCTCCGTCCCATAAAACGTCGGCTTTTTTTCGTATCACGTATTCCCATACAATGCACTCCAGCCCAGCTCACAGATCCAAGCTCTCCGTGAAACGGCTGCCGCGACTGTCGCGACTCCCATCAAAACTTGGAAAGCTGCGCCCCAGTGGATCCTTTCGAGGAGCCACCGGTACGGCACTCTGGGGTTGAGGAATTGGATGGGAAGGAGTGACGGTCGTTGGGCAACTAAAATTGACTGAGCTGGAGACTGGGATGTTGGCTTGTCGTGGTCGTGTCGGGGTGACGTTCTCTTCACCGGCTTCGCGTGTGACGTTGGTGTCGAGCGGCATGCCAAATGGCGTTGCCGTTGGTGGTGCGTGTGAAGGCGAGGAAAGAGGGCCGCCGGGAGATGAGGGAGACAGACCGATGAGAGAATCTGGTATGGTTGGGGAATCACCAGTCGACGCACCACCGAAGCCGTCACCCCCATGGGTGAGAACAGGAGCAATTTTGCGTCCGGATATCTTTTGAAAGCCTCGCTCACTTGGAGTGGAAGATACGGTACTCTCTGTTTTGGTACTCATTGTGGACTGGCGCCAGCGCTTCACGAAGGCGGGTGCAAGATATGACGCACCAAAGAGAGGATCTTTGCTTGTTCGTCGTTCGGCTACTTCTCGTGCACCAGAATCCGATGATGATGGCAGGGCTTGCGTGCCCTTTTGCTGGAGGCTGCGCCGGCGGAACAGGAACAAAATCAGCAACAAAAGTAGAGCAACTCCGGCAACACTACCAACAACACCGCCAACAATTTTTGGAGTTGTCGCGTCAGAGGCTGTGTCTGACCCTGATGAGGATTCTGAGTTGGTGCTGGTCGGTGATGATCCGCTGCTAGTGCCACCGATAGTCTGACCATAGCCTCCGTACCAGGTGGATGAACTTGTTGACGTACTTGAGCTGCTAGAAGATGTTGTTGAAGAAAACGCGGATGAAGTAGAGTAAATGCTCGCAATTTGAGAGGATGCAGTAGGCGACGATGTAGAATTGGATGCTGGCGAGACGAGAGGTATTGAGGATGTTGGTGTGGAGCTGATAGCGGATGAAATCTTTGGCGAAGAAACAGCCGCAGTTGGCTTGCTTGTATGTGATACAGCCTCGGACGTTGGGGTCGTTACATTCGTTTGTTGAGCGATGGGTAGAGCTGTTGGGGATGTAACGAGCAACGCAGCCTCCGATGCAAATGCAGTTTCGCCAGCCGATAGGGTAACAGTACCAAAAGCAGGGTCCGAAAGCGTCAACGGGAAATCAACCCCAGCGGATTGCCAAAGAGTATGAGAGTTGGTGTCCACCACTTGCAAAACCGTTTCTACGACCACACTCTGTGTCTGGTCGGCTTCTTGTCGTTTCATCAGGTTCGTATCTTCAGGGTATGGGGGGAGTTCCAGGAAGAATGACATCCTCCGGAGATGCCAGAGGCTCATTTTGAATTTCGCCTCCACTGATCAGTATACTCGGTGAGCCACTGTCGTCTTTCGCAGCTTCTTCGAGCACTTCCAAGCGGCGCTTGGCTCTGAGTAGCCTGCTGGTCCGGGAGTCGCGCCAATGGCCATGATGAGCCATTGCGCCAGGGCTTGTTCGAAATGGTAGGTAGGTTCAATGGTTAAACAGCCGATAATCGTGAATTCTCACAGAGTTTAAAGCTGGATCGACCAGCTAGACCACGAATATCAATGAAAGTAGAGGCTTTTTCTTTCTTTTTCTCGGCGTCGATTGAATGTCCAACACAGCGAGGGAAGGAAGAGAAAAAGGAAGCAGGAACTTGCCCGCGATGGTGGGCCGATTGGATAGAATTGGCCGATGGTTGAAAGGTTTGTGGCGATCAATTCAATCGCAATGGTAAAGAGTGGAAGTCCGCGAATTCAGTCGCGACAAAAATAAGAGATGGTAAAGAGTGAATGGCGTTTGAAGGTCGCAGGGACGTTTCGAAATGTCTAAGGGCGTTGGGTCGGTTTAGCGATGTGTTTCAAGTAGGCGATAGAGCCGCGCGGGCTCCCATGCGATGCCTTGCTGTTTCGCTACAGCAGAGAGGAAATTCTGGAACGCAACATACCAGATGAAAGGAGTGTCGGGAAGAAAGTTGATGGCAAATGTTGGAGGCCTAATCCATAGTGTCGTTGCAGGAAGGTCACCAAACAATGCACAGTTGAGGCGAGGCGATATCAGGTACCCGAGCAGCCAGCGGGTCCGATGGTAACGTCAGGCGCACGTTGTTCTCTGGAACAAGACGAAGCAGCTCTAGACGAACCCGTCCGACTTCAGAACTCTTGGTAGAGGGGAGAGGAGGGGGGTAGAGAGAAGACGGGGGGAAAGAGTGAGGAAAAAGCGAAACGGTTCTGGGTGGAACGGTGGAACAGTGGAACGAGCCAGACCGGACCCAAGCGTCTCCCCTATTAAAAGCCAAGTCTAGGCGACCCGCGTAGGTGACGAACTAGCCCGGGGGCCGAGATGCTCGTTTTTCGGGTCCAAACCCACTACTTCAAGTTTCCAGAAGCAGGTGGTGGGACATGAGATGGGAGGAGATGGGGAGTCGAGAAGATAGACCAACAATGGGCTCTGTTTCTCTGTTTATTTTGAGCCTTGAGCCATGACCCATAGCAGCGAGGGAGCAGCATCAGTGTCCAAAGAAAGGTTTCTCGCTGCAGGTACACAGCAGGGCACGGCGGATGATTGGATGGCTGTCAGGTGGAGCCCGAGGGTTCTGGCTAGCCGGACTAGTCCTAATTGGGTTAGTCTCGGTGCAGGTTTAATGAGGTCTTACTTTGGGGGAGACACCGTATGGTACCTTAAGGTATGGTATAGTATACATAGTATACTGGTGTACATACATAAGTCATAACTTATAAGTACATTACACCTAGGTATATTCCCGAGAATAGACAGAAATAAGGACTCGTGAGTCATAGGATAGTTACAGAGTAAAACTATGCACTTCCTCTCTACCCCGTCCTGAACATACTACGGTAAGATTACCTCCCATGTGGATCTACGCAAGGACGCCGCACTATAGCCGGCCCGCAGCCAATAGCTGGAGTATGTATTACATTGTACAATTAGGTACGGAGCATCTCCTCCGTACCAGGAACACATGACTTGTGAACTCGGGTCCTTGCTTAGTCTGAAATACTCGGTTCGGATCGCGTCACTTAGGGCAATGCGCGCTATTCACTATCTACGGTCTCGTGAAACACAAGTCGCGGGGGGGGTATAGTAATGGGACTCGTTTGCTCTCTCCCTGGCCCGACCGCTTAGAAGGTCTCCAGCTCATCAGCCACACCCTCTTCCGCCTCGGGGATCTCGAATCCATCCTGCAGCAATCATTTCCGTTAGCTTAGTTCCCGTCACGTTTCAACTTCTTCTCTTCCTCTTCTCCTTCTTCTTCTTCTCCTTCCGCCCCCACACAGATGTCAACATACCTCGGTCGAATACAGAATGCCCTGGATGTGTTTCACCAACGTATCCTCCTCCTTCTCCAGCTCCGGGTCAGCCTCAATGGCGTTCTGGAGCAGCAGCTCAATATCGCGCAGCTTAGCAAAGTAAAAGTCTCTTTCCTTCTCGAGGCCACCAATAGCTTCCTTCTGCGTCGCGAGTTCTTGCTGCAGTGCAGCGGTAGCGGCACCGGCACCAGCGCTCGCAACGCGAGGACCACGCACGGCGGCAGAGGTCGGGGTAACTCCGCGGCGTGAGCCAGCTGAGGGGGCACGCGCGGCGGCAATGGGGGCACCACCGGGGGCACCAGAAGCCTTGCGACGGCCGACGGCATCATAATCACCACCGGGGTAGTGCTGGTCCCAGTATCGCTTGGTCCATTGGAGGAACTCCAGGTTATCCTGCATGCGGCACTTGGTGAGGGATTGAACCGGAATGGGCTTTTCGACCGTGTGACGGGTGAAAATGTCTGGATGAGCGAGTATATATGTTAACAAGATTTTGTCATGGGGTCGACCGTTACGCGGCCCGATGGCGGGGAACGTACTTTGCAGAACCTTGAAGTTTTGAAGGTAGGCGTATTCGGTGTTGACGTTGAACTTAACCCGAGACATGGGCACGTCCACTGCAATGAGAAAACCATTGTATCAGTATCGTTGCCTCCCCGTATGTTCCCAGGCGGCTTGACCGCTTCTTGACAGTGTTCGCCAGGTCGCACTCACTAAATATCGAGTCGAAGATCTGGCATAGCGCAGCACTGTGTGTATCCACCAAAATCCCATGTCAGTTGAGTTCTCTTTCATGCTCTTCTAGCGCGCAGACTCTCCGGTGAGAGGGGGGCGAGGGGTCTTTGGCCGATCATACCCGGTTCCACACTGCTCGATCTTGGTAATGTTGAGCTGCAGCAGGTTGTTCAACCAAGCCAGCAATTCTTGTCTAGGAGATATCTTCCATCAGCGAATCGCTCCACGTTGTGCCTCGTCGAAGGGACATGTGTCGATAAGGGGAAAAAGCCGAACCTGGATTCACCCATGGCGGGGTAGCGATAGCCGCAATCGAAATTTCGGGGGGGGTAGGGTGGAGGAGAGTGGAGGACGTAGGATCAAGGGTGTGTCAATGAAGGACGAGGAGCACGATCAGGGCCTCTACTGGGAGTCTGCCTGTCTGTGTTGATGGGAAAAACACCCGATGGGATTGTTTTGATGCCAAAACCCACGGATCACAGTGGCGCTAGGCACTGCACGAACCAATCATGTGCGATTATGTAATATATTGCCTAAGGCAGACATGGACAATTGCTTCTTTGTTCATTTATGATGAACCATTTCGCATCATATATATGTACGAGAGCTGGATAATAGAAACTTGATCAAACGATTGTATATCCTTTTGCACCATGTATAGGTCTAGCCGTAAAAAAAAAGAATGAAACTTCTATGCCCAAATGTGCCAATCTTTGTTCCCCGTTCCGGTAGCCATTCCCCGAGCTCTAACTCCCCGCGATCCAATGCCAGCAAAATATCCCAAAAACAACGCTAAATAAAGAATGAAAATAATGAGAAATATTATAGGCAGTTTTCAGGTATAATCATTCCTCCAACAAGTCGATACCATCCAATCCGTAACCGAAATCCATGATAACGGCCCGGGAGTCCTGGCTAGTTGCGACAATTCGTCGGTAGTCTGACTGGACGTTGAGCATCCAGCTAGTAGTCCATCCAGGCAGATCGACGGACAATTGGCCTGACTCGGTATCAAACACCTTGACACTCATATCGTAGCTACCGCTAACAATACGCTTGTTCATGCTGTCCAGGTGAAGGGAGCGAATAAGGCCAGTGTGACCTCGGAGTTCCTTGACCAGCTCGCCGGTATTGGCATCGAACTGATAGATAGTCTTATCATTTCCACCAGTCAAAATGGTACGGCCGTCTTCGCTGAACTCAACACAGGCGAGACCGCGGTCCTTGCTTGGGAACTCCTTAACACAGGCGCCAGTGGTAACATTCCACAGCTTGGCAATGCCGTCGCCGCTTGCCGAAACCACAAGATCGCCGCGAAGCTGTACAGCGTTCACAGGGCCGTGGTGTCCAATGAGCTGCTTCAGCAGACCGCCTGTCTTACGGTCCCAGACGCAGATAGTACTATCCTTGGAGCACGACACGATGTACCGGTCATCGAAGCAAACATCCAAGACACCAGCGCGGTGGCCCACAAGTTGACGAATGGGACGGTAGTTATCCTTGATGTCCCAGACAATACAGGTATAATCCGAGGATCCAGTCACCATGATCTCCTCATCGAAACGAAGGCAAAGGATCGAGGCACTGTGATAGTCGGCTGGGTGCTCCATCGGGGTAACAATGCCAGCGGAGGGTGTTGATGGAGGGCAGATGGTCACAAAAGGAGACTTTCCGGTGGCCTGCTGCGCTGGGTTGTTTACGGGTCCAGAGCCAGACACATCGCCAGGAGGCGGGCCAATGATCTTGAGGCAAGACCAGGGATAGTGAGCATCCCACACGCGAATGGTACGATCACGAGATCCAGTGATAATTTTGTTTCTGGGAATGAATGATTAGTTAGGAATCAAGAGACTGGGGACTTTTGTGCTGAACTCACTCGTCGAATTGCGCACAGTACACGCTGTCTTTGTGTCCGTGGAGATAGATTGCCGCAGCTTTGCCCTGTTTCCAGCGTTGATCGAGGGCCCGGCGAACTAGAAACATTCGCTTCCAGTCCTGGTGGGGAACGGCCTTCCCCAGTCCAAGCTGCTGCCTTTTCTTGGTTGCTGTAGAGCTGATCGGTCGACGGGTATATACGCTGCGGAAAACATGTTTCCAAACATGGGGGGAGTTTGCCTGTCCGTTCCAGGTGTGAGAAACCAGCTCCGCCTGCATGAGAGAGGCGGGGTCCAGGTAGGAAAGCACTTGGGCCATGATCTCTGAGGGCAAGTATGAAACCGGATCAATGCGAGGGAGGTCTAGCTCAAAATCCGAGGCATCAGAGCGATCGCGAAGATCAATACCGATGCCACTCTCTGAGTCAAGTCTGACGTCAGATGCCTTGGGAAGAAGGTCACGCTCCAATTTGGCCATTTCCAATTTGGCCATTTCCAATTTGACCATTTCCATGCGTTCATTCTGAGCAGCGGCAGCGGCACGTGCCGCCGACCCAGCAAACTTGTCATTGGGAAGAATTGGGGGCTCCAAACCATGTCCAGGGATGGGGGCTGGAACCGATGCGGTGGGCGCATAAAAGCCATGCAGAGCAGTCACGCTGTTGAGAGAGGGACGTCGATTGATGCTATGGCTGTTGGACCAAGCGCGCGACCGCTTGTCCCAATTTTGTGAGGCAACATTGCGCTTGTGGCTGGAGTGGCCCGCAACTTGGTAGTGGCGAGAGTCATCTTCGGCCTCTCCGGGTACCTGAAGATTGTTCTTGGAGGACTTGTGGCATAGAGTGACAGATAAACGGCGGCCCAGGGCCACTAGCCCATCCATCGGGTGTCGCAGGCTTGAAAAGCTTTTGGCTGAACGCCTGCGAGGCACTGCCTCTGGAAAGGGCTCCATCTCTTCCAGTGCCGATCCCTCGAGGTCATGGCATAGTTCTGTGCAGGGGGTCTCTCGCCACTGATCGATAGCATACTCCTTCGGGTGGGTAATTGGATGCGCCGCGGTCCGGGGGCGTAGGCGAAGTGATAGCGAGGGGCGTCGCCGAGTGGAGGTCTCTCGTGGCGACATGGCGTTCAGTATAGAGATTGCGCGCAAAGGAAGGAAGGTAATCAACGATCGGGGTTTCGAAGAGTCGAAGTCCTCGATAGAATCGTTGAAAGAAGAGTGAAAAACGACAGAACTTTTCCCGGTCCTGGTCTATTGTATAATGTCGATGGTGGTTCAATGCGAAGTTCTTTCAGTAGTCGCCAGGGGGTGATGGGCGAAGTCGATGAGTCTAGTGGATAGAGGGATTGTATAACAAAAAACACCGAGGAACCGAGAAAAAAGAGAGAGTATAATGAATGCAGTGATAAATAACAAAACAAAAAGAAAGCGCAAGGAGAGAATACAAATAGGGAGTAGAATTTCCAAAGAATGAATCGACTGCGGTCTGAGAGTCGGGCGGTGAATTGCGGCGGAGTGATTGGCCGCCGGCACAGATACCGGTCGGTAACGGTTACCTCAATGATCTCATAATTAAAGTGGCAATTGAGGTATTCGGTACTTGGGCCACTACCTATCTGCAGGGATTAGATTTTTCTAGCGTCCGGGGGGGGGGCAAATTATGGGGGATTTGCATTTGTCTGACAGGGATGGACCGTATTGCGGAGTATCGACTACTTACAATCCGGGGCAATTTGCCTGACGCCTCATGTATTCTATACTTGGCCCAAGGTACTGCTGGACCAAACCGTCAGCCCCGAGTGGCGGTTTTAGGCCTCCTGATCCAGGGTTCCGCCCAACTTTGACGATAATCGGGAAGATTAGGGGCTTCTACAAAGCCGAATTCGATTCAAGCAACCTTTCTGGGGGGGGGGGGGATTTACATCAATAAGCCAGAAAAAGAAATCCTCCAGGGCTTGAATTGGGCAGACTGCCAGTGGAAAGGGAGGAAAGGGATAGGTAGTAGCAGTCCGGGGCGTCGATCCCGTTCGTATACTCCAAGAACAGCCTTGTGGAGTGATCCACTCTGTTTGTCAATGCCATCCAAGTGAAGAACAAAGAGCCTTGGAAATAGTCCTAAAATACTAGTAATTTGTTTGTGCGCATTCTTATACTAGTTCGATTTATAATAGGAATGAATAGTACTACTAGTATACTAGTACTGGAACACTAGTGAATACCTAGTAGTAGGTAGTAGTACTGGGTAGCCGAACCCAACTCGAACGACTGGTACTACTAGTATATACATCCACCACCTGGGCGTTCACGAAACATCGTCAAAACTTGAAGAAACCAAATTTGACACCCTACTATTAAACCACTGGCAATAAATTTGAACCATTCGATTAACTGCTTAAGTTATCGATCTATAGACATAATAAAATAGCACACCCCTAGCCTCTTATAACCTTGGGACACCACGACTAGGGTCGCCGAACACCCCATCCTTCAGAGCTTGCCTCTCTTTAATGCGCCGTACTAGTAGTATCAACATCCTTTTAACCGAAAATCTTTTCATATCCAGTCAGGGTAAACCGGTAGTGGACATCACCCTTCTTCATACGCAGCATAGCGTCCTTCAGACCCTCCTCACCGATAGCGATCTCCTCAACCCAACCCTTAAGTCCCTTGTCCGCAGCCAGCTGCAGCATCTCAAGCATCTCCCGACGGCTACCCAGATGGCTAGCACCGATGAGCACACCGTTGGAAATCAAGTTTTGGGCCTTGATAACCTGACCTTCTTCCTCAGGCAGACCAACACTGACCCAGCGACCATGCACATCCATCATAGACAGATAGCGAGCCAGATCAAAGCCCTCCGAAGAATTGGCGCAGTTAATAATCAAATCAAACGAGAACTTGTGCGGCTCATCCCAGCCCTCCTCTGCAGTAGCGATATATCCATCAGCACCCAACTTCAAGGCATCAGCCTCCTTCGCCCGAGACCGGGAAATAGCCCAAACCTCCGCACCAAGCGCCTTTGCAAACATCACGCCGAAATGACCAATGCCGCCCAGACCAACAATTCCAACCTTCTTGCCGGGTCCAGCCCCATTGCGCACTAGCGGCGAGTAGGCAGTGAGACCAGCGCAAAGCATTGGCGCAACAGTGACGGAGTCGAGGGCATCGGGGATCGGGAATACCCAGTGCTCGTGGGTGCGCACATGCGATGAGTATCCACCCTGGCTGACGATGCCGGTCTCCGGCCACTCGGCTCCGTATGTGTCCATGATCTGGACGGGGCAGTACGTTTCGTTGTCGTTCTTGCACTGCTTGCACTCTCCGCAGGAGTAGGACTGGGCGCCGACGCCGACACGTTCGCCCTCCTTGATCAGGGTCACCTTGGGACCGACGCGGATGGCAGTACCGACAATCTCTGGAATGTGTGTTAATTATTGGACTGGTCTGTCATTGGAATGATTGATCGTGGATACGAACCGTGTCCCACACACAGAGGGAACTTTTGGGATCCCCATCCTCCGCTGATGGTGTGCACGTCACTGCCGCAAATGCCGCATGCTTCGATCTTGACGTCGACGTCTGTTGTTTGCGAATTCAGTTAGAGATAGTTGAGGACATGGAGTTTGATTAGCTGGAGCACACCATAATCACCAAATGGCTTCAGCTGAAACTGTAGATTCCCAAATAATTTCGCGTTAGAAAAAAAGTCCACCCGGAGAACGGGAGTAGCCGACTTACGAAGCGCTTGTGGAACTGGGTGAAAGAGTTAGGTCCATCGACCTGGAATCCCTCAGCTTCATCAGGGTACGGCATTGTGATGAATATATGTATATGTGAATAGAAGAGAAGAAGATTATTGTATGAATATTCTCCAGAAAAAGTGGGATGTAGAGGAAATAAGAAGAAGAAGAAAAAGTTAGAGAGAGCGGGGGAAGAGAGGGGTATATCAAAGCTGCTCCAAAAAAAATTAAATTCTATTCGTAGCAGGTCCAAACTCGGCCGGTAGATGATGGTCCTGAATGGCGTGGGATAGCCTCGCGAGGCCCCCATCGTGAGGCGGGGCGTCTCGCATACTAATCCCCGAGTCGGGATATTGATACCGCATGCTTTGAGGGTTGTCTCCACTAGATAACAAAACGGGTCATTTCCCGGAACAGTAATGCACCGAGGTATTGATCCAGAATGAAATGTCTATATTATTGTCATTGTAGTAGGTATACGAGCAAGAAAAAAGCAGAAAACCAAGTCCTGCTTTGCGTGGGGGGATCTTGAGTCTCTTCTTCTTCTTTTTTCGTTCTTGATCAGATGGAACTAGTATTCAACGGGCGGTAGTAGATGGTTGAAGGCGGCCTGGGCTCGCAACAACTCCGAATTATGAGTTTTTCCGCCTATCACCTTCGCGGAACAACCATTGGAATACTACGCCAGTCCCAGAAAAGCAGACAAGATGGACCATCATTTTGAGAGACATTTGATTTCTTTGTATGGAGCACAATATGGCTGTTTCAATGTTAGTTTACTCCGTACAGCACAAATCTGCACTCATTGGACAGATGGAATAGACTTGGGGACCCTCAGGGAATCGGACCCATTTATCGGGTACTTTCCTAATCGGGATCTAGCGATCGGGTATTCGATTGGTTTTCAGTCATAATAATATGTATAGTATGCGATTCATGTACAGCGTTGATAATCCTATGTGCGTCTTAATTTACTTTGAACTTTTCTCCCTGGCCATTATGCGACATCCTTCAGAGAGAGCTCCACATCCAATGCGCCCTTGATCTTGTCTGCAAGAGCCTTGGCCTGGTCATCGCTGAGACGACCAAGCGGGCGGCGGGGGTATCCACCATATCCGTAATAAGACTGGATGGCAGACTTGGTGCCGGGGATAGCAGCCTTGGTCAGAACCCAATCCGCAGCACTGAGTTGCTGCTGAGCCTCAATGGCCTCGGCCAAACGGCCCTCGGACCAGAGAGTGAAGATACGCACGCAGAGACGGGGAATGACATTGGCACCACCGGCCAGAATGGCAGTTCCGCCAGAGACGAGAGTCTGCAAAGTGAAGTCGGCGATACCACCGAAAGCAATGTAGGGGTGCTTCGCATCAGGCTTGGAAACAGTTGGTGCGGGGCGATTGGCATTAGCCAGTGGAGATGCGGGGGTGACTGCGCCCAGGGCATTGGCAACGCGGGTGAGCTTGCCAGTGTTGGCACAGGTGAACTTGGTGCCAACAACGTTGGGGTGCTCAGAGATGCGAATGATGAGGTCAGAGTCCATGTCAATACCGGCCACGGCGCCAGGGTAGTTGTACAGGATCAGAGGAATAGGCGAGCCGTCGGCGACGGATGTGAAGTACTCATAAATGGTCTCGTCGTTGCCAACGGCACCGCGGTAGTAGCTGGGAGGCACAATGAGAGCGTACTCGCCGCCTGCAGCAGCGACCTCCTTGCACAGATCAATGGTACCGCGAATACTGTTTTCGCTGGCACCGGCGATGACGGGCACGTTCTGAAATCCGGCCTCGTCGAGAGCAGAGCGAGTCTCGCGAGTCACAGTGGCACGCTCCTCGCGGGTCAGATGCACGGCTTCACCGTTTGAGCCCATGGTCACCAGGCCGACAAGCCCAGCCTTGGCCAAGCGGACGGCGTGGCGGCGGATTGTAGGAACATCAAGGTCTTCGGTGTTGGGGTTGAAGAAGGTCATGGTCGGCGCATAAACGCCGGGGCGGAGTGGAGTCGGCGACATGATTATGGTGATGCTACAGCACGGTTAGTTGCTTGGATTCGGATGTTGAACAGGTAGGTACATACGTATGAGGGTTTTGGGTATATTTGAAGATGGAAAATGTCAAGACTCAAAAGAGGAGAAGGGAAAAGTCAAGAGCCTGCCCTCTTTTTAAGGAAGCGCACTCATGGTTGCACTCCAAACAGTCCTCCTATGCATTCCCCACGTCGGGGAATCCTCCGAGAGCCTGTGAATGGCGGAGGAATAAATCCCACCAATAGCCGACAAGGGGCAGAATGTGGGGGTGGTACACTTTGGCATTTGCTGAGCTGTGGAGGCGGCATTGGCGATGGAGGGGCAGCGGATGCGACTCGGGGATTCATTGCTGCGTGAACCGAGTTGGATTGGCCCTGGAGAAAGAATACATATTTGAATTGCATTCTCTATCTATACGCACTATATTATATTATATTATATTATATTATATTATATTATATTATATCATATACTATACTAATAACTATTATTACTACTATATAGAAATAGCATATCTAATGCACCCCGCAATAGATCGGCTATTGACTGCCCCAGCATGACGTTTGGAGGGGCTTTCAAACGCCGGAAGAATTACGTCCAGCAACGAAAGTCCCCCCATTGCCCCAGCTTTCTTCTTTTTATTCCTCTCTCCTCCCAATTTTCTCTCTTGTCTTGTCTTGTCTCTCATTTCTATTATCGTAATTGACAAATACTGTTCATCATGGCTCCTCCAAGTGTATTGATGGTAAGCTCCGTCGTACCCTTCACCTATACAGCATCAGCTCACAGAACTCCACTAGGTCGGCACTGGCGAGTACACCACTGGCTTCGTCGGCGGTGGTGCCTCGGGCTCGGACAAGAAGGTTGGCGTCGTGGGCCTCACATTGTTCGACTTGCGCCGCCGCGGTAAGGTCGGTGACTTGAGCATGGTCGGCGTGTCGGGCAAGAAATTCCCTGGCATTCGTAAGTCAAACAGAGAGAGGCAACGAGGGGAACTTGGATGTGAGAGGCTAACTAGAAGAATCTAGGTGATCACCTGCACCGCAATATCTCCCAGGTTTACAATGGCCTCGACACTTCCTTCGCCTCTTTCCCTGCCGACGACCAGACCGACCCCGACGCCTACAAGTCGGCAATTGACGCCCTGCCCAAGGGCTCTGCCATCACAATCTTCACCCCAGACTCAACACACTACCCAATTGCCCTGTACGCTATTGAGCGCGGACACCACGTCCTGATCACCAAGCCCGCCACCCAGCGATTGGGGGATCACCTGGCATTGGTAGAAGCCGCGCGCAAGCACGGCGTCTTCGTCTTCGTCGAGCACCATAAGCGCTTCGACCCAGCCTACTCGGATGCTCGCGCTAAGGCGAAGAACCTAGGCGACTTCAACTATTTCTACAGCTACATGAGCCAACCGAAGAGTCAGCTGGAGACCTTCAAGGCATGGGCTGGTCGGGACTCAGATATCTCGTACTATCTCAACTCGCACCACATTGATATCAATGAGAGCATGGTGCCCGACTATAAGCCTGTTCGTGTCACAGCTACTGCATCTCAGGGAACTGCTGCTTCCCTAGGCTGTGTTCCTGAAACCGAGGATACTATCACCCTATTGGTAGAGTGGCGACGCAAGGATGACCCTGCTAAGATTGCGACGGGTGTGTACACGGCCAGCTGGACGGCGCCGCAGAATGCGGGTGTGCACTCCAACCAGTACTTCCACTGTACGTATTTTTTTTGGTTTCTTTGTCGAATTTTGATCCGATACTAATCTTGTGAAATAGATATGGCGGCCAATGGTGAGGTTCGCGTCAACCAGGCTAAGCGAGGCTACGATGTGACTGGCGATGACCAGGGTTTGATCTGGGTGAACCCGTAAGTCACGCATAATCCCTTTGATGAACTGAAGTCCATACGGATAAAACAACTTACTAACACTATCTCGAAACTAGCTTCTACATGAAGTATGCTCCCGACGAGGAAGGTAACTTTGGTGGCCAGACTGGCTACGGCTACATTAGCTTTGAGAAGTTCATTGATGCCGTGACGGGCGTCAACGAGGGTCGTTTGACACTCGACCAGCTGGACGCTCGCCCTCTGCCTACCTTGAAGAACACCATTGCCACCACTGCCATCTTAGATGCCGGTCGCAAGTCGCTGGACGAGAGGCGGCCGGTTGAGATCGTGTCAGAGGGCGACAAGTGGGAACTGAAGTAAATGATGCAAAGTATTATTATATAGTTGTACAGAATGTGAAACGAACCAGATCTTGAGCAAAGAAATAAAATAACTCCTATGAATAAGAGATACCTGTAGAGCTAAAAGTAACATGGGGGAATCATCGAAATATTGTAGATGTCAGATTCGCTGGCTAAAAAAAAGCTCGATTGTTCCCCTGCTGTGATAACGCCGAAACCGACAAACTCCTTACCTGCTAGCAGACCGAATTCCAATAATTGCAGAGAATCTCTCGTGGTATCATGCAAGTACTTCCATCTCTAAAGTCTCATTTATCGCCTTCCGCCTTTGACGATGCCATCCTGGCCTTTGTGGAATCTCACCCGGCATTCAGGACAGTACCATTTCGCGGTACGAGAGGGAACCTCTGAAAGGCCGACGCAGTCGAGATGGAACCATTCGCGGTCACACTGCGCATGATATTAGTATCACGGAAAGAATAACAGAAAAAAAGAAGAAGTGGGGAACGGGAAAGACATACATCTGGGTTCTCGCAACAAATCATAGTACCGAAGCTCACGTCGCCGCATAGACAATAACGAGGCTCATTGGAATCTATTTCTTCTAGGACTCCATCTTCATCGACACGGGTCTCCTGGGATTTTCCAGTACTGATACGTTTCTTGCCTGGCTTGGCCTTGCGACGACCGTAACTAACGGCCGCACCACCATCTTGACCGGTGGAAACAGGGCCAGGAGCGGGCCGCTTGCGCCGTCGGACTGGAGCAGGAACACTTGGCGCGTGAGACGGCTCTCGAACAGGTGTTTTTCGGGCCGGGGTGGCACTCTTAATGCGGAAATCTCGCCCGCCGACTGTAGCACTGGCAGAGAATCCTCCCAGAGCTCCAAGTTCGATGGAAGCGGCGGCAGATCGTCTCGACGTGGGTCGTGTAACGGGAGGAGTTGGCGTACCAGCAGGCTGGACAATCGACCGTATTGATCGTCGTGAGCCAGTTGGGGATGGCGGAGGTGGAGATGCCTTTTCTTCAACCGCGGGGGGATTCTCGGGTCGAAATCGGGGCGATGGGAGCACTAGTTCCATCTGCCGATCCACCGGTAGCGGCTCCCCGACTGGATCGGCGGCGTGACGAGCTAGACTTTGACGATACCTTCACCGGTAAAGGCACGGGAGTGGGATCTATGGCGACTTCTTCTTCTGCCTCCACTCGGTCTTCAATGGCCTCCTCAGCCGCAATCTCATCTCGCTTTCTCTTCCGCGAGGACCGACTTGCTGGAGTCGCTTGGACGGGGCTGGGAATAGGCTTGATTGGTGTCTCTCCATTGAGCAAGGCTTCTCGTGCCATCATCTCGCGCTTCAATTTCTTGGCTTCGTTCAGCTTCATACCACGGTTGCTGAGCTTTGTCTCCTCGGCATCCTTCACCATTTCCTCATGACGAGTTTCCTCCAGGTTATCGCAGTCGATGAATTCAGACCCGGCCTCAATCGCGGCGGTCTTAGCAACGCGATAGGCTTCCCAGCCACGGCCAGAAAGGGCAAGCTCGCGGTGTATCATAACCTCGCTGGGCTGCCACACGGCGTTCTTCTTCATCTTCTTCCTCAATTTGGTCATCTCCCATTCCGTCAGTCGCAGCCATGGCAAATCCTGACTGCCAACCTTTGCATCTGCTGGGGGTGGTTTGAGAAGCGCGAGAGCATTGCTTGTGGAAAATCCATTGCCGGAACTTGGTCGTCGTGCCTTCTCCCTCTCCTTCTTCGGTGGTTTGGCGGGCTTGCGTGAAGGTTGCGGTTCGGCATCAGCATCGGAATGTTCGGTACTATCGATGGGGGAATCCGGGTTGAAGTTGGCCAAATGTTCCGCTGTAAGTCCCGGGCGGCGCGATCTTGACTTCTGATTGCTACTGCGCTTGCGATTGTCCAGCCGGAGAGTGATTCGTGTTGTGGACGCATTTTCTTTCTTGCGGGAACGTTTGGGTGTAGGCTCTGGAGGAGGAGTCGGTTCTTCAGAGGGAGGTCTAGGGAGCGCATCGAGCTTCTGACGGATACAGCTCAAGCGGTCGAAGTGGCGATCAACGACATCGTAAAGGCGGCAAGATTCAGCATAGGAGGATTCGCGAGCATTGATGGCACGGTCGAGTTGTAGAGATATATGCTTGCGCATTTCAATGGCGCTAGGACGCTCGTCAGACGCGGCATCAGGGAGGCGACCGTAGCTCTTGCTGAGGTCGTGTACGGATTGCGCCGATTCGAGATAGCGTTCATCCAAGCCGCGAATGAGGGTGAGGGAACGGATGATGTCGGCGGGGAGGTATTCGGTATAGTCAATGTAATCAGTGACAGTGGCTTGGGCATCTGGATCAAAAGGTCCATCCAAGATAACCCCGCCGCTGTGGTCTGTTTCGTCGGTCATGGGCATCTTGCGGGTCAGGAGACGCGTCTACCAAAGTCCACGCAGATACGCCAGGGAAATGACGGGAACTCTTGAAAGACGGTGAACTGGATGAGAGCACACCCTTTATGCCACAGTCATGAAACGAAAAACAAAGGCAAAGGCGGCGATGCGACAGCCGCAACTCTAGCCGTACGTGCCAGTGCCAGTGCCAAACATGCGGGCGATCGTTGTTCCGCAGTAACGTCACGTGTGTCCCAAAGAGGTAATCTGCTTAGAACTGCCTGGTGTTGTCGTATGTAGATCATCCAATATATTTATGATTGTAGAAAATGTAAGCTTCTGCATATTTGAAAGACCTTCACTTGCCCGCATACATAATTTCTACTCTATTCTATTCTATTCCTTTTTGGGGGGAGGATATCCACCTCACTCCAAAGTCGGCCAAAACCGCTCCTCTAACCAAACCACTTGCCTCCACCACTCCAAACATCTCCGGCGCATCGCCTCCGCCTCCTCCACGCCCTTCGTCTGCTCAGCCATACTATCCAAAACATCACCAATGCGACCGACAAAGCCTTCAAACTCCTTACTAGACCAATTAGGAATAAACTTATCCCTCAACGAACCTCCATCCGCATCATCCTCTGCAGGACCCTCTCTCCCCTGCAAAAATGTCGCCGCATATTTCCAAGACCGGAGATAACACACCTCAGTCGCCCAGAGAACAGCCATTCCCTCCATAACCGACACCCCCGAGCTTGCCGAAGACATAAACATATCAATATAAGCACGCGTGATCGTCGTCGGCCCAAAGTAAACCGTACCACCAGGCTCCACAGGCGCCACAGACGAAGGGTATCCTGGAGTGGGCTGCGGACCAGACTCGCATTTCGAAGATGTTGTCGGCATCTGCGCCGCACCCGCATCCTCCTTCGAAGGCTGCTGAGAAAGCGGGTAACACGTTTGACTCCTATCCTGCATCTGACACTCACCCTGCGCATTGCATAGGCGATGCAGATCCGGTTCATAAGTCGTAGTCAGACCAGGCGGCTGAACCTCGTCTTCGAATTCGCCGCTCTGCAACGCCGCCGCAGAATACCCTTTACCCTGACACGCCGACCCCGTGAACCCGGGACACGAGCCCGAGCCCATGGTAGAAATGCCCGCGGACGTCGCAATACTGCCGCTCTTTGTAAGACCCGCGCCGCATTCTTCCGAGGCAATGGCCGTTAGATCGAGGTTGTATTCTGCAGCGGTGGCTTCAAAGAATTGGAGCTCTGTGCGGATATTTACGAGGGCGTCGATGAGGACGTTGACGGCTTGGGCGTCTGTGGATTGCGGAAGGTTAGGGTTGGGATTGTAGGCTTCGGCGGGGAGTCGAATTTTCGCGAGCAGGAAGCCGATGAAGCGGATATAGGATTGTGCGTAGAGTCTATCCTGTGAGAGCCATTGGGAGAGAGTGCTTTTTGGGAGGGTGCCTTGGCCTGCGGAGGCGAGGAATGGGTGTGTTGTGGCGCGCTTGAAGGATTTCGGAGTGCTGGCGAGGAGCCAGGAAGTGAGAGGGCTTTGACTGGTCATTTTAAGAACGGGAGCTTGGTCAATTGGTGTCAGGCAATTGATTGCTTCGCGGGGGATGGGGGGATTTCTTTTTGGAGGGGTCGAAAGAAAGATACGAGGAGCTGAGGTGGGGGCGCGGGATGCCCGTCAAATCGATGTGCTTAGTATGGCGTCAGTACCAAGGTAGCCCCAAGTGTTTATTGGGTGAGCATAAAGGATTATCCTGATCCACTATTTTGGCACTATGTACTTCAATTGGGATATACCTATTGATTCGAAAGCAAACCGGGGGGGGGGGGGGTAGATTGAACTAATTGACTATCAAGTAATCTACACATTCCATAAAACAAGGCTTAGAGCCGGTCGTGGGGAAAAAGTATAAAGCAGTAATAATAAAAAACCTTTCCGTCAAGACTTCCATTGAATGTAATTCCATACCTGTTCCACATCACCAGTTCTTCCGCGCCGTGACACGATTCAGATGTTTGAACCCGGGGGCGACTCCTTGGCCACAGCGGCTTTGTGTTCTCCTGCTGCCTCTAAAGCAATAATAATCAATGCCACCATGGTATACCGTGCATCATTTCCACCATTGTGTAAGTCCCGTGTCCAGGTACTCAGACCAGCCATCATATTCTCTAATGAGGTTAGTTGGGCATCGTTTCGCAAGCCCTGGTAGAGTGAGGCAGTATCAAGCGTCTCTTCGAAGATGGCCTCGGGCCCGTTGAACAAGATCTTCCTGAAAGACTCACTTCCGGCGGAGGCAAGTTGTTCGAGGTCTTGTTTGGTATTGTGGCCTAGGTAAATAAGGTTGCGTTTCTTTGATTTCGGAGAACGGTCGATTGGACTGCCATCGTACGGCGGCGAGAAAAAAATCGTCTATCCTCTTCCCGAGATTTGCGAAATCAATAAACTCACTCTTGCCGTAGTTGAAATTGTTCGGGCAACCCGAGCAAAAGTCCTTGTTTATGTGGAACCGGTACTCCGATACACGCAAATGATGCGATCGAATCTTGCTCATCCACTTTGTACCATGGAGTCCCGGATGGTGACCCCGTAGCTCCTGTGTGTCCAGAATCGAGATGCCTATTTCCGTCACATGAGTTGCGTTTCTTTCTTTCCACTCGACATCCACGCTGAAAAAGATCGGTCCATCTGGATACACCCATGGGGCAGGGCTGTCCACGTCTACCGGTGAGATGCTTATCCCGATTCCTGCACCTGTGGGTCGTAGTCCGAAATACTGCTGGAGGCGATCTATGCATTCAGCCCCCGCACGTGCGTATTCCAGTACGTTGAGTCGCTTCTTCTTCCCCTTCTTCCCCTTGCGTCCCAAATTCTTCTCTGCGTAAAGGGCATCGCCGATCTTCGCTTCAAGGTCTTTCAGTACCGCCGGTTGGTGACTGGACATCCAATCCGCCCAAGAGCCCGTGATTCTGCGAGACTTGTCGATTACAAGCCCCTCCATTGTCTTGAGTGAGCTTGAAACCCCTAGAAGCGTAGGCCTGGGGAAATCCGAATCGTCAAATTGAAGAAAGAAACCCTCACCCTTGTCTTCCGTTATAGCCACTTCGCATGACAGGGACGTGTTGACCTCTTGCAGGTAGTCGTATGCCTCTTTCAGAGGCACCAAAAGTAGCAGCCTTTTGCCGCGACATCCCGGTGGAAGTGAAAGATAATGGCTAGTGAATACTGCAGTTAGAACCGGTTTCAATATCTGGATACTTGGGTCAGCAACAACTTACAGCGTCCAGGTTCTGTCAAAGAGGGTTTTTGTTTCAAAGAACTTGGCGAGAGCTTTGTTACGGGCTTCATCATCAAAAAACTTGTGGGGAATGTTTCTCAACGCAAGTACCGGACAATAAGATGAGGCGAGATCGATGGTCTTTGGAAAGATTCCTTGAGCGGAGCACCATGAAGGGCTGTTGTCCGGTGAGCTTGCGATTGCCTCTTCCTGTGTCCATTCAATCCATTGGTTAGCTCTCGTATTTTGGCCCTTGGGAATTTTCCGGACCTAGGAAGAATTGTTAGTTAGCTTACGTATCCCTTGCTCAATTGAGATCCAGCAAGGATTGGCTCGAGAGTGCTCACCTTAGTTTCTTCGTCTTGGAGACCCGGTGCGGAAACTTTCTTTCTGGCCTTCATTCTCGTGCTGATTTGAGTGTTCACATGTTGAAGGTCCTCATCGCCCTGTAGCAAGAGATTCAGTCGATTGAATTTCTCGTCCATAGCCTTATCCATGGTGGGAAAGTGAAGAGAGAAAAACGGGTTGGATGGGTTGAAGATGGAGAGAGGAGAGGAAGCAGGCCGAGGAAGTAAACATCAAAAAAGTAAAACTCGTTGAATTTCCGAGAAAGTGTGAAAATTTGAAAGTTAGGAAGTTGCGTTTTCATTTTTTTCGGATCGATAGTTCCTTCCCTGCGTGTTACATATGAGCTCAACGTGGCAGGAAGGCACGACTAACTCGAGTATTCGTAGGTACCGAGGGAGGAGGGTCATTTTGTAAGGTAAGCCTTCAGGATGGAGCCTTCCCGATTGGTGAATCTAATCTCAACTAGAATCGATCTCGCCTTTTTTGGTACTAGTGAAGCCTAAATGCCCCTGTCCCTGCTATGGGACCGGTGGGTCCACTAGGCAACCTCCAAGGCGATCATCAGGGTATACATACCTAATTACTTGTGCATCGTACGAGATCGGGAAAGTATTGTCTTTTTGCAAGCTAATTGCATTGTATGGATGTATCATACATTGATGGCTTTGACCCATGAATACAGAGCCATCGAGTCCAGGATGGCATACACATAAAAACTAAATGACAAGCAAACCGAGATAATAAGAATCCAACAAATTAACAAATGCCCATACCTCAAATCGGAACTCCTTTCTTTGCTCCGTGTCGTTGAACAAGAAACAAAAATGAGATTGTAAAGGGAAAAGAAAATCAAAAGATAACAATACCAAAAAAAATAAAGCCAGCCAACGCCAGTGCATGCGAAGCGCAACAGCAAGAAATACAATCTGTTTCAAACATGTTGTACATCATAAGTGGTAAATGGTCCTAGGTAGCAGTGGCCCTGGCAGCATTGCTCAGCTGTCGATGATAAGAGCCAATGGGTTGGAAGCCCCTGTATATATAGTTAGCCTCTGTTCAATGATTTCAAAGGGAGACCTAGGTCGCGAGGAGAGAACCATACCGAGCAAGATCGAAACCACCTGTATCCTCTTCATCCTCTTCTTCCATACGATCCTCTTTGTGTGCCCCACTAGGGTTTATATCTGGACCATCTGACTGCAGAGGGGGGTAGCGTGCGGCTCGATCCGAGACCGTTAGATGTTCCCGGCTTGCTCGGGCTAACCAGATTAGGCGGGGGCGGGCTGCTGCTCGGAAAGCCCCCAATGATGCGATCCTCGGGTTCACCCTTCAGAGGACTCATGTCCGGGACAGGGCGTGCCGGTGTGCTGCCAATGTCGGCGAATTTCCAAAATTGAGCCGGCGAGCTCATTGGCATAAACTTCGACGGAATCTGCGCCGTGCTGGGGGGGTGGCAGACGGGGCTGCTGGCGCTGTGGGGCAGGCGTGATCATAGACGAAGGACCGTCATCATAATACGATGAGGACAGGACTGGCGGGGAGCCAGCTGCATTATCCGACAGTCCGTAGGCACGGCTCAGGTTATTGCTGCTGTTCTGCGCTTGGCTAGAGTTGACGGTGCTGTGATTGCGAGCTGGTAAGGGGGATGGCTCGTCGTAATCCCGCGGATTCATATGTCGCAATGGGTGGTCGGAGCCAACACCACGCCCGGCCCGAGAGCCTCGTTCTGGAGTATAAGCTTCCACTGGAGCTACCGGGAAGGAACTGAAGCCAGGCGAAGAGACAGGCGGAGATTTCTTGGCCGTCGCCGAAAATGATGTATCTAGTTTAGAGACATGGGTGCCGCGTGCCGAAGATGGGGGCTCTTTCGTCGCGGGAGACGATGGCGCGGAGGACTGGGGGCCACCCTTGCGCATCTGCTTTTTGCGGTACTCTTCGCGGTGCTCCGCGGCAATCTGCCATTTCATGCCTTTGCCTGGTTCATCCGTTCGACGCGGTACCTTTTGGAATGCCTTATTGAGTGACAGGTTGTGGCGGATGGAGTTTTGCCAACCGCTTTGGGAGTGACGATAAAAGGCGTATTTGTCCATGATCCAGTTATAAATGCTGTTCAAGGTGAGCTTCTCTTCCTCGCTAGAGAAGATGGCCTGCGCAATAAGTGTAGCATAGCTATACGGCGGCTTCAGATCCTTCGCCGCATCCTTGCTATAGTCGATCTCTTCAGTGCTCTCCATCATCATACCTCGGTTGTAAAGCGGAGATTGCTTGGTCGTGCGCTGACCGTCAGTTCCAGGCGAACGCGGAGGGGGCGTCACCTGTCGCTGGCGGAGGTTGGGAGCAGGAGCCAGCGAAGGGCCGCCAGAAGATGATGGCCGCGCGGGTTCGGTGGCCTGTGAGACCTGTGGGTGAGCGTGCTGCGAAGCGTCCCATGCGACGGAAGCAGGGTCCGGTTCCTGGCCACTGGCGATGCGCTGGGCGCGCTCAATGAAGCTGGGGTGAACGTTGGGGTCGTCGCCTGGTGTAACAAACATCATCTGAGAGTTGGCGACTTCTATAATATCACCACAGTGAAGAACAGCGTCGGCTCCACGTTTGAGGATTCCATTGTTCAGTCGGACACCGTTGCGGCCATTGACCCGGATATGCCAGGCGGGCGCCTGCTCCCCATCATAAAAGATCTCAGCATGCAGGCGCGAAACGAATTTGCTCGGGCCTAGGTCGACATGCACATCGGGGAGCGCACGAGCGGCAATCGTAACGGGGCTAGACTGCTCTGTAGACTTCTGTTCGCGATCGGGTTCGCGGCCAATATTGACATGTAGAGTTTTGACGTAGTAGGTCCAGTTGCGGCCAGCGATTTTGGCGTAGGCCTCGATACTTTGTTTGTTCTCGGTCTTTTGATTGGAGTGGTCGCGCGAGACGCGGATTTCTTGCGGTGGCGTGTTCAAGTAGGAGATCACTAGGTCGGTCACATCCTGGTGCGTGAACTGGTCATGGTCACCAACTGAGTCTTCGGCATCGTCGCCGGACTCCGCCTTCACGGCACTTCGAGGCGGGGAGGTTCGACGATCAACCTGTAAACAATGGGATTCTATTTTAGCCTTCTGATTCTCGCGCACGGGGCGATTCGGTTTCGGACCAAACGACCGTAGTGGACTTTCGAACTAACCTTGCGCTTCTTTGCGGACGGGCGAGTGGGCGACGAGTCTGGTGCTTCCACATCGGACGTTTCCTGCAGTTGAATTTCCTTGCGCCGCGCGCGACGGCGGTTTGAGAGAGGCATTTTGGATGTCGGTCCAGCGGATCGGGTTTGATTTGGAGTATCAACAGATCGGCGCAATGATGGGCGCAGAAATCGAATTTTCTTCGCGAATGTGGGCAATCAAGCCGAGGCGTCGAGGAGATGCGCACGCACTAGTGAGGAGAGACGCGGGGGGGGAGTGGTAAATGAGGAGAGAGGAGAGGGAGTCCACAATGAATGAACCCAGGGAGTGAGTAAGAGGCGACAAGGCGAAAGAAAAACACAACAAGAGGGATCAACTTTGGATCGGGATTCAACGGTCGCCCCAGTCTCGGAGACACTCTCAGAGGCAGAACCAGAGAACGACGGCGTCAGACCCAAATAGATGGATTTGCCACCGGGACAAGAAAGCGGGAATGTGGAAAAAAAAGAGAGAAAAGACTAATGCCAAAAAATAAGAGCGGCAAAGCCAGACGAAAGGAAGAAACAAACAAGCCGAATCAAGACAAAGGCGATGACGCCGAAGTCGCAAAGTTGTGTGGCTGGATGTTGATTATCGATAATCCCTACGATCGACACGCGCGAGTCTGTTTGGCCTGACCGCCTTGTCGCGTGGGGAGCGTGTGTTCCTTTTTTTTTTTTTGATTTGCAACCACCAAAGCTACTGGATTATTGGGCCAGGAACATCGAGGAGAGGAGGGGAAAAGAAGAAAGTAAAAGAGGAAAGTGGAAAAGAGGATCCAGGAATAATAAAGAAGCCACCGAAGAATCAAAGTGAAAAGTGCGCCCAGTTTGACCGTAAACAGTGGTGGAGTCTGTCATAGGATGTATGATACAGTGATAAATGGCGGGGGTGGATGGGGGGAGATAGGGGAGATGGGTGTATTACAATTACGCATCATTACGTGCTCAGCGTGGGATTGAGGATGCTTCCGAGTGCAGAGTTGGGCAGACCGGTCCATTTCACATCCTACGCTGGAGGAGGGGCCGATGGGATCCAAGGGGGGCCATTCTGCAATCGATGACCATACTAGGTAGTACCTAGATGTCTTGAAGCTCCCTAGGTAATGGTTTGCCCTTGATCGTTATTTGTTTAGTTTACTACAGTATGGATACGAACTATATGGGGTTGATCACCATCGCCACATATCCTCTCCAATCTTCCCCATGATCTATAGATCCATTCCAATTCGCCCCTCCTCCCTCATACCTGGAAGTTTCACCTGACAAGCAATTCTCACATACCAGGGCCCCTCGATCTCAGATCTACCACCGAGCCTGCCCCATCTCCCGCCTGGGGTCGTTTGCGTCAGAGGGGTCCCGGATGCAGTTTAGCCTCGCCCGTTGGAATGTCGCGTTGCCTTATTGGGGCTTGACGTGTCGATCAAATATCGATACCCTCGCCAACTCCGGCGATGCAAAATCGTGAAATCAAGATTGAATCAAGATTGGAAATCTCCGATCCATGTAACCTTACAACTCTACTGAAGCTTAGGTAGACTTAACTCTGTCTGGGACAAGTGGATAGTGGACGCAAACATTACTGTAAATAAACAGCGTGTAGACGCAGTCCTATTCATACAGATGGAAACAGTTCTCGAAAAGGGGAGAGATCTCATGGATCCTACCCTAATGGTAGAAAAGAGAACAAAAGAGAGAATATAAATATAAAAATCACAGAGATGTTCCAAGCGATGGAAACTGTCAAAGTATAGATAGAAAAAAGGGGTCTTTGCGAGAGAGAAAGGCAAACATAAGAAACAAGCCTAGACAAGAATAACGGGAGAGAAGATCCCACCAAAGGATGAACTTGAAGAACCGAGTAGAGAAATGATAAATAGTCGTGACGGCGTTAAGAAATTGGGGAGAAGCGAAAGAAGCACACCACCTATGCCTCGCTGGGCATTTTAGCGTCTCCGTCCTCATCCAGCCCGCGCAGAGTCGGGTAGGAGACCGGCTCGTCTTCGGACTTGGTAGGCTCCTCTTTGGCAACTGCAGGAGAAGCCCGCGTGCTGGCAGTCTCAACACCCTCCATAGCGCTGGGTGCGGGAGAACCCGAGCCGCTGCGGGTCAAAGCCTCGGGGTCGAATTGGCCCTCCTCCAACAATTCGGAGACAAGACGACGAAGGTTCTCCAGAAGACGGACCTTTTCTACCCATGCGACATTGACATCTCGCTCAGCCACCTCGGTGGCTGCGCGGGCTGTGCGCTGGGCGGCCTCTTGGTCAGGATCTGGGGAACCACTGGACAGAGCAGGGTCAATCAAGCTCTCGGCGAACTGAGGGCTCTTCTTGGTAGGAGTACGGTCGCCGTCCTGAGGCTTGTTATCTTGCTCAGTGTCCATGCGATCCAGGCTCATTGCGCGTTCGGCAGGTCGCGCGCGCTGTAGGGTGCCTCCGGTGTAGCGGCGGCGGTCATCGTGCTCAAAGGCCCCGCTGAGGGTAGATGGAGGTGCCGCACTGGTGGCAGTTGGGTAGCCTGCAGTCATGTTATCCGCCATCGTCGCCGAGGGCAGACGAGGGTACATGCCCGCGCCGCTCTCATGGGGCGGAGAGACGCGGTGGGTCTGAGGCAGGGAGATTGGTGAGCGCTGCGATGTATAAGACTGGGCACTGGACGGCGGTGTCAGGGCGGGGGTTCCAGTCGAAGGAGAGTGGGCAGTGGCCATCATCGGAGCGGAAGTGGCCGCAGTGACATGGTGAGGTGGAAGCTGGCTTGGGGGCGAGTTAGTGGTGCGGTAGCTCATGCCGCCCTGGACGTAGTGAGCTCCGGGTTGAGCGACGCCAGCAGCAGCTACATTTTCATCACTTTCGTAGATGGTGTTCTGCATCTGCTCTAGGAATTGATCGATGTTGATCAAGTCACTCTTGGTCCGAACATTCGACATGGGAGGCAGGTGGTATCCAGGGGCATGGCCGCCACCGGGGCTGTAGCCACCGCCGCCGCCAGCAACGGGTACCGCAGCGGGCATGGGCTGGTACTCGGGCACGGGACCATTAAGAATGGGAAGCTGGAGTGCTTGGAGACCAAGTAGGCGTTGGCCCACGGCGGCATAAGAGTTGGGATCGAATTGGCGACGTTTCAAGTCACCAAAGAACTCGTTCAGAGCATCATATCCGCGCTTGCGATCGTACGACTGAGCACCCTCGTGACCTTGACTCAAGGCGTAGTAGACATTGCCATATGAGTGAGGGTTGGGAGCAGGAGGCGGTGCGTGAGCTGCTTGATAATACTGAGGGGCTCCGTGGGCGTATCCACCACCGGAGACAGCGTGAATTGGACTATCAAAATAAGGAGCCGCTGCAGCGTATCCTGAAAATTCTCGAAATCAGGTTAGCCAAAGCCCAGGGCCCAAAAAAGACGAGAGGTTAAAAGAGCGATTGACTCGCAAGACATGGGAAGATGGAAACAAAAGAACCAGGAAGAAACGAACCTTTGGGGTTCTGATTGAACATCATATCGTGGTGATGCTTCAGCCCAGGCTCGGGAGAGCGAATCTCCGAGTCGTCGGCATGAGTCTTGACATGTTTCTTCAGATCCTGGGGACGCTTGAAAGCTTTGCCACAGAAATCACACTTGTGCGGCTTAAGGGGCACATGCACACGAATGTGCGAGGTGATGTGGTCGCGCTTGACAGTCGTGGTGTTGCAGGTTCCCCATTGGCAGGTCAAGTTCAAGTTGTTGGTGCTCTTGCGACCGACATGGCGTTCACAAACGTGTTCCTGTCGCGGGGTAATGGTTAGGTTGGACTGGTTCAATCTGCGTTGCCATGGTCATCACGCGACATATCCTGAATATTGCTTACATAGAGTGACTCGGCTGTTGGGGACTTCTCGCTACAACCCACCCACTGGCAGGGCAGTTGCTCGCCTGCGCCGTTGAGCGAGTTGTTGACGGCAGCGGTCGCGGCGGCGGCGGTCGCAGTCACCGAGGCCGTCGACGGGGTGGTGACTTGCGGAACAGCGTGGGCAGCGGTGTCAGTAACGACAGGCGCTGGTGCTGCGGCAGTTTGGGAAGGTGATGTTTGAGAAAGAGTGTTGTCGGCCATGATGCCAAGAAATGGATCTTGTCGAGCTGGCGGGATGCCCAGGCACGACGTTTGTTAGGGGAGAGTAGTAGAACGAGAAAACCAGACACAAAGTTGGATATTCCCCAGCACAGTCCAATATGTGCGAGAGATTGAGTCCAGGCGAAAGGAAAAGAAGTTTTTCTTTTCTTTTGAGTTTCTTTCTTCTTAAATTCCAATAAATCCAAGCCAAAGACAGAGGAGATGGGAAAGTTGAAGTGTAGAAGGGAAGAGAGAATGAGAAAACTGGGGGAGAACTCCGCACGGGGGGGAATCACAAGGGAGGAAATAAAGAGCCGAGCCTTTGCCCAGAAAAAACCGCTTTGCTGGGCCGGGCGGAGGCATGGCAAAGGGACAAGACAAGACAAGACGACAAGACCGGGCCAAGACTCTGCGGGCCCAGAATCCCCGATGGCGTTTGGCTCAGGCTTTCTAACTGGTTGCCACTACCAGGTTTCCCCCTCTCTAACGAGGGGCTGTGCATTCCATGCTGCCTGTGGTCCCCCTGCAAAGTCAATACGAAGTTGTTCTCCGTACAGAACTCTGTACGCTTGTACGAGTACCCTATAGGAGGAATGACCCCAAGCGCTTGCCCCTCCAAATCTGGCAGCAATCCCGGTATATTCTACGGTGAGGGTAATTTAATTCCAAGTTCCTATCTCTCGGGCATCGATGGCCGATTGGATGGACCTATTAAAAGCCGGACCCCGTGAGCTCCGTACAGTTCCGGCTTTCGGTGGAATCCCCTCAATTCATTCGTCGAAATGTGGTGAAAGGAGTGAAAGAGTGGCGATGCTACAACCTGCCAAGAATCCTTAGCCATGGCGATGTTTCTTGGCAGCCAAGGTATTCCTCTTTGCCAATTCCCGCTCCGAGGCCCAAGAGTTGAGGGGTCTTGGTGTCTTGGTATCTTGGGATTTCTCGGCGTCACTCGTACTTGGCACTGGACTGACCACATTTTCTTTCATCCGGTATCTGGTTTTATGCGGTTGCCTGAATTTGAAGTGCATCATCCCTGGCTTGGGTGTTTGCCCCAGAAAGTGTGGTAGGTGAGATTGGTACTCCATAGATGAGGGGGCACAAAGGCGGCTAGTGAAGCAGGAAGCAGGAAGCAGCCAGTCGCCCTTCGCTTCTCCCATGTCTCCCCCCTGGTCGGGCATTCATTGATTGCTATGTCTCTCTATTGAATTGTACAGTCTATTCTATTTTGGAGGATCAAGTCAGCCAGTGTGACCCAAACACTGTGTGCACAGTGACACCGCACCACCCGGTCTTGGCCGGGGTAACCCCCTACACCAACGCCAACGCCAACTCCAACTCGACCCAAGCCTTCCAATCTCGTCAGCCCAGACTCCTCCGCCGAGTCCGCCGAATCTCTCAGCTCCGGGACTGCTGCTGCTCCTCATCCTCGTCTCCTCTTCGGAGGCTGATACCAACTCCAAATATTCAACCCAACCTTGGTCCCGGATGTGACGGGGTACGCAGCGTGCCAGGTCTCGGTATACCCAGTCCCATCGGCCCGAAGATTCTCCCAAAAGACCGCATTCCCCTTAATCGGCTTGACCGTGATTCCATCCTTCTTTGACCGCGCCAAGCGACCGTCCTCTCCTGTCCCTGTCCCGGCCCCTGGCCCCGACCCCCCTTCGCCCGTCGCGCCCGCCTGGGCCTCTTCTTCTCTCGTCTTCGCATTCCAGAAATCGGCACCATTGCTTTCCGACCGGCATCTGCAGACGCGGGAAGTTCGTTCCTCCGCCCTCACAGTCCGCACCCAGGTAGACCATGAAGGTACTGAGGCGGTCGCCGCCGCGCGCCAGCGACCCCGTCCAGTCATAATGATGCCGGTAATGGCCGGAAGCATTGTAGCGTTGCGCCCACATGCGCTCGATATACAGGTGTGGACGCCAGCCCTGGAATGCGCGGGCGCGCTCTTCGAGGCAGCGGACTGTATCGTCGCGGTCGAGTAGGGCTCGGTCGGAGAGGCGCTTGGTTGGGTCGACTCGTTCGGTTATACCGTCGTAGACGATGGAGGGGGTGTATTTGTTCAGACTGGACGAATTCTCTCCGTGTTAGCTAGTCCATTCCCATCCTTGGGATTTTCGTGACGTAGTATTGAGCTGGGGTAGCTTGGAAGGTAAGGAACGGGCTGGTCTTGCCTTATATCGACTAGATGGTCTGCTTCCTCGGCGCCGAGGAAGTTCTCAATGTATAAGATGAGTGGCGCCCGCGAGAGTAGATGCACCCGGTACCCTTCCGGCTCGCTGGCGCAATTGAGCGGGACGCCATCCTCTGGGCTGATGAAGCTGTCGTCTGTGATGTTGATTCCCGGGACTTCGTCGTCCCAGTGCCCAAATGCGTCGCTGGTTTCCCAGGGGTTGAAGGCGCCTGGGAAGAACTGTTGTAGGAGCGGGTTGAGGACGAAGATGTACACGGGCACGAGGTATATCAGCCACGAAATCACGGTTGACAACTTCGGCATCGACGCCATTTGGATCGTGGTAATGGGTTGTCTTGATATAATACCCTGGTGATAAATAAATAAAGAATGTATAGTATGGATTGGACAGCTAGTGATCCATGCGACCGCGGTGTCGTGCAGCCCGCGAGGTCGGAGGAGCGGATAGTAGCAGCCCTCTGTCGCTGCGTTTCCCTACTAGTATTACCGTAGGTGTTGCGGATTGGAGTGTCCAGCAGAAAGCTTGTCTGGCTGGGCCATGTCGTTCTTACAGAGTGTCAAGAGTCAAAAGTGTCGGCGCACTCGGGACCAGAAGTCTCTAAGTGGGTCTCTTGTCTGATCTAAACCGATCATGGTAGCCCGAGACAAGGAGATCGTCGAGCGTTCTACGGAGTATGTATCCAAGGTACGCTGAAGATAATCAGATCTAATCCGTGCCATTCTGCTAGAAGGTAAAATTATGATTCGGAGCATTCAAAGGTTATATCGAAGTCATCTACAGCGATCAAAGAATCGCATACTCGTTATCTCACAAAGATCACATAAAAATTATCAAAAGTCTCATTGCAAACAAGAAACGCCAGCCAGGTATACATATCCCGTTTTCTTTTTTTATTTCAACTTCCATCGTTATTGCATGTCATCATGAGGGAAAGACTAGCTCAGGAGCCTGCATTCATCCACTGAGTCCAGTCATCGTTAGGAGCCAAGTTGCCTGGGTTGTAGGCAGCATTGTTCCCGAAGAGATCGTCGAAGGATATTCCTTCCATTTTCAAGCCCATGGAATTCTCGTCCAGACCCATATTGAAATCTAGAATGCCGTTGCCGTTGCCGTTGCCATTGGGGGCCGGATTTTCTTGTGATTGGGAAGTCGGAGGCTGGGGTGCGATATTGCTCGGTTGGAAATTGTACCCTTGCCAAACGAAGTTCTGATTCGGAATGGAAACCAAATCCGGGCTGCTGAGAGCTTCGCTGGGCGACTGCACCTGCGAAATGGGCGAGTTCAGTCGCGAGGAGTTCATGGATTGAGTGTTGCTAGCCTGGAGGCGGTTAGGTACCGAAGATTTGATGCCACCGTGTGTTCCGACAGAGAAGCCAGGGAGGTTGCTGAAGCTATCAAAATTGGGCGACGGCATATTCGGGTCGCCTGGAGTACTAGGAGGTCTTCCTGCAGACTGATCGAAAGGGAAAGAAGGTTGGGGAATGCCTGCTCGGTCATGTCGGAAGTGGTCGTCTTCTAATGTTGACATCGGCTGCGTGGGATAAGCAAAGGGATCGTCGGACGGGAACATCATAGGCATGAGATCAGGGAGATTGTTCGGGTTGCTAAATTGCTGGGCCCATGCCAAGCTTGATGGATCTTGGTTGGAGAATGAGGAGCCAAGAGAGGTCGCGGAAACAGGCTCAGGTGTGGACATAGCTTCCGTTAACAATTCTGGCGAAGCAGCCATCCAGGCCGACTGAGTACCGCTCTCAGTGGGCCGGTTGTTGAACTGAGTAGTAGTGTCCATACTCTTCTGTCGACGGCTTGTCGGATTGAGTTTGGGGTTGTTTGACATCATTTGTGCCGGGAAAGTACTTGAACGATGAGGCAAAGTCATCTGCTCCGCTTTTATTTGGACAGGCTCGGCCTCAGCAGGAACACCGGAGGGGGCCGATCGCTTGAGGTTAACAGGGGTCTTAGAGCTCTGGCGGTTCTTCAACATCTCTGGTAAGGTCTTGAAGAGGCACTGCAGATTTCTAGTCAGTTGAGTGCATTGGATGTGCCGGGCAGGGGAAGTACATACGTTCAGACTCTGGGAGCACCTGTCTGCTGCCATGCTCTTCTTAGCTAGTCCAGCCAGCGTATTCTTGCCTTCCATGGCATCTTTAAGAACACCGTCCTTTGCCGTGGGCGAGTCAGGGTTCTCGAGAACGAAAAATATCAAGGAGAGAATGGCAAAGTATGTCGTGTACATCGTAAACCAGAATGAGCCGTTGAGTAGGGCCCTCTTATGCATTCCAGTCGTGATGTGAACGATGTTTCGGGACACACTGACACACGCCGCTGCACAAGCATATGATCGCTTGTCGACGCCACGCGCCTGTGACCCTCCAGAGACGTAGTGTAGGAATGGGCGATACATGACCATCTGCACATGCGCATAGCTGATTCGGAGCAGTTGGCGAATTCTGGGATATGAATTAATTATCTTTTCTCGACATTGGAAGTGGGAATTAAAACTAGAAGAGGACTGACCGTTCCAGTTGGGGTGACACCTCAGTGCCGGGCCGCAAAGCTGCTGGTAGCTCCTCCATCCAAGTCTGAAGATCGCGCTCAATTTCACGAATCTTAGAATGGCTGACCATGTACCGATGATTGGATTTTGAGCGATGGCGAGCATTCTTCACGGGGTAGATGTACTTGACTACCTTCAAAATGACATTGCATAGGCGTGTGTGCGCATTGCATCCTGCCATTAATGGAGTGTAATCGGAAGGCATTTGAAGGATGCCCTGGCTAGTGATGAAATCGCCATCAACTTCCAAAGGATATTCCTGGTCAATGTCATCCTCGCTCAACATCTGAGGGAGGCCTAGAAGGGTGCTGACGTAGACATCCATCTTGCGGACGACCCAGAAAATACGCTTTCGTAAGTCTCGCTCGATGGGGTTAAAATCGGCAGTCACTGCACGATGCAGACCCAAGCGTAGAGCTGAACGAAGTGCAATTCCGACGTAAGAGTAGCAAGTGCTCAGTTTAGCAGAAGACTGTAGGAAAAGAATCATGAAGCAAATGGCTTGTAGCGAGGTCAGATCACGGCAATCGGTGACTTCAAGCAACTGCCGACCTGCTTTGAAGAAGACAAAACTGAATATTGGTTAGCTAACCAGGACAGAGTGCATTTCCTCGAGTGTTATGAAGTGATTCTACATACCCTTGGCCAATGGCTCCTTCGTATCCAGCAAAATCCAGGGTGCCAGCCCCATCGTCAGAGAATAGGCACCCAACAGCCATTACAATGTACAGAAGTGGTATGAATGAGTTTTCTTCGTTGGTGTATTGTTCCGGGGGCGTCTCGTAGATGCGATCGAGGTTGGCAAAGAAAGAAGGCTCGTGCACGAACCGCATCAGTGAGCATGCATGGTCGATCGCATTGTGACACAGGCGGCGAGCTACTTCACGGTCTGGCAAATCGTTGGTTGGTGTAAATGCTGCATCCTGTGGTGACCCTGTTACGGACTTGGGACTCTCGAGTATCTGGGACATGCCGCGAGGCTGGGCAAGGGGGATATCGGCGCCGAGTTGTTTGCGCAGGCGTCGCGCGAAGATGATGCCGGAGGTATGTCCATGGTAATCCCAGTGTCCTTGATCGTCGCGGTCAAGGAAGCCTGAGTTGTCCACCATTGTCTCCAACAGCGATTCTTCCCCTCCTTCTTGCCCGGTCTCTGGAGGGGCGGTTGGGGCCGTCGGGGGCTTGGGTAGAGGGCCCGATGGTGTTTGCTTCTCTTTCTGGGCATTCTTCAATCGCTGCTCTGTCGCACGCATGTCCAGTTGAGGGTCATCAAGATTGATATCGGGGATTACACTTCGTAGAAGGGCTTCGGCCTTGTGCATACGTGCTTCGAGGGCTTCGACATATTGAGGGGCGGGGTTACGGCGGCGATTAGAGGGTTGGTCATAGGTACAATCTAACGAATGGAATGTTAGCCACGTGCGATACCGGTATGTAGCGGGGAAGCGGAGGGTTGAAGGGAATATCCCACCATAGCTATAAACTGTACAGTGGGTACAGGGCTGTTTGCCATCACATTTGATTTTCTTTCGACGGCACTCGTCACAAGCGCGACCTACTCGTCTGCGCTTCTGCATCGGCAAGGACTGAGAGCCAAGCTTGGAGTCCGAGGGGGACCCCTCATGCATGGAGCCCTGAGAGGGGTCGTCATCATTCAGATAGTCGTTCAGAGCGGGATCATCGTCCTCACTGTGAACGCCGGAGGTGGTGGCCATGGTGACGGAGGATGGGATTCATGTACAGAGTAAGGAGAACGGGCTTGGCGGGCGATCCGATATTTAGTGTGATCTGATCGATCGCCCTCCTTGCGGGAACATTAGAGAGAAAGATATAAAGTCAAAGTCAAAGATTTGGGTAATAGTGAGCAATACGACGAATGAAAGGCGGACTAAATGGTCGAGCTCACGGGCCTTTTCGATGATGAAATGATTGCGGCCGAAAGCGGTGGAGGAGGAGGAGGAGGAAGAAGAGAGGGGGGGGGGGATGGAGAGATGGAGAGGTGATCAAGTTAGGAAAAATAGAGACAGTTTTCTAGAAGGCTTCTTCTTTCTTTCCATCTAAAGGTACGAACTAGTAAATCGCGCCCTGCTACGTAACTGGGGCATTTGGGAGGGGGGCACTAGTCGGACCTTCGTTGTGTGCGAGTCCGAGTTCTGCGCACGTTCGACGAGGTATTTTTCGATCACCTCGGCTTTAAGTCCGATGTAGAATTTTCCGGGTCCCCACAAGGGTTTAAGTGCAAATTGAATCAACTCCGTACCAGTTCGGCGCCATCTGCTCGAAATGCCGAGGGGAATTGATGAGATGATCTGCCGAGTGATCTTCTTCAGGCCGATTAGGGCCCGAGTGGTACTAGCCAGTTGGTTTTTAGTTTGATGTGCACAAGTGGTGAGTTCCCAAGTTACGATATTAGTTATACTTCAAGTTCATCTGGCACGTCTTTGACCTGTAGATATGTAGCAACTGTCCCGTATACTTGTATACTTCCACTCCGGAGCTTTCTCCGGGATTTGAATCCTAACGGTCGCGTGTGATGTATGTAGGTGCCCCAATACCTGCATGCATCGGCGATGCGTTCTGGTTCGCCGAATGCTCTTTGGCGATTAATAATAGCCATGTCGGTGTTGACGTGGTGACCGAAATACGAAGTACGGAGGAGTATGCCAATCAAAGTGAGATCCACTGGGTATTAAGAGTCATAATTCCCCGAATTTGTATGTTCATAGGCATAGTGGCATAGTTCTGTACAGTAGGTCAACTGCAGACCCTCGAGGTGTTCAAGTTCCTCGTCGGTCGGGTATTAGCAGTCAAAAGATTAGCCCGTTCGTGATACCGAAACTTGAACATACTGAATATCCTTGAAATTCGGAATTCAATATTTCAGATCGAATGATGCCCAGGTGGTGTGTCATATTCATCATGCAGAAATTGGCCCAAGGGGAGATGTTTTCAAGTTATTATAGGGTAGTATTGGAGTACTAGTAAGTACTAGTAACTATCCCTCGCACGCCATGGATTCCACCTGGGCAAGGTTAGTATGAATTAGTTATATACTGTCACCCTCACGAGGAAGGTTCTGGCCGACACTACCTTTTGAACCTCGTTTCATGTCACCCTCAAGGTTCTTTTTCTTTCTCCGCTCCTGTCGCTGACGCTGACGCTGACACCTCCGATCATCACTCAAGCAGGACAGTGCAGATCCCCCAAGCACTAGCGAACCTATTACATTATAGTACTATTCCGTAACTAGTGATCCATGATGACTGAAAGCCAGACACGGCCTGCATAGTCCGCATCAGCTTGCTAGTGTACTACATAAGATGATAGTAGCACCGAGAGTGTACACCGCACTTCGAACACGCTGCCTACCATTCCGTACCTGTGACTCCTCTCCTCTCCTCTCTGCAATGCTTTCCCTTCCTGCATGATAGAAGCGTCGTCATGAAGGGATTCGACATACACCTAGGAGCTGATTCCCGCATATCCGCCCTGTGACGCGACCAGGAATGTCGGTCGTGAAACCACTGGCACATAGCTGGTCCATTTATTCTGTACCCTGTACCCAATAATTCGAAACAATTCCAGACTCAGCTGCCTTTTCGAGGCTAGCCTGCCAAATTTATCTCAGCCGAGCCCAGAAAAATAGATTTGGCCCCAGTGGGCTTGGTCTCGGCATTGGTAGATCGGAGGATGACTGGGTCCACGACAGAAAGGGTTACCGTCTGCGAGGGGAGCGATTAAGCTCATCGTCAGCCCTGCATATTGGTCCGTCAGCCCTGATTTTGAGCTCGAAGGGTCTCCTTTTCGCCTTCATTCCGTTTGATTCGCTTCTTCGCTTCTCGGCAGGCGGGTCCCTCACTTCCCGCATGGCTTTTTTCGCATTTTTTGCAAGTTTCGCGATCGCTTACCCCCCTTTGGCACGTCCCACTTCTTTCCCCAGGACAAGGACACCAGGGTGGATCGCCACATTCTATCGACGCGCTTGTCAATAAGCGTTAGCCATATATGGATCTTTTCGCTGTCTGTTCCGGAGCATCTTCGTCTCTCCAGTCTCTGTCTTTTGCCTCTGTCTTAGCCTACTACTTTGTTTCCAGCGATGCAGCTGTGCTGCAATGAATCATGGCTTTCATTCTTGTCACGCTCTGCTGCGTCTTCGCAGCTATCGGTTCGTTCTTATTTGGCTATGACTCTGGTGTGATATCTTCCAGTATCGAGCAAGATGCTTTTCTGGACCGATTTGGGTCTCCTGGCCTGTCCGATGCCGCTAGTGGCGGCATCATCTCTTCATACACTGGTATGGCTCTGCTTCGGTTCAAATTTTGCAACCTTTTCGAACCAGAGTCAGGTGGCTAATATTTATCTCTAGGCGGTGCAATTGTGGGATCATTGCTTGCCTCCTATATATCCGATAGCTGGGGCCGTAGAATGGTCATCTTTATCGGTGGACTACTCGCCACCCTCGGGGCTGCCCTTCAGGGAGGAGCCATCACCATCGCGATGCTCATCGCTGGCCGATTCATCGCCGGTTTCGCCATCGGTCTCATGTCAGCAACTATACCCGTATACTGCAGCGAGATTGCACCGCCCCATATCCGGGCTTCGCTCGCTAGCATGCAGCAGTGGATGATCGGTCTCGGAATCATGGTTGCCCAATGGGTTGGATACGGCTGCTCTCTACATACGAGTGCCTTCTCCTGGCGATTCCCCCTATCATTGCAGACGGCACCGGCTATTATTTTAACCTGCGGTGTCTGGTTTATTCCGGAATCTCCTCGCTGGCTCATCGAAACGGGCAAGGAGGGTGCGGGTCGCTCGGTATTGGCCCGTTTACATTTGAACCGCGATGCGACAAACAGCCAACTTGTTGAGCATGAACTGGCCCAAATACACGAGAGCGTCGCTTACGAGCATCAGTCTGTCGTCCGGTCTTGGCGTCATATCCTGTTCTCTAAGCAATGGCGCTGTCGGATCCTTCTGGCTTGCGGTTTGCAAGCATTCACTCAAACGTCTGGAACCAACGTAATTCAAAATTATGGACCTAGGATTTACAAAGCACTTGGCTTGTCTACATCAACCTCTCTGATGATCATCGGTGTCTGGGGCGCGCTGGCGTTGTTCTGGAATACCGTGTTCATGTTTTTCGTCGACAAGGTCGGTCGGCGCAAGCTACTCATCCCATCGCTAGTCGGCATGGGTGCAGTGATGTGCGTGGAAGCTACACTCGCCCGTTATGTTGACTTAAGCGACCCAAACGCCAATGAGGATACACTCCGTGCTGCGATTGCCATGTTCTTCGCCTTCTCATTATTCTTCACGTCCCTCGGTATCATATCATGGGTCTACCAATCCGAGATCTTCCCTACCTCCATCCGATCTCGAGGCTCATCAATCGCAACCGCCACAAATTGGAGCTTGAACTTAATTTTTGCCCAGTGCTCGCCAATCGCGTTGACAAATATGGGCTCCAATTATTTCTACGTCTTTGTAGGCTTCAACTGGGCTGCTGCTTTTGTCGTTTTCTTCTTCTACCCGGAAACAGCTGGGTATTCCCTTGAGGAGGTTGATGAGGCATTTTCCCGTCGGTATCAGACCGAGCAAGCAGAGGTCACTCTTACGACTTCCGCTAGCCCTGAAACTGTGGAATCACGTTCTCGGGTTAGGCATAAGGGGATGCATCCTCTATCTATGCACCCGACTCACAGCGGGAGCTGGAGTAGCATTGTTGGTTCATCTCCCAAGCTGTGGAGTAAAAAAATGGCGGATGTATAGCTCATCTACTATTAAATTTTCGAATGCATAAAGCTTTATTCTTGATTGTTCTAGATCTTGATATACATCTTTGTTAAGCTAAGATTATCTCATAGCTGAAACGACAGTCCCCCCATTGCCGTGCCTCACAATTGGGTTTGTTGCAAAACATCCCGCATTAGATCACCGATAGCCTCAGCACCACCATCACCACCCAACAACTTTTCATTCGTTGTTTGGATGATGACTCGGCGATAACTGATGAGAGCCGGGGACCCATTATCCTTCACCTCAAGGATAAGATGTAGTATCTGGCCTTTGGGAATTGCCGCCCGACTGATCAACTCTACACAGCACTTATCCGGAGGAGGGATCTTGACCTCAACCTTGCTACTGGCTTCATTGAGTGGCTTGATATCCAGCCAGCCTACCTCATGGTGAACAGACCATTGTGACGCGCTCGGGTCCTGGTACTGGTACCACTTGAAAGTGAGAGTATCGTTGGGGTCGGGATCATACGATGCAGAAGCATCTAGCTGGAAAGTGGCACCGGCCTCCAGCTCGAAATGAAGCGGCTGCAGACCCTTATTACCGTTGATATCAACGACCGGGTGATGGTTTGCTTTGCTCAGATCTGGTGAGAGAGACCATTGCATTCGAGCGGCGAAGTCTGTCTGGAAGGCATCGCGCCAGCGCCAAATCGTTGCATGGTTGGATTTGTGTTTCCGACCATCAAGGCCTACGACTTCGTCCACTGTGTCACTAAAATGACCATTGGAAACACCCTTGCCGCTGATATCCGTGGGAATGTATCGTCCGCCCCAGGATCCATATTCCGGGCGCTCTGGCACACCGAGACCATTCTGAATAATATACAAGAAAGTCGGGGTATCGCCCTCGGGAATGAACATGTAGTCCGGGTACGTAGATCCAAGTGGACCGATCTGGATGTTCTCCTTGATCCACTGCTTGCTGATCTTGGACGGGTCCGGCCCACCCTTGTCGAAGCCATACCAGCCGTCGCCGGAGATGCCGCACCAAGCGGCCATACCATACTGGTTCCAGCCGTGAACGGAGCAAATATAGAAGATTTCAGGGAAGTTGTAGCGGATCCAAGTGCCCGTGTCGTCTTGGTCTGAGATGGTGTAGATGCGCAGTTTCGAGCGCATTTTGGCGGCATCGGCGGCGGAATGAGTGTTTTGGATCTTCAGGAGGACAGAGGCGAGTACATTGGTTCCACCCCAGCAGAGAACCCAGAGAGGATCTTCCGAGGGTGCTTCGATGCGATCCAGAAGTAGCTGGCCGCCTTCGCTGAGGGGGATGTTGTCGCCCACGGCGGTCATACCATATGTCTGAGGGTATAGAGTTAGGAGATTCTGTTAGTTGTGACTCGTGGATCAATGTCACTTTACCTCTGCGCCCCTCTTAATTAGGGATCTCATATACTGGGCAGTCGGGTATGGGTCATTGGGGTGTGCGTGAGCGTTGAGATTGCCGACTACTTTCTCGTAGCCATCGACAATCTTGTGCATGTCTTGTGGGCAGACCTTGTTCTTCATCCAGGTTGAGGTGCACGCAACCAACCCCTCCGTTCGGAACTGGTTAGAGTAGAGAAGATAGCGCACCAAAGACTCGGCATCATCAGGCTCATTGGATATGTCGCTGAGAATGAAGACACGCGGCTTAGATTGAAAGGTTTGGAGCTGTGTTGGAGAGGCCATGATGAACGGAAATGGTGTGAATGAACATCATTCTCATGGTGATGATGGCTATATTTGAATTACCCCTCCTCATCAGGCTGCGACAGAAGACGCAACTCGAGCCACGCAGTCCCCAAAGTAGACGAGTGGAGGAGATGCGGGGGGTAGGTGGAGGCAAGCATTGCCGATGTTTAACCGGCCCCCTTCGGCCACCTCCCAAGATGCAGCTGCAACCACCAGGCACTTAATTAGCTTTGACACCATCCAAGCCTTTCTCCACCCGCTTAGCTTAGCCCTCATTGAGAGACGCACACTAAGAAAGATATCCGAAGCGACGCGTTCCCTCTTGGCTATCGGGCCATTTGGGTTTCCCGTGTTTCCATTGCGGGGCCCCGGGGTTTTGGGAGCTACTTCCCTGGTCTCTACCCCGAGGATGAGGCATTCGCAAACACCATATACTGTCTATATAAGTGACATTCCCGGAACCGAGAAAGGAGAATGGCACTCATGCCTGGACTTGGTATGATTAACCTCATTATACAAGATGTTCGATTCAATCAAGCGGTCGGCGCTGTACCAGGAGCTGAGCCTTCGCTTGGTCTTTATTGGGTGCTTGGTCTCTCTCAGGGGCCATGGGATTTGGATTTGATAATTCTTGGTGGGGAGATGCTCTTGGATTGTCGCCATTTGGCAAGAAGTATGGCGAATGGGATGATGCCCAGAATGACTAACCATACAACCTTCTACAGTGCGTCGAGATGGCCAGAGAATCCGCAAAGGGCCACTTAGAAAACTTGGCTAGTGCGAGCAACTCCTTTTTGTAATCGATGTTGCAGTCTTGCATTCGATGCTTGCTGATGACCTTGACAGCGCGCATGGCGCGCACGGCATCTTCTTTCTGTCTGCTTTCTAACCAAACATCCCCGAAGGCGCCACTTCCGATGATTTTATCCTCGGATCCATCGTGTTCCCACTTGAACCTGACGTCTTCCCTGGCTCCGGTAGGTCCGTAGCTCGATGTGAGTAGTATGCTGCTCCGTCACGACAGCCTCTTGGCGGAAATGGTCCAGCAGGTCGCGAGATTCAAAATGAGTCATGGCGAGCCTTCACTGATCGAGTTGAGACCCGTGGACTTTACCTAGAGGTGTCTGTCTGACAACATCAAGTGGCTCGCCCCAAAACTCCCCAAGCCTGGGGTCCGTCGAGCGCCAAGGGCCGCCACAGTCATTGGGCAGAGCATGCGCCTCTCTCATCTCGCCAATATATACCGCCTTCTGCCCATCACTACTTGTACTTGGTCGCATAGTTTTCTATTTACCTTCAAGTTGTTCGTTCACCGGCATAATTTCCATAATGGATCCGGCTTCCCTCGGCTTCGCGTCTGCTTCCATGGTTGAGCTGTGTATCAAGTGGGGTTCCCCGCGCCCGCAACCATTCATCGTCTAATTGCCTCGACAGAACTGGAAAGCAATTCTACATACACTGCAAAACGTACAGAAATGCCGAAACAGAGCTACGCCAGGTCATTCTGGAGATCGAGGGTTATTGGTTGAAAATTGAAGACCAAGTCATATTTCTTCGCGATCACTGGGATTCCCTCAGCGAACGGTACCAAGTCCACCAAGACCAAGTCCTTCAAGAGCTTCAAGGTACTCTGCAAACCGCAATATATACCCTCGACAATGTTCTAGGAAAGACAGAAGGTATTTCTCAATGGGAGAAGGTCCTGGCGAAGAAAGGAGAGGCAAAGCGTGTAAAATACGTGGTATACACGAAGGGCAAGCTCGAGCGCATCATCACCCAGCTAGATCGATGGCTCCGTCAATTCGATCCCTCGTGGTTCCTGTTATCTCGTATGTCAAATATGATCATCGGTCGCGATTTTGAGAGCGGTCGAGATAGCGACAGTAGTGCCATTTCAACAGTCGCAAAACTCCGCGAGGCACACGAGGAAAGCCAAACGACCTTAGTCCCTCCCTCTTCATCGTCTATCTTTCTTGGGAAATACCATCAGCTGAAGGATATAGAAAGGATTCCATTTGCGCACTCATCAATGGGACTGACGAGTGAAGGCAGACGAGTCATCATCGACCACTACTCCCTGCGGAATGCAGTCGACGTTGGCACTGCTAGAAAGGACGTGCGGGATCTCGCCTCGATTCTTTCCAAGGTTGACCCGGCGTTTTCATCTCTACTTCCGTGTGAAGGAGTCATAAAAGCCGAGAGCCCCTCGGCATCCGAACCTCATTTCCGCATGATTTTTACCATTCCTCCGACAATGAGCCATGCCATCCCGCGCAGTCTGCGATACCTCCTTCTAGAAAACAAGAAGAATTATGAGCTGAACGAGCGCATTAATTTGGCTGTCTCTTTGGCCCGGTCGGTCGTGTTCTTGCACGCATCGCGGATCGTGCACAAGAATATCACGCCGGAAAACATCGTTTTGCTTCATACCGAAAACGAAGCCCTCGGCACCCCATTCCTGGTAGGGTTCGAGCGTTTCCGATTCGACGAGCGACGAACAAACATGACCGGTGATGATAACTGGGAAAAGAACATTTACCGTCATCCTCAGCGGCAAGGCCTGCAGCCCGAGGAAGTGTATTCTATGCGTCACGACATTTATAGTGTTGGGGTCTGTCTTCTTGAAATTGGACTTTGGACTTCGTTCGTTCACTATACCGAGGATTTCCAAGTGGCGGGACCGGACTCAGAACTCCCTATCGACAGTCTAGTTGCGGCGAAGAATAAACGGAAGGCTGCAGCAGATATAAAAGCAATCCTTAGCAAAAAGGCTTTGGCCCATTTACCTCAGCTTATGGGTAAGATCTACACGGATGTCGCTGTATCATGTTTAACCTGCATCGATCGTGATAGTCAGTTCTTTAAAGAGGCTAGTGACTTTGAAGACGACGATGGAATTATAGTTGGAGTGCGATATATCGAGAAGGTAAACCAAGCCCCTTGGGCCCCCTGAGTTATCAAAGTCCTGGGTATACCTAGCTGACTATTTATCTCAGATTTTGTATGAAATTGAGAAGATACGTGTCTGAGCACACGCACTGCGATCTCGGGGTCACTATTTTGCTTTTCCAAGGCCACGGTGTTTCAGCGTCTCAAAATTACTTGTGCTCCCAATACAAATTTAGACACAGATTATTATATTGTGTAAATAGCCTTAGAAGACCTAGAATCAGGCCAAGAAGTACTTAGTTGGCGATAGTACTATGTCCGTGATGGTGTAGATAGCCAGTAATAGAGACGCAATCATTATGCTATTTGGTATCCTACCTCGTTATTTACTCAGTAGTACCCTGAGCTATTCGGGCGGATGAAGGAATTTCTCAAGGTAGAATCTTGGAATACTAGTCGCTTCACTGAGGGTGTGGCAGAGCCCCATAGCAGAGAACACTACTAGTACTAGAAGTAATTTATTTTGGGACGCTGGCAGAAACTTGAACACCAGGTCGATTGCGGCTATGGAGCGCCGTAGATACATGATGTTCTAAAGTTACTCCAGCTTCGTGATTCACCGGAGCATAAGGCATTAAGATAAAGTGGAATAGTATAAATTAGTAAGACCTATAGAAAACAAATCAGTGCCTTTGGGTCTCCTAACCCACCAAATCACCACCAGAAACGATTATACTACATAGTTGAAAGTATACACAAGAATATGGGGATTGATTCAACGCAGGCTTTCACTCAAGTAGCGAGGGCATGCTATAACTGGTCAACGGCGCTTCCAAGATTTCACGGCGCAGTTCAGGCTCCCAGGAATGAACAGTATGTTCAGAAACCTGTAACGTCAAGCAAGAGAAAAAGAGATCACTGATTTGATGCCATGAATCCGCGCTTAAACGTTTCGCAATTTTCAACATACGACCCGCAAACCATGGCCGTGCGGATGGAGAAGATGTTACCGAGGAATACTGTGTGAAATCAGGCATTTCATCTGACAGAGAAGACGATACGATGTCGTCTACGCTCACGTAGCCATCATTGCACGTCAGGAGAATTTGCAAGATGGCCTCGACTGAGCCGCTCATGCTGACTTCGCTGTCGATCAAGGCATATTCGAGGGTCCTGAGGAAAGTTCCCTCGTGTATGGGTGCATAGCGGTAATCCCAGAGAGCTGCGTTCAATATCATCAGCGCAGTGAAACGGGCGACCATCTGTTTTCGGTCTCCTGACGCCGTGAAACGAGCTCCTGGTGGCGCGGCTAGAATTTGAAAGAGGAGAGAAGATTCTTGGACAGATGTATGGCGGGATAGGTCGCACAATTCGGGGTTCGCTTTTTGGTAGAGAGCAAGCTGCTCACAGCGCCGGAGAAAATCGAGGAATTCTTCGCACTGGAGCCGAATTTCATCGATTGGGGATAACTGTATGAGGCTACTTGTAGCAGCAGCAGAAGTCGGCTCGGAACAGGGCGCAACATCTGACAAGGAGGAGGTGGAGTATGGCGGAGAGGGCATGGATTGGGAAATTTGAGAAGGCTGAACCAGAGGCTCGGCTGAAACATTCGGAGTGAAGGAGGGAGTTGGTTCGAATGAGAAGCTGAGCCCGCGCGTCTCGTAGCCAGACAGTATATAATCTTGCCAGTTAATCAACATTCCTAATCGAGTATTTGCAAAGGCAGCAGGGCCACCACGCGCGCGGATCATGTCACGAGCTGCGCGCATATGCATCCAGCTAAATTCTTTGCGACCAGGGCGGGGATCAAAGTCTTCAAGAGCGGCTGCACTTAAACATGATATGATTGCAACATCTGAGGTATCGCCGGGGTTTTTGTGCATATGTTCACGAAGCATCCTGATGGCACGATCTCGATGCAAGAGGCCATCGGCTGTTTCTCCCTCATTTCTGACCCAAGCCCAAGTATTTGCAGCATGGACGAGAATAGTGTTTTGAAACGCGACAGCACCTTTCATTGCCTCGGGGACAAAAACGGCCGTATACCAATTATGGGCTTTGAGCGATCGAAAATGTGTACCATAAGAGCACGCTGGCATATCATTGACATAGAAATCGAAGAGCCTCTGGCCATCGAGATCCAGCTCGACGGGGAGGGTATTGAATGGATCTGTTCTTGCGGCGCTCATAATGGATCTTGGCGATTGTGTAAACTCAAGGGGGGGTCGTCGGCGCGGACGACCAGGAAGCTAGGCTGCTGCTCAAGTCTGTCGGATAACTATGGGGTTGTGGGGATATATTCATAAGACGTTGTGGTTCAAAGGGATTGTAGGGCTGAATGGAAGAGGTTCGATAAGGCAAGTGGGTGATGCTTTGAGCCTGGGCCGGTAGCTTAGATCGGTTGGATGATGTAGTGACAGCCACAATCCGGTCCTGGCCGCTATCTTCAATATCTGCCAGAGCATCTTGTTTGGATACTGCTGGAGGTTGATTTGTCGCATTCGTGGATTGAGGGTCTTGCGGCGTGAAGTGAGTTGCTTTTCTGGTCGACTTGCGCTTGGCTGCACGATTCGACTTCGGCCGGCCACGCTTCGCCGGGCGAATAGGTGCGTTCTCCTCTTCTTCTTCATCCTCACCTTGCTGCGAATCGCCCTTTTTCTGGCGCATATACTCCTGCATAACATGACGTTTGACTTGCGTTAAGTTGCTTCGACGGTTATTCGAAGAGTCGATGAATTGCCACCGCACGTTGGACGCTTGGGGGTTATCGGTGGAGGCTTTATCGCTGGAGCCCGCGGGGCCTGAATCTGACATGGCTAACGCGGGGGAGGTGAGAAGAACACGCATACGTATCTCAGCCGCTCGCGCGCAGTTGTCCTCGATATGAAAGAGAGAGCGCTGGGCAGTTGGGTGGAGGATATTAAATGGACTTGGAACTTCGGGATTGATCGATCGACGAGCCGTGCGTGCCTAACGGCTGTGCTTGCAGGGCGGAAGGATTGGATTTGAAGCGGATGGCGAGCAGTTCAATGATGACGCTCCAAGCCGCTCGAATAAGTCCAAAAAAGTAGGCGGGATAAGAATAGGAACAAGGTACTCCGTTGACGGTCAGCGCGAGTAGTGTGCATCAGCGTGCATCAGCGCAGATCCACTGGACGCTCGTGCATTGGACCCGATGATGCAAACTGAGAACCCCACTCAGCAAGGCTATCTGATTTCGACAGAGAACGGGATGGGGCGTCAGCGAACGACTACTAGTACAAGGCCTTCGGCACGAGTGGGCCAGCGGTGACCCCTGGGATTAGAGATGATCTTTCAGGCCAAGCAGATGGTATTCCACCATAGAGGGTTGGGCATGGGGGCGAAAGCACAAATGTGAAGGAGAGCGACGAACGAGAAACGGCGAGGGGACTGGGGAGGGTCCACTGTGCGATCAGTACTTGTTCAGGACAAAGAGTAGATCACATCAGTGGGTGGTGGGTTGCTGAAAAGTTTGGCTGAGCTCGCACAGGTCAAACTGTTTTTGGTTAGCCGCTGCGATGCACTGCAGACTCCCTAGCGGATTGGGTCGTACCGTGGAGAAGAGGTCCATTAGGGGATTTCGGGTGTGTTCCGAGACATTGATAGGAGGAGAGAGAGAGGAGACCAGAGGGTATTAGAGAAAAGCAGGGAGTAGGAAGATTGGTAATGGTAGAGTGGTAGGAGTAGGAGTAGGAGTAGCCGTACTACTAACTACTACTACTACTACTACTACTACTACTACTAGTCAAAGTATGTCTGCATCCAAGTTTCAGACTAGGACTATATTAGATGACTGTCCCCTCGAAACATCCTAGGATCCGTCGGCAATGCTTTTATGCAATCGGCTCATCCTGCACTTTAATTCTCGATCCACCGTTCCTGCAAATGCGCTTGGATCTTGTTCTCCGCTGTGCATTCTCTCATTCTCTTATTCTCTCCGGCCCTCGCCCAGCCCTATGCCCGGCAAACTCTAAGACAAGTATGACGTTGAAATCATGAGGGTAAGAACACGAATCAGAGGTCAATGGGAATTTAAGTTAACAACCTGAATCTAAATGTACCTTACCCACCCCATCTCACAGTCTGGTCTCCACAACTTGTCAGCGACATACCATCTTCGGCATAGTCTTAGCTGATCACTCTTGGGGCCATATTCGCATTGGAGAACCCCTTAATTTATTATAATTGAAATGCACAGCGGGCGTCAGATTCCTAATTCCTGGGGGCTGATAGGCGTCGAAGATGGATGGCCCTACCCGGAGGACCCGGACAATGGGAATCGCACAGGCCTCCTAGTTCAAACACCAAGTAAGTAGTACTACGTACTCCGTATTCGTACTCCGTACATTGTACGATAGTCCCACAGTCAGACCCCGGACAGTCGGGGCATAATTATCCCCCGACAACGGCAAACCCGACACCAGGGGACTGTCGATGATCGCCAACGGCTAGCTTAATCTTACTTCGTACGTATGTAGTACTTCTTGAAGACATAGCCCCACGGAGCGTGCAAATGTATAGTGTGCCTCGTGGTCCTCCTGCCTCGTGGTCCTCCTGCCTCGTGGTCCTCCTGCCTTGTTTCACAATGCCTGACGGCTCATCGTATGCATTGTTTCGCTGCAGCTAACTGGTGGTTGCATTGTCATGATCTATCTGCACATTCTCTTCTTGGGATAGATGGTTTCGCTGGCGTCGGAATCCTTCAATTTAACCGCACGTTCTGACCAGTCGGACCGGCCGTATGTATGGAATTCTCGGCAAAATGGATGATCAAAATGACATCTATCGTCTGCATCTTCATTATCCAGTCTGGAAGCCCCTGAGATGTTCCACTGAAGAACCCCTACGCAGATGAATTTGGGGGCCAGAATCGCAACAATGTATCTTACACCTTCCCAGCCTGGACAAGTGGCGACTGCATGTATATGTCGAGAGTTGTCTGAAATGAGATGGGAAGGTGAATTTTCGACTTGGCGGGATTCCCGAGACACGATGTATGGTCCGTACTTTCAGAGGTGGATCGCTGTAGGTTTGGGCGTCGTAGTGTTTTCGTCCCATCCCAGCCCAGAAATTGCAGAAGGATCAAAGCTAGGTAATGGTGTGTCAAGAGATATGCCTATATGCAACGAGACTGAATTGCATTTGCCGTCATTGATATCCAGACGATCCAGGATTGTGATTGAAGGGGGTTAGTGAGTGCTCAGAGCGTTGTCGTAAGTCCGATCTAGCTACTGCAAGGCAGAATGGTTAGTAATCTTTAAAACCTGTGCTGTGAGACCATTTGCACCCAATGCCTCGCAGAGTGTCGTGGATAGTGCAAGTGCAAGTACAAGTGCGCGCTGTCGCGTGGAGATCCGCCTTCACCGCCTTCCTAGCTTGAGTGATCGCAGACCGGACCGCGGAGTTTTGGCACAAAGCGACGACAATCAAGGGACGCCAACACGCTGAATATTGGGGGTTTGCATGATCCAAACTTGCTCTTGGATTTATCCCACCTTCTTCATCACTTCAAATTACCCCCAGATCGCCCATTGGACGAGCGCCGCTGCCTGGTATCAGCTCTGCAGAATCCGCGCAAACCTCCGTGAGAAATCCGCCCAGTCGACATAAACCCCCTCGATCCGCCCCTGAGGCGTGTATCCCTCGTCGCGTGAGCATAAGGAATCTGCGACCGGGAGCCTGGAGCACCAAACGGGTTCATGCAAGTCCCATTATGCCGGAAGCATTCTCGTTCGGACTTCGCATTTAGCCCAGCCTTCCCATCCTTCGATCGATAAGCTGTGAACCGGCCTCGTCTGACCAGGCGCGCGAACTCTCCCAGTCTGCGCAAATATTCGGGATATACAGAGAACCTCATTCCCACATTTATCGGTGCCTCAAATACCCTAACTGTCGTTATGGCGCCGGACATGGAGGTCGGCGCGATTCATACCAACGGGTTCACCGAAGGCGCAGAAGCCTCCAATTCAACGATCAACCCTTACGAAACAAACCCAGCTAGGATCCCCCGCGATGACCCGTTTCTCGCCCAGAGCGTGCAATATGGCCGCTACGCCCCGCATCCCACTGATTTCACCCCGCGCTATCAGAACTGGCATCAGTCTGATCCCGAGACGAACACTTTTTGGCAAGAGGTGGCGCAGAGATTCTGCACCCCGGAATATTCACTCAAGATATCGGGGCCGAGGGAGATATTCGCTGCTGGTAGTGTGATCATCCGAGTCGACCATGATCCTGTCGACGTCAGTGTCGCGGAGCGATACTCGTGCGCCAATGCGAACGAACTTTCCGCGGCCCGGAAAGTGGAGGAATCGCTGCGTGAAATCGGAGTCACGGTTCCGGTCATACATTTCTGTGGTACAATTGAGGGTAAGAATGTGACGGTGGAATCACGAGTACCGGGCGTCTCTCTGGACGTGGCGTGGCGTTATTTAAGCACCGAGCAAGTGGCTACCTTCAAAAACCAGTGCCGTCAACTCTTGCAGCATATTTCAACGATCGATCCCTCTCCTACCGAACCTTCCTACATTTGCCGCGGTCTCAATACACAAACACCACCCCCAGGGCGCGAGACGGAACAGTCAATACTCCTGGCTGAGAAGGGCGGCGAGGAGAATCTTTCCTTCACGCACAATAATTTGATACCGGCAAACGTCATCGTCAAGGACGATCGGATCGTGGGTCTCACGGGATGGCGGGAAAGTGGATATTTTGGCATCGCTCGAGCTCAAAAAGTGCACAAGTCATTGAGGGATCTCCAGCTTGGCCCACAAATAAGCGGAAATGATGCATGGCTTGATCTTTATGATGAGGACTATGATTCTAGCAAAAGCGCGCCATTGGTTGCAAGCAAAGACATCGCTCTGCCATCCGTGAAAACAGAACCTACAAGTTCAACACTAGAAAAATTCCCTATCAGCGACGACTTGGACACCAAATCGCTAGGATTCGACGGAACCAGCGATTATCCGACATCGAAGAAACTTGCCAACTTGAAGAATGGAACAGCTTCTCGTGCCTCGTCCTCCGACCGGTCATCACCCGCAACATCAGTCAAGCCCGCATCAAATAAAAAAGCGGGATCCGCTACTACGAAGAAAGGCACGGCAAAGAAACCGGCTGCTAAGAAGCGCAAGGTGAATGATGTAGATGCAGACAGTGCTGATGGGCGTCGATCAAATACACCCGCATCTCGTGCCAGCAAAGGCCCAGGCAAAAAGCAAGACTCTGTCTCCATCGCAGGGTCCCCGGCACCCGAGGAAAAGAAGAAGAAAAAGAAAGGGGCGAGGAGACGCCTTGTAAATGAAGATGAAGAGGATGTCGAAGATCCGAACGAGCTCTTTTGCATCTGCAGACGACCCGATAACCACACATGGATGATTGGGTGTGATGGCAATTGCGAAGACTGGTATCATGGAAAATGTGTCAATATCCATGCTAGAGATGAAGAGTTGATCGAGAGATACATCTGTAAGTTCCCATTCATCTATATCTTTCACTGGCCGCGAATCCGATCTAACCAGATAAATGACAGGTCCGAACTGTGAAGAGAGAGGACAAGGTCGCACAACATGGAAACCGATGTGCCGTCTCCCCGAATGTCGTAAACCGGCACGCGCCACTCCCAAGAACCCTAGCAAGTACTGCTCCGACGACCATGGCCAGGAATTCATGCGACAGCAGACTCGCCAGTTTAAGCTTGGATCAGCCCGAAAGGGAGTGGAGGATCTAGGTAGCATGGGCGGTATTCTCACGGCCGGCGACCTCAAAGCTGCTATACTCGGCGTGACCTCGGTTGAAGAATTTCGCAGATTAGGTGATCGGATCATTTCCCCGTCAGCTTCTACAAAGGAGAATACTCCCAATTCTGAGGTGAAGAGCGAAACAGTGCTGCAGGTCGGCAATGGATTTGACATCAACCCCAAAGGCGTGGAGTATTCCCCCGAGGAAGCCGCACAAATGGCGAGGTTGCGCAAGCTGCGCGACGACCTTCTTCACCGCAAGGAGATGCTTGCCGCACGCTCGAAGTTCGTGGGGCTTCTGCGACCGCGAGCCAAGGGAGTGGTGGAAAAGCTAAAGCAGAAGGAGCCGAAAGGCGGATGGAAGGATATCTGTGGGTTCGATTCACGGGTTTCGTGGTCGGACGAGGAATTCGACGAGTGGCGGTTGTCAGAAGCTGGGAAGAAGGCGCTCGCAGAGGGCACGATCGAGGCTATGGCTGCTAATTTGCCTGGCAACACCGACGCAGATGGCGATACAGCCATGGATGGAGAGGGTGAGGATGAATTGGCCTTCTTGACTCGTGGTGTCTGCACGAAGAAACGTTGCGAGCGACACAAGCAGTGGGTCAAAGTGCAGCAGCAAGATATTTTGTTTGAAGAGACCACTGCAGACGAGGATCTTGCCAGATACGAGGAAGAGGCACGTTATGTCGCCGAAAGCGCCGTTCTAAGAAGATGGGCTGAGAAAGAGAATATTCCTTCTGGGTCCGGGTAGAACACGCTGGTTTTTCTTCTCTCCTTTTCTCCTTTGGTGGGTATGTGTTTAGTGAATGGTGACAAAGAAAAAAGCTTGATACCCCCCTTTTTAAACTGAGTCAAAAAACATGGCTCATGGCTTGGAGTTGGTATTTTGTACGAGGTAGCTCTGGGGAGAAATATTGAATACAGGACAACCGGGAAACTTGTCCCAATTTGCATTGGCATCGGTATGGCGCTTTGCGAGGGTGGATCTAGTGTCGCGATTATTGAATAGCGAATCATTTATGTAACAATAGCAGCAATTGCATGGATTGAATTAGAAGTCGACGCCATGGTAACTAATATCATTCACGTACTAGGGGTCCATACGCTCCATTTTCCGAGCCCAGGTCCGACTCGGGATTTGATCACTTCGGCAACCTGAGAGGTCTTGATGTCTGATATGAGAATATGTGTATCGATACCTTGGTCGAGTGTTTTCATGAGAAGAGTAGAAAGAAGCGTCGATCCTGGTGTTTGAAAGACCGAGTGAATGCCATCATCCCACGACGGACGAGTATCTTCGTCCTGGAGCTTGATCAGGTTTGGACCCTGTTGATGGGTTGATTCAAAAGCCGCAGGACCAATTCCATTGGTGTTGACGAGGATAGTTGAGAGGTAGGGAGCGTGGGCCCGGGACATGCGGTTTAAATTACGGAGAGTGGCCGACAATAAAGCCGTTCCTCTGACTGGATTTGATGCTCGAATGACGCCTTCGGCGAGGGTGTCGAGTCCAACCACGATCAGAATCACGGGCTGACTGTTTCGTGTATTATCTGCCTGCTGCTGCCTTGACCTTTCAATTTTTTGTAGTGACCCCGAGACCTGGCCGATGGCCTGGGCTGCATTTGGAAGATTATGCACCGGTAGTAATTGCACGGTGTCGAGTCTTTTGATTGCTTCTTCCCGAGAAAGCTTTGGCTCGGTTGGGCTCGATTGCAGGACACCGAGTAAAGTTCTAGGAGCGAAAGCTTCGAACCCACGCGGAAATATAATAAAGGCGCGTGGCTCGGATGAAGCGGGGTTCTCAGATAAACTCTTTATGAGCAGATGTCGGGGAATCTGGCATGCCTGAGTAAGATGATGTGCATGCAGCTGGGTGGAGTGGAAGATACCTGAGCGACATAATCATCGTTGTTTTTGTCCCTGGATCTTAGTCTGGAGAATCCGATTATAGTTCCGCATTTGAAGATCGTTGATTGGGAGGATTGAATGCCTTCGTCCCAGTGTCTTTTGAGGCCCCAGTCATTGCTGTCTGCGCTGACATGCAAAGGCGCGCTGGGGGGTGTTGGACTGCGTGGCTGCGAGAGAAGAGAATGGGCTAGGATAGGGAAAGCTGGCTCTGCGGAATAGGCGTTCGATGCCAATGCCATTACTGACCATGGTTTAGTAGTAAACCCTGTGAATTGAACCTTGGAGAGTTCATGATAGAAGAAAGCGGTGGGGTGGCGGCTGTTCAAGTAAGTTATTGTATTACCACTTCATGTGACTTGTATTGCTCTCGGTGGTTACCAACTCATAGGCATCATAATAGGAAAACAGCATATATGGGAGAGAAGATCAATACTTATCTATTATCAACGCGTAGTTGATCAATTTTAAATTGTTTATTCAATCATGGCGGCCGGCTGTGATTCGCAATTTCGCAATGGGGGTTAGTTGTGTAATGCGTCCGGAGCCGTAAGAAGCTTCAATTTCTTTTGGTGACAACTCAGGGACCGAAACCATCGCATAAAAACAATGGAATTAGATGCATAACCTTGGAATGACTTTCAAATTTCGCTAGTTAGAAATGTTTTACGTGTTGGTTTTTTAATAATTGCATTGCAATTTGATCGTATTCAAACTCAATCTGCGTCATCAGGGACCGTACTGTACTGAGTGCCCTGACTATGTTCATTTGTTATTCACAAGAGATCTTGCTGAGCTTATATTATTGATACGTCTCTGCTCATTCATTTGACCGGTGGTAAATTCCGTCTCCATGTCCCACTCCCATCATATGTCCATTTGGTTCCCATGTTATCCTGCAAGACCCTGATCAAATCCTCGCGTACCGCCTCGACGTGAAGATCTCGACTGCGAAATTCGACGATAGACGGATGTTGATCAATATGCCATCCTATGATAGAATACGCACTCTCCAATTCCATCCAAGGGTCATTTGGATCGAGTGAACCACGTTGCTCCAGTTCAGTAGCGTGGTTGTTGACATCGGGGGGCCAACTGAATAGTCAGTTGGTGCAGATTGGCCATTTTGGAAATGGTATTTAATATGAGCTCCATATGGTTGAAGAACGGGAAGACTGCGACATAGGAGAAGGAGACAAAGTTCTCTAATATCATCGTCAAATCCGGCACAGCCGGGGGTTCTGGGTCGACATCCGGCCAGTGTGCCGGTGGCTGGAGGTGAAACCCCCCATTCACCAACAAATGAGGGGACGCGACCCAAGAAATATTCATAATGGTGATATGCCTTGAGAGAAGAGGATTCATTGAAGGCTATTGAAGTCCATGGACGAGCCGTGAGAAGGTTAGTACAATATTCTAAGTTTTGCAACGAGGATAGATCACGCGATGGGCAGGCATCTCGTTCCAGTTGCAAAATCTGAAGGTCGATTTCAAATGCCCAGTTGAAACCACCTTGAACGGATGCATTCAGCGTTTCTCCTATAAAGACTGGTGGGGCTAGAAGGGCGATGCGATCTGGATCTAGATAGCGGAGGACTCTACGCCACCATGATGGATCATCCGGATATACTGGGGTCGGTGGAGAGATGGCGACAAGAGAAGTGACATAGCGGTTCAGGTTCGAGCGAACCAGGAAGGTGCGGAAATCAGGCTCATCTTTCAACTCTAAACAAGCATGTGAAAAGAGTATCGGCCTGACCAAATCTAGAAATTGGCTCGAGGTGAGAGCAAGGTGCTTGAGATTTTTATCTTGCTCCGATCGAACAAGATGAAGATTGGGAGTCAGATAGAGCTGGGCCCGAGACGGCGGTTCGGGGGCCAATATAGTGATGATATGATGCAACAACTCATTTGGAAGTTGTAGCAGGGGACACGGCATGATAGGAAGGTCGTCTCACAGTGGCAATGGCATGGGAGGGGAACTCGGGAAGAAGAAGCCTGTCGAAGTGCCGGAGGGTCCCCACTTGAGCACCGCTGCAGCCCACTTGGCTTCTTGGTCAGCGGTGACTCAGCTGGAACCAATTAGTTAAGAGTATTCACCGTCGGAATGGCTATATTGAATACACGATCTGGAGTATACAGATACATTAGAAGAGATGGTGAAATAGACATTTATAGACCGACCCAGTCACAGAGCTAACATTATCAAGCTCAAGCTCAAGCTCAAGCGTTGATGAATGTTTAATTTTAGACCGAGCCCCAACCGGGAATCCCCCCCCAAAGGTGGAGTACTGCAGCCAAATCTGCAAGTTCAATCAGACTGCATACGAGTACCCCAGACGAGTACTAGTAGTATGCATAGGTACTACTTCCAAGTTAAGGAGGATGAGTGCTTCTACCTTCGTGCTCTATCATATCATCTATACTGCATACTCGTAATTTATACGAGTATAAATCCATACCGTACCATGTCCTCCAGGCTACCCCGAGTCAACGCCAAGCAACGCCCCGCAATCGTCTTTTTCTTTTATACTTCAGTTTCAGTTTCAGACCTAGAGAGCCTTCTTTAGCAATCCAATCTGTCAATTAGCCCGAGTTTCGATTCTCACCGGCCAAGTCCATTGCTAAAAAATGAATTTTCTAGCTTAGGATGAGTGCTGATCGGCATTGAGGCAACTGAACAATTGCCTGGTTCCGATAGGCGTGTAGAATGTGGAGATGTCTATCTTTTTTGCCTGGTGGGGCATCATCGCATTCGGACTGGACTGAATTGAATTGAACGGCAGTCCAGTGCGCGCGATGGCGATGTGTTGGTTCTGCCCCTCTTTCTTGTCCCTCTCTCCGTCTCCCCGACTTTTCTTTTTCTCCCCTCTCCTCCATCTCCAACTTTGTCTTTCACGTATCTTTCACTGCTGTAAGTCCACGAGCTCCCCCCTACAGGAACCTCCTCCTCCTCCTCCTCCTCCTCCTCATCGTCGTCGAATACTCATCTCATTGCAATTAGCACTGCCTCCATAATGGCTCCTCAGCTTCATCAAAGACCCCCCTTTCCGTGCGGAGCACTTGGGCTCCCTGCTCCGCCCCCAGGAGCTCCTGGATGTTAAGATTGCCTCTGAGAAGGGCGAGGTCCCCGAGTCTCAGCTCATTCCCGTCGAAGACAAGGCCATCAACGATATTGTCGATACCCAGAAGAAGCTCGGCTACTCTGGTATCTCGGATGGCGAGTACCGCCGCCACAGTAAGTGTCCCTAAGTGTGCCACAGGCGGGTTGCGTAGAGCTTATTGCAGGGTGATTGCTGACAACGGTGTAGTGTTCTGGGGTACCTTTTTCCCCGGCCTTGACGGTTTCGACGAGGTCACCGACTTTGAGACCGACATCTTCCGCCCTTACGCCCCCGATATCGCTGCTTTCCTTGAGGCTGGCCACAAGCCCGGCGAGACCGTTCTCTGCACCGGAAAGATCAAGCACGTCGGAAGCACCTATGTCGACCAGTTCAAGTATCTGGCTAGCCGTGTATCCCCAGACGAGGTTAAGAACCTGAAGATTACTCTAGCTGCCCCTAACTGGTACCACCTGCGTTACCGTGAGGGTAAGGCCTACCCCAAGGATGTGTACAGCTCCGACGAGGAGTACTTCGGTGATATCGCCAAGGCCTACCAGGCCGAGCTGAAGATCCTGTACGATGCTGGATGCCGCAACGTGCAGTACGATGACCCTAACCTGGCCTGTAAGTCACCACTCAAGCACATTTCATCAAAGAACACAAAACTCACATGGAATCACAGACTTCTGCTCCGAGAAGTTCTTGGACGGCTTCAAGGCCGACAAGGGCAACGTTTACTCCGCGGATGACATGTTCGAGAAGTACATCAAGCTGTACAACGATAGCTTCATCGGTCTGCCCGAGGACATGCACGTCGGTGTTCACCTGTGCCGCGGCAACTTCGTCGGAAGCCGTCACTTCTCTGAGGGTGGTTATGACCGCATTGCCATCAAGCTGTTCCAGGAGCTGAACGTGCACACCTACTACTTGGAGTACGACACTGAACGTTCCGGCGGCTTCGAGCCCCTCAAGCACCTGCCTACTCACAAGAATGTCATTCTCGGCGTTGTGACTAGCAAGTTCGCCACCATGGAAGACAAGGAGGAGATGAAGCAGCGCGTCATCAATGCTGCCAAAATCATCGCTGAGGGCAACAAGATCTCCGTCGAGGCTGCCCTAAACCAGGTTGGCGTTAGCCCCCAGTGTGGCTTCGCTTCCCATCGTGAGGGTAACGCTATTGACTGGAATGGCATGATTAACAAGCTTCAGCTTGTCCGTGACATTGCCAACGACATCTGGCCCAACCAGGCTTAAAAGTCTTGCTCTGTGAGGCAGGACCTGTATTGCATGACCTCAACAGATACCCATCTTGTACATTTGCCATCTGCCACGTCCATTCTCTGTTCGCCTTCTCAACAAGGCAATCCGGTCTGGGTTTTCCTTTCTTTTGTGTATAGCCCGTTGGCGGGGGTGTCTGGAATACCAACTCAACGTATGATTCTTGAAAATAGTCAATATACTCGTGTTCATGATAATTTTGGTCCCAGAAAGATTAAGAGAGAAAAGAGAGAAGATTTAGGATGAGTGCAGGAATGCACGAACGGACTCATCTCCTCGTTCAAAGGCCACCAAGGTTTTCCTGCAAGGTCCTCCCGCTAGACGACGTGGTCCAAATCAGTCCCCACGAGGGCCAGGGACTCAGATCTCTCATAAGATGCCCGGTAATATGACAAGCATCCTCATCTAGTAGCTCCATGGCTTCTCGAAAAATTGAGCTAGCCGTTTTCGACAATGCCCCACACTTCATGCTGACATGCCAAACATCAAAGTTGTCTGTACTGCACCTTGCTCTATCAATGTCATGTACAACTGAGACTTAGTGGTATCCAGTCATGATGATGAGCTTTATCTCCAAGTATACTTGAAAGACACAACAAAATGTCAGGTCTCGAAGTGATTGGTGTCATCGCAAGCATAGCCCAGATCGCCGATCTTGGTATCAAACTCTCAATTAAGCTCTGCTCCTTCTACCGCCGAGTCAAAGATGCAAATTAGCCCATGCAGAGCCGTTCTAGTGAAGTATACCTCACATGCGCGATACTTCAAGAGCTGGGAGCGACTCTTCGTCAGGACGCGCAAGCCAAAGTTTGTTCCGAGAAAGCATTCAAGACAGCACAAGAAGTGCTAGACGAGTGCAACATTATATTCAACCGCATCGATGAGGCAATTGAGAAAGAAAATGCTCGATCTGGAAAAGGTCGCTTCCAACTCCGAGCTCAAAAGCTCACCATTGCTTTTCTTGGCTCAGATATAGATCTGCTGAAAAGCAATCTAGAGAGATTGAAGTCCACAATGCGGCTCATACCCAATGTGATCATGCTTGCTGGGCAGCTTCGCAGGTAAAACTTATCCCCAGGGCTTGACATCGAAGTTGCTATGACTAATGAGATTTAAACAGGACTAATGATGCTTCTGTACTCGGAGACCAGCGTGAGATGATTCAATCACTTCCCAAAGACAAGCAAGAGAGTGAGGCAAAATATCATGATCTGACCAGATCTATTCAGATGGTCCACATCAACGACCGTGCAAATTTAGAAGACAAGGGTACAGCAGCAATGGTCACGGCAGCACAGTCAACAGACGTCCCAAAATTCAAGACTGGAGCAATATTTCCGGGGATGTCTCGAGCTGATCGAGTAGCCATGCAGAAGGATTTGAAATCCTACCGTCAGCTAATCCAAAGTTTTATCAATTATATTGACATGTGCCAGTCGAGTTTGGAGGACACTCGGTATCTGAGAATAAGAAATGACGTGATGAACCTGCATCTAGTCGAAATTGAGGAATACCGGGAAAATCAAGATCCTCGCGTAGTACAGGCACTCGAGAGAATGGTTTCCACCACCCAGAGCCCAAACTACGCGGTATTACAGAGTTATGAAGAAGATGATGAAGAAGATGATGGGGAGGATGAAGATGGAGACGAGCCAGAATTGCTAAAAGGGTCTGATTCCAATCCAGAAAAGAGTCAAAGTCGCTACTGCAGACTCTCTTTGTCTCTCGCCAGCCACTACCCTAATCTGGCTGAATCTGTGAATGAAGAAATCATTCGGGGTCGACCCCGAAACAGATCGCCACCAGGCTTGATCAGTGCCTACCGTCCTGGCTTCGTCGAGCGGCAGCGAACTCGGTCACGGTCACCGCGTTCTCGGAGCCGAGTCAATAGAAAAGCTCCCGTGGCTGCGGCGGGTCTAGGTACTGCTGCTATAGCCGGTTTATACGAGAGAAGGAAAGAACAGAAGCCTGTCTTCGAAACAGTGGAAGAGTTGATTTTATATTGGACAACATTGACAGTAGATGAAATATAGAGAGAGCGAGGGTGGAGCCTAAACTAGCAATTCACGAGGTTGCTTGGGCACGGGAGTATGCTTTCAGCCTATGTACCTCAAGTTAGTATCAACAATTCGGCATAATCAGCCAGTTCAGTGCACAATATCATTCGGCGGGCCCAATGATGTTCTTCTCTTTAACGGCAGATCTCTTGTGTGTGTTCACATTCTCGACCTGCGCCAAGCCATGAGCATTGAATCCAAGAGTATTGAGAGTCGAACCCCAGCATCGGCTTCCTGGTCAGGCGTACCTCGTAGCACGGCTCTGTTTCCGATGCCTCCACGATGCGGCCGGTCAAACTAGACTTTGAGGTGCAGACATTGTGAATCACGCCAGTACTCTTGTTGGTATTAGAGTTTGGTCCTATTCGCGAAAAGAATAACCGTCAGCTAGTGTAGAGACCTGGCTTTAATCTCATCGGAATCATACCGCCGACAGGCTTGTAGTTGACTCGCTGTCCTTCCTTGAAGTGAGGCATTTTGGTTGATAGAGACCTCGGGAGATTTCTTTGGTTCTTGGGACAAATTCTCGGAAAAGACGACCGACTCTTGGACCACCAAATAAAAGAATATTGTTGAAGACAGAATATTGCAGCATGAATCGATTGGTGGAAGACGATGTTATATCAAAGATTTGCTCCTCGGTTTATATTTGCTAAGTGGCAAGTATTTAGGAGGTTGATCTCCGGATTTCTTCGTCATATTGACATGACATGTAGGGGTCTAATGGCGATGAGTTGGGTCTACTATTTGAGTTGTGGCGGCAACATCGTCAGAAAATCTGGTTGTCACTTTGGGATAGACATCATCACGTAACAATGAGAACAGATCGTGTCCCGTCGGGAAGGTTGGGGAGGTTGGGGATACCAGGTCCGCCGGGCACCGGAGGTTGATTCCGTGGAATGCAATTAATACTAAGCAAGTTGGCCAATTGAGTGAAACGCTGTCACATTCAATCAAATGTATGTCATTTTAGTCCAAGTTGATTCTCTATCTCAGCTCCAAAAGTCAACTCCCCTCCGCCTCTGAAAACCAGTCAATTCTATACACATCGGCAATCCACAATAATGACAAGGGAATCGAACAATGGAAACGCTGCTGATATAAACCACTTGTGGAGAATTAAATAATTAAGGCGGAGCTCCGGCGAGTCCGTCCGTGTAGCAACAGAGGGGATATCATAGAAGGAAAATGGGACCATAGGGGGGTAAAGAAGAAGAAAGATAAAAGCGGTTGCGCACAAAGGAAATGAAAGCAAAAGCAGAAAGCATAAATGAAGTAGAAAGCCCAAATGCTGCGTCGTATTGTCATGAAACACGGGACATGAGTCGAAAAGCGAAATTGCTTCACGGACGGTGCAAGGTGTTATACACGAGGCTGGGGAGGGGAGCCTCTCGATATCGCAGCGGGGCGGATTTATTTTTGCGGCTGGGTCTTGACATTGTTGGAGAGCCATGCCTGGAAGTGGAGACGTGCGGGTCAGCTATTGTTTTGGTCCCGGTCAAGCAAGACAGGGAAGGAGACTTACCAGGCCTTCAAAAATACCGGTTCCGTCTGTCGCCACACTAGGCGCGACATACCACAGCTTGTCCTTGAGCTTGGTGAGTTGAAGTTGTTGAGTAACCTCCTCAGGGCTCAGATCTGGTGAATTGGTCAGTTTGGGAAGGGGTCCAGGGACACGGTAATTTGGTTCGCGAAAGAACAAGAAGAATACGTACGGCCACCGATATCTTGCTTGTTGGCGAACACCAACAAAAGGGCATCCTTCATTTCGCGATCGTTGATAATCTTGTGTAGCTCCGAACGGGCCTCCTCCATACGCGCGGTGTCGCTTGAGTCCACCACGAAAATCAGACCTTGTGTGCCGGAGTAGTAGTGTCGCCAGAGAGGACGAATCTTGTCCTGACCACCGACATCCCAGACGTTGAACTTGACATTCTTATAGGTGACGCTTTCGACGTTGAAGCCGACGGTGGGGATCGTGGTGACGTCCTGGTTGCTGAGTTTCAATTTGTAAAGAATAGCTGGGATGTTGTCAGCAACCGCATGAGATATACTATAAATCACCCAAATCAGCTCCAGGGGTATCCTTACTGGTCTTTCCAGCAGCATCCAAACCCAGCATCAGGATCCGCATCTCCTTCGTGCCGAAGATCTTCCCCATCATCTTGGATACTTGGCCACCCATCTTGGCGACGCGTCAATTAAAAATGGGCGAGAGAGAGAGATAAAAGTGTGCAACAGCACAAGAACGAGAATGGAAGGAGTCGATTGGGGTCGAGCAACAGGAGTGAGAATGAGAATCGAATCAAGACCAGACAGGACAAGACAAGACAAGAAAACAGAATCGCGGGGAGGGGAAAAGGGGCAGCAACTCAGCTGACTCAGCCACCCCCGGCGTTTCGTTTCGCGGGCTCCACTGCTAATTTACTACGGTGGCTCCTGTCGAATTTCCTCCAGTGTGTACGAGTACGGAGTACAGAGTATGGATGAAGTATGAAGTACAAAGTCCTTGGTACATACTCTGTACTCCAGGGAGTCGGCGCAGGAACCGTGGCTGGTGAGAGTTTGCGACGTCATGATCACACACGGTACACTTCTCTCCAGCATCTTCATATTTGTATAACTTGTACACCCAGATACTCTCCTGCCTACACTTTCAATCTATTTCTCTTCACGAGTGCTTCCCTTCTCTTTTATCTCCAAACCGAAATAGCTCAAGATGCCTCGCAACGGAAATGAATTTTCACGTCCTCCCTCAGTAACGCGGCAACACCGACTATCACACCAGTTTCATCGGAATGCTTGGCTAGCACCTCTGCCTGATGTATGCGCAGCTGAGACACAGTGGATGTTTTCTACAGCCAGGTCAAAGCTGACAGGTCAAGACTATCTATGCAGGAGTTTCAGGCTTCTTCTCCGACGACCATACCTCGACGATCGCGATCGCAATCCGAGACCCTACATACCTGCTGGATTTCATTCAGACGACCATCAAATCCGATTCCGATGGCAAGCTAGCGACCGACTTCATCATTTCCCAATTGAAGCAATACGCCGAAACCCACTTGGAGAAGATCATGGGGCTAGCTATGCCCCGGCATGTCGCAACCTTTTGCAAATTCCTCTGTTCCCGAGTCTGGGCTGATATCGATGTGATTCCTCTCGTTCTGCCAGAATGTAAATTGGGGAATGGTTTCACACTTTGCCAGCCAGACACTACACATGCATGGGATTGCAAGAACCTCGATGAACAAGCGGAGTCCATGTCGCGAAAATCTGTTAGGTTCGTACCGATCGGCAACCTTGTGGATCACGGATGCTGATCCTTGCGCAGGTTGTTTGGTCCGGAAAACATCCCCTTACTGCAGGTCGGTTTAAATGGCCTCGTGGAAGTCGACACAGCCTTCCACGTGCAATTGACGAATCTGAATGACTTCCAAAAAACCGTCTCCGAGAGGACCTGGTCTGCGGTACTACATTATGCGGCTGACCTCAAGGAACGCAATGTGAAAATTGCTTTTTTCAGCGCGACTCCGCAAGGTGGAGGTGTAGCTTTAATGAGACATGCCCTCGTACGATTTTCACATTCCCTGGGCACGGACATCAAATGGTGGGTCCCATAGTATACCTTCCCTCACGAGGAGACAAAGACTAAATGAGCTTGTCTAATCCCTTCGTTAGGTACGTTCCGAAGCCACGACCAGGTGTGTTTCGAGTAACGAAGAATAATCACAATATTCTCCAAGGCATCGCTCGCCCGGAAGAGCGACTGACCTCAGCGAATAAGCAATTGCTAGAGGATTGGATTCAGGAAAACGCCAAGCGATATTGGACCTGTTCTGGGGGTCCTCTTTGCCCACCCTCGCAGGGAGGCGCAGATGTCCTGATCGTAGATGACCCTCAGATGCCGGGACTAATCCCGCTAGCCAAAGAAGCAGCTCCGGACCGGCCGATCATTTTTCGAAGCCACATTCAGATTCGAAGTGACTTGGTCGAGGAGGCCGGGACGCCTCAGGCCGAATGCTGGGATTTCGTATGGAATCATGCCAAGTTATCCGATTGCTTCATCAGCCATCCAGTAAGTGATTTCGTACCACAGGATGTGCCGCCGGAGATAGTGGGGTATATGCCAGCTTCAACCGATTGGTAAGTGGTCTGATGAGCAAGGATCCTGTGATACTTACTGATATGACGCAGGCTAGATGGGTTGAACAAGAATATGCGAGATTGGGACGTGGCACATTACGGTCGTATCTTTAATGCTGCATGCAAGAACGCGGATATGACCACGATCCAATACCCAGAAGGTAAGGCCATTGATAAGCATGCATGGGCTAGATAACTATCTGACCCCGTCGCATTTTGACATCTACTAGATCAGTACATCGTGCAGATAGCGCGATTCGACCCATCCAAGGGTATATTTGATGTGTTAGACTCATATGAAAAATTCCACGACCGACTGACTCGTGAACGGCCTCATATGACTCCCCCGAAGCTGCTGATCGGCGGACATGGCTCAGTGGATGACCCGGATGGGGCAATTATCTACGATGAAGTGATGTATCATATCGCACACGGCATCCCGCACCTACGAAATCAGATTTGCGTCATGCGGCTGAGGCCAATGGATCAGGTTTTGAACGCGCTCATGTCCAAGGCAACCGTCGCATTGCAGCTGTCGACGCGAGAAGGATTCGAAGTAAAGGTTTCAGAAGCTATCCACAAGGGCAAGCCTGTGATTGCTACGCGCGCTGGGGGCATTCCACTACAGATTTCCCACGGCCAGAACGGGTTTCTCGTGGATGTCGGTGATTCCGATGCGGTTGCACGTCATCTATTTGACTTGTGGACGGACAAGGCCCTCTACCACCGTATGTCAAAATATGCCCTCAGCCACGTCTGCGATGAGGTGAGTACAGTGGGGAATGCACTCAATTGGTTGTATCTCGCATCGAAGTTGTCCAAGGGTCAGCCTGTGCAACCTCATGGTCGCTGGATCAACGATCTAGCCTTTGAGGAGCTCGGAGTGCCCGTTACGAGGGTGCGCCACGGCTAACTCGTGAGGTGCAGGTGGACAAGATGGGGTAGTGATGTGCATTGTTGGGAACTGTTCGTTTGTATTGAGCTTTTGATCTCTGATGCCCAGTGAACGGGTCAAATAGTATGTAATGGTAATATGTAGTATCTATGATGATATCCAATCAACAGCTGCTGCCTTAAAACCGGGGCAAGCGCGGCTCATGCGATTTTGACAATAAAAGAAAACAAGGGTATCATTCGGCGACAAATCAGAAAAGAAGAAAAGAAGAAAAGAAAAAAGCTGCACAATAAACGATATTTCAGACCTTACGGTCTCCCCACAGCCCGATATCTTTCTCTTGCCAGTCCACCCTCTGCCCCCTCAACGCCATACCCCTCGCCAACCTCGCCAACAATCCTGGCAGGCTTACCGCCAACCACGGACCAACTTGGCACAACCATAGCCGGAGGAACAACCGCACCATCAAGCACGACGGAAAAATCTTTTATGATAGCCATACTTCCAATTGTAGCCCTGGCCCCAACATGAACATGGTTCCCAAGCGATGCAGCTTCGATAACAGCTGATTCGCCGACAAAGACGTGATCGCCAATCTTGAGAGGATAGAAAGAGTGTACACCGCGGTGCAGTCTGCTCGGAGGGCGCAGGATTGCACACTTGGAGATGTAGGTGTATCGGCCGACGGTGATTGAGACGCTCGGCGTGTTTGACGGTGGAGGGGGGTTGTTTGGGTCTGTTGAGGCGGGGGTAGCAGGGATTCGGTAGAGATCCCCTCGGATGACAGCTTCGGCTTGAATGACGGTCTTTCCACCGAGAATAATGTGTTGTGTGCCATGGATTTGGGACCGGCGTGAGATCTTGTTTCCCGTGTCCTTGAAGCGCGTTAGCTGGGTTTCTTTTCCTTGCCGTTGATGGGTTTAACAAGGGTAGCCTGCCATGCCATTAAATGGATAGTGTGACACCAGTTACATACAGTCTCGATGTACTCGCCCTTGGCAGCTTTGGGAGGCATGTTGGGTGCGTGTGGTTTTGAAGCTGGTGATGGTCTTCCCCCGTTGTTGATGCAGATGGCGGAGGAAGGCGGTCAGCGTTGCTACATGGAAAAGGTAACCATCAACCAAACTATGTATGCTCCAACTAGCCAATGAATTTCCTACACTTCATTCTTTGTTTCGCTTTCTCCGAAAGTATTGTGCTGCCTATAATTGCTTCTCGAAGCACTAACAAAGAAAGAACATAGTCTTGTCTTGATCCTGTAGGGTACCTCCGAAGAAATCGAGGCCGGTATCAATCCCATCATTTATCTTGACCAGAAGGTCTCATACTACAAAACACACGTGGTTAAATCATAATTACGCCAATTAGAAATAAAAATCAGAGGTTCGGGCCATATTCTACCCTATATACTCGTTAACTTTAAAGGTATTAATACCTCTCTCCTCTTGAGTTGAATTCAAGAAACTGTCTAGATCTCAAACAACTGTCCTTGGCAACCCGCTGGTCATAGATTCAAAGGATTATCCAATGTCTTTCAAAGACGTCCTTCCACCATCTACGAGCCAAAATATAAGTATCAGGGAATTCGACAATGCTTGAACATTATAGAGAGAGAATCGATTCAATATGCACAAGAGAAAGGCTTATCAAACCCCTATATCATCATGGATATTGACGAATATTCCTTCCTTAACTGTTTTGTTAAATCAGACGAAAAACTCCTTACATTTTTATGGAGATGTTATGACTACATCTCTCAGTCTGTTCTTATTGAGATGGAGTCAAATGCGCACGCAGCTGCAATTGGCGCATTTAGTGCTATCTTCAGTACCTGGGCACGACCCGTCACGGATACCCCTCTGGCCGACACGGCTTCGATGAATGTCTGCGAGGAGTCAAAAGTGAAGAAGCCGGATTTTTCATGGACACCTCTTCATTCTCCTGGCGGTCGGTTAGCAGATTGACCAATCTTGGCTGGCGAAGTAGCCTGGTCTGAGCCGCGTCAGAAGTTGGTCCAAGGTATGAAGTTTTGGTTACAGGATTGCCACGACCAAGTCAAAGTCGCCTTACCTATCACTATACATGGTTGTGGTCCAATAAGCATCGAAATGTGGAGTACCAATGTTGGTGACAAAAACGATTCTCCATTTGTGACACAGAAAATCAAAATTGTTCGGAAGCCCGCGCCAAATTGTTCAAGGGTTACTGGAGAAATTACAATCGAGTTTGAAGACGTTTTTATGCGGAGAGAAGAAAGGGACCGAGACTGACTTTATTCTAACTAAGAATTATCTGGAAGAGATAGCAGAGAAAATATGGACTCTTCAGTTTTCGGAGGTGCCTGAGGAAGATGTTGAAGAATTTACATGAGGGCTACTAGTAATTTTATGGCATAAAGCAAAAACAGGAACTCGAAAGAAAAGGAAAATAGCCTTGTCAGGAATTAACTTCAAATTTGAACTATACACTAAAGCTACAAAGCCTTCGATAACTAAAAGCACAATTTCTGGATATCTTGGAGAACGAAGTAGTCCCTGAAAACAAAGCCAAAACGTAAACCATGGCCACCCACAAGGGATGCCGCACATTAATCCTCGTCCAGACCTCATAAGCTCGGTCGTGATAGGGGTATATTTTAGGCGACTCGGGGAGTCGCTTATTGCTTGAAGGTGTAATCGCCATCCCAGTGAAGTTTGAGTGCTATAGTAGAAAATTTCGATCAGTACAATGTGATGGCAGTCGGAGAACAGGTGGAACATACTCATAGGGAAGGGGAAGTACGAAGAACCGTCCTGGCGAAGGTAGACATAGTAACCACCCTCCTGGGGGATCTTCTTAAGCTGGCCCTGAGCACCAGCAGCACGGCGGAGGTTCTGCAGGCGACCGACGACACGGAGCATAGAGACGAGAGCGATCTTGGTGATCTCCTGGCCGAAACCAGTGTTGGCTCCCGCGCCCTGGCTAAGGTAGGAGTCAAGCGGGCGGTCGAGGTTGACCTCCTTGGGCTCGGGGAAGATGCTAGGATCGTGGTTGGCCTGAACGTAAGAAGCGAAAACCTCCTGGCCGGCCTTGATCTCAATAGTCTTGCCATTCTCCTCAACGGAGATGTCGCGCTCAGCCTGGCGGTAAGCGCCGAAGGTGCCGTTGATACGGATGGCCTCCAGGCAGTAACGGAAGAGCTTCTCATCGTTCTCCTTAGACTCCTCCTTGGATAGACGGTTGATCTCAGAGAGATGCTTCTTACCCTCCTCGCCGGTGTAGTACTCAATGACCTGGGTGAAAGCCTGGCCCTGGTGGGGGACCAATCCAACAATAGTAGGGATGATCTGGGACCAGGTGATCTCCTTGGAGTTCAGACCAGCCTCCTCCAGACGGCGGAGGGCACTGGTTCCGTACTCACGAAGAGCGTTGTCATGGGGACGGAAGCTGTTCATCAGGCCGGACAGAAGTCCGCTGTTGGTGTCAGCCTTGACGGTGGCCTCAACAACCTGGCCGAGCTGCTGAGCAACAGCAGTGGCAGCACGGTTCAGGGAATACGATTTGGTAGCATCAACGTCGAAGAACAGAGCGGAGAAGACGGTAGTCAAGACCATGTACATCTCGTGCTCGGTGAACAGTCCGTTGGAGTTCTCCTCAGTCTTCAGGGGAAGACCGAAAAGGGTGGAGGCAAAGTGAATGTGGGCCAGATTGCCGACATCACGAGTAATATCAATTTGGTTGATGTTGGCAAGCTTGGCACCCTTCTGAGAGATGAGACGGGTGGTGACATCCTCGTAGAACTTCTTTACCAGAGCAGGGAACTCCTCGGTGTTGAATGCCTTGCCCATAGCCTGCTGCTGCTCAGGATTGAAGTCACCCTTGCCAAAGAGCCCCTCCATAGAGCTGCTCCAAGAGGAGGTGAAATCCTTGGGGTTGCTGAGGACCAGCTTAGCGTTCTGGTGGGAAGACAGATTGACGCGACTAGGCAGGAAGGAGGGTGCCTCGTAAGAGTAGTCCTGCTCACGGCCCAGGTTCTTCATGATGTTACGGTTCTCGCTGGGAATGGTCATGGGGTAGTGGGCATAGATGGAGTCAGGCTTGTAGTAGTTGGGGAAAGCACGAGTGGCCAGCTTGTAGAAGACGCAACCCTGGTTGATGTTCAGGTCGTAACGGCACTCGTTGTAACCCCAGTTGGTCAAATTACGGGGGTTGTAGTCAATGGTGTAGTGACGATCACCGCGAACCAGAGCGACGGCATCTGACAGCACGGCACGGGAGACGGTGTAAGTCGGGGCAATACCGACACCTGGGACCATGGGCTCCTTCGCCTCCTCAGACACGATACCAGGGTACAGCTCAACGTTGTCAGGGTGATCATACAGGTGACGAAGGGAGTTGGCGATCTCGGGGTCAGAGTTGATTTCTTCAAATGTATCGTAGGTCTTCAGGCCAAAGTGCTTACGGAACTCGTTGAGGGAACCGACCTGCCATCTGCGGGCAGCCTCCATACCAAGAATTTCGATGGAACGGAGCGCCTTGGGAACGTTGCGAGGACCGAAGGAGCTAGCAACATCTTCAGTCGCGTGACTCAGAATTGCGACCAGCTCCTCATCCTTGAAGGTACCGTCCTCCTGGCGCTCCAGCTTGGCGAAGGTACGCTTGGAGGGATCGGCGTCGAGCGTGCCTTCAACCTTCTTCATGCCCATGAGAAGCTCCTGCATAGAGACCTCTTCAGCAGGCTTGCCCATGAGATCATAGTAGATCTGCTCAACCCACTTCTCATCTCCCTGACTGATGGCCGAGTGCCAGCGGTAGGCGAGGTTAAATTCGACTGAGCACGAGTTGCCGAGACCAGAAGGAGTGGCACCGGCCTTCTCCATCTGGGCGCGAGGGTCCAGGCACCAAGTTGAGTTGGTACGGTTCAAGTTGACAATAGTGCGAAGGTAATCATACAGGGTGATGTTGATGTACAGACCGCAAGTGATCAGACGACCAGTCTGGAAAAGATCCTCATCACGCTTAGCCCATGCCTGTTTCTGTTGCTCTTCGGTCAACTTAGTAGCATCAGGCTTGGAGAAGCGGTTGTTCTCGTTAACTTCAGCTAATTGCTCGACGACATTATTGTGGAAACGGTTGAGCATAACAAGCAACACACCACAAGCGGCGGGGAGAGCTTGCAGACGGCCTTCGGAAAAGCAATCAGGCTTGAGCTTTCCGTCCTGGTGGGAACGGATCAGGTCCTGCTGCTCCTTGACGTCACCGTAAAGAATGGAAAGATCTAGGTAGGCAGACGTCTTGTTAAGATGAGGCTCGCGGTAGTCGGTCTGGAAAATGTCTATAGTCCACATTAATAAAGTTCACTTCCAAGGGAATTGTTGCGCAATGATGATTACCGTGGATGATAAGAGAAGCCCAATCGAAGAAAACACTGGACACCTTGTTGGGGTGAGGGGTAAACTCCTGACGAGCGAAGAGGCTGTCGAAGATCAGGCCAGGGTCGGGCAAACCGCTAGGCTGGATGGTGAGAGGAGGAATGGTCCGGCAGTAGGGAGTATTAGCCGCACCCAACTGAGGTTGGGTAGGGTTGTTCTTAGAACCGTCTGCGGTACGGTATTTATAATCATCGCCCATAATGCTGTTCAGTCATGTCAGTAATCCAAAGACACCATCTACCATGCGTTTGCATCATGCAACTCACGAGAGAGGAGGGTGTGGCAATGAGTTCCACAACTCATCAAGGAATTGGTTTGTGAGCTCAGTGCGGTTCTTGGAGTGGCCAGGCATGTCGGCGACGAGCTACAATTTATCACCGTGTCAGTCATTCGTCCGCGGCTATTTGTACATGCAATTGGCTCCAATTGAAGTCGATTGCATGGTCCAAGTTTATTCCATACCTGAATGATGCGCTCCATGATGTAGGTCTTGTCGTCAATGAGCTCGCCGGAGGCCTTTTGTTTGATCAGGTCTCTCACGGTGTTCAAGTCGCGGAATCCAAGCGACTTGATATCATTGAACAGTCCTGAGGACTGGTCATGCTTCAGGTAGGTGCCATCGCCGGTCTGGTTAGGCAGAGGCTCGCGCGAAGCGTGGATAGCCTGCGCGTACTTGTCGAAAATGGCTTCGACCTCCTCGCGCTTCACAGGCTGGCTCTCCTCTTGGGAAGAAGCTTTCCGAGGTGCGGCCGATTTGGAGAAGCGCTTACTGCTGCTCTCCTTGGCGCTCTTTGGCTCGGCGTCGCCATTGCCATCCTTGTTCCGCTTGAACTGCGTAGAGATTCTCCGCAGCATCGACATGGTGACGGGAGTCTGAAATGCTTGATACAGACTAAGTCACTGTGTGAAAGTGGAATTGGGTCAAAGGAAGAAAATAAAACAAGGTATTAAGATGGCTACGTCGGGCCAGATCAGGGGAGAAAAGAAAAATCGCGACCGCAGCTGCGTGCACACTGGATTTAAAAACGAGCTGTGCGGGATGGCCCAGGTGAGGACCAGCTGCAAGACTGTGGAGCATCCGCGGTGGCGGATTTGTTATCACCAATAGTTGATTGACTGAGGCCCAGATCTCATTGAAAATGGTTAGACCAGCACGACACTAGCCTCGATCTGCCCCGGGCCACTGGCTCAGAGCTGACAGTCAGCTGCCAATCAGCTCGACAGCCCCGCGTGGGACAAACCAGATGAAGCTGATTCGAGCGCAGATCCGACCAAAAAGCATGAGCTTCCCATGATGACGAACCACTAAACCAAGTAATTGACCACCATGCAGGCCTACCAGAGTGGGGAGCTTTGTTGCTTGGGAAAGGGGGTGGGCCAGCAATTGGACGCGGCACGTCACTCGGGGCAGCAGCGCTGAAACTGTTCACGGGGCGGACAATTGGCTTCTCGAATGTGATCGTCACACGATTGCCGGGATAATCTTGTCGAGAGGTGACATTCGTGTACATTACCAGGTACAAGAACGCCCGCGTATTGACTTCACGTCTCTAGGTGTATGTACCCCTTGCTATGCCCAGGCGTTTTGATGGACATGCATGGGGAGCTATGAATGTGATTGATGTCAAATGGGCAATAGCGGTGTACGAGGGACCCGAATCTCGGAAGTCACCATGATCCGCTGGTACACAGGAGATCCAGAGATCCAGCCATCGAGCCCGACGGAGCGATATGGACCGTGGCAGCACGATGTGGGGGTAAATGAGGGGCGATTGGGTCTTGCGCTTGACCTTTTGATGGGAAAGCAGTGGCTGGCTGTGACGATCGCCGGAGCAACCGGTTGTGCACTCCATTTGTGTGCATATCCAGAGTACTTGGTAGCATCGAGGTGTATTCGGGAGGGGGCTGTCATACCCACCCTTGATGTTAGCCCATTGTTGTAATCTTCTTGGGAGGAAGGGCTGGTCCGGCTCGATACGGATGTACACGGACGCAAGGGAAGGGATAAGGGAACCAAAAAAGAACAGCAGGTCTCTTTTGGTTCAGCTGCAGCTGCAGGTTCCCATCTCATTCAAACCTCAGATCGGCAAGGCCCACCCGTTCGCCCACTTCGCCCACTTCGCCCACTCGCTAGGAGTTCCTAGTTTACGCTAAGGCCGTGGACGGGCCACCCGCATTAGCTCTGCTGTCATTGGCTAGCTGAGTTATCCAGTCGTCAGGAAGTAATTAATCAAAATTTGATCTATCATGCCTTCCCCCACCCTTCTCAGGGTCCTTTTGGACGCATGGGTCTTTCGCTCCTCGTGGTGAATGGGGCTGTCATGTATGTATGCAAGGAGGACAACATCAGGAGAGTCCCATAAAGCCCCGTCTTCACTTTGCAGAGCCTCCTTTTTTTTTGACAGGAAAGATAAGCCAACCTGTCAACCTGTCAACCTGTCAACCACGGAACGCCCGTGGCATTTCTGGGGGGAACGCGGCCACTCCCGCTACTGCCGTCATCAAGCCAGATATGTATGGACGAGAATACTTCGTACTCCGTAGTGTGAGCAGAATGCACAGTGTGCTCAGTGTCTCGTACACTATTGTCCAGATTCAAGGGCAAATAGTGGCGAGCAACTATTGTTGGCCTGCAGATGAGCCTTGACAGCCATGTCCATCTTTCCCATGTGATCGAGGATCGTGCATTGTTTCCCTCCTCAGCCCCTAGAAAGATCGATTCGATAATGAGATGGAAAAAGCGCCTCCCCAGAGCTGAACTGGGTTCCACCAGGAGGAGAAGTCTCTGCTCCCCAACCTCGCATTTTCTTTTCCGCTTGGTAATTTGAAGGTTTCGGACCGCGTCACACCCAAAACTGTGGCGACAAATCTTCAGCCGAGCAGACAGGTGGATCCTGTCACCGAACCCGGTCCGGGTTGGGGAAGCCAGTCCTCGTACGGGTGTATAGTTCGTCTTAGTGGTTTTAGCGCTCGAGACTAGCCAGTAGCCTCGATCCACGGCCGAACTGGATGGCATGCCCCTTGCCCAAAGCCCGTGCTGTCGGAGGTGACGTGGAGAATGATCAGCGGTAATGTCCCGAGTCCATGAACCGCTTGGCTGGGCATGTGTTATCTCATAGGTTCAGCTGTGCCATCGGACCCCAAAGGGTCTCCAGTATTGCGTCGTCAATGCAAAAAAGAAGAGAAAAAAACCTGGACCGGCTGATGTTTGTATTTTTGAATTTTTCTTTTTGGTCTTTCATCTTTAGTCTTTAGGGGGAGTGGAACAGCGAAGGAAACCCCCGTCCCCCACTGACAGGGATCTGAATGAAGGTTTTTGGCGAGTCAAGGTCAGGCTGGATCGAAACGCCAAAGCAACGAGGATCGGAAACCTTACGATTGGCCGGGATGCGCCCCCGTTGGAATGCGAAGGTTCAGATAGGGCTCAGGTTGTGTAACATGCAAATCAAGAGAGTGGAAGGGAGAGGGAGAGGGAAGCACGGGAGTGACCAGTATGGTGGGAGTAGGGAGTAGCTACCTCAGTAAGTGCTTCGTACAGACTCCGTACAAACCACCACAACCACAGATCGCGAATGGCGGGCAGATCTTTGCCCCCCCACCACCATCACCCCGAGCTTGACGTATCTTGCAGCGATCGTCTCGGTGCGTGTCACCCTTTTAGGGCCTTCCAATCATGCTAGTCCAGCGCCATTTTCCAGGGCCCCTCCCCCTCCCTGATTCGTGGCCCCGGCTGCATCGCGTCGTGCCGTGCAGTGCAAGCATCCGACTTGTTTTTCTCTTCGCTCCGTATATACTTGATCCCGTCCCCCCTTGAGGCCTCAGGAGACTATTTCCCTCCCCCGCTCTCCCATTGTGCCTCTGCAGAATATTATGGCGCAACCGATTCCACATCACATCGCCCCCTCGGCGAACCCGAAGCAGTTCGTGCTCTGCTTCGATGGCACTGGAAACAAGTTCGCCGGTGACGATTCCGACAGCAATGTCTTGAAAATCTTTCGCGTACGTTATACGAGCTCAGCTTGTGTACCTGCCAATGTTTGTTTGGATCTTGGTAGCTAACAGGGATCCATGATTAGATGCTGGACCGCAGCCAAAGTCACCAATACCATTACTATCAACCAGGTATCGGTACCTACGTGACGACCAAGTCGCTCAGCAGCCATGGTCGAGTTCAGCGCCTTAAGTCCTGGTATCAAAAGGCTAAGGACTCTGCTATTGGCTCTTCCTTCGATGAGCACGTTATGGGTGGTTACAAGTTCTTAATGCGATACTACTCTCCTGGCGACGAGATCTTTTTTATCGGCTTCAGTCGCGGCTCTTACATCGCGCGATTCCTCGCCGAGATGCTGGACTATATTGGTCTGCTTGAAGCCGGGAACGAAGAGCTGGTCCGCTTTGCCTGGAAGACGTTTGCCAAGTGGCAGCAGCGCTCAGGCGACACCGAGGAGGAACAGGAGGAAAAGAAGAAGCTCTTCGAGTACATGAAGGCCTTCCGTGAAACCTTCAGTCGTCCAATCTCAAGGATCCGTTTCATGGGTCTCTTCGATACTGTCAATAGTGTACCGCGCTTCGAGAATGCTTGGATGCAGCGCAGCAAGTTCCCCTACACCGCGCGCAGTTCCGCTCGCGTCATTCGACACGCTGTCGGTATCGATGAGCGTCGCGCAAAGTTCCGCCAAGATTTGATTTCGGGTGCACGTCCAAAGGAAAATCGACACAAGCACCGTCGCCATCACTTCGGTCCTCACCGACTCGAGCAGCACCTCCATCGCCACGAAGATACCAACCACCACTTACATATCCGACACCAAGACCACCCAAATGGCAAGGCCAATGCCAATGCCAATACAAATGCCGACCAAGTCCCCTCGATCCGCCTGGATGATGGCACGAATGGTGTCCCCACCGAAGTGAATGCCCCGGAAACCCCAGTCGATGCTCCAGCTTTCCAAACCCCCGGGTGGGGACCTGGTCCTGGCGAAACCTACTACCACCCCGCGCATTCATCTCATGCTGGAAGCGAGGCTAATCATGGCGAGAAGCACAATCGCTATCGTGCCCCCTCTCCCCGACGCAACAGCCTTCTTGTTCCCAACCCGAACCAATCGACCGACGACGTGACATCTGTTCGTAGCGGACATTCGGGACTCTCCATCGTAGTTCCCAGCCACGACGGGGACTATGATAGCGATGAGGATGAACAAGATATCCACGAGGTCTGGTTCCCTGGCTGCCACGCTGATATTGGTGGAGGATGGAAGTTGGATAATGGCGAGCGGTGGGCGCTGAGCCATGCGCCCTTGGTCTGGATGGTGCAGGAAGCTCACAAGGCCGGTCTGGAGCTAGACGAGCGCAAAATGAAGCATTTCCAGTGCTTGGAAGAATATGACGGCGACTATAGTCCCATCCGCGCCGAAATTGCCGCCCGTCGGCCAAGCCAACAGCCCCAGGAGGACCCTGACGCTTTCCGTGAGACCCCCAACGAGAAGCAGCGCTCTGCTGCAAGCCGCGACTTCTGGAATGCCCTGCACACTTCCAGTACCGCGGGTCTTCTCCACGACTGCTTGGAATTCAACCAAGGTCTTCCACCCATGTCGGTTCTCTCCTGGCGCATCATGGAATGGCTGCCATTCCGCCGTATGGACCTTCAGTCTGACGGATCCTGGAAGCCGATCTGCTGGCCGCTGCCTCGTGGTGAGGTCCGTGATGTCCCGCTCGACGCGGAGATTCACGTTTCCGCCATTCGTCGCATGCAACATAACCCCCAGTACCGTCCTGGCAACGTGATTGTTGGTGGCGGTGGCCGCGGTGTGCGTTTTGCACCTGAGGAGCACGGCATGGGCGATTGGGTGATTTTCCGCAATGAGGGTGACAAGGTGCGCGAGACATACGTACGAAAGGACCAGGCGACCAAATGCCAGGAGAAGCTTGAGTCCGATCATGAGCACCCATAACTGCATAAGCGGATCTGGTTTTTGATTCCCACTTGGTCTCATGGGTCCATTCCTAATTCCCACCTCCACAATTGGTCAACTACTATATAATTCCCTCTTTCTATACCTCGCCCTATTACGTACTATACCTAGTACCTGAGTCTTATGTATCAAGTGCAATGTACCATTTCAAGCCAGAACCCCCCCGGTATCCTCTTAGATCACTTGTCATAATCTACTAGAATGTTGTAGCCTGCCAGCCGTAAAGATCGCACCTGCAACGAAACCCTACGTACTACTCAAGTCAGGTGAACCCTGGCTCTGTCCTTGCCGGGCGAACCTGCTTCGGAAAATGGAAATCAAGGCGATCCATGGATTTACAGAGAATTCCATGTCATCTGCGCCAAGCTTGACAGGGTAACCTTGTATTACAATCGTAAACTCACCTTCTACTGTGTTTGTACTATCGTTAGGTGAATGGTCTGTCGAGAGCTTAGGTTTACTGACAACCGTTCTATCTAGTGCGCTTCACGCCATGATAGTAATTTCCATAGCCACTGCGTTCATCCAAATCCACCTATTTTACCATTTTAAGCACCCGAATCTGAAATTATCTGGATCCATCTAGAGCCGCCTATGTAGAATGATGTAGCTCAGATCGAAATTGTAGACAATCCCACTTGAGTTGGACGAATCAAGGTCCGATGAGCATGGAACGATGATTCCCCTTGTTCCACTGCAACGAAGATGAGATTGATCAGGCCCCAAGTCTCGATGGTGAAGACAGAGACGTAGGGGAGTACATGGAGGCAAAACGATGATTGTGTCATAAATGGAAGAGTGAGGGATATCTGAGTTTTGCTATTCTTAGTAGTACGTACACTGGTGGACGAAACCCAGTGACAATGGTCTGGATGCGGCCTGTGGGGTTATTTGTTTGGGCCTGGTTTCCAAGTGTCCAGAAACCTTACATCAATGGTCCTTTGATCTTGATGGCCAAGCAGAGATCTGTTCTGTTCAGTGTAGTAGTATGTGTACATTTGGCTACCATGGTAGGTACTTCGGTAGATGTCAACCTGGGTATCTATTCCGGTACCCCCTGGACATGCATAGGTGTAGGTGAGATTGAAGAGATTTTATTCACTCACAACGAATGTAGATCCTTTAGGTGTTGTGTTTCATGGTGCCCACTCCTCGTTCTGTCCTCCTCTGATGCTACAGAGTAGTACGTACTTGTAATCTTGTGGCCCAAAGCGCCGAGAAAACCCCGGCTCGGGCAGGGAACCGAGGTCTGGCAGCTGGCAGATGCAGGCCCGATGTCAAGCATCGAGGTTTAGATAGACTGTGGGCATGCATATCTTTCATTGGATGAGAGACTACTATCTCCGCCAGGTCGGGAGCCGATCCATGGATGCAGAGGTTCGCAATATGGGACCCATCTCGGGGGAACAGGGAGAGTGAGACCCGGTTCAAAGGGTGATTCATCTTCAATCTCACTTCCACAAGATGTAGACACAATTTTTTGGTTTAAAAATAAAAGAATGTAAAGAACGTAGGCAAAGGCAAACGCGAAACGGACAGAAATGAAAAAGGAGTATAGCACCGCCCTGGCAGGGTCCACGGGTCTGGGCCGCGTCTTTTCGCCGCATCTTTTTCTTCCGACCCCCATCTCACTTCTTCTTCTTTCCCAACGACCAAAACTCTGTTCATCTCTGTCGAGTCTGTCGAAGCCTGGCAGGCCCACGGTTTTCGATTTTGATTTTCGAATTTTCACCCTCTCCCCTTTATCATAATGCGCCCGGCGTAGGCGTAACCTCTTGCTATCGCCTCTTCTTCCTCTCTCCGTCTCGAGCCACAACCGCCCCCCCCCCCCTCCCCCTTTCCTCGCCGATCATCTGGATTCACAGTCATGGGAGAGTCACAGTCGCAGTCTCTGCCACAGTCACTGCCGCAGCGACCTGAGAAGAGGCGCTCCTCGCCCTCACACTCCAGTGAAGCCTCGTCCGCGGTCGCGTCCAACTCCGGAGCTGTTCCGGAACGGGTGGGAAAGGAGGACGTCATGATCACTTTGTCGCTCTCTCCCGAACCACCAGCACCCCCCCGGGCCCGATCTCCTTTGACCCGATTGCATTCACGCTCCCGGTCACTGGTGGGAATTCCCGGCATGCCATCGATGACGCGCGCCTACTCGTCCCCAGGACTGGACTCCCGAGGCCGATATATCTTCGTCAATGGCCGCGGTTTGCCCGCGCATCCTCCCGTCGACGGCGTCAAACGGCCCATGCCTCTGCAGATGCGCGCGGACGATCATATCGAGACCCGTCTGGGCTCGCTCAACATATCGGAGACTATCTCGGAGAATGCAGAACTCCACACTACCCCAAGATCGCCATCCTCCCATACCAACGGCTCTCCCGTCTTGATGCCGCAGGCATTCCCCCGCATCGGTCGTATGCGCTCAACATCGCCCCTCCATTTCCAAAACCCCGTGAGCAGTCCGCCCCCGATTCATACCTCGCCTCTCCTCGGCGGCAAATACAACGAATCCTACCCCATCCACTCTTCCTCGTCCACCTCCTCTGTGCCCTCGACTCCCACCAGTCTCCGCTCCCGAAGCCCCAGTATCTCGTCACTGGAAACAATTCCCGATATCCCTGATGCAGAAGCAGAGGCTCTCGAGGATGAGGATCGCATTGCGGAGCTCAAAGCCGCCGCCGACGCGGCCGATGCGGCAAGCAACGCCAACCGCCGGCGCGGTACCTCCGATGCCTCAAGTCCATCCAGTTCTTTTGGCGTGGTCCGGGGTGGTTCCAGCGCATATGCCCCACGCAGTGATAAGCGGAAGCGATGGAGTGTCTGTGGTGCCGAGCGTCGCCAGGATCTTGATTTAGAGACCATCTGGGAAGACTGAGGTCGGACAACTTCAGCTGCATCAGCTTATTGATGCCTTTCTTCATCCTATCCTGCACCGACATAATGCTTTCGTCATATGTCTCCATTCGAGCTTTCAGGCTCCTCGTCTCAGGAGTTTCCGTCTTTTACCGCGGAGTTGACATCCTATTTTTGAGTTCGATTCTGAGCTTTCTTCGCATCACGAATTGGCTCCTATGCCACAGTCTGCAACATCGACCCAACCCCCCATCAGATGCACCGAGTATCTGACCAGTACATATCTACTAGCATCATCGTCATCTTCATCATCTTCATCACACCCAGGAGTTTACTTCCGGTGGCGCATTTTTCTTTTTTTGTCTCGTTTTACCAGGTAGTACATGGGAAGGATAACGGGGCAAATGGCTCGGTGTTTTCCTGATTATTATGCTGGTCATAATCCTTGCGTTTCTGGAGGTCCTGCTGCTTTTCCATCCATGCTTTCTCTGCCTCTTCGTTTTGCTTGATACCATCCAGTGTATTCCACACACTGGTCTTTCCTTTTCTATCACCAGGGACATCCCGAGTTTATGCTTGAATCGAAATGATTGTGCCAATTTTCGGCAATTTAACATAGGCTGTTGTGCAATTTCTTTTTTCAGAAAATAATAGTATCCCACACTCTAGGCTGTAGACTGTCACACGGGTCAGAATTTTCCATGGATATACTACTGCACCTTCTGTCATCATGCAATCCACTATCCGATACCCATTGTTCACTGTCTATGATCGTCGGATAACCTTGGAACGCCTGCGATCGCCAGAGCGAATCAGCCGTGCCTAAGCGTCCCATAGATCCACTGACAGCCAATCACCCACGCACAAGTTCCCCCGCCTTGAATCAACGACATCAACCACTTCGCTTGGGCCCATTCGCTTGAATCGCTTCCACAGGAAGGAATTCAATGATTCGGGCTATTATTGGTAAACACATTCGAAGGTTTTCAAGCCAGAATATCGGCTCCATCTTCCGCTCCCTCCATACTATGGAGTCGAAACCTCACATCGGTGTTGTGGGCTCGGGAATTTCAGGCTTGCGCTGTGCCGACATTCTCGTCCAGAGTGGTGCCCGGGTGACTATTCTAGAAGCGAGAGATCGTATTGGGGGAAGGGTATGTTTGTATTCCCCCGATGCTAGGCTTTGTTGGACATGATACCTGGCATGCTCAAGTAACTCTTGATGATTTGCTCTCTTATGGATACGGGCTAAGCAAATTTCCTTTTTAGGTACATCAAAACGATCTTGCCGGTCATTTGGTAGATCTGTAAGTATACTATATCTGTCTCGGGCTTCCTGGATTACAGGCCCATGCATCGTAATATCCGTGGCTGACAATAAGCAGGGGGCCTAATTGGATCCATGGCACGGGAGAAAATCCAATCATGTCCATCGCTGAGGTAACTCAGACTGTGGCCCATGATCCAGAAGGGAGAAATATCTCAATATCCTGTGACGGGAAGCTAGTCAATGAAGAAAGAGCTACCAAGTCGGCAGAGTTTGTCTGGACAACTATCGAGCAAGCCTTCGAGTATAGCAATCTGCATGGAGACAGTATCCCCTCGGAGCAGAGCCTCTTCGACTTCATCCAGGAGAAATTGCAGAAAACTGATTTTTCCGATGAAGATAAAAAACTTTGTTTGGATTCCTGCAAGCTCTGGGGTGCTTATGTTGGGGATCCTATCGAAAGACAGAGTCTCAAATTTTTCCGATTGGAAGAATGCATCGATGGGAGTATGTTGCTCCTAGCACTTTTGGTCACACAGCCATCATCCATGTGCATTCATAATCATGGCTTCAAGGACTTTCCACGCTGACATGCCTCCTCAGACAACTATTTTGTAGCATCGACCTACCAGCGCATCTTGCAACATGTTGCCAAGACAGCACTGGCCCAAGCTGATATTCGCTTCAAGCAGCCTGTCGTCAAAGTCGAAACACCGCCCAGAAACAAGCAGGAACCGAATCAGCATCAGGTCATTGTAACCACAGCTTCAGGGGAAATTTACACTTTTGATCAATTGGTCATTACTTGTCCTCTCGGCTGGCTGAAACGCAATACAGAAGCCTTCGAACCACAGCTCCCATGCCGTTTCCTCCAGGCGGTTAACAACATCTCCTACGGCCGGTTGGAGAAAATCTTTGTCAAGTTCCCCGAAGCTTTCTGGCACAGCGAGTCAACGAAGACCACGCAGGCGAGCAAGACCCAACCCACCAGCCCAGTCTTCGCTCAATTTCTTGAACCAACTTATACATCCCATCCGAAAGATATCCAATGGAATCAAGAATGTCTCTCCTTAGCGAACCTCCCAAGCCCTTGCGCCCAGCCAACCCTCCTATTCTACACCTACGGACCCTGCGGTACAAACATAGTCAACCAAATAGCCGACCTTGACGAAACATCAACGGAATACAAACAGATCCTCACAAACATACTGGAACCCTTCTACTCAAAGCTTCCGGGCTATGACCCCTCCTCCCCATCCTGCAAGCCAAGCTCCATCCTCGCTACACGTTGGCAATTGGATCCTTACGCGGGGAACGGCTCCTATTGTAATTTCCAGATTGGGCTGACAGCCGGTGACGAAGATATCGAGGTTTTGCGCTCGGGTGATGGACTTGGTGCTGAGCGTGGTATTTGGTTTGCGGGGGAGCATACTGCACCGTTTGTGGCGTTGGGTACGACGACTGGTGCTTATTGGAGTGGGGAACGAGCTGCTGCTCAGGTTTGTGAAAGGGTTGGGTTAGGGAGTGTTGGGGTTGAGAGTATGAGAAATGATTCTTTGCCTTCGGGTAGTGAGAAGTGAGTGCGCTACTTGGACCTCTAGCGACGCTTTGAATGTAAATTGGGCCCGTGGATTGGGATTTGTTAAGTGTTATGACTAGCATTGACGGTTGATTTGGTCGAAGCGGTCTTCAGTCCGCTTGCAGCCAATGAACTATTCTTTTTGCCAAATTAACTTTCTTTACTTGATTACTCTTAAGTTCTTCTATTGCTCGAAGTTCAAATGGTCGTTAGGGTTTCATTCCAGGATTAGTTGATCTATACTGGGAGGCACTCCCGTTGTCAAGTCCTTGACAGCATTCTGCCCTTCATCGGTCCAGTGGACCTCTTAACAGGAAACAACTGACAGGAGCCACAAAAAAAGTCCAAATATCTGGCCAGGATACAAAGGGGGCCAGAAATCTGCGAGGCCCGACGGCACTTAAGAACAAGGGATCATGTAGTTCACGTGACAGATAGATGTGGCGAGGAACCGCTTTCCAGGCTCACATCACGAATCATGACAGACAAGAAAAAGGGAGAGGACCAAATACAGAAAGGCTGAACAAAAGAGAACAAAAGAGAACAAAAAGGTGTGTTTAAATGACAACGGCCAAAAACACTTTTCTGTACTGGTGCCTTCTCCCCCCTCTCTCAAGGGCTACCTCCATGCCCCTTGGCTGAGGGACAGGAGACCCTGAACGCAGTCCAGGTCGTCTTCTTGGCTGGCTCCAGGGCCACCTGTCATAAAGGCCGAAACATCTGCACTCAATTCCCCTGGAGCTTTGCCTTGGGTCCCTGATGCGAATGGCCTGTTGCGTTTGCCGTTGGATGATATCCCTAATCCCCGATTGCGGTTGGCTTCTCGCAAGGCAGGTCGTGGTGCATGAGAAGTTGTGCGGCGACGAACTGGTGTTGCTCGTGTACCCGGGACCCAGTTCTCTTTGTCAGAGTCGCCGGCATCTAGTTCCAAGTCATGTTTGGACGAAAGCGACTTGGAAAGTTTGGAAGATTGGTTCGAGGACCGGTTCCTTTCGGTCTCAAGTCTGCCCATAGAGGAGACAGTGCGTGAAAGCTTTCGCCTCTTCTCCCCCATTGCTTGTGAGATAGGTGTGCGGCTTGCATCTGCATGGACTGAGACAAGACTCTGTCTGCCTGATACAGTTCGGGGTAGTGTGCGGTTGGAACGGGATTGGAAGAGACCGGGAGAGGCGTGGGCGTTGGGGGCGGTTTGAGAGCTGGCAGGTGTGGACAATGCACTTCGTGCATCTGTATCAAAAAATGATTCCCAGTTACGAGGATCACGAGATCGGCCAAAGTTTCGATCTTTCTCGGTCGTGCCCGCCCGCGGGGTGGCCGGGAAGATTGCACTGCTGCTGCGACGAAGGCCCGAGAGTTTTGTGCGGCGGACAGAAAACATCGCTGCCCGGTTCTTGGACGGTGACGGCTCATTCTCTCCACGGATGACGGCCTTTCCATCTGACGACATAGCGATACGCAACGCGTTCCGACCCTTTGGCGGTGACGGTGTCATCTCATCCTCTTTCCGAACCATAGCCTCCCCATCAAACGACATCGACAGCCGCAGTGAAGGAGGTGATTTGACTGGCGTCGTGTTCACTTCCTTCGCTGGCTGGTTGGAATTCTTTTCCCCTCGAATATCTTCCGTCGGCCGTTTCCGTTTTGGCGCCTGCAACAAGGACTCCTCTTGGTTGTTTTGCTCACTCATGCTTTGTCCGGAATCCGGCCCGTGAAATTCCTCTTGTGTGGTCGGCGGGGTATCCTCCATCGCTTCTGTCGCCACACTCGTCTGTGTGCTTAGCGGCGGCAGTTCAGGCTCTTCCTTGTCACCAGTCACCGGCTCTGGTGTATCGGACAACTGCAACAAATCGCCACCCCACGATTTCGGTCGCGTTTCCTCGGGTCGGTCCTGACCCTCTGTTTGCTCCGCCCCATTCGAGAACCCTAGCTCCCCGGACGCGTTATCATCGCTAGGTAAAAGTCCGGACGAATCGGACATGCTTGATCGCGGCGCAAGCAGCTCGTGTGGTTGTAGAGGCTTCGATTTACGACGGTCGTTTTGGCGGCGGTTCTGGAACCAGATCTGCAAGAATCAGTCATACGGGTCACACGGTTAAAGAGAGAATTTTAGACCGTGAGGTCTTGGCATCACGTACCTGGACCTCTTTCTCGCCGAGCGAGACGCGATTCACAATCTCAGTTCGAGCCACCTTGTCCGGCTTGGGATTCCTTTGATATTCCGTCTCCAGAATTGCATGGTCCTCAGGGCTGTACCGATGTGGCGATAATGGTTAATAACGACGCGTATCGGAGCTATTGGAGCTCACGGAACCAACATACCTCGTTCGACGCCGTTTTTGACGAGCCAGGAGCTTGTTATCGACGCGAGGTGGCAGATTCTGAGTCAGGGTTTTCTGCGAGTGCACCAGGAATGCATAGCTGAGGGGATTGGAGTCGACGGCCGGCAGAGACGGTGAGGAGGAGGCGGCGATGGCCGAGCACTCCAAGTCGGACATAATAGACTCTTGACTAGAAGAGCATGGATGGTAGAAGGGGAAAGAGAGGGGAAAGGGAGAATCCAACAAAAAACACACCCAGCCGGACCAGAGAAAAAAGGAAAGGTGAAATCCTAAAGAAGACGGGGCTGGTGCAGAGTAGAGTATGCAAATGCAAATGCGCGTCGCGATGCGGACGCGGAGGGTAGCAGGAACGTGGCCGCGCTAGTCTCGCCCGCCGTCTCCGAGGTACCTACTACTTACAACATATGCTCTGCTCTACCTGGCGAATTTCACTGGAGGATTCGATTTTCAACTAATCACCCTTGCTCCCAAGTGGCTACTCATTTTACACTATTTGCCCGAGTCGTGTTCTCGATCAGCTCAAATCCCTCTCGGACAATATGGACGCGCCGTGGAGTCGGAGGTAATTCGGGAGGTCCCCACTACAACCTGGACCCTCGCGTGTCCCACGTCACCCCTGCTGGAATGCGCGCGATTCTAGGAGTCCCAAGTCTCTCGTCGGGGTTTTTACGCCTGCCTTTGGTATCCAGCATTTCACATGTCATCATTGACACCCAGTTTCCGTTGGTCTGAAAAGCCCCAAACGCGGTGTGACACGAACTCACGTGATTATCAAAATCCACGTGATGCAGGCCTGTGGAAGAGCTACAGTAACCAACACGCAATTTAAAAGATCAGGCCCCGTGTATATATGTAGAGACGTGTCGAGATGAATTACTTTTAGTCTATTCTCAGATTCCAGAATTCTCAGACCCCAAATTTTGTTTCTCGTTCATCGTGGGCATGTTGCACCTGATATATCCTGCCAGCCTGGATGCTCAGGTGGGTCCATTCAAACCTTGGACTCGGAACTATATCGAAAAGGAAATAAACATAAGCTTGGAAATAAAACTACTACTTAGGTAGTACTAGCTACTATACCTTAGACTGTCTGCTCAGATCAGCGATGCTTTCGACTAACTCTTTCCATTCTGGCTGGAAGCTAGATTTCTCTTTTCCAGACCACTCCCTCCAGCCATCAGCAACTCGAGCCTCATCCTCTTGCCAACGTTGGAGCTTTTGGCTAAGCCAAGATCCCAGTATATGTCCAGTATCTATCACCTTCTCTTGCGGAAGAAAGTGGTCTGCTTTCTGGATTACCGAATATTGCACGCGTCCAGATTCCAAGCCGCCACTGCCGCCAAATCCAGTTCCTGTGAGTTTTGCGGCAGCCAAGTGCACACCTGTCTTGCCAAGTGTACTATCCAAGGCACCGAGATAGAGCACGGAAGGTCTTATATGCGGGAGTAACTTAAATCCCAGACTCGACTCTGGACGGTATGATTTTTGAGTTGGCGATAACGCGCCCAAAACGTCGGGAAACAGGAGGGAGTCATGCGGGGGCCCGATTTCGCTAGAGCTGAGATCTGTGTAATTCTTGCCCTCCGGCGCTCCTCGCTGGGTGTGTCGCTTGACATTTGGCCGAGTATACATCATTGTTTCTTGGCGCTTGGTTGTGGTCAAGGTTACTGGACGTGTGCCGTTGGCTGGCTTTTCGGGATATAGGCACGTGGGTAAGTCTCGATATTCAAATCTCTTCCACAGCTCGAATACGCGACGATCCCATGTCTTGAAAGCCTTTCCAGCCTTTTCGATAGCAGCCTCTCGAGACGGCTATGCGTTGCGTTTCTTATTCGACATGTACACAAGCATTGGACCACCCCCAGCTAGGGGGTCGTCAGTCATATGCGGCTCGATCAGTGCTAGGGATGTGAAAAGTCGTGGATGGAAAAGAGACGCAAATAGTCTACGGTATTGAGTGTCAGTCTCGATAGATAGCGCGATCAACGATATAAAAGACACTTACAGTTGTGTGGCGCCTAGACTATGACCTACGCCCACAATAGGCCGTGGCATCTGGTCGCGAAAGTGATTGATCATGTGAATTACATCGCGGCTAATGTCATACCAGGATGCTTTGATATATCAGTGAGGCCAAAAATTGAAGATCAAGTCATGCCCCACTTACGATCATTTTCTAGATCTTGCTCATTGAGAACACCACTGGCACCCTGGTTGGCAGCATCTGCGATCCAGATTGAACGGATCCGAGCCCCATGTTTGTTGGAGCTAGTTAATAAATCGTCCCAGAGGGGCTCATATAGTTCCTAAGCCAGCAAATTAGTCAATTTTTCCCATTCTTCAAGTCTGTATCCGTGCTGAAAGAACTCGAAATTACCTTTGGAAATCCAGTTCCATGAATAGCTATGATCGTGATGTATTAACGAAATAATGCGACTTGCCCATCAGTTGCCACTACGATCCCACGTACCGTGTTGAGCGGAGGCTTGGTGGTCGATCGAGAGCTTATCCCTGAGGGAACTATGGTTGGCACAACGACTTACGCAACCCAGCGTAATGCGAGCTATTTCCCATCCCCAGACGAGTACCGTCCAGATAGGTGGATAGTCAATCCGGAGATGGGGGTAGACGAGGAAAGTATCAAAATTGCCAATCAGGCATTTTGTCCATTCAGCATTGGAGCGCGCTCTTGCGTGGGATGGAAACTTGCTTGGACCGAGCTGAATGTGACCATTGCCCGGATCCTATTTCGATATGATATGCGGTTACCACCTGACTCTCGATACTGCGGCGGAAAACGTGATGATTGTGACTTTTGATTGAAAGGTTGGGTGACCTCGGCGGTGGAGGGGCCTTGGGTGTAGTTCCGACCTCGGACTTGAAAAACCACTAGTAGTAAAACTCATTTTGTGATGAAAAAAAGCAGACTAGCAAAGTTTATTCTTTTCTAGAAAAAAAAAAAACCTTAGAATTATTGATTAGACCCGATTTGAGATTCGTGAGGTCAAGTCACCCCTGACGCCCATACTATAGACAGATGAGAATCTACGGAGTGCAGCATCTGGCGTTCTGCTAGGCCATAAAAGGCGAAACAGGTAGTATTTCAAGCCACAGAATGTCGAAATAAATCTTCCGGGAAATGATGGCACAAAAAGAGACTGGTGGGCAGGTTCTGTCGGGCCCCTAAGCGAGCAGCACTCTATTCTAGACACGGGGTTAACGAATGCGGGGGATGCCGTCGGCACACCGGGGAACCCATCGGGCTACAGCGGGCCGTGATAGGCTGGACACTCGGCTCGTGGAGATAAATCGAAGCTTGGAAAGACACCACGCCACTGTCACCCCCGGATTTTCCCCTCGCTTCTTATTCACCCCCCCCCCTGTCATTGTTCAGAGACTTGCGCCTGTTGCCCCGCTTTTTGGGAATCAATGCACCTCGCGCGATAAAAGGGGGCATACAGGACGGGGTCACCATTCTATATACCATGTAGAGCCCGGCCGAGTCGAGTTTAACACGCTTTTCCCCTCTTCCAAGGTGGTGAGCCATATAATACTACTGTGGGCATACGATATTTATCCCTTAACCCGCCATGGGTCGACCTTTTACTATCTTCGTGGCCTGCCTAGCTGCCACCGGCTCGTTCCTGTTCGGCTATGATAGTGGAGTCATGACAGATGTGATCGAGTCGCCGAATTTCCTGGCGTACTTCCAGACCACGCAGACATCTGCGATTATCGGAGCAATCAACAGTACTTTTTCAGGTGGAGGTAGGGGACCAATACAGAAGACAAGCACTCCGAGAGGGGAAATAGTATTCGCTGACCGTCGCCAACAGCTGTCATCGGGTCCTTGCAGGGCGGCCTCACCATGGACCGCTTTGGCCGCAAAATTACCATCCAGATGGGTGCCTGCATTTGCCTCGTAGGTGCGATCCTGCAGGCAGCTGCACAGAATCTCTCAATGATCCTGGTCGGCCGAATCCTGGCTGGGTGGGCCGTCGGGCTCATGTCCATGTCCGTACCAGTCTACCAAGCCGAGCTTGCGCATCCCAAATCTCGAGGTATGATAGTTGGACTAGCACAACAAATGATTGGGATTGGATTTATCGTTAGCACGTATGCATTCCCAAATGTTACCCGGCATTTAAAACGATTGACAACAGTCACTAATTCGGTGTGAACCATAGGTGGATTGGGTACGGGTCCCTGCATGCCCCCGCAACTAGCCAATTCCAATGGAGGTTTCCTCTCGCCTTTCAGGTCGTACCAGCTCTAGTTTTGGTCATCGGTATGATCTTCCTTCCCGAGTCACCACGATATCTCATCGAGAAAGAGCATTATGTCGAGGGCATGCGCGTGCTCCGAAAGTTACACTTCGATGGGACAAATGGAGATTGGATCGAGGCCGAATTTAGTGAGATTCGTCGCACCATCGAGGCTGAGAAGAGTATTGCAGTGCAAGGGTGGAGCGCCTTGTTTACGGTTCCGCAATGGCGTACTCGCATGCTGTATGTGCAGCCCCCTCCTTTGCCCACAATGCTCCCATTTCAACTGTGAAAATTGGGGTTGACTGACGATTTCTCTAGACATGGTCTCGCAGTCCAGATATTTACCCAAATGACAGGCATCAATGTGATCGGGTACTATCAAACAATCATGTACAGGGCTCTGGGCTTTACCGGGAATCGGAACACGCTGGTGGCAGGCTTATACAACTGCGTGGGCCCAATTGCCAACCTCATATTCGTGGTATTTCTTCTCGATCGAGTTGGTCGCCGGCGACCGATGCTTTTCGGCAGCGTGGCTATCTCTCTCGCGCTGATCTGCGAGGCAGCGCTCAACTCTCAAAATGCAGATGGTCAGCGCATTGGATACAGCATCGGCGGTGTTTTCTTCTTGTTTGCCGTATCGGTAATATTTTCAATGTCCTTTGGACCTTGTAGCTGGTAAGTTTCGAGCTTTGATCCTTCATTCTAAGCCCCCCCAAGCATCTTCAAGTGGATCTGGAAGACTGATCACTGAACAGGGTCTATATGGCCGAGGTCATGCCTATGCAAATTCGTGGGAAGGGCAATGCTTTTGCTGTCGCCTTTGGAAATTGGGCAGTCAGCACACTTTGGAATCAAGTGTCACCCATCGCTTTGGGCAAAATCCAGTGGAAATTCTATTTTATTTTTGTGGCGTGGAGTGAGTTGTCGATTCGGTGCCCCGAAAGTTGTCTCCCAAAGCTGACCCAGTTGACCTTACGTAGACCTGTGCGTGTCCTTTCCCGTGATATATTTCTTCTTTCCAGAAACCAAGCAAAAGACGTTGGAGGAAATCGACCTGTTGTTTGGGCAGCGCATGTTAGAGGCAACGCCTGATGGGGCGGTGCAGATGGAGAAGGAAGAGGCGGGGGTCTCGGCGACGAATGTAGAGAACATGGCGATCCACTAGACAAGTTAGCTGTTAGCTGTTAGCTGTCAGCTGAATAGAACTTGAACCAAGGTAAATCCATCAAAGTAAAGTTAAGTGGAGATCAGAAAGCGGGGGTGGAGTACTCCGTAGTCCGCGGGCCTTTCCTTTTCTATGGGAAATCCACTCTGCGTATACCGCGTATACTCGGCTCGAATCGAAACACCTCGGGGAGTCGGACAGACTACTCGTATGAAATCAAACTGTCAACCTCCCCTCCACATGACCAGCTGTGGTTCCACAACGGAAAGATTAAGAGGGAAGAAAGACGCAAAAAATGGGACAATTCAGCCGATCAGCATTCCCAGCCGCTCAAAACTTGGCCCGCCCATCCCTTTGGGCGCCACACACTGCGATTGGCTCTTGGATCCCCTCACAGAAGGCCATGATCGCATCGCACAGTCGCTGCTTCAGTGGATCTTCTGCCCCCCGCTTTGGTCGATCATCTTTCCCCTGCGGGCAGGAGGAGCTCTTTTATCTGAGGGCTGCGCAGGGTTTCCCAAGTTTTCTTGTCTGATCCCCTGAGCCGCACGGGGTGCTCGTTTTTCTTGTTCAGGTGTGTCTCGTTTGCCCCTTTGAGAACTTCATTGAGCTGGGATGCTGGATGTTGGGGGGAAATAAAGAAATGAATCAACTAGGGTGGGCATGATCCACTAACTGACTGTCGCGCGACAGGACATATCCACCCCGGCAAGAAAGATGGGAGACGACCATAGCCTCAAGACGAGCCATATGGCCATCGTGCTGGGGATTGGTCTCGGTGTGGTGATGCTTATTGTACTCAGTCTGCTGTGAGTATTACCTTTCCTTTGAAAGGCGATGGAAAATCGGGTGGAATCTCCAGATCTCTGTCACCCCACTGTACAGACATTGTCTCGTCGATTATGATTCCCCAGATCGCGTCACAAGAGCCCCCTGCGCTAATGCCAGCACGTTCAGTCTCACCATCGTCGTCAATCGCCGTGATCGCCAGTCATTAATGCGCCAGAGGAAGAATCCGGACGAAAGATTGCGCCATTTGGATGCCGTCTCGCCCACCCGCACACTGGAGCAGTGGTGGACCAATACAAAGGGCAAAATGGGGCTGTCCGAGGCCGTTGACGGGCAATTTGTTTGGTAGGATCAACTTTTTTTCTTCTTTATTCCAACTTTATGAAGACGCATTAGTGCTAACCCTGGCCCCAGTGCTGTCTGTCTGGAACAGGTGGACCGCTCCGAGGAAATCAGAGAGTTGAAATGCCTGCACGTCTTCCACCGAGAGTGTTTGGAAAAATGGTACCTGGGCGATCATTACAATTGTCCTTTATGCCATCGACCCTATTTTGTGGCGGACAATCCCCCAAGAAACGACTATGTGTGGATGGTATGACATGATGAACGATCTAATGATCCCGGCGTTGGTGTTCGGCTTCTGAAGGGTGGCAGGTGGGCCGAAATATTGGCATGCGGCCTCAGTTATTTTCCATATTTGCATGGCGCGAACTTTATTCCCCCAATTATTATGATTATATGATTGAAGATGGCTACGCGTACAATTATAGCGTAAAACATTCATCAACAAACTGACTAGCTTGATATTTCACGGCGCGAGTCCATCTGCCGCCGGAAACAACTCCGTGCTGAAATCCCAAGTATTGTAATTTGACCAGTCAAGAAAGCTGGACAGACCGGAGGTGACATCGTGCACCGTTTCTGCGGGGACGGGCTGCGGATCGAGCAATTGGTCGAGGATCCGCGAGAGCTTCTTCTCGGCTTCTTTGCATGTATGATAATTCCCATGACCAGGACGTGATACCCAAGATAGGACAGATATAAAGACACTTAAGTTCCGAATGAGCTCAGATCGAGGAAGCTCGATATTGTGCGGGCCAGGCTTGTGAGACTGGTGCAATAATTCTAGTAGAAGAACGCTGGCCGTGGGGAGACCATAGGTGAGGGCCTGAAAATTGGCTGTTACTAGAACCGAACTGACATCTCGTGTAATACGACCGGGACCGAGGAAGAACTTACTATCCAAGAATAATGTCTGTCGAGATCCACCATAGGGCTGCGGACCGAGGTAAGATTGATGACAATGGCCAAGGTTTGGCGGGAAATATCACAGAGTGCCTTCTGTCCAGTATTCGTGTGCTTTATCAAGGTCCTCTGGAGCAGAAAGCATGTATAGAGGTAGTTGAGATACATGTAGACGATGGTCAGAAAGCCGTCATGAAAATCATCGTTATTTCGGCGGTCATAACAAATTTGATCTGGAGTAGACTCCCAAACAGCGCATATCTTCTCCTTTATTTCTCTGTACAGTCACATGAGATGTCAATTCAAGCAATTCCAATACAAGGTCGAGAACTTACTGTGTTTTCTGTACCAGATCTTGCGGTTGGTGGGTTCCGAGAGCCAGCTCGAGAGTTTGCTCTCTGCAAATTGCCATCTTGAAACGTAGCCTTGAAGGAGTCATGCGGTAGCGTCCCCCATGGGTATTCCAGCCATTACTGTCAAGCTCTGAAATCGCTTTGTTCAGAGCGTCGCCTCCTTCGATGAGAACTTCGTCACTCAAATCTAGAGGAGGTTCCATGGTACAATATCGATAATTCATTAAAGGTGGTCGACCAACGAAGCATGCTTGCATCTTGTCCATATAGAAGACACTGATTAAACACCCTTTTCGCCACTGGCGCAGGAAAAATGGACGATTGTCGTCCTCTCCATCTGTATGAAGACCCGCAGCATAAACCGTGGCTATCAGGTCGCCTAGACGACGCCACGCTTGATAGCCTAAATCGTTTCTGTTAGTTATAGCAAAATATCAAGACATCGGGGATCAAAGGACAGACTTGAATCTCCGTATTGCTGGGTCTGTAGCATAACGTCGTTAAACTGCAGATAGGCTAGCATTTCATTGGCCGAGGAAGCTTGATCACAAAAGTTGATGCAAATAGTGGTAGCCACAACGACCTGCTCCAGGAGACGGTCTTTTGCTCGAGGATCGTCTGATCCTTGGGAGAAATCAGGGTCATTGTCTGGGGTTATCACCAATTGCTGACCAAATATTGAAAAAAGATTGCCAATAGGCTCCCATCGAAGGTTTTCCCCAGTGAATGAGTCACAGTATTCGTGTATTGTCATGGATTGATGAGTAGCCATTGGTCGTGAAGTATTCCGAAATATTTGGGTGGCGAGCTTTTGTAACTGGGGCATCAAGTTATTGCCATCAAAATCGTTAAAGATTCTGTCGATCGACATTAGTGTAGCCTGTAGAACAGCCTCTGGGGCAATCGCATTCCATGTTCGAGAATAAAATCGATCCAATAACTTTTGGCGATTCTTGAAGCTGTAGAGGAATAGTAGGACCTCCGCTCCGGACTGGACGCGGTCAGGCTCCACTGTTAAAACGGGACAGGAATCGAGGTTCTCCTCGGGGTCGAACGGAATTTCATTTCGATGCTCGGTAAGGACTGCAGTGAAACTTGTAGAGCCCAAGTAGCCCGGAAGAGCAGAATGGGGCTCCGGGGGCGCAAAGATGCGTCCGCTACCCAATGAGCCGGGACTCGAAGCACTAAATTGTGGTCGTTAGGCTAGGGAGCGATACTTGGACGAACAGATAGCATTCTTACTTAGACGTTGGCTGGCTTGTCAATCGGCTAGAGGAGACAGGTGGTGGATTGGCCTGGTCCAACGACGTCCGCCTGGTCATTGGGGCAGGATGATAGAAGCATTGGCCGTCGATGCGCTTCCCCGCACATCTGCGGCAAACGGGCCTCTCATGGCCACAACGCTGCTTTGACCGTCTGCAGGGCTCACAGGATTGAGGTGCCCCATTCCGGCGGGTCGCTGGGAGATATGAGCGCCGATCATCGTTCCTCATCTCATCGGCAAGTTTCCAAGGCTGGAGAGAGTTGGGAGTTGCGAAGGGCAGAAAACGGGCAGCGCAACCCAAAGAGGTTAGCGTCGCGTTTATAGTAGGCGACGGCGATTAGAGAGCCTCGTATAGATCGGTAGGCACGCTAGTTGGATGTTTCACGAAATCAACGATCATTATGCTCATCCCGATATTCACAGTGGCCCGAGGAGTGGTCTGACAGCTGATGCCGAGAATCTGGTGGGTCCTACCAATGGTGTCTTTGGACCTGAACTTGAACTTTCAGACCCTCGGCTAATTGCCCCGGACTGTCATATTTTTGCCATTTGAGAACGTAAGGGGCGACCTACAAAGTAGCAATGATCAGTTTTATTCTATGATGTACTCCGTATGTACTCCCTAATGGCCAATAACCAATTAGACACACATCAATTAATCGAAGCGTTGGTTCATCGACATCTTGATTTAAATGCTAGCTATTGTTCACTACTCCAGCTACTTCTCTAGAGAATAAACTATTGGCCGTAGTGTGTTCCCGTCTACTCTACCTCTATGCATTCATTCATTCTTTAATCTCACGGAAAGACGCATCGGGTAACCCGATGTTTTAATTTAATATTTTTTTTCTTTTCCCTTTGCCTCGATGCGTCAAGCCAGCCAGCCCTGTGGACAACATGCCACACCTTACATGATATTTGCATGCCCTCGTTTTTGTAGAAGATTCGTAGTCAGAGCCACCCCACGAGGGGTAGCTTCCCAGTCCCGGCACGGCGTTGGCTCGGGACACGACCGAGCGAAAACCTTTGGGCGAGGACGCTTCAAGGTTATTTGACTGTCATCTCATCCTACATTCCCACTTGTCCACTCGCCCCCCCGTCAGATGGCCATTCTTAGACCGACGGCACCAGTCTGCATGATGTCGGTCTCCAATGGCAAGAAGTGAACGCCCGCTGACTTCATGTCTTATCCACCAACAGCACTTCCCGTCCTTTAAGCCAAGCCACCAACAGAGCAAGTCCCTCCAAGAACCACCGTTTAAACTCGGGAGCAGCTTGGCGTCATTTATCGGCGTATCCATTGGCTCGCTTCGGCGGGTCGTCAGTTCTCAGGGTCCAAACTCAATGCCCAGAGAGCGTTCTTGACTTGTTTTCCTCCCGTTAGTATTCTATTAATATGCGTGGCTTTAGGAAACTTCTCCATCCCACATCCATCTGCACGGGCCAAAGAAATCAGTACGCCAAAGTTGCCCGGGACAAACAACCGTTAGATCGCTAGAGCCCCATTTGACTGATTCAATCCCGGACCCATTTTTGGTGCTGTGAAAGCATTTGCTGGTTATTTCAGCCGTTAAGGACCTGTCTTTCTTGGTACTTACCTCCGAATGCTTACGTCGCATTCTTGCTGGTAGCGACGTGAAGATCTCTACCCTCCTCGCACGATGATCTTCAGTCACGGCTGAAGAAACCGAGATAAAGACACGAACCGAGAGGGTAGTAGTACTAAGCTGTGCAGCAACTTCCATCTAGGAATGTCAAGCACAACGTCTCAACGGCTTTCTTGAAGATGGTTGGCGTCCCCAAGAGTAAAGGATGCCAGACCTGCATCCAGCGACGAGTGAAGGTAAGTTTTGAGCCCTTATCTGCTCGCCATTACAATAACCGTCCACTTGTCAACAATCATCCAACATACTCATCATACCAGTGTGACCTAGCCCGCCCAGAATGCACCCAATGCCAAAGATATGGCGCCGACTGCCCAGGATACGCAAAGTTTCACAAATTTATGGACGAAGGAGAAAAGCTCCATCAACGATTCGGCAAGAGGCGAATTAACCCCACCACCTTGCCTCCCGTATCGATTGACGAGCGCATCGTACCGTCTCTCGCAGCCCGCTCAACAGACAAGCAACAGCCCGTCATATTCGGCTCCTTCGTTCTCTCCGCTTTCACCCGCTGGTTTGGACTGAACAAATACCGAGTTCACGTTCCATGGACTCAATATATCGCCCAGCGTATAGGCCAGAGCCCCGCATTCGATGCGGCTGTCTACTGTGTCAATTCAATGCACATGGGCCATGTACATGAGGATACAAGGCTTCAACGCTCTAGCCGCGAGGTATACAGCAAGGCGCTGCGGCTATTTGGAGATCGAATCTGCGACCCCGATTCGATGAAATCCTCTGAGAGCGTGAGCATCACCATCGCACTCAGTCTTTTCGAAGCATACTCCCGTACAGATTCCGACTCTTGGGCCCGCCATGCCGCCGGTACAGCCCTGCTCATGGCGCATCGCGGTCCTGCCGCCCATCTCACCGGTTTCGATCGTTGCCTGTACCTATCCTTCCGTAGCTTCCTCGTTGCCGAAGCCTTCGTCAATGGCCGACGATGTATCTTCGAGAGACCAGAGTGGCAGGCGCATATTGACCAAGTGAGATGGGAGGATATGGCTTCTCCACGGGTTGATGAAGCCATTGCATTATTTATCGACCTACAAGACCGTATCTTTATGGAAGTCTCCAAGGTGCCCGGTCTCCTGTACCTGGCGCGCAGACTGCATACTACGCCAAATCCTCAGAAAGCAGCTCGCCGACTAGCAGCCCAAGTACAGTGCAGTGACCAGGCACTGCATGCACTTTCTGCACAGCTGCGTCTAGCTGCGACGGTGGAAACTTATCAGTGCGTCAACAACGCAACCGCCGACGACAGTGACAAGGGTGCTTTCATCGGCCCCATCCCATCCACCTTCCCGCAGGATTTTGCCAATAGTGTCCTACGTGGCACAGATAACTGTTCCTATATACTTCGCCTCGTGCTCGATTTTCTCCAAAACTATGAAGTGCAGAACTTTACGTCTAGTCCAGAGTGTAAAACAGAGACCCAAATATCAGACCCTTTGCCGTTCCGCTTCGTCTCGAAATTGGCGTATGGGAATGCGGACTCGGGGTCGTCGGGTCATGGGCATGATCTGCCCCCTCCAGAAAAATGGCTCGACTTGGTGGCTGCGTCGATGGGACTGGAGGCATTTGTGGTGGTCACATGTGCAATTGAGACACCTGGCTCGACTGACGGGTTAGAGGAGACGGGGTCGTGGAGTGGGACTGTGATGTTACGATGATACGACACTGGGCAATACGAACTCCTACCTATATCATAGATTGAACAATAGAGAGAGGATGAGAGAGGACTTCTGCTGCAATATCTCCCTCTCGAGTTAACGAGACTCATGATCTACTTTGAGAAACGACACAAGTACGAATGAAGTTGAGCGAATTCGTGAGATCAAATTGTCGTATCGCCGTAGAACTGACAAAAAGCAATTCGTAACAGAACACCACACCTGAGCGCGAAAACAGTGAAATGATTGAAAAGAAAGCAAGTCGATCAGAATCTACAGCAAAGCAGACCCTGCTCCGGATCATGACAATCCTCCAATTAATCCAGCCATTCACGGATCAATAGTAGTGCGACCAAAAACGCCGTGCGAAACATGCCCAGAACCCATCCCACGCCATAAAAACCCGAAGATGAAAATTGAAAGCAAAAAGACGAAGAGGTAAAACATTAAAGCATTTGAATGCAGAAGAAAAATGGGGTATGCACAAGGTTTCCCAATAGGAACGAAGAAGAATAGTAGGAGGCGAGACCGCAACACGGCTGCGGAGGATGCACGGAGCTAAAGGCACAGACCATTACTGGACAGTGCGTGCAACTCGGTTGGGGCTAGAGGCGCTGCCAACCCGGCCACTGGGCTTGCGCACACCTCGAGATTCACACTTGTTGCTGTCTGTTGCCCGCCGGGGGCTGGAGCGAACTTTGCTGACCGAGATTGGGCCATTGGCACTCTTCCGACTCGAGGGGGTCTTAGGTGCGGCAGTCTCAACCCAGTTTTCCCTGTCCTCGTGAATGTCGTCTGCTAATGTGTAGCTAGCAGTGACGGTTGCCGAGTAGCTGATAGACCGCGAGGTTGGTGATGCAACTGGGGATCGCGATGCTCGCTGCTTGGCGAGCATACGTAATTGAATCTCTTCGTCGCTTTCGCTGCTTTCATTGCTCAGGCGGTGACCCCGGTGGCTTCGGTCTCCATTCTGTTCAACAGCTAGAGAACCCGATGCGGTCCTGGAGTAAGGGTGGTGCCGGGAATCTTTGCGGTGGGATTTACGAGGCTGCCCGGGGGTAGGGGCGGGAAGGTTTTCCTCGTGCTGGTTAGCCGCGCCTTCATTGTGATCAATTTCCCCCAGGGCCGCGCGCTTAGAATGGCTGTTATTGGGGGGGAGTCGCCACTTGACCATTGCTAGGACGCTTCTTTGTGGAAACCCGAGCAGGAGTAGCCGGGACAGACTGGGCGAGCTTTTCCTTCATGCTGTCCTCGAACCACCACTCTCGGAAAGCCATCTGGTTCAAATGGAGCCAGTGTTGTTGGGGTCCCACAACCATACCGGGACGCATGAAACGCATGAAAGCAATCACCTCGTTGGCAGTGAAGCCGTAACGGTAAATCAGATAGGCACCGATCAAGCAGCCAGTGCGACCCAGTCCAGCCTTGCAGTGCACAGCAATGCCCTTCTTCTTAATAGTGATCATGTCATGGGCCATCTTGATGAACTTGCGAACGAGCTGAAGAGGGGGACATGTACCATCCTCGAAGATCATGTCGATGTGCGAGATTCCCATGGCGGTAAAATATGAGGGGCTATAAAGTTCGGAGTTCAATCGCACCACGAGGCCAATGTTGCGGGAAGAGAAATGGGCGAGAACATTTTTGAAAGGAAGAGGGAGCTTAGACGAAAAGACTTCGGAAATGGTGGATGGGAGCGCATCGTATTCGGGGGTGTTCACAGGAACGGGCGCGATGGGTTGGTGTTGTGGAGAGGCGAAGGCGAGGAAGTCTTGAGTGACCCAGTTGAAATCGCCCATATCAACTCGCTCGAACTTCTCGTATCTATACCAGATATCAGTACCAATCATGTTATAAGAGGCTAGCGGCAATTGAGAACATACTCTTCGAGATTGAAATCGCGCAGGCCACACAGACCTTGCTCCTTGGCCCTCCACACGCCATAGACAACATCTTGAATGTTTAAAATGAAGTCCGCCTGGCTGTAACCAGCGTCGCGGAATGGCATATAAGGAGGGTCAGCCTGCGCAATGGGTGCAAGAGCCAAGTGGGGCGGCCATGATTGGATCAGAACCATGTAGCAGGCAACAAGGCAGGCCGCGTTGGCACGACTGCGTGCGTCTGTCTTGCTATAAAATACAACTGGGCGATCACTGTTTGCTGGATCTCCCAAGATCTCGTGGAACAGCACAGCGAAGCGGTACAGGTGACCAATGTGGAGAGGGCCGAAATCAGCATGGAAAGCATTGTAAAGAAGGGTGTCATCGACCGTGAAGTACACGGGGGAGCGGCGCTTGCTCGTCGGCGTAGTAGGTTGGACCCGGGCCGATCGCTTGCTGGGAGACTTGGCTGTATCGAGCGGGAAAGGGAAAGGCGTTCTTGAAGATGGCGCCGAGTCATAAGAGCCCAGGTAAAGGCGGTCTGTTGTTGTTTTGATGCGTTGTTAGACCCCGCTTGAAGACGCACAGTAAATTGAATACGATATCAGCGCGATACGACTAACCTTGGATGTACTCGATCATCTGACCTCCGCGACCAGTATCGACTGTCATGTTGTTGTCACTGTCTGCTTGTCGAAACTGCAGGTATAAGAGATTCGGTGGGAAAGAAGGTCACGGCGAGAGCTTGGATCACAGGGGCAATGAATAATGATCAACTCGGCGAACGCAGGCCAGGACAATTTCTGCGATTGGAATCGCAGGTCGTCGACAAAGAAAAGATGGAAGATCTCAAACGCTCATGATCTGATGGATCGGAAGTGCGCGAGTGAGATGATTGTGGTGGGGGAAGGGGAAGCCTCGAAAGGATGAAGATAAGAATAGAGACGAGAGTAAGAAGAGAAGAGAAGAGAAGAAGTCAAAGTCCAGGCTGTACAGGACGAGAGATGGGGAAGAGGGGTGGGATATGGAAAACAGAGAAGAATCTCATATGGGCAGCTGCCATGCCACGCTAAGCCGATGTTATGTTTGGCCTGGACCGTGCATGCCCATTCTGGGGTTAGCGTGGAGCGTTGGCTCGACAACAGTGGATGCCTGCACTTGAAGGCATCAACACCGTTGACACCTTAGTCATCAGGGCACGACCCGACGGCAATTAGTTATTCTTATTGTATGCACCAGCTTCATGGTAACTGCAATAACCGAATAGTCATCTTGAACTATTCATCTTGTTTTGAGCCCCCTCTAGACTCTCTGTTTGGAATCTCGGAAATTCTGTACCACATATCCTCTCCGGTCTCCGTCTCCGCATTGTAGACGCCTGAAAGGGGCAACCCTAGGCATAGTATGAACATTCCGTATGACCACCACAGAATTGTCACAGTGTGTTGTTTGCCGTCTTGGCTATGTTGGGACAGTTGCCTTGAGAGGCAGAGGTCAACCCATTGTGCCATTGTCTCGTCACACCAAATCATTGATGCTCGTCGAAATGGGCCCTCTTGCTCTTCCCTCAATTTCACCCCTTTCCGCGGCATCTCCCTTTCTTATGCCATCTTGGACTCTAGCCCTCGCACCGAGTCATGCGAGTCACGGTACCCTCTTAACTTTACACAGTGATGCAACATCATGCTCAAAGGCAATCACCATCCCTTGAAACTGCGACCGTGAGATCAGACAGCAAGCCCCATCTGGGCGGGGTGCCGTCATCCCCCGAGCCCAGGCGGTTAGGGTTGTTGCCACCCGGCGCTTGTCGTCCTTCACGACGGTGTTATTGTTTAGTTGTTTGGTTGTTTGTATACAATCCAACAAACTTGGCAGATCGGCAAGCATCCAATCTCCACCACTCCGACTTGATTGGTCCCAGCAGGTCAGAGCTTGATTGATCGCAGTCGAGCACAAGTCCTACCATTCGACATTGACCATATTCCTTCCTTCCCTGAAAGGTCTCGAGTCTTCAGGCGGCATAAAATCAATACCATGGTCTCGTATGTCTCAATGGACCGTGTTTAGATTTTAGTCGGTGTTCTGAAAAAGGGGTAAATGAGTCTCGGCGGTCTCGGTCGGGCCAATGTGATGGATGCAAGGATATTCAACGGTCGAGCTTCCCTTCAACGTTGACCACAGCGAATAAATCTCCTGAGCTTGTTAAGAGTTTGAGATGAGTTTTTAGTGATCGGCATGGCACTATGGAAGCTATTCATGGACCTGCGCATTAAGTGCGACCCTTGCCTACACCTCCACCGGATAGGTCGGTACGGTGGACCGCGCTGCATCCCTCGCATGCAAAACAAAATGAGGTCTCAGTTCTGTGTTCACGAGCTTGGTCTTCTGGGCTAGCGACAATATACACAAAATGTGTATTATGAGAGTCCCGGTCAACCATTCCGGCTGCAGACTGGCAGTCGAGACGTTATCCCTCTCAAGTGATAGCGCTTGACATCCACGATGCACAATGCTATTAGCAAAGCCCAGTACAAGCTTCCATCAGCTAATAGTTAGCCAGTTCAATTTCGCACCTTGCCGATAGACAGTTGAGCTTATCCATATCGAGTAGACCGCCTGCTCTGAAACTTTCGACTGCCAGACCGGGAGTTTGTATTGGGGGCCCATGTGGAAACATCCCTTGAGCCTGGATATGGACCACCCATATTACCTGTCCAGTGCGGCGGATGGCTTGGAGCTCATGCAGATCGTGATTTGTTGCGGAAATAACGAACGAAATTATCGCCTCGGAGGAACTCTGTTCCCCTGATGATCGCAGCTGCATTGCATGCGAGGAGTTGATGCAGCAGGTGGGAGCTCATAAACAACAACGAGCAGAAGTTGTATATAATCTGCAATTAATCCAGCCCTCTGGCCTTATTCCCCAGCTCCAGTCATTCATTCAATCTCGAGTCACTCTTTCAACTTCCCACTCTTCCCTGTACACATTCATTCCCAACCAAGTCATTCTTTCGAATCTTTTATTTCACAAAACGCAAACATGAAGTTCACTGGAATCGCCGTTTCTTTCGCCCTTGCTGGCGTCGTCTACTCTGCTGCCCTTCCTGCTGTCGGTCTTCCTGACATGTCCGGCCCTGAGGGAGCCATTGGAGGGCTCGAGCGTACCGCTGGTGGTATCATCACCGGCGCTGCCAAGCGCCAGCTCCAATACCTACAGCCAGTCACTGAAGGTGTGGCTAGCTCCATGAACGGCGGTACTGGTGTTGTTGGCAGTGCCGTGGGCACTGTCGAGACCACTGTCGGGGGTGCCGCCGGCACCGCTGAGAACAGCGTCACTGGCGTTCTGGGTGGTAAGCTTTCTTGTGTTCGACTAGAATCCTAGCTTACAACTAACCTGTTATCTAGCTGCTAAGCGTCAGCTTCAAAATACCGTCGAGGAGGCCGTGCGCCCTTTGAAAGATGATCTCTTGCGTCGACAGGATCCCATTCAGCCCGTCTCTGAGGCTGTTGCAAGTACCCTTAACGGCGGAACAGGTGTCGTTGGTGGTGCCGTCGGTACCGTTGAGTCCACTACTGGTGGTGTTGCTGGCACTGCTGAGAATACTGTCTCCAATGGCCTGGCTCGTACGTTTTGAAACCTCCAACTCTCATTACTCTACTAACCTCTCCCAGACGTCAAGCGTCAATTCGGCAACCTTCCTGCCACCATGCAGCAGACCGGGACCGATGTTCTCGCAGGCCTCAGCGGCAGTATGTACCTTCTCTAATAGCCTATTGGGCCCCTTTCTGACCTTATATTTAGACCCCAGCGGCATCTACGGTGCTCTCGCCAACCTCCAAATGATCGTCGCCGCCGGCAAGCTCAACCCTTCCGATATTAACGACCCTACCGGTGCTGTCCAGCGCGTCATTGCCAACCTTGCTGTCGCATAAATCCCGAAATTTTTCCTAGGGCGAAATATTTTCGCGGGGTTTAATATGCATTAAAAGGTGTCATGACTTCATTTGGTCGGCGCGATATTTACATTCTTGTTTTCATTTCTTCCATCTACCATGGGTCGATATCCCAGGTGTTTGCCTTCGAGAGACGTTGTATAATACTTTCACGAGTGCTTTTGCTATTTCTATATGACCCGTGCTCAATGAGCTGGGAAGTTACTTCTACGAGAGAATGTCTTGCCTTTTTTTCCCTCTAATTCCAAACTTGCATTGTTTATACTTATATTCAAAATAATCCGTCGTAGTAAATATCTAGTTGTCTTTCTTTCCCGGTCACAAACATATGAGGTTCCCTTCTCTATGGGTACATGGGTACACGTCTCCGCGACGGGCACGCCGGTCTTGCGGTGAGACGACCACACTCGCACCAGCAGACGTAACACCTGGTTTCCCTGGCGCAAAGGCTCATGTACGCGCGGCTTCAATTAGACACTGTCATCATACTTGTATAGTCAAAGGAAATGCTAGACTCTATTGAACGAGTACAGGATGTGCAGCTGTCAATCTAACCGCGTACCTAGTAGGCTAGTACCTAACACATCGGAATATCATCGTACTCAATCCTCGGAGCTGAAATTGATACCTTCCAGAATCCATGTTGGTATTGGGGGTGCTAGTAGTGCCAACGGTAGTACCTCTAGCCCTGGAGGGACTTCTGAGTCGGATCATTGTTCATTGGAATATATTTTGCCAGTGTGGAGTGGTGCTACTCCGTAATATATATCCGCACCATACCCTGGTAGATCAGAGTCTGCCAAGGACTCGAAGCCTCGCACTAGCACTTTTGGATACTACTTCTCGACTGATTGATTAACAGGTATATGTACCACCTAGACATCTTCGGCTACAATAATTCAATTATAATAAAATCCATCCCACAAGTTCCAAACACCATCGTAATAGTAGTAATCCTTCTCGATGCCCCAGGCCTCAGGTCTTGGCGGGCCTGGTGATCAAGATTAGACAAAATTTCTATGACTTGGTATGGAGTAATAAGTGATTCTCGGCAGTCGCCCAATAAAGGGGCAATTTTGCCGAGTGGTCTGACGCGTTCGACTCAAAGGATGAGGTCCTTATATCTGAGGTAAATGCTTCTCTTCTGAGGTATCGAATCTCTTCAGAGCGCGTCTCTTTTAGTCACGTGACTTCATCCGAGCCCATTATTGATTTCGAGTCACATGATCACGGCCCCTCGATTTGGTGAACGAAATGTTCAAGACAAGCAGATTTAACACAAGCATTCCTCTCGGTCTATCCTCAAAATTCGTCACCTCGATAAACCAACAAAACTTTGTTATTGGGCTGTATAAAGCTACGGGATCATCATGGCCGTCACTCAACTTTCTGACTCTGAATTCCCCTACTCTTTGTATGTGCCACCCCACCTTCATGGCCGCACATTGATCCACAGATGGGATACCCATGCGACATGGGCGATGCTGATACATGATTTAGAACCATCTCCCTCCCGTTGCCGACCCACCGTCTCGCATTGTCTGCTCTACAAACCCTCGAAGTCGACGCTGAATTGTCACCATTCGTACGACGCACCTTCGCCCTCGCAGCTCTCACTCCGAACGCCTCCGCCGAGCCCCAGGAGAAGAAACAGAAACAAGAACCCGAAGAGTCCAATACTGTTCTGCAGACCACATACCGCGCCACAACAAACCGTATGCTTCGTGTTGCCGTCAATGGATTCATGGAGAGTATCGGTGTTGTCCTTGGCGTGATGGCAGAGCTGGATGTTGATGTGCTTAAGGCCGAAAGGGAAGGATGAATCAAGCAAGGACACTGGCTATTCGGTATCTAAATATACCAACAACTTCAACTGGCTTGCATACATGGTGGCTGGGATTGGTCTAATTTGCCATGCAAAATGACACCAACGTGGTGTCCAGCAGCAACATTGAAAATGATTTGTGACCGAGTTGCAAGTCTTCCAGAACTGAGAGTTTCGAGTGATTTGGAAGTTGCGACTCGGCCCTCGTTGGCCATTCCTGGGATTTTTGGGGAGCTCAGGCCACGACTGGTGGAAACCCTGGACCAAGACGCCTCCTCAGAAATCGCCAAGACGGACGGAATGGAATTGAAGTGACCCAGAAGTAGTATACATACAGATCGGGGATGTCCCTCACAATGGCGTACGATTTGATCGTAGCTGCAGAATTTGGTGGACTAGAAGAAGCAGGGACTTGAGGTGGATTCTCTTCTTCAGCAGAACGCGTGGCAACACATGTTCCGAAGGGTCTACAAGCTAGGGCCAGCCTTATTTCTTTCAAAGAAGGAAATCGAGCTTCGATAGAGCTTCTAGAAAACCAGACCAGAGATACATACTGCACTCTGGTACTACATAATCCAATCAAATAGTTATGCATTGCCATTGTTATCCGCACAAAGCGTCGATCTAGACCGGATAAGCTTAATAATGGGCCATCGTATGGGATCCCATTGCTGGGTCAGGTCATTCGGTGCTTAACCCTGCTGGGTAAATGCACCGCCCTCGATGATTTTCCATCCTCCAATTAGCAAACGTCTAATTCATTCGGACCCCCCCGGCGTCAGAAAGCACCCGTCGGCTCATCACCCCTCCGGAATCTGGACCTGTGATCATTGGTAATACCTACGAGTAATTCCAAATTATTGCCTCCGCAATGGCACCTCGGCTGGTCCTACAAAACCACGGCCTGCGCGCCATTCGAGTTCAACTCCACCCTAAATTACCGCGGTTCCTCTCATATCTCCCCGCTTCCTCGTCGACGTCATTGCGATCGTGCCACCCGAGCTTCAAATCCAAATCCAAAGCCGTCACCTCCGCACTCACCCTCTCACCCTTTTCAACCCCCCTCCAACACCGTCAAATCAGAACCATGGCCGCCGCCACCACTTTCTACGACTTTGAGCCCGTCGACAGTACGTGTTCCATGTTCTTCCCCCTCGCTTTCCCCCTCTGAGCGCGCGAGTCTCAGCCGGCGCAAACAGAGATACATTAGCTAACTTGACATGATAGAGAAGGGCGAGACTTTCCCTCTCACCTCCCTCCAGGGCAAGGTCGTTCTCGTCGTGAACACCGCGTCCAAGTGCGGCTTCACCCCGCAGTTCGAGGGCCTCGAAAAGCTCTACCAGACCTTGAAGGAGCGCTACCCCGAACAATTCACCATCCTCGGATTCCCCTGCAACCAGTTCGGCAGCCAAGACCCCGGCTCCAACGATGACATCCAATCCTTTTGCCAGCTCAACTATGGCGTGACATTCCCCGTACTCGGCAAGCTCGATGTTAATGGCAACGAGGCCGCCCCCATTTTCAGTTGGTTGAAGGAGCAGCAGCCTGGCCTTATGGGCTACAAGCCCGTCAAGTGGAACTTTGAGAAGTTCCTGGTTTCTGCCGACGGAAAGGTCGTCGGTCGCTGGAGCAGTCTCACCAAGCCCGAGTCTCTGCAAGACCCTATCGAGAAGGAGATCGCGAAGGCTAAGGCGGCTGGCACTCTTGCCTCAGGAGAGCAGGCCAAGTTGTCCTAGGCGTTTGGTCGGCCTCGAGCCCTGTCTTTTATACCAACTATATACCTGTACCTACCCCTGATCTGTTTAATTATTGTACGAACTAGGCTCGTCATCTATGCAGCATGCCGCATGAATAATATCCAGTAATTCATATCTCAATCCTCGCAAATCGGTACTGATGAAGTAAATGGTCGTGCGCAACATATTAAGCTAACGCAAGCGAGACCTTCCCCTTTACGTTCTCACGAGCCGGTTCGTTTTGACTAATAATGACAGCTTTGTGATTCCACTCTATCTTGTTTAGGTCGTTGCTTTAATTTCCGCCCCCGACCCCGACCCCGGCCCCAATACTGCCCCGCTCCTCGGGTTAGGCGTGCTACGCTGTGACCAATCGGGTTAGAACTTGCGACGTTTGACGATTGTATATCATGGCCTCAAGGTTTAAACTGTATATAAGAGTGCATACGGAGGGAGGTCTTTCTCTTTCACTTGCAAGTGCTCAATTATTTCCAGTCTCAGGCCTCACTTAATTCCAGCCAACAGGTATTAATAACAACCCATAATGTGTGGAATTAGTGCTGTTCTTTCTCTTGGGAGCCATCCTGCATCTTCGAATGAGGAACACTCATTGCCCCTGGATGGTAAACTTGATGCAAGCTTGGATCTTGTTCAGCACCGTGGACCCGATGCCCGTGGTACATGGACCAGCGATAATGGCAAAGTTGGTAAGTGTTTGATATGAATTGGACTCTCGTGGACAGGGAAGATCACACTCGCACACGCACACTAAAATACTGATTTCTTTAATTTCTTTCAGCCCTCGGACATGTCAGATTATCTATCGTCGACCTTAGCCCGGAAGCAAATCAACCATTCCATGACAGCGTTGATGATGTCCATGCAATCGTGAATGGGGAGCTTTATGACGATGAATACTACCGAAATCTCCTGGGTACCGAATACGATTTCCGTAGTCGAAGTGACTGCGAGATTGTCCTGGCTCTTTATAAGCACTACGGTTTATCGTTTCTATCCCACCTCCGAGGTGAATTCGCTTTGATCTTGTGGGATGCTCGCAGAAAGGTATTCATCGGCGCGAGAGACCGATATGGAGTGAAGTCGCTCTACTATACAATCGTGAACAATCAGCTACTTGTAGCAACCGAGATGAAATGTTTTCTACCATTTGGTTGGAAACCCGAGTGGGATGTCCAAGGTCTTCGAGAGTGTGGTTGGGTGTTTGGTACTGGGACAATGTTCAAAGGGGTTCAATCGGTTTGTTGCCCCTCCATACTACCAATCCCTCAAGACTTTCTGATGATTTTCAGGTTGCTCCGGGTCATTATATATCAAGCCGCAACTTCAGTGCTATTAGAGATGCAGTCTACTGGGACGCGGAATATCCAGACAAGGTAGGCCAAAACCTTTTAAGATTTTACATGCCCTGACCGCTAATATTTATCCAGAATACTCCCGAGCTTCGCTCAGAATCTGAGATGACCGAGGGCGTGCGAAACCGTCTCATGGAAGCCATCAAAGTTCGACTTCGTGCCGACGTGCCTGTGGGGATCTATCTCAGTGGTGGAATTGATTCCTCGGCGGTCGCTGGAATGGTAGCTCACCTCGTTAAAGAGGAAGGAGCTCGAGTGGGTAACGACCAGAGTCATCTTGTTTCTCGGATGAAGTGCTTTACCGTACAGTTTGATAAAGATAGTGGAGCTGACGAGTCAGGTATGAATTCCTCCATATTTCGTTATTTCTGTCATCGGGATATTGACTTTATCAGATATTGCACAGCGTACCGCTGAGTGGCTCGGTGTCGAATTTCATCCCGTGCCTATCACCGAAGAAATTATCGCATCTAAATTTGAAGATACCATCTGGCACAGTGAAGTGCCCCTTCCCGACACAAACGGTATCGGGAGACTAGCCATGGCCGAAGCCGCGAAATCTCACGGTATCAAAGTGATATTAACAGGTTTGTCTGTTTCATGTGCACTGGCCGCTTTCTAAAAACTAAAAAATCTTGCGTCCACAGGAGAAGGATCCGACGAGCATTTTGGTGGATACAAAGAGTTGGCAAACGACTTTTTGCTTGAAAGCGATCCCTCATGGTCCCCCTCGCTGTCCGAGGCAGAGCTCGCAGAATTATCACAGCAACAATGCGGTCCCGATCATGCAGCATACCTAGCCATCAAAACTGTCAGATCGCTACCAGAGTCAACCTGTAAAATGCTCAACAACATCTCGGTTCTTACCAAACTCGCATTAGTCTCCCGCCTACCATTCGCTCCGTGGACTGAAACTTTTGCGGCGACGCACCCGGAAACCGCACAGGTAGAAGGTCTCGACGGACGAGTTCGCGACTCAATCATCAATCGCTGGCATCCACTGCATACGGCGGAGTATATTCTTACGAAAGGCCTTTTCCCCAATTTGCTGCTTCGGTATCTTGGAGATAACGTCGATATGGTCCACCATATTGAAACTAGACCCCCGTTTCTAGATCACCACCTCACTGCATATGTCAACAGCCTACCGCCTAGCTTGAAGATCAAATGTTCCTTGCCGGATAAGTCTTTGACCGAGAAGTATATCCTTCGAGAGGCGGTGCGGCCCTTCGTTACGGATGAGATCTACAAGCGGCCAAAGAAACCGTATGTTGGACCAACGAAATTTCCCGAGAACGGGCCTTTGCATCAGTTGTTCATGCGCCTGATTTCTCAAGAGAACGTAGAGGCTCTTGGGTTTTTGGACTGGAGTGCAACTGAACAGCTTGTTAGTAAGGCATTCAAGGATCAGAACCCACTGTCCTTTCGAGCTGCATTCCAAATTTGTCAAATCGTGATCATCTCGCAAAGATTTGGAGTTGCCAGAGCCAGAGCCTGAATTTTTCGAAAATGACCAGCCGACTCTGTTTTTCTATCTTTACACGTGCACCCGAGAGGGGGATGTTTGCATTCATGCACGAAGACAAAGGAGTCGCAATGCAACCGCCCAATAAGTAGCAAATTGGACCCGTCCTCATCCACAAGCTACGAATCATCTCATTTCTATCAAGTACATGTATTGAAAATTATCGTATAATCCTTTGGCACCTGGGCAAGAATCAAAAAAGAAGTCTATTATTGTCATTTTAAATATTTCTCATAGCGTAATATCTCAATGTTTTGATAATCCAGGAGCCTTCGACCTCCTAATAAAGTAAATTAGTTTGGAATTAGTCCAAGTCCATCCGCTAATCCAGCAACAATCTCGTGGAATGCCCAGGCTCCCGGGTCTGGCAGTTCTTGGCTCGATGCCTCTCCAACATATGTCGCTCGCCCGAACTTGGCCTTGAGATATCTTGTTGCTTCTGCCTTCTCTGCAGCTAAATTAACTGCAGCAACAAAGTCATTGGTCTCGGAAAATTTTGCGTCAAAGGGTAGGAGAACATCCATGACAGTTCTGTCTCCTTCCCGTGCTCCAGTGTGTGACTTTAAAGCTGTCACCGCGGATGTCAAGGCTGCGGCATAGAAATGTGATGTGGAAGGGCTTATCTTTCCCTCAGACAGGTTGGTCCTCAGAGCTGTTGCGAGAGCTGATAGTAGAACTCCAAAGATTGCACCAAGGGTTCCTCCCATGTCGTCAACGTCTTGTAAAATTGAGCGAATGACATCCAGAACATCACCAGATTGTGTGCATCCTTTATCAACTCTGAGCAAGATAGATTCGGCCAGGCCTAGAACGGCCTCACCACAGTCTCCATCGCCCATGACCATGTCCCACTGTGTCAACTTTGGCTCGGCCGAAATGGCTCTCTCGCATGCAACCCTTAAACCCTTCTCTAGTCGAGAAGAGTCGAATTTAATGCTGGCAGATGCCGCTTTCTGTCCGCTTTCTTGGGCATCGATATATTCGAGAGATATCTTCTTTTGAGAAGAAGAGGGGCGAGTTGTATTGGGCCAAGAGACGGCAGTTGTGGCGCTATCAAATTGACGAATCAAGGTAGCAACGGATTCATTCGATTGCTGAGCTGCGGTAGTAAGGTTGCATAGAGAGATCGAGAAGCCCGGTGCGTTCAGAGAGGTCTCGAATGCACCAAATAAGGCCCTGCAAGGTTTGATGTTCCAGCGTGAGTTCAACTGGATTTGGATTTCATCGGCCCGAGCAGATAGTTCAAGAACGGAAAGACCGCCATAGTTGTTGATCAACAGTCCGATTTCATCGTTTGTCGCAAACTTGGCGAATGCTCTTTCTGTGTCGGTTGCATCACACAGAAGTTTGAGGCACCGCTCGATGATCTCTTCAACCGATGGGGCGGGAGAAATGTGAAGTTGTCCAGGCTCGTTGTGGATGCCGGCGCCAATAACGACCACATTGTCTGGCACGGTCGATTGTTGATGTCTTCCTGGAACATGGCAGTGGTCGAGCGCCGAGGCAATAGTGACTGTGTGGCTATTGACGGCTTGTCCAAGCGCAAGGCATTGCTCGAAGGAGTAGCCTTCCGCGGCGGCAGCACCGATTATCTTCATTGCTACAGTCCATCAGTCGACAGTAAATATTGGACTCAAAAGGAAAAGAACTTACTGAAGACATTACCGGGGAGGCCTCTCCTTCCCATGTGGCTATTCTTGCTTCTTCCAATTGAAACATCGTCAGTCGCATGTAAAATGGCTATGTTTTCAACTAGGCCTTCGGCTTTTGCCCTTTCCGCCGCGAGGCCGAAGTGAAGACGATCACCGGTATAGTTGGTGATCAATAGAATAACCCCCTTCTTGGAGGGTGCCATTCGAATAGCAGTAATAACCTGCTTCGCACTGGGTGATGCAAAAATATCACCACATGCAACGGCCGAGATTAAACCGTCGCCGACATAGCCACTCCATGCTGGTTCGTGCCCCGATCCTCCACCACTGATGATACTCACTTTTGAATCATCATGATAGGCATTGGCAACGACTCGCTCACCATAGTTCAAACTAAGATGCTCATTTGCAGATACAAGGGCTCGCAGCCCTCTGGGAACCAATGAGTTGGCACTTGTTGAAGGAAAGTAGTGTTTGTCAGACATTGTTTAATGGCACGCCAGAATCAGCCTTTGTTGATTTTAGACTGAACAAAGGTGAAATAAATTGTGATCAGTTAAGCTTCGACTTGCAAGTTCCATGCTATTTCTAATAACTAAATTACCCACGCACAATGGAGTGTCTCGGCTTGAGGCAAAGCATCATCGTGGCTTCTCCGAGCCTGGCAACTCCGTAGGCTCATTATCACAAGTAGGAGATCCCGTGCCGAGCTGAATGAGATTCAAGACCAGACTGAATTATTATTGAGAGTCCTTTCGTCACTTGATCCGTTCTGGTCGACGGCCGCCCCACCACAGAACTACGGGCGATGGAAACCTCGTGTCGAGGTCGTTCGAAACAATCCAGCCCACTTAAGCAACGTCGGGTCTCAATCCCCATATTGAATGCTGCTTCGCCAATTCTAATATCACTCCACATGTTTGACCCTCTCATCCCCATATTTTGAACCCCGGGCTGAAAGAACGAAGCTCTCGAGAGGCCGAATGAGGCACTACCGTTGATCACCTGGGGTAGTAAGTGCCGCATTACCTTTCTTTTAAAAATACTCGATACGAGGTATTCTTTCTCTCGGCTCTAATGTAAGCCGTTTCATTTGGAAAAGAGAGCTATTGTGATGAGTAGGTAACAGCCGAGATCCAAGTCCACTGGCCTGGGTGGCTCGCGAATTTCACGATCATTCGAATCGAGGAATGTGACTTGGAGGGGCTTACATCTGAACTACAGGTCCTGGCCGAACACGAGCTTGAAGGAAATCATTGCATCTTTGGTAATTTAATATCTTGAGGTGATTCAGAATTGATAGTCCGTTCATATTGCCTGTTGCTAAATCGGAATTACTACCTCCCTTTCCCTTTTAGTGGCCCTGGTGGGATTTGCCATATCTTTTGGCCTTCCTCGAAGTCCATTCCCTCACAATATTGGACGGCCTTATGCGGTAGCACCACCCTTGGGGATCAGGTTTCGCAATGAAAGGTCGTAGACGACATCTTCGACCTTCTTAACCTGTAGGTAGAGCGGCGAGTTAGTATCTTGTTGCCGAAATAGCTCTAGTAACAACAGAGACTAACGCTGTATTTGATGCCATCGCTGCGCTTGCGTAGAATATCATTCTTCAGATTGAGAAGCTGGAATCCAGAGAAGAGGTCCTTGATGAAGTTGCCGATCTGAAGGGGACGCTCGTAGTCGCCTAGAGTTACGGAGTTCACCGCCAGGCGAGACTGTGGAGAAGTTAGACAAGATGACTCCCGACAACCGTGGGGGAAAGATACTGACCAATTCCTCAACCATGGCAATCAGGGCCAGGAGATATTCCTCGATGGTCAGGTGGAACGCATCTTGTTCCTTCAGGTTGATGGGGACTGTGACAACACAGCACCGTAAGTTTCTTTTCAAACCAAATCGATACGGAAATCATGGCAAAACGGTGTGAACATACCATCCAGGAACTTTCCCACGTCTTCGATTGTCATGAATGAAGCCGAAACTGGGCCCTTGTGCTCTGGGAGTCCACCTAGCCAAGCACACAGTTCAATCGAGGCGACCTGTATGTTCGAATTAATACCATGCAGAGATTGACAGCTTGGGGTTAGACGAACCAGATTTTGGAGTTCGCGCGACCACACCCCATTGTACTTGTAGAATGGGTGTTTATCGGCAACACTTCTCAAGCGAGCAACTTCCTCTTTCTGTGCAATAATGCTGGCGGTGGCATCGTCAAGGACGGATTGCACTATTGTTGTTATATCAGCCACGCTGGGGTCCCAGAGATCACACCAACACGCACTACCCGGGAAGGTAGGGGTGAATTAGGGGAGAATGTTAAAGAAGCAAAGTTTCGCAACAAAATCACGATCGATTCGTACGTACATTTATCACTGGGGGTCGAGTGCGCCCTGGCGAGGATAGCTTGCGTCGAGCGCCCTACAGAAATCGGTCATCAGTATCCGGTCTTGATTTGGTGGAGCCGCGCATAGCTCGATCAGCCCTTCAGTCTTGGAGTGAGGAGCTCCAGAACATCAACCCCATAGTGCTGAAAGAAACTACCTTTCCTAGCGAGCGTCTGGACAATGTCGTGCAGTTCCTGTTCACGAAGATGAGTTTCTGATGACTGTTGTGCGCAACGGCTTCAGGCTTGGCACGGAAAAAATCCGTGGACAAGCACGTCGCAGGCGCGGGTGCGGGCGACTTACATCACGAACGGTGGTCTCCTCGTCGATCTTCGTCTGGAGATCCTCGAAAATACGTTGGTCAATCATCTTCGCGGGCTGTGTGGGTGTGAAAAGTGAGATGAAGGTGACGTTAAGTTGTTGCGGCGGGTTGAGTGCGGTGTTGAAGTCGAGCGCCTTACGTCAAATTTCAGGCAAATAACCACCATGCGGGATATGCTTAGCAAGAAATATATGGATCTTTCAAGAATTCTAATTTTGTAGGCACTAAAGTGAATCTTCAAAAATTTCTCACAAGGCGCTACTGCTACGCAGAATGGATAGCATTCGAAACCCTTCCTACTCTCTACTGGGGGATATGACTTCTTTTGCGAATTATATTGAAAGTTCGGCGAACCGCTGTATAAGAAGCCTTGACTCTGGTGCAAGGGCTAGTCTGCGATTATTTTTGGGGGTGTCGTCGTAGCCATGTGAGCTGCTAATGCCAGATTTCCCTCGGCCTTCGCCATAGGCTCGCGGGGCAGCAATCGCAAAGCACAGGTATTGAGTTTTAGTTGCTCACTAGCTCATTTCTAGCGTTGTCTATCGTAAATATCATAATATGGAAGACAGCCATGAGAGAAGCACATCCAGTGCCACCGCCCTCCTAAACAAGCCTCCTTTAGTACCGCTTTCTCTAATACCGGTATCTCGTAGAGTAATCTGCAAGCCGTTAGCCTCTGAAGCACTATTGCGTAAAGAGTTGAAGAGATCGTACCCTTGGGACTGACGACGAGACCGCGACCCTTCTTCGCACCCTTGTAAATGGTCTCGATGATGTCGATCAGTTCCTGTTTATCCTCCAGCACCCAATTCAACTTGTTATTGTTTCCCGTTCCGAAATCGCACATCATATGTTTATTGCGATAAAAGAACATCATTGTCATTGTATCGTAGAGCTCATACATCTGGTTGAAATCGGGTACTTCGTCGATGTCGCACAGGTAGATAACCGCGAAGTCTGTCAAAAAGGCGCATTAGCATTCGGGTCTTCTTCTCGATAGGCAGAATCGGGTAGGTTACTCTTAACACGTTCGGCAATCTTATAGAGCAGTTCATCTTGGCGAATACCTGTTCGCGGAATATTAGCTCTTGTTGCGACCACAACACAGAGGAGGTCTCTTACAGTCCGGGTCGTGATCACGACCAAAGCGGATCACCACGAGGCGCTCCTCCTCCGATAGAATGGCCTGGTCCACGTGCCAGGCACTGCGAAGGTGAGGTAGAACAATAGAACCCATGACGGAGGGACTTTAGAATATGAGCAAGACCCGGGGGGGGGGTTCGTAGCTGAGAAAATTGGGGTGGCTTCAATTTGTTGGAGAGCTTGAGCTTATCGCGAGGCGGGACAGGCGATAAAGTCTACTCACGTGACTTTCCACGGCAGGCGCCTCACGAATTTACAAGCCATGACCTCTACGTGAGCAATCGAGCTGGCATACGGCATACGGTACACATACGTGAGGGATAAAGCTGTTCGCCTTGAGGGACATGTGCTGGTGGAAGTAGTATATGCACAATATTCAGGCTTGAAGATGCTATAACTTGGTCCGAGGGTACATACAGGTAAAATCAAGACATGACTTAACATGGCACTCACTACCCACAATGTGAGAGCTATTTACAACTAGTTGTTAAGAATTGAACAACCCGGTCTTCTCCAAGCGGTCAGACAAGCCGACGCAATTGATGAAAAAGGGTGTTCGCGTCGATCGGAGATAGTGTAAGCCCGATGACACGGTGCGGCGAGACATGCGCAAGCACAGAGGCCAAGCCGCGGGATCCAAAAATGAGAATAATCAAAGTTGTTTTCCATTGGAAAACTTTCAGAGATTAAACTGAAAAGAACAGATACTACACTTGATCTAAGCCAATTGGCAAAGAGAGCTGGAAAAGAAAAAAAAGAAGAGGAAGGTGGCGGGAGGGAGAAAGCATTTATACCTTCAGGGCAGGGCACAGGGCGGTCAGTTGGGCAATTCTGCCCCCTTAGCTTCGTTTATGCGACCCAATCAGGGCGATCTGGAAAGTGGATCCAGAATCGACAGCAGAGGTCACCTGACACAGGCCAAGACACATGCTTGCCTGCTGCCCTTGCCCTAAGTCTATCCGAAACAGGAATAGCGCACACAACGCTCCGCGGGCGCTGGCGAATTTTCATGTTGCAGGTGGGCTCCACTCGGCGAGATCTTCTCCCCATCACTCTCGACGGCGCAGGATATTCACCTCTTTGCGACCCTTTTCACCAAAGTCCAATCCATCCCCCTCACAGTCACAATGGCTCCCGCTGCTGTACGTTGAAAATATACTGCGAACCGCTTTGCTGTTCCCCCTGTGGGCATGCCTCGACGGACTCTTACTTCGCTCTCCGGCCGATACTAGATATTGAAATATCTATCTATGTCGCTGCCTCGATCTAAGCAAGATTCCTCGAGACTGCCATGGGGATTTCGACCTTATGGAGCAGTAGGCTAATTCAATCTTTCATCCAATAGACCCGTGGTCGCAAGGCCCAGAAGGTCACCCACAAGGTATGTCAACAGTTACACAATCTACAACCCAACCCATTGCGGCCCGATGATACTAACGGCACTTGCGCAGTTCATCATCAACGCTTCCCAGCCCGCTAGCGACAAGATCTTCGATGTCTCCGCTTTCGAGAAGTTCCTTCACGACCGCATCAAGGTCGAGGGCCGTGTCGGTAACCTCGGTGACCAGGTTGTCATCTCCCAGGCTGGCGATGGCAAGGTTGAGGTTGTTGCCCACATCCCCTTCTCCGGCCGCTACCTGAAGTACCTGTGAGTCCTTTCCCTCCGCGCATACGATTGCACGCCGTTCCCAGCAGCCCGCTGACCATCATTCCCTTCAGCACCAAGAAGTACCTCAAGAAGCAGCAGCTCCGTGACTGGCTCCGCGTCGTCTCCACCTCCAAGGGTGTTTACGAGCTCCGCTTCTACAACGTCGTCAACGACGAGGCTGAGGAGGATGAGGAGTAAATTCGCTCCATGGGCTTTGGATGACTAGCCCGAGAGGCTACGAAATAAAAAAAAGTTCATACCTTCCATATCTGCTCTTTCCTAGTCGTGTTCTAGCTATTGGAAACAATTGCTAGCGGAATACGTAGATTCTCGAGCTGTATATCGTGGGGCTCTATTTCCTGCTATGGCCAAGACGAAACTTGCAGAATCACATTCCTCTGTGCGTAATTCTTTAAGGTTGGCAGATCTGCCCAGGTGCAAGGCTTCCACGGACGTACCGTTATTTTACCCACCGTAGGTATTTTATACTACTTAACCTTGCTCGGCCAAGTTTTAACTGATATGGCACGACCGAGGGCGCGCCACTTTCCAATGGGATCTACTTCATTGTCTCTCGGGAGCGGGAACCTTGACAGTAGCCTTCGCAACACTATATTCAACCTCCAGGTTGGAAATAGTCATCACTTAGTAGAGTAGTAGGTAGTACCGGAATATATGTACATTAATATAAAAATTTCAATGTTATATACTACCAATATAGACGCGGATGAAGACAGTCCTTGAAAAGGCATAGGTGTTGTATCATAAGATTTGATAGCATAGTAGTATAAAAGGATCTCTTGCTTCTCTATTTGTTGCATTTAGTTGCGAAGCCCCAAGTTACCCCTCGGTGCTGTTATTTGGGGAACAGTTCAGATGGGAGGCTTTTTTCTCTTAAAACCGGCACCAGGACTAACGCTCATCCCTATATTATGTGCTTGGAGACTTTGAGTGTCTTCACCAGCTGGAGGGATCAGTTCATTATTCTCAAATTTCCATCCCTTTGCCTTAAGACGCTTCCATAATTCGCGCACTTTGACTCGCACAAGATCTCCCGTTGCGATGGAATCCTCTTTAGAATCATGGCCTTGGTTCCCTCCGGTTTGGATGTCGCGCTCAAGGAATCTGCGAGCGAGAGCCTTCAAACCAACACGTAGAGGGAGACCGCCGGCCGGGTGGGGGTAGAGAATCACCGTGTCGATGACAGTGGGGTGGATGATCCGGCAAGCATTGAGATCGTTGTCTATTGCGTGTGCGATCAATGGCGTATCCGGTTGAAGAAGGTTCAATAGAAGTTCCCGTGCCGCAGCAGGTGACTCGACAACATGCATCGATTTGGATTTCTCAGGCTGACTATCTGACGAAGCTGCGTTCGGTATCGGGGACCCGTAGGGCACAGCGGAGGCATAATGCTCAGGAAAGACGCCCGAGAAACGCGAGTTCAGATCCAACACCTCTCCCATAGGCTTGACGAGGACATCAAGCAGCTCCCGGCCTTCTGGCCAGCTGACAGCAGTGAGGCGAATGAGTTCTAGGCCCAGGGTTGTATATCCCATTTCGCAATCGAAAGAAACCGGATTCATTCGTCCTTTTTCAGGCTGAGCGGGAGTTGTTTTGAATTGAAGTACCGATGCCAGTCGTTTGGTCTCTGATACTTTGAAAACATGTGTGTTGGCCTTGGTGCATCCGGATGAGGTACCCACAGTTTCGCTGCAGCAGGGAAAGTATGTCTCCGAGGAACCGGTAACATTGTCGGTCCTCTTGCGAGGGGGATGAAATGGCCGGCTGGGATGGTAAGTACACTGGCCTCCAGACGCCAATGCCCCATCTTCGCGGCGACCGGGGAAGACTTGGAATCGCCCACCGCATCGTTCGCATTTCTCCCAGCCTTTTGAACCGGAAACGCCTTGCTTGGCTGTTTCTATGGCTGCCTCTGAAGGTGCCTTTGTGACATAGCCATACTCTTCGAGGCCGTCAAGTGAGGTTATGAGATGAGCAGCGATGGCTATTTCCTCTTTGACAGAGAGGCCGGTGTCAATGGGTGTTGAGGTTGGGGCGGCTTGGGTAGGTCCTTCGGGCTTGATCTTGTAATAGCGGGTATTCAGATGGGTCTTCACTTCATCGGTCCAATCTTCCAATTTCATTTTTGTCAATTTGACAATTCGAAGTTTGATAATGTTGGAATAAACACTGTAATGATCTCGTGCCACTTTTTCCTCCTCATCCAAGGCCATAGTCACAAGTTCATATGGATTGAGAACAAAGCACTTGTTCGATTCATCTTTGGAATTAACTAACTTCGTGTTGAGCGTGGACATAGCCCCGTGGAGTTTATCCAAAATGGCAGACCGAACGGCATGGGTAGCTGGGGCTTTGGTGAGCATACGAGGATTCAAGCTTTCCTTCCGCACTTTTCGAGGGGGGGAGCTTCTTTGACGTGTCTCCTGGAGGGGGGGCCGTGGAACTGCTGGCAGAAGCTTCATTCTTGGCGGGCCTAGATTCTGATATAGCCCGAGGTGGAGGAGATACATTTCGAAAGGCTGATAGCAGCTTAACGCCGTCGCCGCGAGTGCCTTGAGAAGGAGGTTTTGAACTCAATGTCGGCAAGGAGATTTCCGCAGGTAGCTTCGGAGATTGCTGATTTCCGAGAGAAATTGGAAGGCCCCTCTGAGCTGAGTTGACCTCGCCTAATCTTTGCTTCTTAGAGACATGCCCACTCTCGTCGCTGAGGATGGCGGCAGTGTTAGAGGGTCTGCTGGTTGTCGCTAGGGTGCGCTTATCGTGGTTGAACATGCATGTGAAGAGAGCACATTCTTGACCCCGAGGACAAGGTATTTCGGCAAATAGACCGAGTGGTTGAAACATGCTGAAAGCCACTAATCAGAATGATGACTTTCGGCCCAACCTTCTTTGGGAAAGAGGTTGGTTGAACTCAAGAGCTAACAAGAACTATCTTTCATCCTTGACGCTGCATATGATGCTGCATGTGTCCAATAGATTCCACCGCGAGGGAAAATAAACGTCTTGAAGTTTGCGTGGTGATTTGGTTCAGACCAGGAGTAGCATTATCACGGCCTGTCTGTAAGGTAGGGTCGGGCAAACAATCAGATAAACACCAGGCCCGCCGACTTCGGATGTGATTAGCGGGGATCGAATGGACAATGGAAGGTTGACGATGTGTCTTTAAGAGTGACAAATCTGGCTAGTCGCAGATATTGCGAGTCGTCATCAATGAATGAAATGGCCTGGACAGCGAAGCCACGGGCGCAGGCTGGGGGAGAAATTGCCAAGAATCAATATTGTCGCCTGAGTTATCGGGCAGTAAGGTAGCCACACATTCTCGGGGGATTGGGCAATCACAAAAGCCGCAGTTGGCGGTATGCAGTGGAGTAAAGTAAGACTGAGGCTGAGCAGGCTGGGCTGAGGCACGGAGTCGGGACCATCGGGACCCGGCGTGCTTATCTGCTCCGACGGGCTTAATCGGCGATGAAGTGCAACAAAGAGGGACATGGCATGTCTTAACTCCGGAACACGAAGTCTTTTTAACTACTTCGCCCCCCGCCCTGCCCCTACCCCTAGATTTTCCCCATGTCAAACATCTGATTTGATTTTACACAAAAATGAGCGACACATCTTTGAAAGCCGACCATCTGTGTGTTCTGGTCCATGGGTAAGCTTCTAATTCCCAACCACCGCGAATGTCGTCGGGCCGCCATCGCGCGTAAGCATGAACCAAACTGATCGCTTTGGGGGGGACAGACTGTGGGGCAATCCATCTCACTTGGATCAAGTAGCCACTGCACTCGAAGAACGACATGGCGAGAAGTTGCATATCCTTTGTGCCAAAGAAAACAGTGGCAATTTCACCTACGACGGCATCGAGTTGGGCGGCGAGCGCTTAGCGCACGAAATCGAGGACACGCTAGATACCCTGGAGAAAGAGGGCCAGAAGATTCGAAGAATTAGCGTTGTCGGCTACTCCCTTGGAGGTCTTGTCGCAAGATATGCCATTGGACTATTAGAAGCTCAAGGTTGGCTTGACAAAGTGGAGCCTGTCAACTTCACGACATTCGCCTCTCCACATGTCGGAGTGAGAGCACCGCTAAAGGGCTGGTGGGGCAAGTTCTGGAATGTGATGGGAGCTCGCACAGTCTCTATGTCTGGCCAGCAATTATTCATGGTTGACTCTTTCCGTGATACTGGTCGACCACTCCTGAGCGTCCTCGCAGACCCAGAGAGCATTTTCATCAAAGGCTTGAAAAAGTTCCAGAACCGTTCTACCTATGGCAACATTCTAAACGACCGAACGACCGCATTCTATACGACGACCCTCTCCAAAGTGGATCCTTTCCAGGATCTCGACAATATCAATATCAATTACGTTGATGGCTATGAGCAAGTTATTATCGATCCTAACGACTACCTACTACCTTCGGTATCGAGTGATTCGGACTCTGTGACTGCGACAACATGCGATAGACACAAAGCATTTATGAGGGATGCGCCTTTCTGGATGCTCGTTCTCGTTCTGATCGGGCCCGCCTCAACATTATTCCTTGCCAACTCTGCCATACAAACCTTTCGCAGTCAGCGAAGAATAAAATTGCACGCGGAAGGAGATAATGGGCTACGCTTCGGAAGATACAAGATACCTTTGCTCATACGTGATGCTCAAAGCGCCCTTGAAGAGGTCTTTGAGCATGCAAATGCCCACCAGGAGCCAGCTTATCTCTCGAGCACCGAATCCGATATGTCTGATCTATCCGAGAGCAAAGGACAAAGATTTTCAAAGTCAGGCAAACGGAGCAGGTCACCATTTGGCTCAATTTCGTCTAAGAAGACCCACCGTGCCAGCGTTGAACACACGCATCATCATCCAAAACTCGCCTTGACACCTGAACAATTTGCTATCATCGATAATTTGAATGATGTGGGCTTCACCAAATACCCCGTCTACATTCACAACCACCGGCATACCCACGCAGCGATTATTGTTCGCTCACCAAAAGACGGCTTCTACGAGGGCAAAATCGTTATGAAGCATTGGCTGGATCAAGGATTCGTCATCTAATCTGATATTTTGTGTCTTAATCGAAGTTATTAGCGGGTCCAACGCCAACCATGCGGTTTTCACCAATGTTTCATGGAAGTTAATATTGCATATCGCATACTCAGAACGTTTTAGATAGATAGTATCTAATACCAGTAGATACAAAATAATTTACATTCATGTTTAATATCAAGGACCCAGTCTATTTCTTCTCAGGAACTTCGTACGAGACCCTGCTAATCCCTTTTTGCCGACTGACTTTGCGAATAGTTATAGGCCCAGCCAAACTGGCCCGGTCGACATGGGTACCACCGCAAGGATTCTGATCAAGTCCACCAATACTTGCGACCCGAATTGGACCTTCGCGATTTTTCCCACGGCCCTCTAGATCGGAACCATCTTCTACCCATGAGATGAGAATGGGCAGATCCTGATTTACCAGCTCGTCCACCTTTGCCTGAATCAGCGGCTTTTGCTCATTATACAGCAAGCCTTCGTACTCCATGCAGGCTTCTCCAGGGGCATGATTGGCCTTGACCTTTTTCATATCGGGAAAGAGAAGCTCCATCGCTAGCCCGACGATGTGGCCTCCCGTATGCAGGCGAGAATGATAATCTCGGCGATCGCCATCGACATTCTGAATAACACGCTGGCCTTCAACAAAGAAGGTATCGGTATTGACGGGCTTCCCGAAGTGCAGGATTCTTCCATCCTGTGTTTTGCGGACTAGAAACACGTCGAACGTCGGCTCCTGGTCCTCCAGAGCAAGAGTGCCCGTATCGCTAGGCTGTCCGCCCCCACGCGGATACAAGATTGTCTGGCGCATAACTATAGCTGAATCCTCTGGGGAGAGAGATTTGGCTAGACATTTTTCATTTTCTGAGAGCGACGAAATCGATTGAAAGGATACCACCTCCGTAGTCAGAGTTCTCAGAGAGGCATCGTGGAGGTATACTGCCTCTGTGCATTGAGCCTAGTCTAATTAGGAGTTGAAATTCCCCACCAGATAGTGCGCGACATACCATTATTGACCGATGAGAACTGAGATGGCTGCGTGATATTTGTTTTCAACCTTGAAGAAAATCTACCCACCCAGGGGGTCATTCTCCCCCGCGGTGGGTCGATGTCATCTCAAGGGCGGAGTTACCGCCCGGAATATCAGGCTCAAATATCTACCGTATCGAGTCGATACGAAGACTTGCTAAATAATTCTATCAGTCCTGTACTCTGTTATTTCCTGGACAAGGTAGACGTACACAGATGTAAACTTCGGTTGACGTTAGTTCGCTATGGTATCCAATGGATGCACAGCAGACAATGGACTGACGAAATGTGTCACGTTTATCTGAAAAAGTTACACCTAATATAACAGATCCAGAAGTGATAATAGGTGACACGTAATTCCTTCCCAAATATCCAGGAATGTAACTTAGATCCCGCGACTGCCGCGACTCCACCCCCAGATTTGATCCCCGCATATACATACCCTGTAACCCAAGAGCACATGAAGCGAGGGGATGATCTCGAATCAGACATCAACATTATCACTTCTCCCCGGGCTGCCTAATCCGTCACTTCCGTGACCTCGTACTGCCATGTGGACCACCGCTATGGGACTTGTTTGATTTGCTCACGCTTTCGAATTCAAAGGGCAGGACAAGGATTGCGAGAAATGGCATTAATCCAGTTCAGGTCTACTTCTTTGTTTGTTTAATCTGGCACCCGAAGGGCTAAGATATCTTTGTCCCGCTGACTACTACGTCACCGTATTTAGCATTCCGCTAGGTAGAAAGCTGAGGGATTCGGGAGAGTCTGGGCATTTTGCCCGTGAGATGTGGCTTTGGTCATATTGAACGAAGACTGACCGCGGATTTCTTAATGTTATAGGATAAGACATAGTACTAGTACCCTTCTTGATCAACCTAGGTAGTGTTGCTTTGCATGGAATTTCGAGTCAGGCCTGACAAAGGAATTTGAATTTATAGATCTCATTTCATTTCATCATCTAGTAAAAGTAAATCGCTTCGACGATGTGGATTGAGAAGTCTACCACTGAGATTACTCCAGGCCACAAAGTAGAATGAACAGAACTATGTGTGGAATTCGGTCGTTGTATGGGAATCATTCAAAGTCAGGTCGCGTAATAGACATCAAACTTATGATCAAGCATATTTGATCAAGTAAACTCTATTGTAAGACACATAATGTCAAATAGTCTAGGGAGGGTTTAGTTTTTCAACCCTTCTTTCTTCTTTTGTATATTCTGAATTGTAGTGCCACTGTTGATCGACTTTTGCTGCTCGCGTTCGATTGCAAATTTAATGGCATCGTAGACATTGTCGCAAATTTTGCGAGGTGGGTAGCGAGGAATGGTTTTATCCTGCCAGACACCAGTTTTGACAAGGATTGAATACCAATCGATCTCACTTTTATTGTTGAATTCATTGGTTCCTCGAATATCCGACTCGGGGGGTGTCTCCGATGAAGTACACCGTTGAGGGAGGTTTATCAATGCCATGAGAGTCCTGGCGCCAGTCTTGGAGGAGCCGAGTGGCAAACTTGAAGGTGCTCATTTGGGGCTTTCCGAAAGCAAAGGTATTCAAATCCTTCCCCGTTATAGCATTGTACACGGCTTCCAGTGAAGCCTTCAAGGCACCCATGCCGATACGCGAGTGTTCATGGGATGTGGACCAAATCACATCACTGTGAGAAAAGAAGCATGGTGGGCCTTCGTTGAAGACCTCCGAGCGAGTGCCCAGCTTGCCTTCCACGGTCATGAGGATGTCCAGGATAATCTGCTGGTCTCCAGCCCAATCACGACTATCGGCAAAGACAAAAATCGCTTCAATTTGGGTATTTTCCAGATCGATCAGATGCGAATTCTCATTCTCTTCGTCTGTAAGTCTGCGCCAAGGCGTCGTATCGTTCCTTGTTTTGATGATATCTCCGGGGGTGATGACATTCTTGAATCCATAGCCCTCGGCGACGGCGCGACACTTTTCGCCCTCGCCACCAACGACTAGAACAGTGTTGTATTGTTCCGCCATTTCGCGCATGGGCGTATGGCCGCAAATGAATTGGCCAGGACAGATCTCCATTTCGAGTTGGCGACTGAGATCCGCGCATCGTTCCTCCTCGGACTTGCCGCCGCCGTTTGTAAGGAAAACGTATGGTCTGTTTCAATTGTAAGTTAATATTTACCGCTACCGAGCTGAAGTACGGGAAGCTAGTAAACTTACACTTTCACCCCGTACGGATTCTCGCCATTGATATACTTCATAGCCTCGACGGCCTCCGGGATGGGCTCGCCACCCCGAACCAAGACGCCATCAATGTCGAATGCGAACGCGAAGTCGCTGCTTGTTACCGTTGATGGTGTTGACAAGGGCGTGGTCACTTGGGAAGAGTCTCCCTCGTATGAAGAGGTGGTATCAGAGCTAACGGGGTCGGTCACCATTGTGTTGTTGAAGTTGAATTTAAAGTTGCAACTCGGGTCTGTTAAGTGTTTCGGAGGAGCTATGACGTTGGGGCCCCCATAAAGGTCGGCCCGATCGGCGTCTAGGCTTGAATCTCGGCGAAGCCTCTGGGACTCGAATGCATCGGCCGTAGGCATGTTGAAAGGGAGAAAGAAACAGGGAATAAGCGGGTCAATTAAAGCGGGTCTGGGGCACTGTGACGATCACCGCCAACGGAGTACAGTAGTACAATCGCTTCAATCCTGTTTCTAATGATAATGCCGGAGTTGTCCTTTCGCTACCCTAGAGTAGCTTTGGCGGTTCGATTAAGCCTCGTTTTTGGTGGCTGATGTGCAGACTGCTCGCAGGAGGTTTGAATAGATGGGCGCAAATCGTGACGAAAGTCAGTTAGACTGATGGAGCATGTGGGGGGTGTCAGGCCATTAATATAGCCTTCTAAGGCCAAGCGAGTCGTGTCGCAGAGGATCATACCGCTGGCTGCGTCCTGGTGGATCCACTCCATGTGTTCAGACCCCAGCGTCATTATCCGGATATTGACTCTCGAGGGACAACACCGTGCGTGTCTCTGTATGGTCCACAATACAGCGTGCCCTGGGTGCAAGAGAAAAGTGACGCTTGCGTCTCCAGGTGCGAGACTGTGGAGTAGAGTGCACCGAGTAGTAAATTAAGTTTATCTCATGAGGAGGGCAATGATGGGCCTCGCCGTAATCATTCCGAACCAGACTATAGTGTTACCATAGAGTGCTCACGATTCGGTTCACAAGGTACGCCAGGCCACTAGAGGGGCCCAAACATCACTCCTTTCCATCACTAACCCGTACAGAGTATCCCGAGTTTGTAGCGGTAACAAATCATGGAAGGCTGCCACGCCCCTTGACGTCATGCAGTCACGTTGGCTGACCTAAGCCTCAGGAACTAAAATATTGGATGAAATACTTTGTACTAGAGTTCGGATCAGTAATCCAGGGAGAAGCCAAGATCGAACTCCACCCAAAGAAAAGCATTAAGTGAACACCGTCTGAGTGGTTGACTATTGTGGTCGACGGCTCGAAGCGGCATGTGGCGTCGCTAACCAGAACACGAAATTTACCACCATTTCCGTCATTACAACCACCCACCGAATCTAGAATAATAGCCATTTGCAGATCACTAGGAGAATATCCACGGTCAATTTGAATCTAGTATATAGCAATTTTTGTTTAGAAGCCGACGGTGCAACGAATAGTAATACTGGCAGTGGGGAAACAGAGAGGAAGAAGACCTTCCTTCCCGCTATGTTTGCCTTGCTGTTTCGACCTACTAGTACGAGCCTGAACAATAGAAATTATGCTTAAATGCTGTTCAACAGCAGAAATAGTTCCATATAGTATCACAGTATATAAATGGCTTTGTACAAAAACAGAACAAATCTAATTTACAAGAGAAAGGGTAAATAAGGTGACAGGACAATAGAAAGGGATCTCAATCAACCCTCAGTATCAAATCAGTTCCTCTCTTCGACGGTGTCAAATTCCTTCCCGTTGGCGATACTCCCTGTGGCATACCTAGAGCCCTCTTCTTCGGACTGGACGGGTATAAAACCACACCAGGACATCTTTCAGATGGATAAGGTAGCTCCGATGATGTTTGTGGAGACGATGCATTGGTACGGCCACGCTGAAGCCAAAGGTCTTCTGGGCCCCAAGGTGCACTTCCCTCACTTGGTGGACGTGGGCGAGGGCTGCTCCCAATATGAACGCGTTTGATATCATCACCACGGACGATACGCGGCCGCGAGACAATCTCAGCCGAGGGCGCGAGTGTTGCGGTGCCTGGTGATGGTTTTCGAGCTATCGGGTCTGGCCTTCCCGGCGTTGTGAGGAGAGTATTTGATGTTGTGTCTTGAGAGCAGTCAGAGCTATAGTTCGGGGTGCCGCTGCTATTTGAGGTATAGGAGGCTCGTTGTGTGTTTTTGGGGTTATAGAGCGGTGCTGGAGTTCTTCCCCTGGGCTCGGGTTTTACACCGGGTGGGTATCGAGAGTGAGCGTCGTCGTGGGTATTTAGCCGGGGGCCTGCAGGGGCACGACGGAACCTATCTGCTGGGAAGCCATCTTTCAGAGCTCGAGGATTGGCCGGCAATCCTGCCATAAGGCGTGGAGACCCTGGTTTTTGAGTCATGTTGGGCTTTTTATATGCCGCTGCAACGATGCTGGGCATTTGATTCTCTTCCTCTTCTTCGAACAAGGTCTCTCCACTGGTTGGTCGGTGGCTCCATTTCAGAGGTTTGGGATATAGCCCAGGCCCCCGATTAGGTATGGTATCTGGGAATGGGGCTTGTGGTGTCTGTGATCGGGGTGAATCTGCCCAGTCCGAAGCAGAGCTAACAGCAAATCCTATACGTTCTCGCTTCCTTTGCGCGACCTGTTCCCAGGAAGAAGTAGTTGGGAAGGCCGCAAATGTTGGTGGATATTGCGATCCTGGTCGGAAGCTACGCTGAGGTTCTGAAATTTCTGGCTGCTTGTCGGAAGTGTTGAACGAAGACGGCCCAGGGCCAGGGCCAGGGCCAGGGCCAGGGCCAGGACCAGGGTCTGGTGTGGATCGTCGGGAAGATGTCTCTGAGAACCCAGGAGGCTCAGTCATGGTGCCTCCAATTTCAAAGAAATCCGAGTCCGGCTCGGAAGAGTTTCGTCGCTGTTGCCGCCATCGCTTGCACCAGAAAAATACGGCGACGGCGATTAAGAAAGATCCAGCCACGCCTGATGCAACCGAGACACCGATGACCGTTCCTGCGCTAACTCCGTGATGACCTCCATTGTCATTTGGCTCGGATGTATTGGTGGGCGTAGGCGACATTTGCGTCTGGCTGGGGCTTGAAGAGTGTTCCAAGCTGGTGGCTTTTGGCGTCGAGTCTAAATCGGGATCTGAGGTTGAGGTTGAGGTCAATTTCGGCTCTGATGTTGTAGTCGTTGGATCAAATGTAGTGATTCCTGGGGCTTCGCCCGCGGTAATTGAGGTTGGGTTATCTTTATTCGTTATTTTTGTCGTTGGTTGGGTCTTTGTGGTGGTCTTTTTAGGGAACGTGGTTGCTGTGATCGTGGCATGAGTTTCTGAGATAGCACCGGACACCGAGTCACAGATTCGATAGGCATTGGCGTCCTTCATAGTCTTGTCATCGCACAGGGCATATGTACAGCTCAAAGCCGCCTCTCCCAATGTCAGCCCACTGGGAGTTTTGTGCCGACATAGACATTTTATATTTGTCGAGTCCGGGCATTCGCTCTCCGTATATTGCGCATCGATGAAGTTGCTCACGCAAGTTCGGGCGCAGTCCGGAACCATGTCCCAAAGTGAAGAGTCATCGCTTGCGGTATTCGAATTATCTGCCGAGACCAAGGCGACTGAAAGAACGCCCACGAGGAGGATGTAGATTAAATGGACGATCATGCTGTGGCGACTCTGCACTTACTTGTAAGCAATGAATAGATGATGAATTTGCCAGTGCTGCTTCGCAAGGAGCGTACCTCTACTGATAATACATGGGGGTGACTACCCTCGAATCCATATGTTCTTCGAGGTTACCATCATCGGCCAATGCGTGTATGTAGTTGTTCGAGAACGATTCGATTCAGTCTTTCGAAAATTGGCCAAAGGTATGATGACACCAAGAAGTCAAAGAGATTAGAAAAGAGAAGAAAAGCCACCTGCCCATTCCAAGAGCGGCCATGGCTTGATTAAAACCAAAACACCAAAACTTCGCGCATCGCGAATTTACGCGCGAGGCAACATAACCTCGCTATGACGCTGATCTACTGCCCGAGGGACCAAACAGATTGGGTTCGACGTGGTTCTGAAACACAGATGATGAGGCGGAGCACCTGTAGGCGCCCCGGTGAAACGAAATGACATCGGCCCCTTAGCTCTTGTTGAATTTTGGCGAATGATGAGGGAGGTGAAGCGCTGTGCTCTTTGGGTGCTGGTTGGATGGTGCAGCTGTAAGCGCCGAGGGGTACGCGCCAGGGCACAATGAGGGCGCTTCCAGGTCAGCGCGAATGAGCCAAAACGGGGGAATGGTGTTTCAGGATTCCTCAAACATCTTTTAATCGATCGATCATGCTCTACTAATCATTTTGGGGGCTAGAAATTGCGGCGAAAGATTGAATTGAACGCATTTAGATCGGGCCAAGATCTTCCCTGTTTTTGAATCACCCGAGACTTTTAGAAAGCGCCAGAGCCTCTTGAAATGGAACAGGGGACATTTTCTAAAACCTAACGAGCTGTGTAGTCCTGTCAGCATGAAGTATGAACGATCCATCTCATGCATGGGGGGGGCTGCGTTTTTCTGGGGCAGGATGTTGTAGATGGCAAATTCCCTAGCCGTCTCATCCGATAGGATCGCCCGCCACTAGGATGCTTCGCAGTCTCCACAGAGCTTCATGTCGCCTATCAACTAATACGTACTACCCTACTATCGGACTTCCGAGGAAATATGCAGTGAAGCGATATTCGAACAATTGCCATTCCCATCGTAAAAATAACTAGCGCGCGCGGATTAGACGCGAGACAAACCCGCGGGTCCTTAACACTATGAGGAGGTATCACTTGACATAAAAAAAAGAAAAAAACAGAACTCGTGAGATGGAAAGCAAAGAACATCGAACAAAGAAATACAAAGGAGATTCCGACGATATGCAACATCGCCCGAAATTAGGGAAATTATGGACATCTTCGATGCCAAGTATTGGGGGGTGAATAGCTGCACAAGGTTAGGCGAACCCGGACCTTTGCGGAAGCATGTTGGCGCCGGCACTCGAAGGAATCCGCTCCGTTACACTCGTGACCCGAATCAGACATGGCAAGCAAGAGAGTAAGTGGGCTTGTTGAGCAAGGTTATCTTTCCCTGCCGGGAGGGTCGGAAAGAGCTCATTCGAAGGGCGGCGACGCGGGATTGTCAGAATGAACGGGGTCGCTAGTATTTGAAGATAATGTACCTAAGGGATAGGGTTAGCGAGCTGCGATCCAGGGGGAATGGGGAATGACGATGATCTCCAATGAGGAGAAAAAGTGGAGTACATACAGAGCGTGGATAATACCAGGGACCCAACCCAGAATGGTCAAACAGACGTTGATCAGCAGGTCGGCACCACAGCCGCGCTCCAGGAAGACACCCAGAGGGGGCAGGATGATGGCAAAGATGATTTTGCAGATATCACTACGGAGAGTCAGCAATGGTGATCATAGTCATATGGTCTGATTGGAAGTGTGACGAGTGCAGTCAGATCACCCAAGCTAACCTCCTACTCGGGAAAATGCAAAAAAGGGTGCACGGAGAGAAAAGAGGATGGGGACTCACGAAGCGGTAAAAGGCATGATGGCGGTTGTTTTCCTAGGAATCGGGAAATCGAGAGGGAGAGAGATCGAGATCGAGAGGGAGAGGGAAAGGGAGAGTCAGAATCAAGAGAAGAGTGGGAACAAGGCAGGTGCAGCAGACTGGCTCTTTTAAAAGGCAGGGAAGGAGCTCCCGACTGTGTTGCGTCATTGACCGCCACCCTGTGGCTCAGTTTGATGTACCTGCCACAGTTACCTGTGATTGGCAGATGAACCCTAGGGTACTGCAAATCTGGCTGCCTGTGGCTGTGCTACTTCTCTTGGCACTGATTGCCCTATGGAGTACCCTATGGAGTACTTTCACTTTCACTTTCACTTTCTGTGTAATTGCGATGAGCGCTGGGTTCCTGGTTGACAGTCATCACATCTTTCAACCATTGTCAACCCTCCTTTTCCTCCAGGATTATCACTGCAGGATCTGCTGCAAGCTGCAGCCATCCCCAATCATTCCCGGTCTCGGCCCTGGATCTTCATTCCCAACCGCCCTATCCCAACCGCCCGTTTCCTCGTTGCCTGGCAAGAAGCTTGGCATTGGCCTAACGTGGCTGGGAACTCGGTTCGGTGTGACACCAATTTGCTTCAGAAAGATCTCCAGATACATGCATAGCATGATACTTTACTTCCCGTACGGAGTACATTCTACTCAAAGTCATCTGAGGAGGGTCCAGGTACCGGGTCTTCCTCATGACTATGTACTCCATACATGATTATACATACTGTACAACTCCGTACACCGTACGTAAATATGTACTAGCCCGGAATCCTTGATTCCTTGCGACTCTCGGGAGAACACACTCGTCACTGTGGCGCTTGCTCAACGACCAGCCCTACACGCCCTATCCCCTTGCCTCCCCCCACTTGCCAAGGTGATGCCCAGTCCTCCTGATACCATTGGTCACTCATGACTTCACTCATCGCTTGGCTAGTTCGAGTCCTGTCCTCGTGCGACATTCGTTGTGGCTGAATTTTAATTTCGCAAAGCAGGTTCCTGTACTCCGTACATTTCGCTACTGACGCAAGTTGAGTGACCTGAAGAATCTCGGTCTCGGAATCGGCTTTCTAATTTTGGGTTGGGGGCGCAACAAACTCACGCCTACCCCGTAAATAAAACTACCTAGGTCGAAAGGGGATTGTGTTCTTGATTTAGAATCTGAACTTGTCCGCCTATTTAGTATGCGTCCAGCTGCGGGTTGAAATCAACGTCCTCCAGTAATGAGCTCCATTGTGGAACGTCCAGCTCCGGCGCAACAGCCACAAATTCCGACCAGAGCTGCTCCCAACCTTCCTGGTCCAAGTCATTAACCATGCCGAGGTCTAACCCTTCATCCACCGCCATCGTGGAGCCAGGCTGTACACTGATCCCGTCTCCACCACCCTCGTGAGTTGTCGACGATTCGCCAAGTCGGGCGGGCGCTTGGCCTGTCTCGGCGAATATACCACTTTGCACAACACTGGACCCTGCGCCAGAAGTCTGTGGCCGAGTTTTGTGGAGGGTCGACATGAGCGTCTGCAAATTCTTCTGGATTCCTTCCATGAGATAATTTGATTCTTGCTTCGACTTCTCCAATGTCTGATACGCCGCGAGTACTTTTGTTTTGCGAGACTCGGCATCGGGTGCGTGGGGGTTGAACGAAACGTCCATGGCCAGAATTAGCGCCGCGAAAAACACATGGTGCATGACAGTCCAGAAACGCGATGGGCTGAGTCCAATACCAACTGCAATTTCGTCCATCGAGCGTCGCAGCTCCAGGACTTTCTGCGCGGATCGAATACAACTTTTGTGAGAGTAGGCGTATTTCGGATTTGTTATACCTTCAAGATGATATGGCCTGTGGAGTCGACAGAGGCGCGTATGGAGACTGAAATGAATACTGACCCGTTGCCAGGCAATGTATGGTCGTTCCTGACATATTTGTCGGCTTTGCTCGATGCTAGCCGTATCAAGCTTGAAGAAGAAGGGGAGATCGTCCATATGCTTCTGGTACTTGGCATCTAGCTCCAAGATGGTCTCATAATCACACTCCTGGGAGTCCAACATAATGGACGGCAAGGCATCAATAACATCACGGCAAAGTTCAGATCCCTGGACTCGGGCAAAAAATGCCGACATGGCCGTGGGAACAGACAAGGGGAATTCCTGCTGAACTCCCGATGCCGTTATTAATTCATCATCCGTATTGCTGGGTAGGTTCACGTTCATATGCTTAGACTGGAAAGTGTATGCACCCTCTTGGGGATCACCGGAGAATGAGAGAAGCCTTTCGGGGTCAGCGTGGTTGCAATGGCTGGATTCTATGAATGGTGACTTACCAGTCAGACGCAACCATATTCCACCAAACGCGCCTCTGAACCTCAACATCTATCATATTGCATCCTTCAATCCGTCGCTCTTCGCGAGCTCTAACGGTATCTAAACGATGTATTTGCAGATCTCGCGACATTAACAAACACCGGTGTCGAATGAGATGAACTTTGATCGGGAACCCATCGGTATTCATGAGCAAATGTCCGAGGATTCCCATGCCAACAAGAGATGTAGTGGATGGTTGAATTATTTGATCGGGATGTTCAAGTATTGCAAGTGCAGTGCGGGCATAAGCCATGAAAGCCGCCTTCACCCCGGCCTTCGTAGTAGTCATTTTTTCAAGAAGTCGAGGCGTCCAAATGAGTGCCGAGCCGGCAAAAATGCTAAAGACTAACAGTAAGTTAGATGCCGGGGGCTCTTCGCCTTCGAGCATGCATTGGTAGGTTTTCTCCATTAGTGTTCGTGCAGTGGGGATGTGCAAAACTCCAAAGGTCGGCTGCAATGTGGTTGCGAAGTGGTCAAATAATTCATTGGCTTGATGGAAAGGAGGCAGTCGTCTTGTTATATGATATATGCTCAGGCCTCGTTCTTCTGTATTCCAAGTAGAGAGTAGATGAGCACTGAAAGGAGTGACATAGTGGGAGCCAAAAGTCTAAAACAGGTGTCAATATTTTGCAATGTTGATGGTTTAAAAGTGCCAGGAATCATACCAGGTTTTCTGTAACTCCAACTGAAGCTGGATTTTGATGAGTGTTGAAGAACTCTTGAGCTGTACTTGGTCTTCTGGAAACTGATTCTTCCAGCCTGCAGATTCGATATAGGAGTTCGTCGGAATTACTTGAGAAATCAGCGAACAGAATCACGGGATCTACCAATAGGTGCAAAGAACTTACTGGGCAGAGGGCTTCAATTGAGGTATATGCTCTTCTGTATGGTTGATCTCACAAGAAGTGGACCTTTGCGGTGCATCTGAACAAACCGCCGCATGTGAACGGGGCCTGGAGTATTCGCATGGAATGCGCCTTTGGACACAATTGGAACATGGCTGAGCACGGTCACACCGACGTTTCTTCTCACGGCATGCAAAGCATGATAAAGTTGGTTGAGACCATCTACTAACCGTCGTGATTGGGTTACCTTTATTGTCACGCTTCATTTTGTTGGCAGCATGGACAACCGCGGACGTCCGCGGAGGGTCAGCTTATATAGTATCAAAGGGCCCCCACTCAGTTCCAGAGAGCTTGTTGGAGACCCAATTGTGAGTACTGAAAATCAAAGCGTGATAATTGGCTTCACGCGAAGACATCCATTCAGATGTGAAGACAAAACATAAATGAAGCTGCGCCATCCGCGGAGGTCCGCGGACTAGCCTGCCTAATTAGGTTAGATCATATGTATTACAGTACACGTATATTACCTAAGTCTACATATATAGTGTATATGTATTACCTACAAATTTACCCTCTCGAATTCCAGCCGCGCAGCGATTGTCCTCAACTCACAGCGCCCGCCACGTTCACTTTCAGTAATGTCCTATTGCCGGTGATATTTGGCATGCTATAACAATAGACATGCCTTTCCGATCAAATCCGGTGACACTGCGCCTGGCGTGCAGCTCACCCCAAGCTCTGTCAAGGTCAATTTGCGCGAACAGATGGATTGCGACAAAGAGCTTCGGTGACGCGCCTTTCGCCCATACCTGGCTCACAAAAAAACCAGAAACAATTGTACGCTAATCAAATTCTGTCTTCTTGGAAAAATCTAATCATCGAGTAAAGACGGTAGATGATATCCTGTCAAGCCTTTCTTCCTCGCCCGCCAAAGACACCACTCCCCTCCTCCTTGTTACTCCCAAATTCGCACACTGGCTCGACCCGACCGATGAATTCCTCCCGAAACTACTTGGTCGATTGTATACCGGCTCGGATCCCATATATGCCGTTGCAGCTATCGTCGACAAACTCCCAAACACATCCGCATTTCCCACCGCGCCCTCTCAAACAAGCGCCGCTTTTGAAGGCGCAGAGCCTGAAGGACTGTCTCTACTTGTTGTACCGCAGCTCAATGTACAAGGGAAAGCTGCACCTCCTCGTCGCTTTGGGGGGCCTGCATTGGAGGAGGCTGATCTTGGAATTTCGGTAGACGCCGCCGATCTCTCAACTCATCAAATTGGTCTGCGACTTGCCCATACCATATTCGTCAACGGCAAGGAATCGACGCTGTTTGGAATGCGCTGGACTTGGGATAAAACTGTTGGAGATAATGGTGCATTCGCCTTGAACGACTCTATAGATTTGACAAACTGTATTGTCAGGTCTTCGTCATCCGTTGCCGACGTTCAATCTACACTGACATTGCCGCTTCATCCTGTGGGTCAGCGACGGAAAGTCATCTCAAGCATGGGTAACATCTTGCGACAAGTATCGAAATCCACAGACCCGGATTCGGTTGCACCTATGCCCGCCTCAACCGAGTTAGAGAAGGAGCTCCCTCGCTATATCTCTGAGAATAACATCGTCGACCAAAGAGTCTCTGTATGGGCTTTGATTGAGAAACCCACGGCGACTGTCTCATGCTCGCAACATGGCCTTTTAGAATCTGTTTCTCACGGGGGCAAATTACATCGAGTCATAAGCGGCGGAGGTGGATGGGGAAAGAAACAGGGACTGCTTTCTCTAGATCCAGAAATCGCCTTTCCTGGCACCGCTGGTAAGGTGGAGCTTGATCATTTAGATGATCTCTTCAGTCACAACACAAGCAAGGTGTCAGACCTGCCGCCGGCTTTCCTAGATAGTTTTGTTGGAGATGATCTCTCAATACTGTCGCAAGTCGCAACGGAAGGCGACTTCATCCAATTCTACGTGTCGACGGAATCAACACCTTCTCCCCAGAATGAGACGAGGCAGAACAACGCGCCTCCAGACGCAATCTCTTACTGTTTTGGAATAGTGTCTGATGCCGAGCAGCTTGATACGCAATCAAACGAGATTCAAGCTCTTACCTCGCTCCCAAATACCTTCGGAGCACTCTCCGAGAAAGGGATCACCTATTCTCGGTCTCTGCCTATGGACGAAGACCAGCAGGAGACAATGAAATGGGCGTCTGGTCTCAATACGAAACTCGATATACCGGGATGTCAGGTCATTCTCAGCCCCGCAGTAGACTCTGAGTGAGACTCTGCCAGGAAAATGTATATTTAATTAGGAAAACCCAACTGTACAACAAAGATAACAACAGACGATTTGAAGTCCAAATGACCCCTTCGTCGCTTATGACTTGATATGATTGATCTCTCTATACACTGTAATACCACCGAGGAGATAACTTGAATACTCCATTTTCTTAGCTAGAATACAGAGTTGAGCCATTTTGTGATGATACTCTAGAAGAAACGGCAAAGGTGATGTATAGAATGGGTGGGGTGCCAACCTGGGAAAACACGTGACTACGGACCGGCGTGGCCTCTGACTGACCTCGTAGCACTCTCCATCCTCCCCGATTACCGCATCCTCCTCCTTCACGGCTTGAGCTTGCACCAACCGGGTCTTCTACCATCAATCTTAAGCTTCGAGCTTTTCTTGATCACCTTTTTGGGTCACTTGCTCCGTCAAAATGGCCACTGAACTCTGGTGAGTCGTCCTGGAGACGCCTTCAGCCCCCTGGGTTGCTTGACAGCTATCGAACCCCGGCCCGCCGTCGCATCTGTCAAGGAATTGCTTGCAATCGTGAATTATAGCTAACATGAACTTCAAAACAGCCCCGTCTATGCGGTGAGTCTATCTCCCTCGATAGGCATCCTTGTTCCCGTTCCCGTCTACACCCCCGTGTTCCAGCCCCCCGATCCCCAATCATAATCACACTTGTCGAATTCGTCTTGGCCCGATGACTGACGTCTCCTCTCTCTAGCCCTTCTTCGGTGCGCTGGGCTGCACGTCCGCCATCGTCTTCACCTGCTTCGGCGCCGCCTATGGCACTGCTAAGGCTGGTGTCGGTGTTTGCAGCATGGCTGTCCTCCGCCCCGACCTGATCGTTAAGAGTACGTCGACCTCAGAAACTGAAGCATCGGCTCAGGGCAATGCTTCTCTTTTCTCTGAACAGCAGTTTACTAATTCGCTACAGACATTGTCCCCATTGTCATGGCTGGTATCATTGGTATCTACGGTCTGGTCGTGTCCGTCCTGGTCGCCAACGACCTGACCCAGAAGCTCCCTCTGTACACTGGGTTCATTCAACTCGGTGCTGGTCTCGCTGTCGGTCTGGCCGGTCTTGCTGCTGGGTATGTATACCTTTCTCGGGTCTTCCGGGTCTCTGGCTCGTTTATGCGCTAACATCATCCAGCTTCGCTATTGGTATTGTCGGTGATGCTGGTGTGCGAGGAACTGCTCAGCAACCTCGCCTTTACGTCGGAATGATTCTGATTCTCATTTTCGCTGAAGTCTTGGGTAAGCTTGTGCCTCGGCGTCTAGTCCTTGCCGTATCATTCTAACTCGTCTCTCTCCTCAACACAGGTCTTTACGGCTTGATTGTCGCTCTGCTCATGAATTCCCGCTCAAAGGCCGTCTGCTAAGCAATAAGCGTATTGTCGCGCTCGGAAATTGGACCAATTGGACCCTATACCTTTCCACCGTTTGGGATACGGGTTTACATACTTCGTTTTTCCGGCGTGCCTTTCCTCAACACCCCGACACAAATAAAGCACGTCTTCCTCAATGCCGTGTCGGGACCGAGGAAGGAATGTGATGCAGAAAAGGAAAAGATTTCGGCTATGATAAATTCATTTTGTTTTGTGAAAGGGATATCTTCTCTTTGATCAAATGTGGTATGTAGAGATCCGGGAACAACAAGCATCTGGACCCGGAATAGGTGGAATGAGTTGGTAGATATCGGATTTGCTTATATTTGCATGAATGCGCGCTGGATATTGTACTTTACTTTTTATGGGGTCTTGCTGATCTGAGATCGGATCTCCTCCCCCTTCTTCTCCTTTGGTGACAATTGCGAGGTTTCTCGCTTGTCCCGTTGTTACCCTCCCTCTATTTTGACCTCTCGGTTTCGTTCTTTCATGTGTCTTTTCTTTGGTTTGTCGGGTTTTTGTGTACTTGATATGTGATCGTAACCCTAAATTTGTGCATTACGTATCAATTTCCCATGAACAATCCAGTCTACTGCTACTGTAGAAGAATGGTAACCACCTGGGTGCCCACTTGAAGAACTACTGAAGATACTACTAGTACTGGTTTCAGGTTTTGTCTTATCTTCAATACGAAGAAAGCGCCATGGCAAAAGATTTTCAATCATCCAGATTGAGAGTTCGAAGCCAAGCCATTACTCTTGTCAAAAAGTCTTCATTGTCGTTCTAGCTACCTGTAGAGCGGTAGGATATAAGCCGACTAGAACAGCAAATAGCCGTTCAACAAAAATCAAGACAGATCTATCGAGTATTCCGCGATGGATGCAGGCCAGCAGAATGCCCACACATTGGAAAAGCAACCATTGCACCGAAAAGGCCAAAACCAGAGATGGGGCGATGATTGGATATTTGGATAGAGTATGTAGGGTGGAAGAGGAGAGGAAACGAACAAGAAATCAGAAGAGAGAGAGAGAGAGAGAGAGAGAGAAAAAGAAAAAGTGAAATGTACGAAGTAACACAAAAAGCAGGATATATGCCTTGGGCGAATAAGACAATACTACACCTCAACCCAAAGATGCAAGACGCAAGCCAGATATGCATCAAAGAGACCCATATAGGAGAATTAGGAAAGCAGAGAAGTAGAAAAGTGACTAAGGGCGAGTCTAAGCCTTGTCGAGCTTGCGTCTAAGAGTGCGTGTCCTCCGCATAAGCTTCTTGAACTTGTGCTTCTTCATCTTGACCTTGCGGCGTCGCTTAGTGCTGATGGCATGCATGGAGTTGTTGTGGCGAAGGCGCTCAACATAGGTCATGCCAGCGGTGTCGCTCGGTGCGTCGATTGTGAGACCCTCGTGTTCACCAGCGGGTGCCTCCATGTCACCCCGGACGAAAGGACCAGTGGATGCTTCGTAGGTCTTGCGACCGTCAGCAGAGCGAGACTCCCGAATGGTCAGAACAGTCGAATATGTAGAAAGTTCCTCCTGGTTCTCTGCTTCGTAGGCCTCCATAGACTCAACGTTGGCGTTCATATCCATAGGGACCGGAGCCGGGGGCGGGTGGAATGGACGAAGACGACGAGTGTACTCCTCCACGGTCATCTTGGGCTCCGGGCCATCGAGCATACGGAGCTCACCATCGGCATCGCTTGTGAAGCTGCGCTGGAGCTGGCCGAATTGGTCCTCCGATTCCATACCGTGCGCCATGCTCTCCATCGACTGGGCGGTGTTGGAAAGAGTGAAGATGACGTCCTCCGGGTCATTCTTCATGAACTTCCTCGTAGAAAAGAGAGCATCGAAAGCTTCGGAAGACGAGGTCGGGGGAACCGTAGTGGTCACGGAGATAGGCCGATGGATAGAGAAGAAAGAAGCGACGTGGACATCTGCCGGGAAACAAGAGTGAGTAAGAATATAGTGATTACTTATTTTGCTCAAGGAACATACCGTGTGGCTGTCTGTGTTGTGTAGAAGGGACGCTCGGAAGGTTCGAAAATGCCGCATCCTGCTGGCCGTTCTTCGAGGCGTTGCGAGCGCCATTTTCCTTTCCACGGCGGCGGGAAACCTTGCCCTTCTCACCAGTAGAGTTCACATTCTTCGCCGGAGTGGAGGTGTCCATGCGCCGAGGCCCATCGCTGGGCGGAACTGGAGGTTTGGAGGAAGACGAAGAGTAGCGGCGCTGGTGCATTCGGCGGGTGGCACCAAGGAGGCCGGCTGAGGGCACAGTTTGGGCGGAACGAGCTATGCCAGACAAAGGCGTCCAAGCAGCCCGACTTAATGATGTCGACAACATGATTGACGTGAGACCCAGCAACTGGGAAGACAGTGACGGTGAGTCTGAATCGGAGGCGAAATCGTCGGGTCGGAAGTCGGCGCCTCTGATCATGCGGATCTTATGTAATATAGACACCTGAGGCATACAGCATCACCACGTGCGGAACACTTGATCGGCATCTCCTTCATCTTGACCATGTTGGAAGAGACAATGGTGATAATATCATTACCATGGAAGAGATTATGTAGAAATTTTTATTTGGGAAAAGGCAGTTACAGATATATGCAGTGGTAGGAGAGTTAATTCAACGGACTAGAGTAGGAGAGCGTACAGTGTGTAGTACAGTAAATCACCAAGCCGATCGTACCAATAAGGAGATACAAGTATAGACTTGATAAGTCATTCCAAGATAAAGAAAAATGGAAGGAAAATGTGATAATACAGACGCATCATTAGATAAATCAAATCCGCAGAGACAAAACAAATGGTATCATCCCGTGGGGTCGAGTACAGAGAGAAAGAAAAAAAAAATAGGACCGTCGCTGGAAATCGAAGCGTGGCATGAGCTAACGAAATCGAATGGGCTTTTGAATGCAACGTAACAGACCCAAGGATGTAGCAGAAAGCCAGCTACTCCTCTATCAAGACGCCTCATGAAAGTAAAGAATGGAAAAAGAAAGATATGGTATGACAAGATCGCGGGGACCAGAAGGACAATTGGAGCCGCCGGAGAATGCAACACAGAAAAGGGTAGGCTAGAGAGCTCGACTGAAAGGAAGGAATCGACTTCGTGGCAAACAATGGTATCATGAAGGCCACAGAGGGCGTGGAGATTGGGGCCTTATAGTATGAGAGTGTGGAGGTTCTTCTGAATGATCATGTCCTGGACAGAGTCCATGGTGACCTTCAATAGCTGAGTGTCGGTAGCGTTGGTCTTATGAATGTAGATTTCACGATCAGGAATTCGGTTGATTCCGCGGAATCGTTCGGAAAAGTATCGGTAGGCGGCCTCGAAGTCGGTGTCGGGACCCGTGTAGTCAGGGAAATGTTTTGAGATCGAGGAGATGGCTAGTTTGTCTTTGAACAAATCCATCTTGTTTAAGAAGAGAATGATGGGCTTGCGCTTGAACCACTCGCCATTGACAAGTGACTCAAACAGCATCATGGCCTCGTGCATTTGGTTCTGCGGGGGGGGGATTAGCAGCTGCGGTAGGTGAAAATGGCTCAGGAAAGGCATGACATACAGCATTTTGGTCCTCAACTAGACATTGGTCATAACCGGAAAGAGCCACCATGAAAAGAAGACATTGAACGCCTTCAAAGCAATGGATCCACTTCTTTCGCTCCGACCGTTGTCCGCCCACGTCCATCATGCGGAAGTTCATCTGCCCAAGTTCAAACAATGTTTCTGTAATTCCCGTTGTCCGAAGTCGTGCTTGCAGCATATCCTGGTTGTCGGGAAGCCATCCCGGGGTGAATATTCGGTCCAAGGACTCATAGAAGCTAGGGATATTTATTAGTATCTCGCCGTTGTGGTGGGTGCTTCGGAGACAACTTACTAAACCAAGTTATCATGTAGCGCGAACTCATGTCCACGTGCAACGGCTTTCTGCACTCCGGAGTCTTTCCACATTCCTCTCATAGCATCTCGAATCTTCAGATTAGAGAAAGCCTCATCTGATCCTACATCCGCTTCTGTACTATCCAGTAGATCCGCCAATGACTATCAATGATTGTGAGCAAACTGCATAAAGAAAATGAATAGGGCATGTGGGATAGAATACCTTTGTGTCATCGTTGTCGAACTTGATGTTTTCAGAGTTCATGATATCCAAAAGGACCTTAAACGCGATTACAATATTGGAGTAAATGACGGCTCGTGTTTGGTGACGCTCCTCCTCCGGGAAGCCTCGGCTGTGAATGATGCGCATCTGCTTGATAATGGTCGACTTTCCAGACTCTCCAGCACCTGGTTCTCTTGTCAGCAACCACTTTTGCCATGCGGCAGGTGTTGTCGACCGCCATATGTCACTTACCTAGTAGCAATATCTTGATCGTACGATCCATCGTCTTCTTGTCGTTTTTGAGGTTCCGGTCAATGCGAGCATTTTGCTGGAAAGCCTCTCTATCCGCCTCAGCCGGCTTAGAATTGATGCAGCCCATGCTTCAGGAACTAAATGAAAATGGTCCGGTTAGTATAACGATTATCAACAACGCTGAAGAACATGAAGAAATTGTAGAACAGGAGGTGATAACGGCGCCGAGTCGAGTCGAGTCGATCTGAATCAGGGATGCGACGGGAATGCGCGGCCGCAGCTCGCACTCAGAGACATTAGGACCCGGCTAGGAGATGACCGCGATCGCGCTGGGAGACATAAAGGGGGATGTCCTACCCAAAAGGATATACCCTTGTCCGAGCTTAAACCCAGGGTGAGACAGCAAATCAACGGCTGTGAGTTCGAGTATTCCGGGCGATCGTGGGAGCTTCGATCAGTTCGTTCCCCACACCCAAGCCAGGCACGTTGTGTTGTGAATTGCGCCGCCGAGTTTGCAATTGGGCGAAAATTATCCTCCGGGGCCACCTTGGGATCACCGAGTCCGTTAACGTGGCGAGTGCGACGTCGGTTTGTAGATCGATTCGAAGGGAGAGGGAGGGGTGAAGGGAGTACGAGTAGAGGCGAGGCGAGGCTAGCTCGGCGCGCGGTTGCGGGCGTGACTTTTGGATGCGGGAGAGGCCCAGACTTTCGAGTCGCGGGGGTAATGCAAAAGTCTATTGGGGAGTGAATTGGATCCTTTGAAGTCGTTGGTTTCGGGATCTTCCAGGGCCCGGGTGTCGCCTAACGAAAAGAGCGAAGGGAGAGGGAGCTCCAACAACAGGAGAATGGGATCGCCACAGAGAGGCCGAAGAGTCCCACGAACGAGAAGGATCGAAGGACTGCGAATTGGGGAAAGAAAAAGAGAGAAAGGAAAGGAGTTAGAGAGAAGAAGCGAAGCATCAGCGAGACCGGTAGTACATCTCTGCCGTCCCACAAGAGAAGGGAAAGCCCACAAGCGGGGGGGAGAAAGGCCGTGACTACTCGTAATCGCGCGATGGGGGTTTATCCTCAGTTCCGAGCCGCTTCAATGCGGAGGATAGTTTTAGTCTACTTTCCCCCTCCAAAAAAAGAAAACATTCAATCCTCTGACCTTTAGAATTGGAATGTGGCTTACAGGAGGTACTTTTTTCATCCCCTCAATTTATCTACATTTTCTGGCTTTTGGTCTCTTTCTCTCTGGAGAGACAGAAAGGGTGTCGTACAGTACTCACAGTACACCCAGCAGACACGCTAAGAAGATCCACCAGGGAAATGGATCCGACCCCTGTTTTGATTTGCCTAAATAATACAACGATCAGATACTCCCGTACGGAGTACAGAGCACAATGCCCTCGAACGGTGGACATTCCGTCAAGCTGGTGCATCTGCACCTCGATGGAGAACCCCCTGATTCTCACACATGTCGACGTACGAGTATGTACATATGTACGAGTACTTCGTACATTAGGTATGTAGTAGTTACATTACTTACTTACATACCAGTTCACATCCTCCCACGCGCAAAGAAGGATTCTCGAATTCGGTGAATCGTGGCCCTTCAGGCTTGACGCAGGGGCTGAGGATCCGACTGACCTACCTCCGGCGCTATTGAAGTCGCCTCGGGGCGTCCCTTGCAATGGAGCCAATCAGAATGCTATCGCACTCTTGCTATTGAAGCTCAGACTCCTTGCATCTAGCCCTGTACAAGTACCTGCAGAGACTACCTCCAATCGTCAACATCGAGTCCAATCTTGGTACTCCCGTCCCTGACCCGGTTGTTCTCGGAAGGGTAATGTGTATGATGGGCCACGGTGGGGAATTTTCGATGGTTCTTCGCTGCGTGCCAAGCCGCCATGCGGTATGCGTGCTGCAGCGATCGGCATGAATTCACTGAAACCGCGCGGGCGGTGCGTATCACCAAACGCAGGGATTTTTCTGAAACGTCGGGGGAATCCTGTCCCTGCGCACCGCTGAGCCCACATGCTTTGACCACCTTTAGGCCCTCCTATCCGTCTTGTGTCTAGCTCCCCACACAAAAAGGTATCTGCTCCGGCCATCACTCCATCCTTCTTCGTCATGGGCGATCTCCTTGAATTATGTACTGTACGTTATTTACGGAGTACCCCTGACCTTGTACAGTACATCTGGAGTACAGAAGAACTCAAAATCGTCTCCATCGATCCCACTTATTCGTAAGCTATGTATACTTACTGCCGAGGTTCCAGCGGCTGAGTATCTTGATTTAGTCTCGCTACGAAGTACATATTCTGCTACTCCGTACACTACGAGTAGAAAGCTCTACCGAAATGGGTCGGAGACCCCGTAGCGGAGCGTCTTTTGCCCGACTACCCAATATGTATTTTTTTTGAAGACGGCCCCCGCTGCCAGGCGTGATCCATCCAGTACTGCAAGTTAAGTTCGTCGATACGTTGGTGGAGCATGTCATAGACGGCAACTCCACACCACAAAAGCCTCGCCATTGCTAGATTTTTGATTTGTACGCCATGCGAGCTAGCTCTCGGTTCCAAAGAAAATCCGAGTCCCTTCTTGTATCCGTACTCCGTACAAGCTTCGGAAACACAAAGCCATGTGCTTAAGGGACCCAGTGGCCAGGTGGAGCACCGTTCTATCTCTTTTTTTCTCTGGCTCGATCGCGTGGTAAGCCGTATCTGCACCCCACAATACCACGAGTTGTTTACCATGTGGCCCGTACGACCCGCACTCGAGGCTCGTGGCCCCCTCTTCGGTTGGTCATTTCCGGTTTTATGAAAAAAAAAAAAAAAGGTCAGCAAGATATGGAAATCTGCCGTCTTGCTCCGGAGTACTACTCGTAAGGCAGGCGTGATCCTTTGTAAACCATGCTGTGGATACCAGATGTGCCTATCAGAGGAATTGGCCGACTTTGATTTCAGATGGCCGATTGGCGAGCAAATTTTCTCCGAGCCTAGCCATCAAGTTGGTCGAAATCAGGTGGTTGGGCGTCGATATTACGGAGTATACCTAGAAGAAGGTATGGAGTAGATACGAGTATGTATAAGTCAGAAATCAAATAGGGCGAACCGTTATGGCTGAAACTTGGCACGCGGGGTGGAACTATGATACCGTTCGATCTGAATTTATTAAATATACATTCACGGGTGGCTCACCTGGGCAAAATACCTAGGTATAGTATATAAACTTCCACAAGTTGAACCTTAGTCTAACATTTACGGCTAAACAAAACATGAAAACTATAACTTGAAGCCCTCCCACCTGCAGTCTTCTAAAATAGGACACGAGATTAAGGACCTGTCAATTTTCGAACCTGATAGATATGATGTATCTTTCTTCAACCTTAGAAGATCATGACAGCCCGGAGTTCAAGTTGGCAAAGTAACTCACCAGTCATGATGGCCAGTCCATCATGCAATCCTCCGGGGCTTCATTTTAATGTCGATCGCCAGCCTTTAACTTCGCCTAATAGACCACACTGTGTCAATTGATGCGCAATTTTGATGCCTCCGACCTCGGGATCAGCCAAATCTAAAGTAACGCACAGGCGAATTTTCAGGAGAACAAGGTAACTTACCGGAAGTGACAGCCGCTACGCCGCTAGAAGGTAATCAAACTTATTTTAACCAGGTTTTCCCTGCCTAAGGAAGGTGGCGGTTTGAATGGGGATTGGAAAATGGCCCAACGGGCAAACGGACCTAAAACGGTGGCTGGTGGAATAGGGCAAATTAAACGTTGTCGATCAGCATTTGACAGAAGACCAGATCATGTCCTTCAGGGGTGCCCGCCGCCCAGAGTTAGCCCCGGCTTCTCGGGATTTGCTCCGGTACGGAGTACACAGGTACCAGGTTCCCTGAAAAATGACCCCGTAGGAGGGTCCAATCTTTTATGCTTTTTAATTCACGCCTGGTGCTTTTGACCCTGGCCCCCGGGGCGGCTTTGTTGCTATCTTTAGGCGAGACAGGTATCTTTGCTTGCGGTCGAATTATGACGCGACGCACACTGATAATCCACATGGACTGACACCTTCTCCATATTATATTATTCTCGGCAATCCTTTCAAAAAATGATGAAAATTCATTACGGAGTACCGCTAGTTTTATCCACCTTGTGGTGTGCACGTTCAAACCCACTCCGTCATCTGGGGTTCGGCATTTATCGCACCACTTCAAGTTTCCACACTTCACCAGTCAACATTAGACGCTCACTTAGAATCTAAACTCTGAATACAATTAAGCAATGATTCATTGAATCATCCAAACTACTATATCATAGAATCGCATTGTACGGCTTTGAATGCGTGGGAAATGAAATTCTTTATCAATTAATAGCTCTGGCTGCTCTGTGGTTTCTCGGTCGCCTCAAATCGAGGGGCCAGACATAGTGTGCGGAGATAAGCTGTGATTGCTCTAGTGTGTGCCAAAGGGAGTCTTTCGACATGCAAATGAAGTTCGTACTCGAATTGAGAAATTTCCTTAAATTATACTATTCACTGTAATCAAACATAAGGCTCATGGTGTGGATTTACTAGAACTCGCGACCGACAAGAAACGTTCACGATCTCGTGGGGAAAGCTACAAACTTATCCTCGGATACTACATTTCGAGTGACCTGTGTTAGAGCTTGAACCCATTCGCATGTGATAGAAGTGATTCTATTAATGGCTTTGTCTGTCTTCCTAGTGGTGCCTGTCTGTGCTGGAAAGATAGAAATTCCTGTCGTACCCTTCATTGATCAAATCTTTCGAGCTGACCCTATCATCTCATACCGGCAGTATTCCCCGTTATTTCTTCCTGTGCGAGGAGCAATATCCAGGCCAAGTCCCTTTTACCCTCTCCTTACTCCGTAGAGGACCTGATGTAGGGGAGATTCATTTCCCCAAGAACTGATTCAATCTACACGCGGAGAGAAATGCGAACCACCCGGGCGATGGAGAGGAGAGAGAATGAACTAGCTTTTCAACTAGGTTTGATGATATTCTTATCGTGAATCGCACTCTCATTTGCCAACTTCTCAAATGGTTGTCTCGAATTAACCGTAGTTCCTCCGATGAGTTACCGCTTCTCGGTTCCAACATAGACGTACGGATCGAAGAGACTGAGATTTTTCGTGTAGAACTTGTATGTGATCCACCTGTGCAACTATAAACTTGGATGTGTTGTTAATCTGAGTCTGAAGACAATCTTTGTAACACGCTACTTCAAGACGTTATACTATTCGGAGTGCCAAATATTAGGTGTACTATCGGCGTAGTACTACTAGTAGATATGCAAATGCCGACTACCATATAGTAGTATATTGATTACCTTGGAGTGCTTGAGCCGTACTATCCGAACACTTAGAAGAGGACCTTGAAAAAAAGGGATGACCCCGGATTATGCCGTCTTACAGCATAGAAAAAGGAAATAAAGAGACATAATGCATGCTACCCCATTAGAATGCCTCTGTATCGCTTGTTGCTGCTGCATTGCAGCATTTGTTTTGACTAGTTCGTGCAACCTCACTTGCCTAATTTAGATGTGATGTAATGTGCATGACTCAGCATATTGGGCATGTGATGACTGTCTCAGCTTTCCCCAAATCCCTGTGCGGAGTCGTCTCTCTGCTTGTCCAACACAGCCGAGAAGCTCAAGACATTATCATTTATACACTCATACTGGGTTGTTACCAGTGATTCTCAACATGGCGCAGCCACTTGGCAGGTTAGTCAAGTCAATACCGCCGGATCAAGGGTAGTGCTGATAGCTCTCCAGCAAGACCGAGCAACCGGGGAGGATCTACCAGGAAGAGATCGAGTTGGAGGAGAAGCAAGGATTTCTCAATGATGAAGAACGAGCTGCAAATTTCAATGATGCTTCCGTTTCAAGCAGTCGTCGTGACAGTCCTAGAGCCCACCCCTTGCGAGACCTGTTGAAGAGTGCGGTGACAATTTGCTGGGTTGCCCTTTTGATCTATATGGTAGTTGGCTTTTTCCACGGTACGTCCCATGGTATATTTCGTGATTGATCGGAGTAAAGTGAAATGACTCTGATTGCGGTTCCAACTACCAGGAAATACATCGGAGTCTGTCGAGGACCCCACCCCACGTCCACAATCCCCACCAGCCGTCTGCCAAACCCCGGAATGTATCCACGCGGCATCAGAGATCCTATATAACCTCGACCCTAAATACAATGAGATCGACCCCTGCACTGATTTCGACCAATATGTTTGCGGTGGATGGAGAGAGCGTCATGACATGCGTGCCGACCAGGGTTCCATTTTCGCTGGGACAATCATGGAAGAAAATGCCGAAACTACCCTTCGACATATATTGGAGCAGCCCAAGGCTCCCGATTCGGCTGATGTCAACAACTTCGAGAAGATAAAAGCCGCCTACGATGCTTGCCTGGACGAGTCTGTAATCAAACAGCGCGGCAGCAAGCCACTGGACGACCTGCTCGCCGGACTGCAGAATATCTATCCCTCTAAGAGTGGACTAATCGCCGGAACTCAAGATCATCTTACCAGTGCCCTCTTATTCCTGATGAAATCCGGAGTTGAGGCTCTTGTCTCACCCGGCGTTTCTGTAAGTCTCACCAAAAGTCTCTCGTGCGAAAAGCTGCAATCTAATACGAAGAGCCACAGGCTGATGATCGGGACCCTGACAATGTCATTATTCTTGTGACACCACCGCGTGAGATTGGGCTTCCTGCACTCGAATATTACAACAATACAGAGGTTGTGAGAAAGTATACCGAAGTTCTAAAGCAGGTGCTCCAAGGGTTTGGAGGCAACGACAAAATCGCCGAGAACATTGTTACTTTTGAAAAAAAGATTGCCAATGTGACGCCTGATACCCAGACACAGGAGGATGTCACCAAATATTACAATCCGCGAACCATCAAGGAGACTGAATTGCTGCTTCCCGAGGTCTCCTTCGCCGACATAATTACAGAGTTGGCCCCTCATGAATATAATGGAGACCGCTTGATTATTGGCTCACCGACATATATGAAAGCCTTGTCTGACATTTTGAATGATGCATCGCGAGAGACTGTTTCGTTCTTCCTGCAATGGAAGCTTATCCAGCGATATGCTAGCTATATCGAAGATGACAAAGTCAGCTCGATACATCATTTTGAGAATGAGTTGGCCGGTAAAGACCCGCAGGCGACCGAGGAGCGCTGGCGTAAGTGCATCAATCATCTCGACGAAAGTCTCGGCTGGAGCCTTAGCCGATTCTACGTCCTGAGCTCATTCTCCGAGGAGTCCAAGAAGCTCGGCGACCAGATTGTTTCCGATATTAAGGAGCGATTTGTTTTTACACTGGACCAGACTTCTTGGATGTCTTCGGAGGTCCGCAAGCTCGGTATCAAGAAAGTAGAGAACATTGTCCAGAAGATCGGGTTTCCCACCAAGAGTCCTAATGTTCTGAATGCACAAGATGTTGAGAAATACTACCGTGACCTAAAGGTGGCCAATTCTACTTACTTTGAGAATGCACTGGCCACTTCCAAATTCGATCTTCACGGTGAATGGTCAAAGCTGGGAAAGCCAACAAACCGCGATGAATGGGATATGACTGCCTCGACGGTCAATGCCTACTACAACCCACCTGGAAATGAGATTGTCTTCCCTGCTGGTATCATGCAGCCACCGGCGTTCTACGGACCGAATGCCCCGTTGTATCTGGCCTATGGTGCATTTGGCTCTGTCAGCGGCCATGAGCTTTCGCACGGTATGTATCACTGTTTTAACATGTCAAAATTTTCTAATAGTTTGTAGCATTTGACTCGACCGGTCGCCATTACGACGAGATCGGAAATTATACGGACTGGTGGGATGACAAGACCGTCGAAGAATTTGAGAAGCGAGCCCAGTGTTTTGTTGACCAGTATTCCGATTATACCGTGGAGGGCCCAGGGAATAAGATTCTCCATGTCAATGGACGCTTGACCCTAGGTGAGAACATTGCTGACGCTGGTGGACTCACTGCATCATTCCACGCCTGGAAGAAACACGACGATGCCAAGCCTGATCTTCACCTCCCCGGCCTATCGAATTTCAGCAAGGAACAACTATTCTTCGTTTCTTATGCCAACTGGTGGTGCGGCAAGAACACCAAAGAGGCCGCGGAGCAGGCCATCTATAATGATCCACATGCGCCCAAGTCGGCACGGGTCATCCTGAGCATGGCCAACTCCCGGGAGTTCAAAGATGCATTCCAATGCCCCGAGAAGAAACCGGCTTGTAAGCTTTGGTAGTTAATTTTTGGTGACACCATACATGGTTTAGATTGATCATTCTTTAATTTGGCCTTTGTTTGGCTGTTTCGGGAATTTTTTTAGTTTGCCGCCTTGTGCGATTTTACGATTAGCATCAATCAACAGCGATCCCTTCGCAGAGGTATTGGATTGGGATTTCTTGGTTCCCGAAGTCATTGCCCTCAGACATTAAATCTGATTTTGCCTGCAGGTGGTACTGCCCTCCGAGGTATCATCTGCAGAGTCGTAATGGAGAGTTGAGAGCCGAGTTTCTTCCACATCAGGCCAGTCAGATCTGGTGCTGCATTGAGTTGAAGCTCAAGTCAAGAAAGGCGATCCCGCGTCGAAAGCGAACCTCCGTTGCAGATCATGGAGGGGCTCAGGGGTCTGAGAGTCGATGGGGTCGATGGGATCGACTTGAGATGGGATCGCTGGGAATTGTGAAAAAAGGGAGATCCCGGTGGATCATGTGAAAGGCGCAAAATGGCGAATTGCAGCGCCAACCAAAATTAATTAGTTGATTTTAAAAAAAAGAGAGCACACGGACTAGGCCCGGTCGTGGAACGGGGAGGTTAAATGAAGCGAGCAAGGGCTTCTTCAGTTGAATGATCTGAACTCCGAAATCTGAAATGCGAAGGAGTGACACAGATGAGGACAGGTGGAACCATCTCCCCTCCCCTTCCATCGCCCCGGGTCCGCATGAGACAAGCGCACCGGAAATCAGGATCAAAGTGACAGGGCGAGCTGAGAGCTCCATTCATCAGCTCATCAGCTCGCGGGTTCCGGCGTCGCGGAGTGGAGACGGGATAACGGCGGCAACACTATCGACCAACCAAGACCGGAGGAGGTCCGCTTCACCGGGGCGAATGTTCGAGGGACTAGTGGGGGCAATGACCTATCACCTGGAATCATGTCACTGGAGATCTTCAGCTGATGGGATGGGGGGAGAGGGAGGGGGGGAGGGAAGGTGAAAAGGATGAAGTTATTCAGGTAGTAAAACTGGTAGATGTAAGTAGAAGTATGGAGTATACTTGTATACTCCGGATACTCCAGTGGAGGAAGGCACGACCATGGACATGGACCATGGACCATGGAAAGAGGAAAGAACGGTTACCCAGCGTTCGCCTGCACCTGACTGGTTCCGCCGCGTCGGGACCGTTCCCCAACTCCACTTTGGCAAAAACAGAGCTGTCGCCCTCCCTTTCACTTTCCTGCGTCATGTCCATATCGCCCTATTCTAATCTTCGTCTTCGTCTTCGTCTTCATCTTCATTCTCATCCTCATCCCCACACCCTCCATGCCGTGATTCGGGCTCTGCTCCTAGGCTGCTGATGCATTCGTGTTTCTTGAAGCCTGGAACTTCTCTTCGTTTCGCGACGGGGCTTGAACGGTTCGCTGCAGAGCTGTTACCCAGGCCTCTCGCGTCCGCCCGCAATGGAACCGATGGAACCGTTCCTGCGAGCATCGACCCGCCGCTGCATTCCAAAAGCAAGGTCGGCGAGCCTCGAGTCCATGTTGATGAACTACCCGCCTTGTATCGAACGCGCAGCGGAGGGACCCCCCAAGACGATATCAACCTTACGACGTGCCAATACCGTCGCACAAAGTGGCAATACAATTAAAAGGAATTTAGAACTGAAGGCTTCCCGAGATCGGACAGCTACGACAGGCCTGCGAGCCAAGGATAGTCATGAATTGTTACGAAAGACCCCATTGCAACGATCCCAGACACACCGGGGCCCGCTGGAGGCGCGTCCTGCCCCGAGGAAAGCAGGTCATTTTACGGTTGGCAGTGTCGGCCAGAATGGGAAGATCTTTCTCAGGTACGATCGATCGATAATCTCAGTGACATGGTCTCGTGTCACATTTGCTGCAGTAAGCTAACGATGTTTCCCCCGTAATTAGGCCGATTGTAAACCCCCAACAGAAACCCTCCCAGACAGTTCCATTCGCCCCGATCGATACAGTGACGAATGATCGTCTCAAACCACCCCATCACGCGCATGTTCGAGACGATCCATCGCGATGGTCCAGTTCGCAGCTCTCCGAACTACGTCCGCGTGGGGGTGTACACGAGGACAATAAGTCGGCCGTTACTGAATACACCAATCCCGAGGCAACTGGCCGCATCCTCCAGAAATCCACCTCTTTCTCGACATTACCAGAGCAGCAATCTGTGGCAGGAGCGGGGAAACGTGGGGAGCTGCGCATTGTCATTGATAGATCTGATGACCGGCCCAAATCTGCAGATGAGAAGACCCCCAACACTGCTTTGGGGGTTCCTTTGACCCATTACCGACTGGGATCGCCACGGTTTAACAGAGAGGGCAGTGCGGCCCTGCATAGTTCCGTCTATACGCGGACTTCAATGTCCGATAATTTTCGGAATTCAACCTGGTTGGGTAGCATGGCGGACCCGCTGCCGACTCATCTGTCCAGTGCATATGGCAGGGAATCATTTTCACGCTATCGGCCATCCTTCGCGGTCTCTATGTTCTCGGGGCCTGCAGCCATTGATCTTAGCCGGGCTTCTCCAGCGCCAAGGAACTCGATGGTTTATGAATTGAAAGGACCAGTAAAGCCCTCAATTTACGAAACCTTGGTGTCGGATATGGATGGCGAAACCGTTGTACGATATATTTCCGGTACCAAGGATATATGTGCTGCTACGCCTGCTCGTATTGTTGCCCAGATTTCTTCAGAATCATTCATGGACTATGAGCTGGTTTCTGACTTTTTTCTGACATTCCGCTCTTATCTCTCTCCTAACCATCTTCTTGCCTTGCTTCTTGCACGCTTGGAATGGGCTATCAATCGACCGCAGGAGGATGGAAGGATTATTCGTATCCGTACCTTTGCCGCTCTCCGCCACTGGATCTTGAACTATTTCATCGATGACTTCGTCACGAACTACGATCTCCGGACTCATTTTTGCGAAGCGATCAACAATTTGTACCAAAATGTCAAGTCTCGAGAAAATGGTGGTATGAGCGACTTGAAAATCCTTCTCGACTTGAAAAGATGTTGGAATGGCAAGTGTTCAGTCTACTGGACCGCCGCCGACTATTCCCGTACCTACAATGACCCGGATAGTCACATCTTGCCGGGAAGCACTCATGTCGACATGCCCAGTGGTGATGCACTTCCACAGCAAGATGCTTCCCCCCCCCAGGAATGGCCTCTCAACCAGAACCAAGTTTTCTAGACAACACTACCGTTTATGTCCAGCATGATCGAAATCATTCTGCTGCCACTGCTCACAGTATACCCCTCTCCACTACAAGTGAACAAAGCATGGTGGCACTATCTTGTTCACTACCTCCCAAATCTCCGAAACGCTTTTCCTTTTCCCACTCAAAGGGGAAAGGGCCACGTCCCGTTCAATTAGGTCTTGCAAAAACAACATCTCCTCATGATCAACCACCATCATCGCCCATGATATCGCGCCATCCGTTCCAAGTACATGGTCACAAGAGAAGTGCAAGCTTCTCGGATTCAGTCCGATATGACCGGGTCCTCATGGTCGGTATGGACGCAGGATCAACAGGAACAGGGCCCAAAGAAATTCTAGATCCTGTCAGCTTCATTAGAGGGGCGCTTTACCCACCCGTGGAATCTTACATGACTATGATGGCACCGGAATCACCTCCATTGGCTCCTCCATTATCGAATGCCAATCCAGACCGGAGAAGCACACCAGACGGAGGACCCAAAACAGGAGCCTCAAACTCGGGGATGAGAACCATCATTGGTTCAATCAAACGTGCCCTCCACACAAGGAACGGCGGGCAAAGTGTTTCCGCACGAATGACAAATGCTTCGGAGACTATTTCGTTGCCTAGCCGAGGGAAAACATCTGCGATGCCGAATAACATTTCTCTGGGGTCTGAGTTTTACCGTGAGAGAAAAATGGCTGCGGCCCCCAGGCAACCGGCACGGCTTGATGTGCTCTGTGAGGAGTCTCTCAAACAGTATCGCTTGCTTATGGACGCGAATAATGTTCCGAAAGACCACCAATCCCCTGGTGGTGCTCCTGGACCTCGAATTACGTTCCAGCAATCCTCTCCAGACTTGGGTGAATCTTCTACTCTTCACATACCTAGAGCTGGGGAATCGAAGATACAAAGCGGAATTACTACTGGAAGTGGGTCGATTGTCATCGTCGATGACACTGGATTCGAATTCCCTACGATGTCTGGGGCCGTGCAGGAACAGGATGTTACCAGTAATACGAACCAGAAGGCTCATTCAACTGCCAACGGGAGAGTTAATTCAGATTCAGAGTCGATTGCGAAGGAAGGAGAGTATCTCCTTCCGATAGTCTATAACGGCGAAAGTCCCCCGTCTACAGTTGAGGATACCCCCGTCCGCCACCCCTCTGTCATTTCAGCTCAACGAAGATCCTACACGGAACATCCAACACCGCCTACAAAAAGAGTATCACTTTCTCTTCGTCTTAGGAAGTATGCATCCTTCCATAGTGGGATTTCTAAGCATCGCCAGTCAATGGGCAGCGACGCAGGCAGATCTATTGAAAGCTCCAGCATTGTACAAGAATCATCAGATAAACAGTTTGGCCCATCACTCCGCAGAAGACCCGGCGGAAACTTGCGACAGATGCAGTTTGTGGACGATCTTGATCCAATTTCGGGACGTGGATCATTTATGTCTAGCCATTCATATGACAACTCTCTGGCAGAAACAACCACTACCACCACAGATGACATCGTGTCAAGACCACCAACTGCTCTTGTTCCGCCAAATCCCCGTTATTCTTTGGTTCATGGTAAACCCAATCGCAATGTCCGGCGTTCGTTTGAGGCGGCCATTGCCCGCTTTGCGGAAATCCCTGACGATGACGATGGAGGAATTGAATCAACTTTACTCAAGCTCGAGGGTAAATGGAGCCCCCCCGGCAACAAATGAAGACCCCGACCTCACCGACGGACATAATGATGGACATCAGTTGCCCATGGCGAGGGACGGATTTGGATGGGACACCGTTTCTCGAAGACGACAGACCGACAAATCGGCATATTCTACCACCAGAGGTCGATTAGCACCACCACCACGGCCCTACTCGGACTCGGTAGCGGAGTCCGAAGAATCATATAATTCGATTCCTCTTTTGGAAAGAGGGTTGTCCGACGAGTCAATGAAGCGGCCTCCTACAATCAGGACCGCTGAACGCGATGCCCACGGCGCTCCTTTGAGTCTCATATCGAGCAGAGATACCTCCGAACTTGCGTCTTCACACCCCTCGATTCAGATTATTCAGAAGACAGAAAGTCTGCGGCGGATTCCTCGCGGCTCGACAAACCCCGAATCGGCTTATCTCAGTGCCGGACAGGTGACACCGAGGCGCCTTTCGGCCCTGTCCTCTGAGCTATCTGTCGAAATGATTGATCCGCGTGAAGCCATGCAGGGTCGTACCTCAATCGATACTCGTAGCCTCACAGCGTCAACTTTCGATATTCCGCCTCATCCTTTGGCGCACCCACCCTCGCCTCCGATGACCATCCAACACCCTGGCTCCTTCGGCTCCTGTACCTCGCCGATGGACAAGGTACTTTTCCAGGCTCAACCTCTCACACCGGACACCTCCCCTCGACGCCGGGAAGGTGATACACCTACCCAGATATCCAGACACGTACCTCAATTTTCGAGTGATGTCCTCTCGAATTCCGAGAAGAACCGTCCTGCTCTCAACCCGCTCAACTCTGGCCCTAGCCATGTCCCCTTTGTGCTTGCCTGCGAGTCCCAAGTCTTGGCCCAGCAACTCACTCTAGTCGAGATGGCGGCCCTAAGCGAGGTTGATTGGCGTGATTTGGTCGATATGAGATGGGGCAGTGGCTCGCCCTGCATCCTCGGCTGGGTACAGTTCCTCGCCGCAGAAGAACGCAAGGGCATTGATCTAGTTGTCGGTCGCTTTAATCTTATGGTGAAATGGGTTGTATCTGAAATCATTCTGACCGTTGATATCCATGAGCGGGCACGAACGATCATCAAGTATATTCACACCGCCGCTCATGCCCGCCGCATCTGCAACTATGCCACTATGCTTCAGATCGCCATCGCTTTGGCTTCATCCGACTGTTCTCGGCTATCAAAGACCTGGGAACTGGTTCCCCAGGAAGACAAACGTCTGTTCAAGGATATGGAGTGTCTGATTCAGCCTGTTCGCAATTTCCACGATCTTCGGGTCGAGATGGAGACAGCCAATCTCCAGGAAGGCTGCATTCCATTTATCGGTAAGGCTACTGTTTCAATCCTATCCCCTTTAACAGATCTTTTGCTAATCCATTGGCTATAGGCTTGTATGTACATGACCTTACCTATAATGCGCAAAAGCCTGCTCAAGTCAACAGCAGTTCGGGTGGCTTGTTGGTTAACTTTGAACGTTACCGCACTGCTGCCCGTATCGTCAAGAGCTTGCTTCGCTTGATCGATGCCAGCACCAAGTACCGCTTTGAGCCCGTGCAAGGCATCATTGAGCGGTGCTTATGGATCGCGTCCTTGTCCGAAGATGACGTTCAAGCCCGCAGCAAGCGCCTTGAGTGATCTCGCATCACATGTTCTCTAATATTTTTTTCCATTTTTCCATTTTTTTTTTCTATGATTGGATATTTCATACCCCCCCTTCGCTACGAAATTTTAAACCCCGTCCTGCCATATATCCTGTATCTATACTTGCATTGTTTTTGGATGTCTTTTTTTTTCTTTTTCTTTTTTGGATTGACCCATTACGCGTTTAAAGCGATCATTTGCATACAAGCTGGTCACCTGGAAATATCATGGCCGGAGGAAAGTCTATACAATTGCTTTACTCTTTCTATGTATGTATGCTCAGGTACAGCTAGCTGGTGCCTGAATACGTTTCAATGTAGCAATCCCTCACCCACGAAGCGAAAATTCTTTGTTTATTAAATCCGACAGCTCGATGAATGAAGATCTTCCCGAATATTACTAGCATTCTTTTCCGGGAGACCGTATAATCACCGGGTAGTTCAGTTTCATCTAAAGTATGGACAGTTGAAGTGCGTCATCAAGCTGGCTTTATTGGCGGTGGTTGATCTACGGGCCGGACCACCATTTTCACTTCCGACCCATCTCACTCCCGACAACACCAACTTCGACCGCGGAGGTCCCTCCATTTTCGCGCCGCTTCCCTCAGGGATCATCATAGACATCTTTTACCCTTTGGATGTCCACCTTCCAACACCCTCGATTGTAGGCCCGCCACGATGGACACGGCCGAGTCACCGCGCGGGGCTTCAGAGGAGGTCGACCCCAGTCACAACCATAGCCCCGCGTCTCCAGGAAGCCCGAAGGAACTCCCCGAGGACCTACCCAAGTCGCTGGACGACCGCCGGTCGGTACCTGTCTTTCAACAGGAGACAGAGATGTACGATGCGTGGCAAGGTGAGATCTTCCCCTCTCCCTTGTCCTTTCGGCCATCCCAGCATGTGCCCAAAGGACTTCCATCCCGTTCAGCCCTTTTTCACTTTAAATTTACTTAAACTCGTTGCCTGGCAGGACAATCGCAATTCCTCACCACCCCCGTTGCCGCGAAACCCTTGAGCTTTAGCCTCGCCCTCGATGATCACACACACGACTCGGAGCATGAGCTGCGGAACCGCGACATTGAAGATAGCGATGCCCGATTGATGGAGATGCTAGCTGCACAGGCCGCCCACCGAGAAGTCGACTCCCTTGGAGCTGATGAAGAGACCATCGCAGCCGACGAGAAATTCACCGTCGTGGAGAAGCGGGACATTCTGCAGAAGAGTCTGAATATGGCTGCGAGTAACGGCGACGTGGAGCGCGTGCGAAAGCTCGTCCAGGGATCCGCTAAGACATATATCGATGTAAATATGCCAGACGAAGAAGGAACAGTGCCCTTGATCTACGCCAGCTGCTTTGTAAGTAGCCTTTGCCGCTTTATCTGGGGTGGACACGACCCTGGGGCAGGGATAGCCTCTAGCCTCTACTCCAAGTGAAGGGGATACTCTGCCTAACAAGGACAGGACTGACGTGTCATTCTAGGGACATCAAGATGTCGTTGGAGCACTTCTCGATGCGGGTGCTTTTGTCGACCAGCAGGATCGGAATCAGTGGAGTGCGTTGATGTGGGCCATGACCAATCGACACAAGACGATCGCGAAAATCCTCCTCGATCATGGAGCTTCGCCGGACATGAAATCTTCTTCGGGAGGTACGGCTTTCGACTTTGCGCAACCGGGCAGCGAGATCTCCGAGTATCTCCATGAAAATGGCTATAGCCTCGGATCTGGTGCCATTGAAGATGACTTTTATGACGCCGGATTAGCACATGGCAGATTCGAGGAGGAAATCGCGGAAAATGAGATGAAGCGCCGCATGATGATGGAAGAGAGTGCTATCAATCTTGAGGTAGACCTGTCTAGCCTCGGGTTGGATGAGAAATTCGAAGTGAGTATGTCATATCTAAATTGCGAGTAATACTAACTTTTGAAAAGCCTGATGATGAGGAGTATATTGAAGAAGAGCAGCAAGAATTCGTGTGGGATCGATGTTTAAATGATCAGATGTTTGTGTTCCAAGACCACGAGCTGGAGCGTATCTTGGACATTATCATTACCAATATGGCACCACAGCGATCGCCTTCTCAAAAGCCAGTACCAGCAAATCTCCTCTTTCTGAGTGCGCGTTATGCGCATTACCATGCCAGTCCTGAGCTTTTAGCGACACTGCTCACGTCGGCCACAGAAAAGATCAATGACGTTGTCGAGCGATACCAGTGGGATATGACGATGCAGGCATTTTGGCTGTCCAATGCAACTCTTCTTCTCCACTATCTCAAAAAAGACGGCGAGCTGCAAGAAGCAACAGTACAGTTCCAGCTTCATTTGGCGGAACTGATCAACGAAATCTTCGTTCTCATCATTCGTGACGCAGAGCGACGTATGAACAAAGTCCTTGATGCGGCAATGCTGGACCATGAAACCATCCCTGGACTAGAGGATATCGCTTTCCAGAATGAATGGAAGCTCTTCCGGAAGAAGAAGTCTGAGGTCCCGGAGCCCGCAGAAAAACGATTTCGTCCGCCATCACCACGGCGCCGAGCGCAGATCTCTCCGCGCAATATTACCTCGTTGCTATCATCGACACTGTTCGTGCTCGACCTCTATGATGTCCACTCCGTTATCACTACGCAAATTCTTTCTCAACTCCTCTACTGGCTCAGTGCAGAGATCTTCAACAGGATCATGAGTACAAGACGGTACCTAGCGCGGACAAAGGCCATGCAAATCCGCATGAATGTCTCAGCTTTGGAAGATTGGGCTCGGAACAACAATCGCCAACCAGAGCATTACGATAACGGGTCTATGTCAGCCACGGGAGAAAATACGGTGGATGCTGCACGTCAACATCTGGCTCCGGTCATCCAATTACTTCAATGGCTGCAGTGCTTTTCCTCACTAGGCGAGGACCACGAATCCCTAGTGACAACTCTTCTTCAACTACAACAGCTTATACCACTTCAGCTTATCCACGCTGTAAAATCATACAGAGCGGAAGTGGGCGAGAAAGGCTTAACAAAACAGGCCATGAAATTTCTGCTAGATATGCAACGTGATCCTGAGATCCTATTCCGTGAACAACATCGCATTCAAGCGGTGAAAGAGGCGGCAGCAGCTGCGCCTACATCAGATGCACCCCAAGATCGACCGCAGACACCTTCTAGGGATGAAACCCAACAATCAACCCCGGCCACGCCCGATCCTAACCTCGCATCACCTGGATCTGTCGGCACATCTTCTCGGCCAGCCAGCATGGCCCTGCCATATAGGGAGGACCGTCCAGGCAGGGAGAGTGTTTTCCTCGACCCAACTCTCTTCCTCCCCTTCTCTCTACCAACCAGCACGGACATGCTTATTTCTTACGGAGCTGGTCTTGGCGGCACCAACCGCGAGCGAGCACGCAAGTACATTCCCACTGTTCCACCGGAGGTCCTCAGTCGTTTCGATCGCGGGAATGAGGCATAAAAACACCGACTTGAAAGGTGTTTGTTCTCTCTGTTTGGTTTCCAGTGGTGGCCCTCATACATCCTTCTGTTTTATATGCTCAGTTCCTGGCTGCGACGTCGATATTTCAGTTTGCCAAGGACGCATGCGATTTCGGAAGATCATCGGAAGAATTACGGGCAATGTTATACCCTTCTCGCTCCTGGCTTTTTCTTAGCTTAATGCTAGACAGAGAGTTCGGATAGGAACATCTCAGTATATATACATTTTCTAAATGAAAAACAATTCTCAGAATAGTATGATGTTGAGGTGCCAGACGAAGGTGGGGAGCCCTGGAGTACTCGGTGCAGGTATAGTTAGTAGTAGTAAACCGTGCTTTATTTAAATATGGTTCAATTTGCAGACCGATTAATCCAACATCCTTGGTGGGTCTTAAAGTACTGACTATACTAGTACTATTTCGTGTGCTCGTACAAAGAGGTGGTTGAGCGTCACCGCCTAAAGGACTCAGTGCCCCCCCCCCCCCGCCTTAGCCTGGGATTACGGCTTGAATCTTTTCTCTACCAACCTTGGAGCCTCCCTAGCTATTACAAACCTCGCTTCATGTCGACATGGGCTCTAAGACACCTGATCAAGAGAGACAGTCGAACGGCAGTAAGTATCGATTACACAAACCCGCACGGGCGGTGTTAACTTTCACCAGATGAGTCGTCCGGCTCAAGCAAAGCCACTTCAGCTGGCGGAGAACCACTCGGCGCCCATCTTTCCCGAGATGGAGATGGCAGCCTGGGAGATGGAGGCGATGGCGGGGATGATGAGGATGGCGATGCCACCCTAAGCGGGCCGGATGGCGCTGTTGACCCCGAGGCAACAGCACAGCCAGCATCAGCCAATGCCTCCCAAAAGAAGAAACGAAAGAAGTCGAAAAAGAAGAAGACTTCTGGACCGAAACAGTCGTCTCCACCCCGGATTCCTCTGACCAAGCTCTTTCCCACTGGCAAATACCCAGTGGGCGAAATTCAAAGCTACGTTCAAGTTGATAACACGGCTCGGACTACTGCTGAGGAAACTCGCCTCAAGTTTCGTACTCAGCTCGAAGACCCAGACTTCCTTGAGCCCTACCGCAAAGCAGCTGAGATTCATCGTCAGGTCAGACGTCACACACAGGAGTCTGTTCGGCCCGGTCAGACCCTCACTGAGATTGCCTTGGGTATCGAGGATGGCGTGCGAGCGCTCCTGGATAATCCTGGCCTCGAACAGGGCAGCTGTTTGATATCTGGAATGGGATTTCCGACAGGACTCGCGCTCAATAATTGTGTTGCACATTACACCCCTAATCCCGGTCAAAAGGAGATTGCTTTGAAATCGAGCGATGTGATGAAAGTTGACTTCGGCGTCCATATCAATGGATGGATTGTCGATAGTGCTTTCACAATGTCGTTTGACCCCACCTATGACAATCTTCTGACCGCGGTGAAGGAGTCGACCAACACCGGTATCAAGGTACGAAATAACCCCAGCTCTCCAAACTTGCTCTCGATGAAGCACATCTGACGAAGAATAGGCTTCTGGGATCGATGTTCGCATTAGCGATATCAGTGCCGCTATCCAGGAAGTGATGGAAAGCTATGAGGTCGAGATCAACGGTAAAACGTTCCCTGTGAAGCCAGTGAGAAGTATCTCTGGACACAACATCAAACGCTGGGAAATCCACGGTGGAAAATCGATTCCGTTTGTCAAGAACAATGACCAGACCAAAATGGAGGAGGGAGAAATCTTTGCTCTTGAAACCTTTGGATCAACGGGCCGCGGCCGTACAGTGGAAGGCGTAAGTCACTCGCCCATTTGTCCACTTTTAACAAAAGCTGAACCTTGCTAGTCCGGAGTCTATGGATATGGAAAGGATCCTTCTGCGCCAAGCAGAATCTCGGCCCCTCTCACCAGCGCCCGGACGCTTTACAAGACAATCAATGATAATTTCAATTCGATTGTCTTTGCCCGCCGCTACCTGGAGCGCTTGGGTGTTGAGCGGTACTTGGCCGGTGTAAGTGCCCTCGTCCCTGTTAGTCACTGGTGGTTGAGAAACTTACGTGAGTAGATGAATTATCTTGTGTCCCAGGGAGTGGTGGAATCTTACCCTCCTCTCATGGATATCGAGGGGTCATACTCGGCCCAATTCGAGCATGTAAGTCATTTGCCCTCTTAGAAATATTCATCTCAGCTCTAACATCGAAATTTAAAGACATTCTTGTTGCGAGAAAACGGCAAGGAGATCATCAGTCGCGGTGACGACTACTAACTCCTCCCGGGGCGAAGTGAGTGACTTATGCACTCGTCCACTCTTTTTTACCAGATATCGTTCTATTCTTTAGGACATCCAACATATCTTATGACATCGATTTCTGGATCGGCTCGACCATTCAACATGGTCTGTATTGAATATCAATTATATTTCGCCGACATATTGTTCAACTTGACCGAAGCCTTTGCGTCTTGGTTTATTGGGATATTCGTATCTATGTGGGCGGCTCACATTAAAGCCAGATACAGACAGAAATGCCATCTAAGTTTTTGTTCTTAAAGCATTGCTTTACTGTAGTCGCATTTCGTTCTCTGAAAAGTCAAAATCCGATCTCTTATTAGAAATTATTCTCAGGTATTTCCATAGCATTTAATGCTTGTTTATATAATTTTCGGAACAACCACCCAACACCGATAAGATAATAGTACTTGCTAGTAGCATCACCAAAGAGGGAACAAAGAAAGAAAAAAGGTGCTGCTCATCGAGCAGCGGACTAGCTCAGTAAACTGGTCTAGAATTCAATGATCTTGAAGGAACGTGTATTCTCTGGGGGCTGCGGAAAGCATCGTGCACGGTTCATGATTCTTTAGAGCCAGAAAGTCCTCCCCAATTAGGTATCCAGTTGTCTCACTTGAGCTCCGTTGTGTTCAATTGACTCTTCCTGTGTGGTGGTGATTCCTGGCTCACTTTGGATGCTTTGAGCGCTGCTTCCCTCCTTGTGGGCTTGCAAAGTGATTGCCTCTCCATTATAAGTGTCGGAAGTGTCATCAGAGTGCTGGTAGCTGGAGCTGATACGAACAAAGAGGATGCGAAGGGAGGGAATCGATGCGGCAAAGATTGTGCAGCCTGTTTCGGCAGAGGCCCAGATTGTAATAGTGGAGCAGAACCCTATGAATTCATCTTTTGTTAAATCGGTAGTATAACAAACAAATAGACGAGACTTACAGGTGAAATCCTGGACCTGAGAAACGTTGACAAGTTTTGAAGTCTTGACAAATGCGGTAACGGCCGCGCTGTGTGGCCATCAGAAACTGCTCTCTGTTTGCGGTCCTTTGGAAAACTTACAAAACTCCCATACTCATAGCAAGGGCAATACCGGCCTTCTCTCGCTTCTTCATTTCCAAGTTCCACAGAACCACCCATGGCAGGAGCGCAAGGATGAAATCCATGCATCCAGAGTAAGCTATAATATTCCACTGTTAGAGTCGTCCTTAGCGGATGGTGAGTGCCATCTTACCTCCAGCAACAAGAGCAATCGTTTCGAAGACATAACTTGGCCAGCACTTCGCAGTTGCCAGAAGACTGGCATCCCAAAGTGCTGCTGCTGGGCGGCACTGTGCCAGGTAGCAAATAGCGCAGAGCCACATGACAGCATTCATGGTGATGATAATAAACCAAAGCAAAGCTTTCATCCACGTCTTGGTCACGATTCGCATGAGCGTAAAGGCAAAAGAAGTCTTGCTGAACACGCAACTGATGATAATAATCACGTAGCTGATGTATACAAGTTTGAGTGCCGGTGGGATGAGTTCTGGGTCCTCGATGGCAAACACGTGCTTGCCGACTACTCCCATTTGCACGGCCTTCGTGTTGAGGGCTGTATAGACCAATTGCAGAGCCTGGTTCCAACCTATGTCAGCGAATCGGAGCGAGATAGCATATCTGAAGCGCCGAAACTTACCCATGCAAGACAGATGAGAAGGTCATCCCAACCAAAGCCTCTTCTGCTTAGCACAAGCTTACACCACAATCGCAGAGCAACAATAAGACCCGGAATGACCACCAGAATCCAGCATGCTGCCAGAATGGTTGGTCCCTGGGTCTGGGCGTCAATAGCAGCCGATTCCGTTGCCATGGTGCTTGAAGCAAACCCCTTGTCAGAGTACAAAGAATGAAAGAGAGATTAACAAAAGGCAATTGCCCGAGACGCAAATTTGGATGGTAGAACAAGGTTAATATAGTATATCAGAATTTTATAGCCCCTTAAAAACAAGACTCCCTCAAAACAAAACTGTGGAGTATAAACGTAGTAGCAAAGAGAAGCCACCGTCGATCATCCCAAGCAGGCGAGACCTCAAGTATGTGATCATCCAATCAGCAATGTATGAGCCGGCGCGGCAGGGATCCCTTCCGCTCCGGAGATGACAGATGTGTATGCGATGTTGGGGATTGACGATCAAAGCTCAGCGTCGGCCATTAAGAATTGTTGACCCAGTCCAGAACGGCGTACCCCGTAGTTGGGACTCGATCTATTGAAATCCCTCACTCTGCGTACTACTCAATTTGCCCAAAGTGTAGGCTTCAGCTTAACAATTGACCAACAGAAGCGCAGTACGAGGGCAATTTGACATATCGCGCGTGCATCTTGCAGGATGCAAGACAAGGCAATGGTGATCTGCAAAGCCGATCAAAATGACAGATCAGTAGACTAGTTCCCAGAACAAGCCGCCATGGTGGTCAGTAGCGGATAATTTAGACAAAGATCAGCCCTAAACCGGATTTCGGAGGTGATCGTTCATGCTTTTGGGTCCGAATGGAGTTGGCCATTAAGTCTGCTTCACGTATGGAGTAAAAGTTAGAAACTCTACAGGAGCGGACATCGTTTTTACAGACCTAGCGCTATGACTTTCGGGATCGAGTTAAGAATCCCCCGTCGCGGCAATCCTTGCATTTTCCGGCAAACCCGATGGGGCAAATTAAATATGCAAAAAATTTTCGTTGGCTTGGTTGATGTTTCCCATGCATGGCAAAGAACGTTGCGGCCCCTGCGCGGGAACGCCCAGCTCCACAATGATGGCTCAGTCTTGATAAATTCTACCCTGTACTCGGTACATTTACTCAACTCGAGTAGAGTGAATAGTTCAAGAGCTTTGATTTTAGAGGAAACGATTTTAAATCTATTACATATTGGCTCTCGGCCAGAGGGGTGTAACCGAACGGCCCCTCTAATAAAAGCCCGGCCACATGGATTCGCGGCCCGTTCTCACACTAGCCGTGTTAGTGCTTAGTTTGCTGTACTGTATTGTATCTTCAAGGTCAGAGGATTATTATTTTGCTTTTTTCAGATGTGTTTGCAAAAGTGTGTTTGATCAATGATATTTGCAATATTTCAGCTTGAAATTATGATAGATGACCACTAAAATACAAGTGGGGATAAGCTGTGAGTTCATGTAGCAAAGGGGTGTAACTACTAGTACACAGTACACAGGACGGATATGCACATGAGGTCCGTACATACATGGCTTCTCCACAAATGGCTGAACTGAAAGTCAGCCGGCTGCAGAAAATGTGATCTATCACGGTGACCGGACCCCGATGGTTCATGTGATAGGTACATTGTCCCGGACAAATATTCAGTGCGGATAGGCATTAGCCAATGGCCCAGTAAACCTGCAGAATATGATCTTACCGTTCTCCATGTCTGTAGTAAAATACGACAGACCTTGGAAATTGAAACCATTTGCCATCCATACAGGTTGCCTGGTGAGCTTCTAGGCCGTCTCACAATGGACCCATTGCGCAAAGGTGCATACCTAAAAGTATTATACTCCGTAGGCCCCCTCCTTATAACGGGCCCTTCTACAAAAGTACACAGATTCGATCGTACTCCATACTCGTAGACCCCCTCTTTCTTCTCAAATTGCCACTTTCTTGTCCGTGCGAATGGCCCCTATCGGCGTGCTTCTCTGATTCCCCTCCTTTGTGGGGCCCAGAGGAGCTCAAGCGAACTTTAGTGCTCAGATGGACTTATTTATGAAGTAAGAGGTGCCCGTCCCAGAGAAATCCAGCCTGCAGATATCATAAAATCTGTCAGAGTCGAACTTGCACAAGAAGCATGTTTTCTGCGGTCGATCTAGCAACGAATATAGCCCTCTCGGTGGCGATTCTCTTTGCCTCTCGCTTTCTCTGGAATTATGTCCGGTCTCCATTGAAGTCCTTTCCAGGCCCTCTTGCCACCAGCTGCACCAATATTTGGCGCTTTTGGGATGTGTTTCGTGGACGCTGTGATATAACACAACTCGCCTTGCACCGTAAATATGGCTCTGCTGTTCGAGTGGGACCGAATGTTCTCAGTCTTTCCGATCCGAAATTGATTGGCCTGGTTTATAACACCAGAAGCCCATGGATCAAGGTAAATTGACTCTCCTCCTTTCTTTGATCGAGACAGACAGTAAAATTTGTTGAATTATATCTCTAGAGTTCAATGTACAACGTCAATGATGTTGTCATCGGTGGTGTTCGCCTGAGCAACCTGTTCTCTTCTCGGGACGAGAAGTGGCACTCAACCTTCATTCGCCCTGTCAAAAATATGTACTCGATGAGTAGAGTTCAGGAGGTCGAGGGTACTATGGATGTTACTATCAAGTTGCTTTTTGACAAACTCCGTGCGAAGTTTGTTGGCACTGGCCAGACTTGTGAGATGTCGGATTGGATCAACTTCTGTGAGTATCTTTGCACAATTCCTTTACTAGCAGATCATGTCGACATGATACTTTTCTGGCTATCCCTTTTTCGCTTATGTCCTGTTTGATGGGTGGTTACGGTTTGCCTTTGGTTATTGTATATAGGCTAATAACTCGTACTAAAGTTGCCTGGGACACAATGAGCCAAGCCACCTTTTCTCAAGACCTTGGAATCCTTGAGGCTGGAAGTGACGACAAAGGCTTCCTAAGAAACTCCGACCGGACACTTGATTACTTCGCTTCTGTGAGTTCTCATGACGCAGAGCAAGGAGGTAACTTACTAATTTACACTAGATTTGCCAAATTCCTCTATTGGACTGGTTCCTCGATAAAAACCCCATCATGCGTATTGGTCCTCCAACCTTCGCTTGGGCTAATATTTTCAGCCTGGGGCAACTTCAAAAACGCTATCAGGAGGAAAAAAAGGACACCAAGCAGGACTACCTTGCTAAATTCCTCGAGATCAAAGAAAAGAACCCAGAATTGGTCGACGACAACGTCATTATCCTGTGGCTTTTGTCAAATGTCCTGGCGGGCAGTGACTCCACTGGTTATACCATGAGTGCGGCAATCTACTATATTCTGAAAAATCCCGAGGTTCATAAAAAACTCTGTGCTGAGCTCCGTGGTGCTAATTTATCCCTCCCGGCAAAATGGAAGGACATCCAAGGGCTTAAGTATCTTGAGGCAGTGATGCGTGAGTCTATGCGTGTACACCCTGGCGTTGGCCTGATACTCGAGCGTGTTGTTCCTAAGGGCGGATTGTCTCTCCCGGACGGGCGCTTTGTGCCAGAGGGAGTCGTCGTGGGAATGAATCCATGGGTGATCAACAAGAACGAAGCGGTCTTTGGTGCCAATCCTGATGATTTTATTCCGGAACGCTGGCTCCAAGCCTCCGGTGAATCCGCCGAGATATACCAGACACGCTTTTCTAAGATGAAAGGTACAGATATGACCTTTGGAGCTGGATCACGCGCTTGCCTAGGGCAATATTTGTCCCAACTTGAGAGTTACAAGCTCATTGCAACCTTGTTCAGCACTTTTGACGTGAGTGACACCTAATTTTAGGCCCTCAGATTGGGTTCTATGTGCATTTTGACTAATGTTCTCTGCAGGTGGAGCTCTCGAGTCCGGATCACGAAATGAAGATTATAAACTCTTGGTTTGTAAGAACTGAAAACTTGCCGGTCCGGCTGTCAGAGCGTAAGGATGGGGCCGTGTTTGTTTGAAGAGTTTAAGTTCGATCGATGTGGAGATGATGGATGGTATGGGTTATCTGTAAAAGCGGTATTGAATATAAGAATTCCAAGTTGCGCATAACAATGCTAGCAAGCCTAGTATGGATGTACGTAGTACGAGTACCCCTCAGTCAGCATTACTCAACCCTGGTTCTGGCACCCTTCACCGCCCAATGACGCTCGTTTACCAGCGAATCAGCGGCTCGGGAGAAGGTAGTTCCGACGCGCTAAGCCGAGTCTGGCAAGCGCCCCTCCGAACGCAGAAAAAAAAAGGAAGCAGCCGTCGCTCGAACTTTTTCTTCTTCTTTCTTTTCTTTGGGAAAGCTGGACTCTCTCCATCAACAGAAGGTTTCTTCCCTGTTGATTTGATTCCCCTCTGATCCATTCGACTCCTTACCTCCTTGGATCCAGAGTTTCTCTCTTTTTGTTATAAACAAAAAATCACCATGCCTATCACTAACAAGGAGGCTGCTCCCGGTGCTGCCATGAAGGCCGAGATCGAGGACTACACCAAGGCCCTGGAGGTCGTGAAGACCTACACCGTTCGGGATGGTCTTGATATCGATACTCTGCTGGACTCGGACAAGCACGGAGCTCTGACTTACAATGACTTCCTCGTCCTGCCCGGCTATATCGGTAAGCCGAATTTGCTTCGGATTCTGGCAAGGCCCCATTAATAACCTTGACCATCAGGCTTTGCCGCCTCCGACGTTAGCCTGGACAGCCCCGTCACCAAGCGCATCTCCCTGAAGGCTCCCCTCCTGTCCTCGCCCATGGACACTGTCACTGAGCACAACATGGCCATCCACATGGCTCTGCTCGGTGGTCTGGGTGTCATTCACCACAACTGTGCCCCCAACGACCAGGCCGAGATGGTCCGCAAGGTTAAGAGATACGAGAACGGCTTCATTCTGGACCCCGTCGTTCTTGCTCCTACTGCCACTGTCGGTGAGGCTAAGGACCTCAAGGCCAAGTGGGGATTCGGTGGCTTCCCAGTCACTGGTGAGTCAATTCTCGATTTTCCCCCCCTCGTACCCAACCACACCCCCTGCTATTGCATGATGAACAACCTACTTTTTTTATAACTTTCGTTCCACTGCCAGCAGCGAGAGCTGCCATGTAGAGAACCAGTTTTTATCTGAACTTCTGCCGTCACAACTCTTTCTTGTCACATCACTTTGTTTAACATGGATGCTAATGACGATTCTGTGACAGAGAACGGAACCCTTCGTTCCAAGCTTATTGGTATGGTCACCTCTCGTGACATTCAGTTCCACCATGAACTGAACGACCCCGTCACCTCTATCATGGCCACTGATCTGGTCACCGCCCCCGCTGGCACTACTCTGGCTGAGGCCAACCAGGTTCTCCGTCAGTCCAAGAAGGGCAAGCTGCCTATTGTCGATGAGGCTGGTAACATTGTCTCCCTGCTGTCTCGCTCGGACTTGATGAAGAACCTGCACTACCCTCTGGCCTCCAAGCTCCCCGACTCTAAACAGCTCATCTGTGCTGCTGCGATCGGCACCCGCGAGGAGGACAAGGCTCGTCTTAAGCTCCTTGTTGAGGCTGGTCTGGACATTGTTATCCTGGACAGCAGCAACGGTAGCAGTATGTACCAAGTTCAGATGGTCAAGTACATCAAGGAGACATTCCCCGACATTGATGTTATTGCCGGTAACGTTGTTACCCGTGAGCAGGCTGCTGTTCTGATTTCTGCCGGTGCCGATGGCCTGAGAATTGGCATGGGTAGCGGTAGTGCCTGTATCACCCAGGAGGTCATGGCTTGTGGCCGTCCCCAGGCTGCTGCTGTCCGCAGTGTCTCTGCCTTCGCTGCTCGTTTTGGCGTTCCCTGCATTGCTGATGGTGGTATCCAAAACGTTGGTCACATCGTTAAGGGTCTGGCCATGGGTGCTAGCACTGTCATGATGGGCGGTCTCCTTGCCGGTACCACCGAGTCCCCTGGCGAGTACTACGTTAGTAACGAAGGCCAGCTCGTCAAGGCCTACCGTGGTATGGGCTCCATCGCCGCCATGGAGGACAAGAAGGCCGGTGCCAACAGCAAGGATAGCAAGGCTTCCAACGCCGGCACTGCCCGTTACTTCTCTGAGAAGAGCAACGTTCTGGTCGCCCAGGGTGTTGCTGGCTCCGTCCTTGACCGCGGTTCCGTTACCAAGTTCATCCCTTACCTCATGGCTGGTGTCCAGCACTCTCTTCAGGATATGGGTATCGAGAGCCTGGACAGCCTGCACCAGGGTGTTAACAACGGCATTGTCCGCTTTGAGATGCGTAGTGCAAGTGCTATGACCGAGGGTAATGTCCACGGTCTGCACAGCTACGACAAGAAGCTTTACTCGTAGGATCCAAGCTTTCTTGAATGAAGGATTCCCCAATGTGAAATTTGAATGGGAACTCCCGGACGATGATACGTGGCCTTGGAAATAAAAAAATGGGGTATGATAGGACAGGAGTTAGACATGAGGAGTTTAATTTTTCAATTAATCAGTACATTATTCCGATTATATTCTCAGAAATTTGCGTAGCACATGTATCAATATCGCAGTATTCCGTACTCGTACTTCTTTGTGGTTATGCGTGTGGCACATGGTGCGGCTGTCGGCTAACTGGAAGCGGCCAAGCCGGACGCGGGGTACAGGGAGAAGCCTAGGCATCTCGGGTCGGTTCTTGCTATAAACTCCTTCAGTCGACCAAAAACCAACGGGGCGTATATAATATGCTCCCAGAGTATATTTGCAACCGTTGGTTAGCCCCTGTATTTGCCGGCCCCTACTTTACACGAACAACTCCTACATCCTTCCACGTCGCACGATTTTGGCTTCCCCCGGGCCCACGCCGAGGCAACTCCAAAAGGAATTATTCGGCGAATTCACAGTCACCGTCAACTACCCAGTCTGCCAGGATGCCACGCGCAAAGGAAGACGGCCAAAAAAAGAAACAGCCTGCTGTGGCTAGACCGAGTTCGAGGTGTGTTGACTTCCGGCGTGTGATGCCTAAAGCCTAACGGATTCGACCAAATCTGGACCATTGTAGAAGCATTCGATGAATGTTTGTCAAAAAAGACATCACCGCTAACAATAGTCCAGCGTAATTCTTGTTTCCCCAAAGAACGAGATTCTTCTGCTGCATCGAGTGCAGACATCCAGCTCTTTCGCCTCCGCCCATGTCTTTCCCGGCGGAAATCTATCCAGCCAAGATGGGCCATGCCCTCCCCCCGGAAGATCATGCCCACCACGATGATGGTCCTTCGTATCGACATGCAGCAATCAGAGAGCTCTTCGAAGAAAGTGGCATTCTACTTGCTACAGACCAAGCCTCTGGGAAGATGCTTGTAGTCGACGAAGCAACACGGGAGAAAGGCCGACGCCTTATTCATCAAAACCAAGTTACTTTTGGCGACTGGCTAAGGCAGCAGAATGCAGCAGCTGAGCCTGATATAGGTCAGTCTATCTTGATGACTTTCGAACCCCTCAGATCCCAGTGCTAACTCGAGAGAAGACCCGTTGATTCCGTTCACGCATTGGATTACCCCAATTCATAACCCCAAGCGCTATACAACCCAGATGTACCTGTATTTTATGCCACTTCCTGTCAATTTAGACAAGAAATTGCTGGAAGGTCTCCCTACTGAGGGCGAGCGGGATGAGATCCAAGTTCCGACCAGCGATGGTGGCGTTGAAGTCACCGAGGCCCAATTTCTCCCAGCTGCTGCATGGCTTGACCGTGCACAGAAAGGAGAAATCATTCTCTTCCCTCCGCAGTTTTTACTTCTACATTTGGTATCGGGATTTCTTGATCAGAATCCTCATTCGACTGTCTCCAATGAAGAAATGGAGAAACGCCGGGCGGCACTGATCGAATTTGTACATTCGGGCTCTCCCCCATGGACGGACAAGTATATTTCACCCAAGATGCTGAAAGCGACCGAGGATGGCCGGGTGGTTCTGGCTTTAGATGATGCCGGGCCCGAACTGAAGGGCTCCGACAAGCGAGGCGAGTCTGATCGAGTTGTCCTTGTACGATTCACAAAGGGAAGTGCGAGAGAAGTGACTGTGGCATGGAAGAAAGATGCCCTGCGTGAAGGAAAAGAAGGTCGGAGCAGTCTCTAGATATTATAGATAACGACTATATACGTGGCACATCAAATGTTGTGTCCTACCATAACAGCAATCTGAATAATATGCATCCAAGCAACGGCAACTGGATTATGTGGTTCCGGTGGTTCCCAGGGTTCCTGGGCGGGAGATGAAGCGTAGTATTGCCACGGCCAAAGATATGGCTCGGGTATAAGCCCACGCACGTTGCATTTCCACCACGCCAGCCCTCGACAAAGAGTCACATGACCCACACAAATCATTTGAGTCCCGATTTGTGCGGACCGAAAAACCCTCCACCTCCAACCTCACCGTCGCCCGTCCAATCCTCTACATCAAACCCGCCAAAATGGAGAACGAGAAGGGAGAGATCGTCGATCTGTATGTGTTTCCGCCATCCGACTCACCTTCGCTACAATCTATCCGGTGTCCTGTGTCTTGTCTGCCTACATTCGCCATACCGCATTGAATTCCCGACCACAAAAGAGACGGACCTTTTCGAGGCTTGGTCGGAATAAAATTCGAATTCCAAAGCCAGTGGACTCATGCGCGCTGTCTTGTTGGCGACAAAATTCAGGACACCGGTCGATTGGAGGGGAAGCGAATTTCGATACTCAATATGAGTCGAAACGAAAAAAAATACAAAGGATACTAACTGTACTTCCCTTGATAGCTACGTGCCCCGCAAGTGCAGCGCCACCAACCGCATCATCAAGGCCAACGACCACGCCTCTGTCCAGCTCTCCGTTGGCAAGGTTGACGAGAACGGCCGCTACACCGGCGAGAACGAGACCTACGCTCTCTGCGGCTTCATCCGTGCCCGCGGCGAGTCCGACGACTCCTTCAACCGCCTTGCCCAGAAGGACGGCTACCTCAAGAACGTCTGGTCCGCCAACCGTCAGCGTTAAATCGTCATGAAGTTTGCGCACTAGGGTGGTGTTGACGGGTTGATATTATGGTTAGCTTTCCCACCTCGCTTCATCTCGATTGAACATGCAACTAACTGGCAACACAGAGACGAACCGTGGCTAGATGGTCCAGGTTCGGGGATTGGAATAAGAGAAAAATGGATGAGGGTGTACTGGTAGTCTCCTTCGCCTAAATTTTGAAACCCTGTTTTCCTATCTATCAAAAAATGAGAATGGAATAACGACTTTAAATGGGTCCGGCCTTGTAATACTACAATGCCGCCTATTCAAATCCTCTATTTTACGCCTTTGCGATAGACCAAGGGGGAATTTCTTCGCAAGAGAAATACCCTTTCTTCCCTTCAGGCCTTTGTTCCTTTCTTGCAGCCCTCTTCCTCACGATCATGAAACAAAAGCCCCAAAATCAAATTTCAAAAACTTGAATAATTCCTCATTTCCCCATCCCACTTCCCCATTCCCTATCTCATCGGCATATCAAGGCTTCCTCATTCTTGTGGACTTTGAAAACCGGATCGTAACCCGGTCTGTGTTTTTGTTGTCTGCGTCTCCATGAGCGAGGGAGTAGAAACAGCTGTTTCACTATCCATCGCCGAAGATTACCTTCTTCCCCGCCTACTGAAGAGCCACTGTTGCAGAGTTTAATGCACTGGGGCACAGATACGGGTGGGACATTCGGATCCATAAACTTAGACCAAGGGACAACTCCCTCAACGTAAAACCTGGTTACTACTACTATACCAATGTGATCCGTTGGCCATTTCGGCTTCAAAACTATGACCTCTACCTTGTCAAAAAAAAAAAAAAACTTTTACGTGGCCTTTTCCTGGCTTGTTGTGTTTCTCCACGGTATAAGGCTGTTGATTTAGAGACATAATTGATTTTTTATTCGTTTCTCCTCGTCCATTTCATTGACATGCAAACATGACCTTCCGCATGAACTCGTCATTCCAGAAAAAGGGCCATGAGTCTTAACTTCAAGGCCTCTTTGGGCAAAACACAACATAGAACAGAAAATTTTGTCTATAAACAATTGATGCAATCCAGGCGTGCTAATTTTGGAGTTTAGTTTTATTTCTCCAGGCGCACAGCCGGGTTAGACTCGATGAAGTTCAAGTCGACCTTGTGACCAAGCAGCTCGCGGATGTTGCTGACACCATACCTAGAAACGATATGTCAGTAGTTAATTCGGAAATATAAAGCAATTCGGTTTAGACTCACTTGATCATAGTAGGACGCTCCAGACTCAGACCCCAACCGTAGACCTGCATACCCTTGGGGATGCCCATCGACTCCAGCATCTCAGGTCGGAACATACCACTGTTACCGATCTCCACCCACTTACCCAGACCTTCGTGGTAGCCGAAGATCTCCATACTAGGCTCGGTGTAGGGGTTGTAAGCAGGCTTGAAACGAAGCTGGTGGATGTTCATCTTGGCGAAGAAAACCTCCATAAATCCAATCAGACCACCCAAAGTGAGACCGAAGTCAGCAATCACACCCTCAATTTGGTGGAACTCTGCCAAGTGAGTAGCATCGACGGCCTCGTTTCGGAAGACACGGTCGATACTGAAGAAGCGGGCCGGCCGCGGGTTGGCAGCGAGCTTGTGCAGCATGTACGCCGAAATGGAGGTGGTGTGCGTACGGAGGACAAGACGCAGGGACTCGTCCGCGCTCCACGGGTAACGGTAACCAATTGAACCAAACTTGCCCTTCTCGTGGACATCGTGCACGTTGTCCCAGTATTTCTTGTAGTCGAGCGGCTTATCTTGGGTATTCTTGGGGCAGTGGGGGTCGTTGGCGGGGTCCTCGCGAGGTCCATCGGCGGTAAGGGGATCAGCGATGTAGAAGGTGTCCTGGAGATCACGGGCAGGGTGTTGCTGGGGCACGAAAAGAGCATCGAAGTTCCAGAAACCAGTCTCAACGAAGCGGTTGGTGGGCATCTCCTCGAAACCCATCTCAAAGAAAATGTTGCGGAACTCCGCGCGCACCTTGCTCAGTGGGTGCAGGGCACCGGAGGGCGTTAGGGCACCCTTGGCACTAAAGTTATAGGCTTTGAATTCGATATCTTTCCACGCTCCATTGGAAAGCATGTCGAAGGTAAGATCGGTCTCCTCCTTGACGAACTCGCGGGCATACTTGGGGCCCTTGGTGATCTTGAAGGTGATAGCCTTGGACAGGGTAATCAATTTCCTCCGCTTCAGGTCCGCAATGGCTTTGGTATCCTCCAGGGTGTTTGTCCGCTGCACGGTGAGCAGGGTTTCGCGGGTCAGATCGACGATCGACTCGCGGGTTGCCCGCAGCAAGTCCTTGTCCTTCTTGATCCAGCCTTGCTTGAAGGCATTGCCCTGGCCAACCTTGGCGTTATCCTTCCCCACAATGGCGGGCAAGTCGGCAATCTTCAGACCATCCAGGGCCTTGACGACGGCGTCGAAAACCTTGGCCTCGTGACTGCCATTGGTCGCAATTTCTTCACCCTCGGGGGTAAGTTCGATGATCTCCTTGTCGATAGTCTCATATTCGACCATCTGCCGGGTGGCCAGGCGGTCCAGCGCACTTTTGACCTTCAATGAGGGGTCGGAGGGGAAGGCTTCGCTAGAGAGGATAGGGGTATCGGAGGCGGATAGAGCGTCCAGGATCGGGGCTGTCAGGTCGGACGCCATGGCTGCGGCCTTTTCCTGCAGGAAAATTGTCAAAATCTGAGCGGGGGAGCGTATGGGAATGAGGTCGGACTTTGGGACTGGTGCCCGCCAAAATTACGATGACTCTTTTCCAGTGATGGTGCGGCGGGCACAGCGACCACTTGCGCTGTTTCACCCCCACCATTCAAGCAGCCGCTACGTTTGTACATATGTACTCCGTACATTGGATTGATTGATTGATTGATTCGATGTCTAATCATTCACCACTCAACTCGTGACTCAGTGATCATCCGATTCGCTCGGCAGATTAGTCTTGCGTACTCGTATACGGACTCGGGGTACTTCCACTATCATCCGGAGAAACCTTCAATACTTATGTCGCTTATCCTGCTCTACAGCTCATATGGAATATCTTGGCTCGCTGCTCGCCAGTCGCGTCTTTTTCCCTCCGGTGCTTTCGTGTACTTTTTAAGTGGCGTGGCCGTTTCATCAACGGGCTACTCGTACATTGTACTTGTACTCGTACGCGTGCAGCGGAGGCAATATCGAACGTCAGTGCGTCTGGGTTAAGACCTTTCATCCTGACGTGTGCTTTGAGAATGCCTTGACCGGTTTAATATCTGTGAGGTGGTGATCTCTTGGCACCCGCAGCTGGGATGACCTGCAATCATGCAGCCATGGTGTCATTATCTCGTGGCCATTTCGCAAAACCCTGCCCCCCCCCCCCGCCAGGTGATGTGATACCGAATTAGTGGATACCAGCAACCAAGTACCCTGGCAGCGACCGTTGAACCTTCTCCTCCACCGCTGTCCAGGACTACTACAGAGTATTCGGCGCACGAGACCAGGAGGAGGCCAGGAGGACACCGTCTCAGCCACCCAAATAGAGGCCAGTATCCTTAGCGAGTGTGGACATCAAACAACTCCGGAACGGTGGCAGACTCGCCCCGAGACAACGAAGCACCGCTATTTCTTACTGGTTGGGACTAAGGTTCGGACCCAGTAGAGTCCACCCGCAAGAACCGTTCCTTGAAGTCTCGGGGCTACAGACTATTCGAACCTCTCAAAAGCCCATGTGGAATTTATTGGGCCGCGCGGTGATCACGGAGGATTTTTGAGGATTTAGAGGAGGAGGGGGGTAGTTTAGGAATAAACTATTGACAACTCAAACAACGAACTTGCCGGGATGACGAGTTGGACTTGCGATCGGCCCTAGTTCCAGCGGCGATCATCACGCTTTCAAGGTTACTCGTTCGATAGCCAGCGGATCAAGGGAGATGAAACGGCTCAGGGCCTTATTCCCTTATTCCCCAGTATCCTGGTCTCTTGGGAACTCTATCGCCTGCACTTGTCCGTGCGAGCCAAATCCATGATTCCGTTTCTGCCGGGATGTAAGCTGCTGTTGGTTGGGCGTGCATGCTATGGTGTACGAGTCGAGTACGGGAGTGCCAGCGTCTGTCTGCTTTGCGTAGTTTTTACCTATTAGAAAAGGCAGCGAAATAGAGACAGTAGAAGAGACAGAGAGAGACAGAGAGAGACAGACAGAGAGACAGAGAGAGAGAGAGAGAGAGAGAGAGAGAGAGAGAGAGAGAGAGAGAGAGAGAGAGAGAGAGAGAGAGAGAGAGAGAGAAATCAGTCGGCATCGCCGCCCCTTTTGAAATCCTCAATCATGCCCTTCCCCTTCCCCTTCCCCCTCCCCCCCTTCTCTCTCTCTCTGACTCTCTCCTCAATTTTCACATCTTTCTCCCCATCACCCCCTTAAAAAACCTTAAAAGCTTCTTCTCTCTCATTTTCTGGGGATTTATAATTTGTGCATCTCTCTATCCCTCCGTCCTTTTCCTCCCCCGCAAAAAAAAAAAAGGAAGAGCGTGGTGATTACATAACCGGGCGCTCCCCCCTTTGGTCTCCTTCGTCTCCCCGACTCAAACCTTTTGCAGTGTTGCTATCTATCATCTAACCCCCCCCCCCCTCTGCCCGAATATTTCGGGCTGTGTCAACTCTCTCTTTCTTGGTCCCGGATCCTCCTTTTTTTACATCGCCCCATGTCGTCCTAGATCCCTTCGTCTATCTTTTGTGGCAGAACCCCCCGTCCGGTAAGCTTGAACTCCCGCATCGATACCCTCCCAAGTTCCTCCTCCCCCCCCTCTCCCCCCGAATAACTCCCTATTCGGGGTTCATTTCGGCCATTTTTTGGAATCATCGTTTCTTCCCCTGGGGGTCTTTCGTTGGTTTTTGGGTCAAGGGTCGCTTGGTTTCTCGTTATCATGGAAACGTTCTCGCTCGCTAACGATCGTAGGGCATAATGACTGGTGCGGACGAGACTCTTGTGGCCGCGACTGCGGTCTTGCAGTCTCTGGCCAGAGACGAGCCTACCGCTGGCTCATCTTCCCCTCCTTTTGATTTTCAATTTCCATCAAGCAATGGTGCCAAATCTTCCACACTCCCCGGAGATCCGAGTCCTGCAAAGGCTGCCTTCGAGGCCGAGTTGGAGGCCTTGGTGCGCCGAGTGCACCACCTGGAATTCCAAGCTGTCAGTCATCACACGTTCCCCGACAATCCCCAGCAGACCACCCTGACTGCTCTCGGATCCAACGAGAAGAACCCAGACTTTTTGTGGACCTTTGGGCTCGATCGCTTGTCGTCCGGTCAAGGTTCTGACTCTCATTGCCTCACACAGCAGCAAAACCTGAATCAACCCAATCGGCGGCAGCGAACCCCCCTCGGGCCCCGAAGAGCAAGTGCAAGTGCAAGAGCAACCGCCCCCGACTGTGGACCTTGACGATGACGAAACCGACGAGGAGGACGAAACTGGAGCCCGCACCCGGGTCGTCCGCGAAGAAGATATCAGCATCCTGCGAAACCATGTGCAAAAGCAGGCCGAGGAAATCAGCTTCCAGAAGGACATCATTGCGCAGGTCCGCGACGAACTGTTGAAACAAGAGGAGCACACCCGCCGTGCCCTCACCAAGGTTGAAAATGAGGATGTCGTCCTCCTGGAACGCGAATTACGCAAACATCAACAGGCAAACGAGGCCTTTCAGAAGGCCTTGCGAGAAATCGGTGGTATTATCACGCAGGTCGCCAACGGTGACCTCTCGATGAAGGTCCAAATTCACCCCCTGGAGATGGACCCGGAAATCGCTACTTTCAAACGAACGATTAACACCATGATGGACCAGCTACAAGTTTTCGGTAGTGAAGTATCTCGAGTCGCCCGTGAGGTCGGAACTGAAGGAATACTAGGTGGACAGGCACAAATCACTGGTGTCCATGGTATCTGGAAGGAGCTTACTGAAAACGTGAACATTATGGCCAAAAACTTAACGGATCAGGTGCGAGAAATCGCTACTGTTACAACTGCTGTCGCGCACGGTGATCTCAGTCAGAAGATTGAAAGCCGTGCTCAAGGTGAAATTCTCGAACTGCAACAAACGATTAATACCATGGTGGACCAGCTTAGAACATTCGCAACTGAAGTCACACGAGTCGCTCGTGATGTCGGTACGGAAGGTGTGCTGGGAGGTCAAGCTCAAATAGAAGGTGTCCAGGGCATGTGGAACGAACTCACGGTCAACGTCAACGCAATGGCCAATAATCTGACAACGCAAGTACGAGATATCGCAACTGTCACCAAGGCCGTCGCCAAGGGTGACCTGACGCAAAAGGTGCAAGCCAACTGCCGAGGTGAAATTGCTGAGCTCAAGGACATTATCAATTCCATGGTGGACCAGCTGCGACAATTTGCGCAGGAAGTCACCAAGATCGCCAAGGAGGTCGGTACGGACGGTGTACTTGGTGGTCAGGCCACAGTGAATGACGTCGAAGGCACTTGGAAGGATCTCACTGAGAACGTTAATCGAATGGCTAATAACCTGACGACCCAAGTTCGTGAGATTGCTGATGTCACTACGGCTGTTGCCAAGGGTGACCTGACCAAGAAAGTCACAGCCAATGTCCAGGGTGAAATTCTTGACCTGAAGAGCACTATCAACGGCATGGTTGACCGTCTAAACACCTTCGCTTTCGAGGTCAGCAAGGTCGCCCGTGAAGTCGGTACCGATGGTACTTTAGGAGGCCAAGCAAAGGTCGACAATGTGGAAGGAAAATGGAAGGATCTTACCGACAACGTCAACACCATGGCCCAAAACCTGACATCTCAAGTGCGAAGTATATCCGACGTCACTCAGGCCATTGCTAAGGGTGACCTGAGCAAGAAGATTGAAGTGCACGCGCAAGGAGAGATTCTTACCCTCAAGGTCACCATCAATCACATGGTGGGTCGGCTGGCTAAGTTCGCCATGGAACTCAAAAAGGTCGCCCGCGATGTCGGTGTCGATGGTAAAATGGGTGGACAAGCCAATGTTGAAGGAATTGCAGGTACCTGGAAAGAGATCACGGAGGACGTCAACACCATGGCCGAGAATCTCACATCCCAAGTGCGTGCTTTTGGTGAAATTACGGATGCCGCGACAGATGGAGATTTCACCAAACTTATTACTGTCAATGCTTCCGGTGAGATGGACGAACTGAAGCGCAAGATCAACAAGATGGTTTCCAATCTGCGTGATAGTATTCAGCGAAACACTGCCGCCAGGGAGGCTGCCGAACTTGCCAATCGCACCAAGTCCGAGTTCCTGGCCAATATGTCGCACGAGATCAGAACCCCGATGAATGGTATCATCGGAATGACGCAACTCACGTTGGATACCGACGACTTGAAACCATACACTCGAGAGATGCTGAATGTGGTGCACAATCTGGCCAACAGTTTGCTCACGATCATCGACGATATACTAGATATCTCAAAGATTGAAGCCAACCGAATGGTCATTGAAAGCATTCCGTTCACCGTGCGTGGCACTGTTTTCAATGCTCTGAAAACACTGGCTGTCAAGGCAAATGAGAAATTCCTGAGCCTGACGTATCAAGTCGACAATACGGTACCGGACTATGTCATTGGTGATCCATTCCGTCTACGCCAAATTATTCTCAATCTGGTTGGAAATGCCATCAAATTCACAGAGCATGGTGAAGTCAAACTCACCATCCGCAAATCGGATCGTGAGCAATGCACCACCAACGAATATGCCTTCGAATTTTCCGTCTCCGACACGGGTATTGGTATTGAGGAAGACAAGTTGGACCTGATCTTTGATACCTTCCAACAGGCTGATGGTTCCACAACTCGTCGATTCGGTGGCACAGGCCTTGGTTTGTCCATCTCCAAGCGATTGGTCAATCTCATGGGCGGTGATGTCTGGGTCACATCCGAGTACGGTCATGGAAGTACATTCCACTTCACCTGCGTCGTCAAGCTTGCCGACCAATCATTGAAGGTTATTGCATCTCAACTTATGCCGTATCGTGACCACCGAGTCCTCTTCATCGACAAAGGACAGAATGGAATCCAGGCGGCTAATGTCTTGAAAATGCTGAAGCAAATTGACTTGGAGCCACTGGTTGTGCGGAATGAAGAACATGTTCCACCACCTGAAATTCAGGACCCCTCTGGAAAGGAGTCGGGCCATGCGTACGATGTCATCATTGTGGACTCCGTCGACACCGCTCGGATTTTACGAACTTTCGATGAGTTCAAGTATATTCCCATTGTGTTAGTCTGTCCCTTGGTATGCGTGAGCCTGAAGTCCGCTCTGGATCTTGGTATCAGCTCATATATGACGACACCTTGCCAACCCATCGATCTGGGCAATGGCATGCTACCAGCTCTTGAAGGCCGCTCGACCCCGATCACTACCGACAACTCCCGCTCCTTCGACATTCTTCTTGCTGAGGATAACGATGTGAATCAGCAACTTGCGATGAAGATTCTTCAAAAACACAACCACAACGTCTTTGTCGTCGGCAACGGTCTTGAGGCCGTTGAGGCCGTCAAGAAGCGCCGCTATGACGTTATCCTCATGGACGTTCAAATGCCTGTCATGGGTGGATTTGAAGCCACAGGCAAGATTCGCGAGTATGAACGGGAGAGCGCATTGCAGCGGACACCAATCATTGCTCTTACGGCACATGCCATGTTAGGAGATCGTGAAAAGTGCATCCAGGCCCAAATGGACGAATATCTGTCCAAACCACTCAAGCAGAATCAAATGATGCAGACCATTCTCAAGTGTGCTACGCTTGGTGGTTCTCTTCTCGAAAAGAGCAAGGAGTCTCGGATTTCCAGCAGCGGAGAAATGCACCCGATCCACTCCTCCGTTTCGTCCGACAATCAGAATCAGCAACTGCAGCAACAGTCTCAAAATAAGAAGCCGTTGCCAGCTCCCACGCGGCCGAGTGCTGAGACTCGCTCCATCACCTCCTCCGGTCCGATCGCTCGGGGAAGCGTAGTGAGTCCAACAGAGGACAAAGACGAAGAGATGATCGATGATCGGGTACGTTAAAAGCATTGTATGTTGAAGAGGAAAACACATTCGAACACCCTGGCTAATTCTTATTGTATTCTCAAACAGTCATTACTGCGATCCAACAGTACCTGAGCTTATTTGCATCTCTTGAACAATGTACTTTCTCGCCATGCAAATCTGCCTCTATGGCTTGATGTGGCCCTTGATACCCTGTCTATATTGAGTCTTTTTGAGCGCTTCTTCTTAAAGACCTCTTTTGAGAGGGCCCCGTGAGCACCTCCTCCATTTCCTACTTCCGACATTTTGTTCATCTCATACCCACCTACCTCATTCTCCTGTCATTTTCTCGCTTCACAAAGTGACCCCGTTTCTGCATTCGTTTACCATGGTACCTATCCCTGGTGGTGTTTGGCGTATCATTTTTATTTTCAACAAGGGCCTGGGCAGTCAAGTGGGTGACTGAAGGTGGAGTTTGCAACAAGAAGGCGTGCTTTTACTTTTGATCTATCCCATTGGGGTTTCCAGTGTCGTCACATTTGCTTTGCCATCTATTCTCTCGCTTGCAATCTTGCCTTGGAGCCTGTTTCTGTCATCATTTCTATTTTTGTATTGTACCTATTTGTTCCCTCCACGTTCTTGTCGAGCCATCTTTTTTGGTGCTAGAGAGGACGCCCAAGGTTCCGAGGCTTCTCTTTTTTTTTCCTACTGCCACTGGTGGTGTTTACTGGTTCTTGTTTGGGATGTTTCATCTCAGGCGAGGCTACAAGGCAAGAATTCATTCCATACTATCTATCCTTCCTTGACTTGCCCTGATTGTACTAGTAGTAGTACTAATGTTGTAGAATAAAGGCAATGAGCGCAGGTAGTCCCCCAGCACACTCACTCCCTCCCTCAGAAAGAAGATCATAAAAACGAGCAATCATATTATTAGATCTATATAAGGCTGAAACTATCAACCAGATCCTAAAATTATTCAGCTTAACGCCCTCCCCTCGCTTCAAGTTCTAAAAATACCAACCCCCAAAAACTCAACGACCAAATAACCAGCAAATTAATTCCAAATACGACCCCAGTGCGGCCTTGAAGGGTGAACATTCGTCCCCGTCGCGGTGAATTGAGTCGAGGCATGGGTTACGTTAAGAGCAGTCGTCGCATTCGAGAAAATACTGCTCGTGTTAGTGAACGGCGCGGTTATATTCCTCAGCACTCCCCGTGTAACGATACCGGGCTCCCGTCGAATCACATTGGAGTCTCGTCGTTGAAAATGACTTCCTTTCTCTTTGACTTTTTCTGTGGGCGACGCTTCGGGGCTGGTGCTGGATTCGCCAGTGGACGTCGACTCTTCGGAAGTCGTAGATGGAGACGTCTCTGGAGTCGTGGATGGAGATGCCTTTGGAGTCGTGGATGGAGATGCCTTTGGAGTCGTGGATGGAGATGCCTTTGGAGTCGTGGATGGAGATGTCTCTGGAGTCGTGGATGGAGATGCCTTTGGAGTCGTGGATGGAGATGTCTCTGGGGTGGTGGATGGAGATTTCTCTGGGGTGGTGGATGGAGATTTCTCTGGGGTTGTAGATGGAGACGATTCCGAGGGTGTGGTGGTCGAGGAAGGTACTGTTATCAAGGTGCTGGGACTAGAGCCTGGGTTTGAGCTTGAAGTAGAAGCTGTGGAAGCTGTGGAAGTTATGGAAGCTCTGGAAACTGGCCCGCTGGTTGTACTGGATGTACTGGATGTACTGGTTATACTGGTTGTACTGGTTGTACTGGTTGTACGGGTGCTGGGGATGAAGGGAGTCGAGCTCTTGGAAGTAGTTTGCGATCCGGGGTTGGTTGTGCTTGCGCTGCCACTTCCACTTCCAGATGAACTTCCAGATCCGCCGCCAGTTGCACTTCTCGAAGGATTGCCCGATCCTCCTCCACCTGAGGAGCCTCCGCCAGAGGTTGAGGGTCCTCTACCTCCTCCACCGCCAGCACCACCAGCGCTGCTGCTTCCTCCGCCAGCACCTCCACCCGCTCCACCTGATGGGCCACCGCCAGACAGACCACCGCCAGATGGGCCTCCTCCAGATGGGCCTCCTCCAGATGGGCCTCCTCCAGATGGGCCTCCTCCAGATGGGCCACCTCCGGCTCCACCACCGCCAGATGTTGGACAGCTAGTCACTGTCACTGTCACTGTAGACACAGTTGCAGTGGGACAAAATGGGGCACAGATAGAAGAGACCCCAGGGCAGATAGATCCACCGGAGTTGCCACCTCCAGAAGAAGTGCCTCCGCCGGGGCTTGTACCTCCACCACCAGGGGAAGTACCACCACCGGGTGAAGTGCCGCCGCCAGGAGAGGTACTGCCGCCAGGAGAAGTGCCACCACCAGGAGAAGTGCCACCACCAGGAGAAGTGCCACCACCAGGAGAAGTGCCACCACCAGGAGAGGTGCCGCCGCCAGGAGAGGTGCCGCCGCCAGGAGAGGTGCCGCCGCCAGGAGAGGTGCCGCCGCCAGGACTACCGGTAGAGCTTGGGCTAGCACCACCACTACTAGGGCTAGTTCCTCCTCCGGGAGATATACCACCGCCAGGGGAAGTGCCACCGCCAGGGCTTGTACCTCCTCCAGGGGACGTACCACCACCAGGAGAAGTGCCACCACCAGGAGAAGTGCCACCGCCAGGATTACCGGTAGAGCTAGGGCTAGCACTACCACCACCACCAGGGCCTGTACCGCCGCCGGGGGATGTGCCTCCACTAGGGCTAGTTCCTCCTCCAGGGGAGGTACCGCCACCAGGTGCACCAGTAGACCCAGGTGAAGTTGAGCAGGGAATTCCGGTCTCTTCACCAGGGAATGTTTCGGTAGCGGAAGCAACGGCTGAACTCAGGGCGCCCGTGTTGGCGATATTATGACGTTCTACCAAGTGACGGTTCTCGTCGCGGTCAACAAGGATAGCCAGCTCGTCTGCACTCGCTGGGAGACACTGCAATAGTATGCAAGAAGCGGCGGCCAGCAAAGCCATGCATCTATTAGGATACATGATGGCAGATCAAAGAGTCTGGGCGTGAAAACAATCAAGCGAGTGAGTGTTCAGTCAAGAGGACAATTGATCATAGAAAGGTTGACACGTTCCGGGGCCACTCAAATTTGTAATGGCGGGATTGGATGGATAAGTAGCAAGAAAAGAGAATGTAAAACAAAGTCAATCGGATCGAAGCAAAGTCCACGCAACAGCCAACTTGATGCAGATCACAGCGTTGCACGAACCGCCGGACAGGAGCAAGACAACACACAGCGAAGCAATCTGGACAGCAAGCAAAAGCGAAGATGGAAGCAAGGTAGAAGGACAGAGGGTGCAGAGACAAAGACCTTGTAATATGTAGCGCATAGCCAGAAACCTTGAAGGGTAGTGATGATCGAGCGATGTCATTGACTTAGTTTCCAGGTATGGGCTGATGACCATATATGGTTGGTCTTGCTGAGGGGAGCCCTATGTTTACCAAGTTCCATGGTCCTCGCAGCACTTCCGGCCGTTCCTCTTGGAAATATATTCCGCAGGTTCCTCGGGCTTTGACAGAATCAGGTACCATCATTGTGACTGCCAAATTACATAGATCTGGACCTGAACCTGGTTCTTGTTCCCCTCGGAGATATTATGCGATCTCCTAGCGGATGAGATCATTGTATCGTGAATTGAACTATCGAGATGACCATGCGAAACCCCCCCCCCGATGGATTTAACGATGAAAAATCGATTAGCATTAGTAAACTAGAAACTTTTTAACCTATGATAAGATGCATGCGAAATTGACGCGTTTGTTTGTTGGGTCGCTAATATGGTCGTGGAGAGAAAAATAAGTTCAAACCGCCTGGCACTCAATATGGCGGTGTCTTCAAAATTCAAAATGTATATATATAAATATATAAATTCAATCTCTGTGCAATTTTAGTCGCTTTTATTCTGCGAGGTCATGAAGTCGTGTCGTTGGTATTCAAAGGGTGGGTATTTCTTGCATTTGCAACTTTTTCAAGTAAACATGGGCGCGTAGCCTATGTGACCTAGTAAATAGCGAGAGGACGACGCCAGCCGACCTGTATGACCTTTACGGCGGTACAGCAAGCAAGACCAGCCGCATAGCACACTGTAGTGAAAGCAATAAGGCCCCAGTATTCACCATTGCAGCGCGATAGGATTTCTCCGGCAATGGGGATACCGGTCAGGGTGCTAGTAGCGAATATGTCAGTCATGAGTACAAATGACATCAGAAACTGTGTTCAATAACTGATACTTACCCAAAGCTCACAATCGTGTATGCGGTTGCGTAATAACGACCGTAGTTTTCGGTCTTGCACAGCTGACCGACGCAGACAGGCGTCAAACTGATGTTACTTCCACTGGAGAAGCCGAAGAGGACGGCATATACGATGAGCAATGCCAGACTGTTCCCGGCAGGAAGCCAGAGGCATGCATTGCACAGCAAGCAGAGAGCCACAGTCGCAATCAAGGTGTTGAATCGGCCAAGATAATCAGCAAAGAATCCTGGAAGCCATCTTCCGAAGAACGAACCAACGTTCAAAATGGCTACCATCTGGTATGAAAGTTTCGTGGAGAAGCCTTGATCCAGAGCATAAGAGGAGATGTAACTGATAGGCACGAAGAGACCCCACTCAATAAAGAACACGCTGGCGGTAGTCAATGCAAATCGAGGCTCGCGGAAAACCTTGAAATCCGGAAGGATGTTTTCTCTGGAGAAAGGCCGTTGTGGTAGGCGAGATTTGATGAGTAGGTTTGCGAATCCAAAAGCGATTAGGCATATCAGGGCGATCACACGGGTTGCCCAGGCCCATCCAATTTTGGGGAAAAGGCTTTCCAGAATGAGCGGAAAGGCAATTCCCCCAATCGAGCCACCGGTAGCAGCAATACCGGTTGCGACTCCACGTTTTTCAAAGAAGAAATGACCGATTGCTGAGATGGCTGGGGTGAATATCAAAGACGCGCCCACTCCGCCCAGAACACCGATCACAAGCATAAAATGCCAGTACTTGGTGCAAAACCCCAGAAGGATCATCATCGCCATCTCACAGATGGAGCCTGCCAGGACAAGAAAACGCGGCCCGCGGGCATCGAAGATGGGGCCGATCTGAACACCGCAGAAGAAGGTCAAGAAGGCATACATGCCAAAGATCCACCCGATGTTACCGGAGCTATAGTCTTTCAGCTGGTGATTCTCGATGTAGGCCTGGAAAGTACCAATGGTGTTGACGAGTCCCAGGGAGCCAAAAAGACCCAGGAAGCTCCCGAGCACCACCAGCCATGCTTCAAGCCCACCCTCTGGGTAAGTGTTCCCTCCGCATCAGTCGTCACCCGGCTCATAGGGTCCCTACGAACGGAGCGGTGCGAAGGGGCTACCGTAGAAGCCGTGCGATAGAGCTCATCGTTGTTGTCTGACTTGTTTGCGGTAGCTGGCTCATGTTCGGCATCCTGGTTGGGGTTGTGGGTTTGGTCCTGCTTTTCAAAATCGGAGACATGCGTACCAGTCTTTTCCAGATCAGCTCCGGTCACCTGGTCCTCTGTCTCGTAGATTTCAGACACGACCGTGTGGTCGAGAGTAGGGTCGATACCATGTTGATGGCGACCCGATGCATTAGATGTTGTGGTGGTGAGGCCCGAAAAAGTGGACATTATATGTTGAGGGTAGCTCCGCTCTCCGTAAGTTGCTTTGGATATTTTTCCCCTTATTATGGAGGTGACAAATTTCCGTCGAGGAAGTGCCCTCTCACGCTGCCTTTGGTGTACTTGAAGGCTGAGATATTGTGGGGATCTGGGGGAAGATGAAATGGGTTTGAAGATGGAGAGGGGTCATTAGCAATCCAAAAGTTGGGGGTTCACCTCATTCTGTGGAGTTCTCCCCGATTGGCTTTGAGCATGGTTCATGGGTCTTTGTAGGCCCGTTTTCATAACGTGGAAAATTCGGTCACGAGCGGCTATTGGTGGCGGGTAAGTGGGCCATTCTCGCCCGAGTACGAAGTACTCCATTTCTCTATTTGCTTATTACGAACTGGACACTTCAACTCCGAACTCCGATCGATATAAGACGCCGGTATAGGATCGAAGCACTCAAGGGAGGGCCATGAAAACGTGGAGATTCGGAGAATTTACCCAATCACCCCCATCAACCACATGCGTTGCCGGAAGATCGGCATGGACCGACAGGAAGCTTGCCTTGTGTAACCAAGCCATATGTTTGCCCAATGAAAGCGGGACCATGTGGCAAGTAAATCTTAGTCTCGATAAAGAGGGTCGCAGGCTTAATCGCCACTTACTACTCCGTAGTGAGTCCACTCAAGCAAGATCCGCGGTGGATTTTATGGACTTGGGAGTGGATGCCTTCTTGGGTGAGATATCGGCTCTTTTAGTTCATATAACCTAAAGTGAGGCCACCTTTCATCCAATTGGGCTTGTGGTTTAGTGGTATAATACTCCCTTAGCATGGGAGTGGTCCGGGGTTCGATTCCCCGCGAGTCCATTTTTTGCTGAATCCCGCAAGGATCTTGGCAGCCGGCCACCTACTCTTTCATCTAGCTTTGATCCTTCCAGTTTGAGACGAAGGATAGATGGTATTTCTCTTTTTTTTGAAGAGATTTCGGAGTGTTTTTTTGGTTCCAGCGGGGTTTATTTCAATCCAAGTTCTTTAGGATGTTCAAGTTCTGTCCCGGTCTGTTGGCGGGGAGCAGGCGGGCGGGTATATATAACTGCGAATACTACGCACTAATTAGCCTGGCTTCCAAGCCCTAGAGGATCCCTCCCCTTCAAGTTCCAAGTTCTGGATAAATCCTGCAGCGGTCCATGTACCTCGGGACTGCAGCGAGTCAAAGGCTAATCCAGAGCTTATCACCCGAAACAAGCAATTTCAGCTCATGTACGGAGTACTATCGCAGCCAATACCCATCCCGCAATCACGTTCATCGCAAGCCACGGCGGGTCCTGATAGTCAGGGGCCCTTTGTTATCTTTGAGATAAACCGAGATAAACCGAGTTATCCCTCTACTAGGTAGAGGCTTCATTTTAAAGAAAGACTTTTAAGGCACCTGGGCATGACTCAGTAGCTCACTAACAATGACATATGCAACATGTAAGCTACGTACATGAATAACCCGAGTGTCAACACAGATTTTGTAATGGTAGCCGTATGATCCGAGCGGGGAGGGGTCACAATGGGCGTAGCCTAGTTGATGTCACCGCGCGAGGGAAGAGGAGAAAGGAGAAGCTAGATCGAGCTTTGTCACTAATCTCCGGGCGCAATAAGCCTATTTGTCGGAATCCCGTCGCGGTCCCGGGAAGCCCTAATCTACTGAATAACATCCACCCGGAGACAGAAATTGACACACCAAGAGAGAACAGTAGGCTGGAAAAATGGGAGTTTCCAACATGAAAGGCAGCCATGTCTGCCCGCTAGATAGATTCAGCTCTGTCCAGGGAAATGGGGAACCAGAAACAAAGGGACGCAGATCGGTTAAAGCTGGGGTGAGCGATTTGCATGAGATTTACCATTTCCGGGGCTGGCGGAGATTCTGAACCCCGCTTGGGCAGTGCAAATTGACCTCAGTGGCTCACTGGTATCGAAGAGGGGGACCCAGTAATGGCACAAGAAGAAGCATTGCCTTGCCGGCCGCTAATCAATTTATGGGGTAACATGAAAAGTCTCGAGGGCACGGAGGACATATTTAGTTTGCATTCACCCGCTCCAGTTTGTTTACTCCGCAGAGTGAATATTTTCATGGGTTCTCACCGAATCACACCCATTTTCTCCCATAGCCTAAAATGCTGTTGAAATCTGTTTTGACCTCCGGTCTCCTAGCCCTTGCAGTGGGCTCGGAGACCGTCGCCGCATCCAAGCATGGTCGTTTTGCTGAGCACGCCCGTGCTCCGTTGGAGAACGCCAAGCGGGCAGCGGAGGCTGCTCAGGCGAAGCATGTGCGATCCGAAAAGGATTTTCGATTCTCGAACAAGAAGACTGAGAGTGAGTAGTATCTCATTATTTACCGATTTGCTTTGCTGACCATTCGCCCAGAGTATCTGGTTAACCACTTGCCTGATGTACCTTTCGATATCGGAGAGATGTATTCCGGCCTCATGCCGATTGACATGAGTAATAGCTCCCGGGCGTTGTTTTTCATTTACCAACCGACCATTGGAAAGCCTGTGGACGAGGTGACTATCTGGCTGAATGGTGGACCTGGCTGCAGTTCCATGGAGAGCTTCCTCCAGGAAACCGGTCGTTTCCTGTGGCAACCTGGTACCTTTGCGCCAGTAGAGAATCCATATTCCTGGGTGAACCTCACCAATGTATTGTGGTTAGTATCAAGCACCGTCGTTGGATACATTAGCAGAAGCAGTGTGTTAACTCTCACCCCAGGGTCGACCAGCCGGTTGGAACCGGCTACTCTATCGGTACACCAACTGCCACCACCCAAGAAGAAACAGCACAGGACTTTGTCAAGTTCTTCAAGAACTTCCAAAAGACCTTCGGTATCAAAAACTTCAAGATCTATGTCACCGGTGAAAGTTATGCTGGTCGCTATGTCCCTTACATCTCAGCTGCAATGCTGGACGAGAATGACAAGGAGTACTTCGACCTACAAGGTTAGTGAGAATGGGAACTATCAATATAACATCATTAACCGTCAACAGGTGCACTTGCTTATGACCCATGCATTGGTCAATTCGACTACGTCCAAGAACAAGTCCCAGTGGTGCCGCTCGTTCAGAATAATGCAAACCTGTTCAACTTCAACGAGTCATTCATGAACGAGCTCGAGCACTTGCACAAGACCTGTGGATACAGCGACTTCATCGAAAAGTACCTGACCTTCCCTCCACCCGAGGAGCAACCGACCAAGATTTTCAACTACACCACAGACGCCAAGTGTGATGTTTTCGACATGGTTTACAACGAGATCTTCAGCATAAACCCATGTTTTGATCTGTACGAGATTAACCTGATGTGTCCCTTGCTGTGGGATGTACTGGCCTTCCCTACTTCGCTCGTCTACCAGGCCGAAGGTTCGACCGTCTATTTTGACAGGAAGGATGTCAAGCATGCCTTGCATGCACCCAATGTAACTTGGGCCGAATGCTCAGCTGAGCCCGTTTTCGTGGGCGGCAGCGCAGGTCCTGAGCAAGAAGGTGATACATCAGCAAACCCTATCGAAAAGGTTTTGCCTCAGGTGATCGAGGCGACGAACCGTGTTCTCATCAGCAATGGCGATTATGACATGGTCATTATCACCAATGGTACACTGCTATCCATTCAGAACATGACTTGGAATGGCCACCTCGGATTCCAGGAGAAGCCCGAAACCCCCATCGACATTGAAATCCCCGACCTCATGTACAAGAGTGTTTTCGAGGAAAATGGCGCATCGAGTCTTGACGGACCCCAGGGCATCATGGGTATTCAGCACTTCGAACGTGGGTTGATGTGGGCAGAGACCTATATGTCTGGCCACATGCAGCCACAGTACCAGCCACGTGTTGCCTATCGCCATCTAGAATGGCTACTCAAGCGGACTGACTCACTTTGAAAGTGCGCATCGAAGCGAAAGCCCTGTGATTAAACAGAAGCAGCATGGTGTATGGGCAGTAGCAATCTCGTACATAGCAACAAAGAAGTCTACTGAAACAGCAAATGAAATTGCACATATGACAAAGCCCTCTTCTCTCGGCAATATTAAGGATAGAAAAAGCAGTAGATTCTCAAGAACGGTGGTTGGTAGGACTGACAGCAACTCTGATAGCATTTCATCTACAGCGTCAGATTGACCAGGAATTCAGGTATTTTTGATTAGCCCAGTAAACATGAAACCGGCCCGGATCAGCCTTGCATTCGGACCGTGTGGCCCATCTCCGCATTATCAGTCCCCCATAAGTCAGTCATAAGCACCCGCAATAGCCGTGCATACAGGAGCCTATCTGGCTAGAGTTTTCCGCGGGAAACCTTGATCCCGTTATCCCCCCTATTGTATTCGAGATGATAAATTCGATCTACACAGATAACCGCCAAAGAATTATCTTGTGATGTCAGCCGTCACCGCCACCTGGACTGGATTTCCGTTTTAAGTTATTTTTCACAGCGCCGCCCCTGTCTTGCCTTCGAAAGTGATTGCTAACCCAGGTGTATTAGAGTCGGGTCTACCAGCTCTTGGGGATTTCAATTATCGTGCCGAGAAAGTTTTCAACAGGGGGTTGGAACAAAGTGACCAGTGAGATACTTTATATTCCCGGTCTATGGACGAGACATGGCATTAAGGTTTTAGTCCAGATATTTCGGGATTATATGGTGCTAGGGTGGAGCCGCAGGGTGTTCACTACTAATATGTAATCTGTGAATTGGTATCTGACTCATTTCGGAGGGAATTGTAGGCGTTTGATGACTCGTATCGTCATGGATCCTCTCCGCACGGCCGTATGGGAAGCGGTAGGTACGCGGGGGTTATACTGAAGCGGGTCATGGACGCATAGTACTAGCTCTCTTTCAGCCATATGATTCCACATATGTAGCAAAACTAGGTTTATCCAGATAAGAATGATGAGGCATTTTCTTGACAATGATGCCCGATCTACAGCATGCCTGTCTCCTGTTCTATTCTGTGAAGCGGAGATGCTCCGAAAAAGCAGCTATGGACTATCCCATTGGTCTATGTCTGGGCTGAAGACTGCAAGATAGTTTGATCCCTGTTTGACACCCTAGTCATTCAATTACAATGATGTAGATTATGCAAGAGCATAAGCAGAGTTGCGACGACAGTTATGCTTCATGATGGCCTGGGCTACCCCGGGAATACCAAAAATGGGAATTCCTTTCCCACCTCCTAAATGCAAGGGCTCCTATGCAGAGCGAGCATGCAATTGTCGCGTGGAGAGCATGATTTATGATGATCTACCCTCCAGATGTTCATTTGCATCGAGTCGCCTTCTTATTTGAGCGGCAGCTTACGACCAGGCCAGCCTCGGCCAGCCCGCGAGCCAAGACATAGGGCTACCGCCTGTTACCCGCACTCTTGGTTGTAAAATTCAATATGACAAGTTGGGGCTGAAAAGATATGCCTCAGTGGAGCGTTCGTTCTGAATAGTATTACGTTCTTTCTCGCACCCTCTCTTGTTCTTGTTTTTGCCATGGAGTCCAGACGCCCGAATAATTCGATTGATTCCCATTGGGTATTGTTATGGTAGGTACCGAGTCCGCAAGGGAGTCGGGAATTGCCGAGGGACCACCCCAGTCTCCACGTAATAAAAAAAAAAGGAAAGAAAAAGAAACCGGGACCACCGACCCACGTCTCACACAAGTGTAGGATCGGGGGCGTCGCGACAAGCAGTGTCGGGTGGCGGCGCCCACGTTACAAGGGGGATACCTGGGATAAATTACCATCGGCCGATGAAAAAAAGCACTGGTCGCCAGGGCGGACACTCTGATTCGTGCAGTGAGCTACGCGAAGGTAGACCTGACCAGTCATATTGCCCGTATCCTGTTATTAGGGGGGGTCGTTCATCAAAAATCTTTCGCCTCTCCAGAGTGATTATGTACCCATGGCTCCGGAGAGGTCAGTCCCGAATGCGGTCAAGATGAAGCGCCACCAGGTTTCGTTGAGAAGGTCGTGCTCGTTGTGAAATCAGATCTTCCCTACAGGACCATCCTCTTTTGAACTTGCGGGGGATCGGCATCGGCACGTTGAGACGGTACAAGTATCGACATGTAATGGAGTCAGTCATTTTGCAGACGATGGACAGAGAGAACCAGAAATTGCGATTGGATGAGCAGGATTCATCGGCAGAGAAGGGCGATGACGTCGTCCTGAGCACGTGGAGACTCTCGAATGCGGTCTACATATGGCTAAAGGACCATTTTGATACGGTTCCAATTGGCTCTCACTCCCACCCTCGGTCTTCTTGAGGCTGTGCAAAGAGAGGGTACCCCTACGGAGTATGCCCGCGCAACATTCTAGCCCTGGGAAGTTTCCATCCACCACTGTACCGTCTATCTCGATCCTTGATAGATGATAGGGAAGTTGAATGGGAAACTTCACGGACCGTATAGACGGACCGGCCACCCAAAGCGGCCCGAGACGAGCAGCCAGTCAAGAGTTGAAGAAGACGCCTCTGAGTGATCGCCCGCCAGGGTGTGGCTGCGCTATGCCGTGTTCGGCAGCTCGTCGTGTTCAGGGGCGCCGAGCCTTGTTTCTTTTCCTCGAGTATTTTTTCTTTCTTTTTTCTCTTTCCGATATCCTTGACATCACAACGTTTTTGATTTCTTTAAATTCAAATTCCCTATGAACATTGTCGAGGCTCCGGGATCAACCGTACTCTGTACTCGGTACCCCAGTCTTGTAATACCAATACAGGTCAACCCCAGACGGGATGGGCAAACCCGAAATGCACTTTGTCTTTCGCGCTAGTCCCCTTTTGGCGCTAGCTAAGAGAGGGTCCCCCGGCCTTGTCGCAATTTGGAAACAACTGGACATCCCGTAATTTAATACCATCGTTACTTCTTTGCGGAGAGAAAAAAAAAAGGTGAAAAAAAAGGGAAGGGAAAGCGCGATACTGGGTTTCCGTGGTTTCTATTTTCTATATTAGACCTCTCCCATCGGCTTCCTTTTCTCTCTTCTTTTCTTCTTCCTCTCTTCAACCTTCCAACTCCCCATCTCCTCTCCACCCTTTCAACCACTCAACTCCACTCTTCCTCTGGGTTCGAGGTAGAGCTATCTTCAGCTTCCCTCGGTTTTTCCCACTGGGAATCATCCTACCTTACCTACACTTCTTTATTTTCCAACTTTCTGAGAAAAAGACAAAAAAAGACAGAATTCTTCTGTTCCTTCGACTATACTATACCATCCAACCCAGTTCACGACTCGACTCAAATACTAGGAAACCCCCCGTGCGCACCTTCCAGCGATCACAGCCTGCATATCTCGACCTAGATCTTCCAGAAAATTCCCCGTGCGAACTTGCCCACCATTGATGAGACCCTCCGACAATCTTTCACTCTCGATTGCACCAGCTGTAGCCTTGCCCTAAACCAACGACTTACGAAACCTTCACCTCGATCTTCGCAGTAGCGCCAACTGTTCCATTTCCAAAGCGACTTGCCCGTAAACCGTCATAATGGGCATTGAGAAATTTAACCCCTTCAAGGAGGATAGACAGAACTTCCCGGGCGTTGTCATCCCGCTGGCTGATGCCCCGGCTCGCCCGAAGCCCGCACTGACCGACGATGAGAAGAAGGCCGCGGATGCAAATAAGCCCCTGGAGCGGGCTTCTTCGTCCGAGAATGGCTCCTCTGGCGGTTCTGTAAATGAACCTTCTCATCGGACCATCGAGTCTTTACGTGCGGAGGTTGAGTCTGATGTTGCCGCATCGGCACACGACTCTGTATATGATCGTATGTCTAACTCTTATCCGAGATTACACAGTCCCAGAAGCGCCCGTTACTATGATATAGTGAATTTTATGTTTTGTTATTCAAAATCTAACTGGTTTAATCATCTAGGCAAGGCGAAGGTTATCAACAGTGCCCTCATGGATATCGGCATGGGCCGTTACCAGTGGCAACTGTTCTTCCTTTGCGGCTTTGGTTGGCTTGCAGACAAGTAAGTGCTTTCTGTCCTAAACTCCATTTTCCTTCTCATCGAATAACTGGCTAACATATTTTCTAGCCTCTGGCTCCAGGTAAGAAGGCAAAATAATACCAAATTCGGTTGTGTTGCATTCAACAAAACTAACTCTACTAGGGTGTTGCCCTTACTCTGACCCCTATCTCTTATGAGTTTGGGATCTCGGAATCCGAGGTCCGCTTCACCACCTGTGCTCTTTTCTTGGGTCTCTGCATCGGCGCGTCAAGTTGGGGTATTGCTTCTGATATTCTTGGTCGTCGCGTCGCCTTCAACACCACTCTGTTTTTGGCCGGCGCCTTTGGCTTGGCCGCAGGTGGTGCTCCCAACTGGATTGGGTATGTTTTATCTGACAAAACTGATTTAGTATTGTTCGTGGCTAACTATTCATCAGTGTCTCCGCCTTGTACGCTTGTTTGGGCCTTGGTGTCGGTGGTAACTTGCCTGTCGATGGCGCTCTTTTCTTGGAGTTCCTGCCCATGGCCTCTGGAAATATGCTGACCATGCTGAGTGTGTGGTGGCCCATTGGCCAGCTAATTTCTAGTCTGCTTGCTTGGGCTTTCATTCCAACTTTCAGTTGCGAGAGTGCAGAGAACTGCACCAAAGAGCAGAACATGGGCTGGCGTTATCTGGTCTTGACTCTGGGTGCTATCACCTTTTGCATGTTCATCGCCCGCTTCTTCTTTTTCCATCTCTACGAGTCGCCAAAGTTCCTGCTGTCCCGCGGCCGTCAGGACGAGGCTGTCGCTTCCGTCCACGGTATCGCCTACAAGAACAAGACTAAGACTTGGCTGACTACTGAGATCCTGAACGAGATTGGTGGATACCCCGAGACAAAGGAGGAAGAGAAGCTTGGTTTTATTGACATTATCAAGCGCTTCTTTTCCAAGTTCTCTATGGAGCGCATCGGACCCCTGTTCAATAACAAGCGCTTGGGAATTACCACCGTCATCCTCTGGTTCTGCTGGGCCACTATTGGTATGGGATATCCTCTATTCAACGCTTTCCTGCCCCAGTACCTGGGCAGCTCCGGCGGCCAGACCAATTCGGCCTACATCACCTACCGCAACTATGCCATCACCTCCATCGTCGGTGTCCCTGGCTCCCTTCTGGCTTGCTACACCGTGGAAATCAAGTACATCGGTCGTAAGGGAACTATGGCTATCGCTTCCCTGATCACTGGAGTGTTATTATTCTGCTTTACTGCCTCTACCAACGCCAGCGTGCAGCTTGCTTGCACTTGCCTCGAAGCCTTTTTCCAAAACATCATGTACGGTGTTCTCTACGCCTACACGCCCGAGGTCTTCCCTGCGCCGAATCGCGGTACTGGCACCGGTATCTGCAGCTGCTTGAACCGTATTGCTGGCCTATGTGCTCCACTGGTCGCCATCTACGCTTCAACTTCCAGTGCTGATGCGCCCATCTACGCATCTGGAGCTCTGATCTTGGCTGCATTTGTAGCCATGGTCTTCCTCCCCATCGAGACTCGTGGAAAACAGACTCTGTAAAAGCAAAATATCATTTTCGCTGTGTCAGCGACGCATCCCCCTTCCGAAAGTTCAGAGGCCTTGTTTTACTATACCTTCGAATCTATGTTTATATTTATGGCTTAAAGGTGACGAAACTCGCCGCAACTGAGCCTGGTGCCTTTCTGCGAGATGAAATGAGGCGGGTCCTTTTCTTTTTCTTTTTTCTATTTCGGAGCATTTTGATTTTTCTTGTATGCTTGAGTGAGCGACAAGGCTCCCGAGTGGATATGTGTGATACCATCGTGACTTTTGAATTGTATATCAGATTTGAATCTAGTATATCATCATTCTTAAAACCTCTTCCCCCCTCGTATCATCCGAGCGACTGCCCAGGTGAGTGAGGTATGATTCTAGCCTTCTATGAAACTGGGCCTGAGAGCAACACATTGAAGTCAGTCTACTCGACAGTACTACTAATACGAATGATCAAAGAGAGAAGAACTTGAACAGACAAGACGAGCAAAGGCGCTAAGTAGGTATACAAACCCGACAAGCGTTTCCACCGCCCATAGGTCCAGGTTGAAATGCAATTGAGAGGGGGTTTCCTCAAGGTACAACAAGGAAACGAGGAATATGTGATAAAGACTGATAAAGCCCCTTGAAGATAAAGCCTAATAGACAGGAGAAGGCAAGAGGCACAAGAAGAACTCCGACCAGAATCCAATAAACCACTCGAACGAAAGAAACGAAGGAATAACGCAAAACGACCGTCACCAGTCGAACCCATCGTTCACCGTTGCCCATTTCCCAGATTCCCAGTCAAACAAAGCCTTGGAGTATATATGCTCTTCTTCGCCGGTTGATCCGATAACGCACAGTTCCGAAATGAGAGATAGATAGATGAGAGATAGGAGGAAAGATATGCGAGGAGAGAAAATAAGTCATGAGGTGAACTGCGTATAAGAAGGTAGGAGGTAAAAATAGATGAGAGAAGAAAATATCATGCGACGTCGCTCGTGAAAAGAGAAAGACAAAGAGAAAAAAGAAAACAAATATGAATGAGGGGCTGAAGCGAACCAAAGGACTGCTGAAGCACAATAAACTTGTATGTTGTACATAAAAGATCATGATCAGATGACCGGTTGATTGCGGCGACCGCGCTTTTCTAGCAGCGTTGCGCCGTTCAAGGTGAGTTCGAACGGTTGTTGGGCTCTCTGACTGATGCTGCTCTTGGCAGCGGCGGCAACATTCGCATCATGCTGACCATACCCTTGCTTGCGAGGAGGTTGTCGGTGAGCTTGTCGCGCTTGCGCGGCACTGCTCTGGGCACCGAGGTTGGTGGAGCGAAGCTTAGCTTCCATGCCGGCCATTTCACCACCATTGCTGGGCTTGGCAACCTTGAGAGGCGGTTGGCCTGCAGCTGCATCAAGTCCGGCGCGGTAATCAGGTTCGTCGTCATAACCTTCATTGAGATCTCCAAGTGCGGACTGGAAACCGGCCACCGAGTTGCCGCTTTGGGCTGCCTGTTGGCGAACGTGTCGGCGGCGTTTGGTTTCTTCCTCCTGTCTGTGGACTGCGTAACCGACATCGAACACTTCACGCAGATTGAATGCACCGGGTGAACGGAAGTCCATTCGGCGGTCTATGCCAACAGAGGGAACATCCAGGGAGGCACGAGAGCTGGTGGGTTGGTATGGAGCTTGATCGGCGCCGATAGGGTCGAATTTCGGGCCTTGTTGCTGGACTGGGCCAAGGGGTGTGGCCAGAGGCGGCGCATCAGCAGCCGCGGTGGTTTCCTCGTCTGTCCCTCGGATCCAAGGGTGGGCAAGGAACTCTTTGATGGTGAACCGTTTCTCGGGGTCGACAGTCAATAGGTGCGAAATGAGATCTTGGGCCGACTTGGAGATGTCGTCCCACCATGGTGACAGGAACGTGTATTGACCTCTCGCAACCTTCTCCGTGAGGACCTGGATACTCTCGTCGTAGAATGGAGGGAAACCACACAAAAGTGTGTAGAGGACGCAGCCCATAGCCCACATGTCCACACTCTTTGAATACCGTTCATCCTTCACGATCTCGGGCGCAGTATATCCAACAGTACCACAAGGGGTCATCGTTTGGCTGTCCCAGATTACCTTGGATAGACCAAAATCGGCGATCTTAATTGTACCGATACCGCCAGAGCCAACTCCCGGAGTGAATTCTCCTTCATCCTCCTTCTCTTCATCACCCGGTTGTTGGGCCTTGGGATTTTTGCTGGGAACGTGAGGGACAGGGTAGAAAAGGAGGTTCTCGGGTTTGATATCACTGTTCTGCTAGTTAGCTCAATTCAAACCTCGCAATCAAGAGGATGGACGAACCGATGCACCACACCAGATGTCTCGTGGAGGTATTCAATCGCTTCCGCAACTTGCAAAATCACGTGTCGGCTCAGGTTTTCGCTGAAGTATGTCAATCGCACGATCTGGTGGAAAAGCTCGCCACCGGGGCAAAGCTCAAGAATGATGTAGTAATATTGGCGGGATTCGGAAAAGTCGACCAGTTTGACGATGTTGGGGTGATCCAAATTGCGCATGATCTGGACTTCCTTGAGGATGTTTGCTCGCTGCGGGGTAGAGATAAGACGTTAGTAAATGATCGACACAACCATATCAGGTGAAGGAAAGGATTTAAAAAAAACCAAATCCGCAGCGGCCAGGTAGCGGACCGGCCACGACACCACATGAAGCGTTGATGAGAAAATTGCGCACCTCTGCAGCCTTGGGAACCTTGATGCTCGGATGAAGATGATCGGACTACAGAATAGATATTGGCGATGTGTTGCCACCTTCCCCTCCCGGACCAGAAACAATTGACAGGCAAGAAAAGACAAGACAAGACAAGACAAGGAAAGGAAAGGAAAGGAAGATGCAATAGGGAAAAGAGGGTGAGGAAGAAAGGAAGACCATCGGGTCACCCTACCTGATTGCTATTCATTTCAAATTTGCGGACAACCTTGATGGCGACTTCGTCACGCTGGCCTGTCGAGTCCTTGGCACGATAGACGTTACTGAAGGCGCCATCGCCCATTTTCTCAACGAGGATCCAGCGCTCGAGGCCGGGGTATGTAGGCATCTTGGAGCGGGTTTCCTTCTCTTCGGCGACGATACGTTCAATTTCGACGGAGCGATCGCGGTGGGACTGGGAATCTGAAGGAGGTTGTGCGGTCGCGTGGGTATTCCCACGAGTATCCCCTGTGTCAAAGGCCTCCAGAGCGGGGGAGAATTGACCCTGGGGTTGTGGTTGTTGCTCGGCGTGAATGGCAGATACGTCGGTGGTGGGTTCGGAATGAGGTGTTACAAAGCGAGCTTGTTTCCCATGCCGAATGAAGTTTTTGATGTTCTGTATTGTGCTCATGATGGAGAGTCGGGAGAGGTGGAAGAAGTGCTGGAGTGGGAGGGGATTGAGGAGAGAGGAGAGAGAGGGAGAGAGAGAGAGGGGGGGGGGAGCCGATAAAGACGTTGGTCCCGCTCAAAAAAAAGTTGGCAGAGTGGGAGGGGAAAAGATGAGATTGGATAGGAGGGAGACAAGAAATGAAAGGAAAGGAAAGGAAAAGCACCACAGCACACACTGCAGCTTATTTTCTCTGGGATTTGAGAAAAAAGGGTGTGGGAGAGGAAGAGGAGGGTAAAAGGGGGAAACCGGGATGAGGTCAGAATGGGCTTGGGACTTGGACTTGGACGTGGAGGGGTTGACGGGTTGACGCCTATGACGCGGTAGGATCTTCGCCGATGTCATCGTAGTACTTAGTACTAGTACACTAGTACGAAGTGTCCTGAGTAGTATTAGGGCATCTTCCATTAGATTAATGGTGATATTACCTTGGCCCAGGTGAGTACTGGATACTCATACCCAGGATATCCCATTCCTTGAATCTACGATATTCAATCTCTCGCATGGTCTCCCCTCTGATTCAGAGGGAGCGTCATGCTCGCCACACACCCCCCTGATGCCCACCTTTCCCCCAGTTGATTGCTTGTTCTGAATTGAAATCATCAATGGCATCATACATATTCCCCCCCAGTAACTGCGGAACCCAAGCCTGATTCTGTTTGATCATGATAGGATGGCTCGACTCCATCCATTCACTTCATCTAGCGCTACCCCATGCCCCGATAGGACGATAGGATAGCTCTGAAGCAAACCTGAGACGTGCATTTTCTCGACTCCATACAGCAGTGGAATGTGAGTGTGGCGCGTTGCGAAGAGACCTGCATCAAGTCAAGGGGCCAAACATGCTGGCAGTAAGGAGAAGAGGCGCAACAATCTGAAACATGCCAAAATTGATTTCCAGTTCCTTTTACTCCGTAGATTTCGATCAGATCGGAGGGTACGGAGTAGCCTAAGGAGAGTTCCAGAATCCAGGAACTCCCCCCACATGGGGGTGGATGTCGACGTGGACGGAGATACGTAGATACGTAAGGCTAGACTACAGTAGACTACTGTAGACTACTGTAGACGACAGTAGACAGCACAGATCAACAGGAGAGAGGGGCCAAAGAGACGAAACACCTTTCATCTCCTTTCATCTCCCAGTGATCCTACACTCAATACTCAATACTCTGTTGCTGTCGGTCTCCGTCGCTGCCTCCATCTCCATCTCAGCCCAGCCACTCACATTCACCCACCACCTCGAGGCTTGCCTTTTCCTTCGCCTAGGCCTTTACTGTCCTTTTGATCGACTCCCTTGCGTCTTGCAGAAACATCCGGCGATCCATCATTTTGCCATCCTTATCTATCACCTTTGTCATCTCGTCTCTTCTTTATACCCTTCTTTGACCCATCACGTCTGCCTATTCACTGTGAGACGCCTCTGAACATTGTCCCGCGATGGGATCCCTGCGACCGTTGACGGCCGAGCCATTCATCTGAAGAAGAATCGTCGGAAAGGAAATGGTCATGCCATAAACCTCCCATTATTCTGATCGCATCTCACATCCTCATCCCCCTCACCTTTCACCTTTTGAGATGCCTGGCCTGGAAGTGATGAGCGGCCCGTCGGTGGATTCATCAGGGCGACCGCTCTTCAGGTCCCACAAGGCTCTCCCGCGGAGGGGTATTAGTACTATCATCGCTTCCCATGATTCTATCGCCCTTGCCCAACCGGCCTCTCCGGATCAAAATGCCACAGTTACGCCGGCTCCTCCGTTGACTCCGCCTGGTGCGATCCCGGACCAAAACATGGACGACCACAACCACAACCACGATCGCGATCGCGATCGCACTCCCCGCAAGACCGACTCGTCCGCCTCAGAGAATCACTCGACCGGTATGGTGACGCCTCGCCGACCATCAAAGCCCCCGACCCCCGATGTGACGCCACCTCGCACGACTTCGACAAAACGACCGACCCTTAATCAGCTTGGGAATTTCCTATCCTCTTCCTCGCGGGCCGAGTCCTTTCAAACTGCGTGCGAGAATATCTCATCAGATGGCGATATGGACACACCGGTGCGAACCCCTCGATCTCGGAGCGTTTCGCAAAAGACTGGACGGAGGATTCCATCTTCCTCAAGGCAGCCCCTCGCAAATGGGGCGACTATGTTGCGGGCAACACTTGCCGGTCCCAAAGACAAAGACACCCCTCAATCCGCCTCCCAGCCACTCAGCGAAACGGATTACGAGACAGGATTCGAGTCGTTCGATGGAGAATGGGCGAACCCGGCGGATGGATCACCGACTCCACTTCCTGGCAAGCGCAGAGCCTCGAAAGCCACCGCATCTCAAAGTCGGCAAAGTTCTAAATTGGCTTCGGATAATGACACGCTGGACGTGCTGAATCTGAATGCCTCGCTGATGCGCGAACAGACCCTACGTGGTAGACTCAAAGAACCCTCCAACCTATCAGCAAGCCCTTCCATGGAGCGTTTCCGGGCAGAAATCGGTTGGCCATCCCAGGAAGACCCGGACTCCCGCCGGTTATCAGGTATCTCTTCGACATCTACCGTGGAGGCCGTGATCATCGACTCTCCTAAACGAGCGCAGAGACTACTGCGGCATACCGAGAAGAGGGGTTCCCTTAGATCGGCGAGCTCGCCTGTCACAACTTCAGGACGCACGTCCACGCTATCAAACCCTGATTCGCAACAGCATCGTCTTGTCCATAAGGCGGGTCGCATATCCGAGCAGGACCGCCGCAGTATATCATCAGACGTCTCCTTCTCCTCAAAGACCACAACAAGCGCGCCTCACGCCTCGGTTGACATTATCCCCGTCGTCGTTGTACCCGAGAGACGTTCTTCCTTGAGGTCGGGACCAAATAGTCATATTTCGTCGAAGCCTACGTCTCAGCGATCAAGCCAGCGGGCCCCAGTGCCATCGAAGGGATCGGGTTCCATAGACGTTCCTCGGCAGCGAAAGCGAACCATGTCGGATTCAGCATCTGCACGGTCCCGAGACACTAGCTCTCGAGGCCGCCCCGTTGGTCGCCCTGTCATTCCGCCTCGTAGCTCGTCGCTCTCTGCTCCGACAAGCCGTAACAATTCGCGGGCAACATCTCTCACGTCGGATAGCTTGCGTAGTCACACAATTGCCATGGACCTGGAGATGCAGAAACGACTCGAGCAGCAGCCCGTCTCTCCGCCACGCCACAATGTTCTTGACTCTCAACACCAGCCATCGTGCCCACCCCAAAGAAAGAGCCTGCTGGCGGCACCCAATCTGCCAGCCCTTAGGGTCAGCTCGACTGACGATATGGCGACCCTGCGCCCTCCATCGTTACCGTATACGCAATGGTCGATTCCGTCTTCGTCTCCTGGACCTGTCGAAATTCGAGAAGCAACCGCCATCAGCCTCTTTCCGCACAATAACCGGTCGCTGCTCCTGGTCAACCAGCCTCGAATGGCCCCTGAGACATGCGTGCTCCAGGCTTTCCACAATCCCGGATTCTACCCACGAACACCAGAGATGCCCACCGGAGCAGCTGATGATCCGTTGATCGGTCTGTCTTCTCACCTAGCAACTCCCCTCGTCGACTCCCCACTGAAGAATCCACGCCCACCACCGAAGCCTCCAGTTTCCAAGCCTCTGCCACCGATTCCCACCCACCAGCAAGCTGGAGATGTCAACCAGGACAAAGATGGTGGTGCACGCTTAGGTCGTCGTTGGAACTCGGTTCGCCGCCCTTGGAGCGCCAGGCCACGATCGGAATCTTTCAATACTATCACACGGACACTGTCCATGCGATCAGCCAAAAACCGGACAGCAGGATTAGAGATGGACAGTAACCTGCACCCTTTCTGGCGACCGCGTGGATTCTGGGATGATATCCCCGGGTCCCCCGAAAAGGGAAGATCCGCTCGTCAAAGCGTCCACGGCCCTGACAGTTCTTTGGTCGTCAACAACTCACTCGGTCTGCCCCAGCAACGAATTATCTTCGACGGACCACCTTCGCTGGCACGCCGCAGCCCCGAGATGAGACGAGTACTGGACTATAACGCCAGTCGCGGCAGTCTGGTCGATCGGGGTATGATTCGGTCCCCATTGTATCAGCACCGCTACCGTGTCCTTCCTCAGGTTAGTCGATGGGGCCTACGTCTTCGATCAATGTCGTTGCGCAATGTGCGGATCCGTCTCCGGCGTCTGCGTCTGCGACGTGATGAGAGGAAACGAGCTGCTCGCCGCGAGACCCTTAAGCAGAGCATTGGGGGGCCGGTCTATGTGGCGTCCAGCACCACCAATGAAGTCGCCCGCTGATTTGCTATATCCACGCCACGTTAAACCATGCATTTTGCCTGGATATGTTCCACATGACTGAAATCTTTTACAATGATCCTGCATCTGGGAGTCAATCGCTCTGCTTTGCCCCTGTTTCTCTGTTATGGATGTTTGATGTTTATGTTTTATGTCCCTGTTTCTGTTTCTGTTGTCTCTGCGCCCCCCCCCCCTCTCCCACTCTGCGTGCATGGGTTGAAGCCTTTCCGATACGAGATCTACGAATTATTTACGACTCAAGCTGACGACTCGATGACTTATGCTTATGCCCACCTGCGCCTGTTATGTTTTGGCCTACTTGGAAGATGTACCATAAGCAACTCCGCGTTATCTGAACACGCATTTCTAGCCCACGATGAAATATAGCCCTGTTTTCTTCTATGCAAATATGCGCCTTTGTAGACTGATTACTAGTACCCTGCAAGAGATAGAACTCCAGCTGCTCCTCCTGGTATGACAGTACAGCCTCCGTATCACTGTCGCCCTCCCCAATATCCCCCTCTCCCGACCCCTCGCCCTCGTTTCCCACGCCCAGATATACTCGACCGTCCCCGGATCGCGAGAGAGTTGTATTCCGCCTCCCTTTCCCTTCGAACCCTTTGGTCTTGGGGAGTCTCAGAGCCCCCACTCGCCCTTCCCTCTCCTTCGCCCTCTCCCGCGCCCCCGGCACGGTTCTCCTCACCAGATGAGCTCTTCGTCCGTGACCGCTTCAGCATCGCCTCCCAGGCAGGTGGATCGAGAAATGGTTGCGGGGGCGCTGCGAAGTCGAACTCAATGCGCGTGAGATTACTTGATCCGTCATCTCCGCTCCCTGGATGGCTCGCAGGCTCGTCTTCGGGTTCCGGGTTGCGGGGCTCTTTTATGCACGTCTCAGCCGCCACGGCGCTCGGATTGAGGAGTTGATATGTGCGGGTTTGAGGGGAGATGCTATTCGTCCTTGGAGGGAATAGGGCCCGCTTTTGGGGAATTATCAGAGGGCGGGAGGAGGGCATTTCCAAGGGGGGGGCTTGGGCTTGACTGGGATGGTTGAAGGAGTTTAGTCTGGCTTGGAGAAGCTTCTGAGGAATGATGTCGATGTGGGGAGCTCCCGATGGACCCAGTGAGACCCAGTCATTCCTACAGAGTAGCGGTCCACACTTGACCGCTTATCATCGCCCTAGGTGTAAGCTTCAACTTGGTGGGGTACAGGTTAAATAAACTTTCATCTTGAAGCTAGGTTACAAAAATAGTTCCGAGTCCATGGTTCTCGACCATACTATCTGCCACATTTCCCTTTATACCCGCGGACGGAGACGAACTTTCAGCCCAAAGTTGGGCACATAGAACTCTTCGAAGGAGAGAGATCCGATCAATGGACCCTGCGAGGATCCTTCGGCTTCGGGAAGAATGTCAAAGCGAATCAATAACTCGGCAATAACTAGCTTCATTAGAGCACTTGCCATCCACCGGCCGGGACTGCAATAAGCATGAACGAGTCAGCCGAGGATTCTCGGGCGGTTGGTATTAAAATGATGAAATACAAGGATATTAGTATGGTGGACATGAGCTTAAGGACTTACCAGGCATGAACACCCATTCCAAAGACAAGATAATCGGGGCTTAGGTCGACTAGGCTGGTGTTTGTTACCCCAGCCGCTGCGCGTTTCACAAATCGATATCCATCGAAAGTCTCTGGATCCTCGTAATATGCGCTTGACCGCTGGATCCAGCTGCTCGGTACGCCGACATGGGTTCCAGGTTTGAGAGTTATCCCTGTATGCATGTTGGGTCCAAACGTATCAGCCACATAATCAAATAATGCAAAAAGAAAGAGAGGATATAACGTGGCCCGGGATTAGTTGAAAGTTGAAGGTGACCGACCATTGGAGAATTCAAGTGCGTTGACACAGACCCGGTGGGCGGATACTGCAGCAATTGATCTTTTATTAGCCTATGGACTGGTCGTCCCGGGGCGGGGGCGCTAGTCAGGTGGACATACTAGCTGCAGGCGGGTGCAGGCGTTGGCATTCCTTCAGAAAGCTATCAAGAAGTATCATTCGATCACAGGCTGGGACGGTGGCTCCAAATCCGGCGAGGGCAGCTTCAGCCTCCTCTCGCAGTGGTTGAAGGTACTCTGGTTGCCGGGCTAGCTCGGCCAAAGCGCCGTAGAGAGCCTGTTGATGATCAGCGCCTCGGAGTTTCATTGCAAGATTGTGTGTTAGGGTTAGGACCCACGTAGCCGGTCGTATATACGAAGGCAAACTGGAGCAACAGCATCTCCCCAAGGACCTCAGGGTAGCTCCATCGATGACGAAGTACCGAGCTTTCGAACAGCCACCGAAAGATCTCAACCTATGAGCCACGGTCAAGAGAGCTCAGTTTTTGTATAAAGCTTGAGGCTATTAGATTAGCCATCTCGAAGGAAATACTGACTGGCTTATCTGTCCACTTAGCATCGTCTTTATCATTTATATCCCCAGGACATGCCATTTCATCGCGGTACTCAGCCGCCCGAGCGTCGAAATGCTTGAGCAAAACTTTACGTGATGCGTGCATATCCCAGCGTGTACCTATTGTGGCCAGGCGGCTGATAAAGCCGCCTATATATCTGAAGATTGAACGTATCAGTCTCAAATCTAGGATCATAGACAGCGAATAGGGTTACCTTTTCAACCAATCTGGGACAAGAAATTGCACTCGGGTAGTCATAATCATTCCCAGAATATGTTCTTTAACGGCTTTGAGGTATTCTTCATTGCTGGCGAGACGTTCGCCTACCATGGCATAGCTACCACTGCGGGCGACGACCGAGTATGCGAATTCGAAACAACTGATTGTACATTCTGGAATGAGAGCATTTAAACATATACAAAATTTAAGATAAATGGCAGAATTGAGCTTACCACCGCTCTCGTCAAAGGGTAGAGCACGCAGTTGGGTTAGTATCGCCTCGTTCATTGCCGGAATATACCGATCCAAATGCTTGTGCACAGTTCCACGAATGACACCTGGAGTAGTCTTCGCAACCGCAGGCCACCCTTCACCAGAGGGGAAATACCCAGGCATGACGTGAGAAATCTGAAGGAGCTTTTGCGAAATTTAGTCCCGAGACCAGAGCCCAAGGCAAGCTCAAGTGGGAAGGGAGCGCGAGGCCCTCACCTGGTCAATCCATGGCTCCGGAGATGCGACGGCGCTTCCGGTATTCTTCAACTCCTCAATTAACTCAGGCTTGCAAACGATAACCTGGCCAAATCGGAATGTACGCGGGATTTCGAAGAGTCCGTCACAGAACCGGTCGTATCCTCTTTTGATGAGTCCCGGTCCGTCCACAAGGAACCGGTAGTGCTGGTAGATAATCGCACAAGGGCGTGCAGCTATCACAAAAGGAACATTACTCTGTCAAAACACGTTTTTAAGATCAGTCTTGGAGGTTTCTCGTTGATTTCATAGGGTACGGTTTTATTGGACCTGGATATGAAATGAGAATACTCACGTTGGCCAGTTGACTCGACGTAAAGATTAAAAAAAAATATAATCACACAGCCAAAGATAACATAGGCACCGATAAAGACAGTCAGGATTCCAACTGGAGGCTCAAACCATCCAGAACATACAAACTGTAATAGAGCCATTGGGAGCCTCATACCTGAAGTCAGAAGAAGAGGGGCCTAGCAAGAGTGAAAGGGGAGGGGAGGGCGTTATAATGGCGTAGCAGAAAATATGCCGCAGGGGAATCCATTACAAGATGACTAGGCAACCAGGGTGTAATTGAGTCGATGGCGGCATGGTCCCCACACTTCAGACTATGTAAATCGACAAGGGAGCCCACTGCCGTGAATAGCAAAATAAGCGTGTAACTTCAAGGCAATACATGTGCAATGGCCAATCTAACGTGGCGGACCTGATAATGTGACTTTCAATTGCAGCTGTACAGGGCTTTTATTTCAATATTGCATGCAGCTACTGTCGAATCGGGCCAGAAAAAGAAGTAAATTGACATAGGGCTTCATATACTCTGACACGGCTCCATCGCCAGAATGCCGAGTAGGAAACTCGTTAAAAAATCATAAACAAGGAAACGTCAGACCACAATGACCTGTAGTAAGGCGGGGGAAAGAAGAAGAAAAGAAAAGAAAACTCCCAGTGAGGTATCAACGATTGGGTCCGTGTGGTATAGTAGTACAAACAGAGACGTGCACAAATTACTCCCGCAAAATAACAACGCCAGAGAATCAGAAGCGCCAAGCAATTGCTTTATGCAATGCCCTGTGGCTCCATTCCGCCCATAGCGGAGTATGAGTAAGGCAAGTCGACCAGGCCGTCGAGCAGCCAGTTAAGCGGGTCGAAAACCTCGTAATTCGGTTCCATGAACCCACTAGGAAGTCCGCCAACGCCAGTACCTGGCGCCTGGACCCCCAGATTGGCTGGGATCATTGGTGCTGGTGCAAGGCTTGGATCGCCACCGGATATACCAGGCGTGGATGTAGAGGTGTGTAGAGGGCCGACGGATGACGTTGCGGAAGAATCGGCGGCTGAATCGGGATTGGTCGGGTTTTTGAGATAGGCTTTGCGAAATTAGTTTGATTTCTAGACATGATATGGGGACCAAGTACTGACCTTCAATGTTTCGACCCTTGGTTCTGGCATCCTCTCGCCATCGCCAGACAGAGTCGAAGAGTAGAGACATGCTCATTCGGCAGCGAACCTTCAGTCTCAGAGAATCATCCACGTCGGATCCGCTTGTTACCTGGGGGGCGCCGCCCAATCTCCACATCTGGGCCAGAACCTCGGCAAGACGTTCTGGCAGGTCATTGCTCGATACAGACACACCGCGGACAGCCCAAATGGTGCGGTTAAATAGACTCTTCGTGTATTCCATGTCAATGTGGGTGGCAAAGAAACTCTTGCTCAATTTGAGAAGGGTGCAACCGGCAGCGACCATCATTTGGTAAATGTAGTAGGGGGTATAGGATAGAACGGGTCCAACTTCAGTCTCAAGCTTCATTGCCACCTCAAGGAATGATGTGGTTGCAACGTAAAGAGAAAGGAGACGCTCCCGGTAATCTTTCGCGGAAGGGTCATCCAAGAACGCTGACAGATGGAGATGAAGATTTGAAGCACGAAGAAATAGATCGGTGATACCTAGTTGTAAATTAGTTTTGCATAACGGGAGGTGAGACGAGTCTGGTCTTACAATCGTTTTGTCCTTTGAAGTGTTCTTCAAGTTCGTCAAAATCCCGCGAAAGGAACGAAAGCAAGGTGCTTCTCTCCCGATCGCTAGTCAAACCGACAGGATCACGTCGGTTTGTATATAGTGCTCTGGTGATCTTATCGCAGAATTCCTCGATCTCCAACCTAGATCGAATTTCCCCGGGTAGTTTGAAGTTGGGATCCGAGGAATCATTCGAGGATAATGTCCAGTCGTAGATTGTTGACGGTGGTTGACCGTATCCAGTAGAAACTCTGAAAAGGAAATGAGAAGATGTTTCAAGGGGGAAGTGAGTAGTGTAGCATACCTTTGTGCAACTATGTTACAAATAGCCCACGTGCGTACTTTATCTCTAAGCTCATCTTCAATAAGTTCCACACGGAATTTGCTGAAGTCTTGGCTGTGGGATGGTCGATGAAGTCCAAGCTGCATGGCAACCTGAATCATCATTCCGCAAAGCATAAACGTCGGATCAGTGGACGTACTGCTCGTGGGAAATGGCCACGAGCACAGCAAACAGAGCGCCTTAACAACATGATAGCTTTGAGGAATGTCTGCTAGCGTGCTCCATACTAGGCGAGTGACAGGGCCTGCAAGAGAGTTCAACAATCCAGTGTCACCCTGATATCGCCTAGCACCAACACTGATAATCGTCCAAAACAGCAAAGGTGAAGCAGTATAGTAATCGTCCGGGGATTGCTGTCGGTCTAAGAACGGTAGAAAAGGATGGCTGTAGGTGAAGAACCTATTTTTCCAAAGAGTTAGATCCGGTCGTGAATACGAGTGTAATCGTCAGTGTCTTACATGTTGAACAGCTCCGTTACTTTCTCCGGAGCGATCATAACATCTTCGAGTCGCTTGAATTGTTGGTTTCCATTCCGCATATAATTTGACCCGTCAAATCCTGATCGCAGGTCAAGTAGCGATGCTACGGCTTCCTGGGAACCCATGTATTGGTCCGACGATACGGCCGAGGGGGTTTGATAAACGCCAGCGGGGCTGACCTGGCTGGACTCCTGCTTGGGCGTCAATTGGCCTGCCGGTAGAGGTTGTTGAGGAAGGGGTGTCGATGAAGGGTTGGTTAAGATTTTTTTTTCTCAATTCAATAATCTCTCGTTCCATCTCGGCATTGCGGCTGCGTTTCCCAACCCGCTTGAAATTCGACTCGATTTTGCAGTCCAGTTTCAGCCGACGGCATCGAGAACAATCACCCCACGGATCTTGGACAACATCGCAACGGAGCTGCGAAAATGAAGAAGTCAGTTTAAGGGATTGTTCTTGTTTGGAAAAGACCGGAACATGTCATCACCGCCACTCCAACAGATGTCGGCCAGCGTCGCATGGTTTCGCGCGAACTGGGCTGCACATACCTTTTGTTGTCGACATTCATTACAGGCACGCTTCACGGGTTGGCGCCTCTTGTCATCACGACCGTCGATATCGTCCGCCTCGTCAATACTCCCCGGTGAGCTGTCGATCCCCGCTATGGTCACGTTGCGTTTGCGATTCTGCATGTCGGAAGCAGCCATGGAGACTGGCGCATGATTAACGCCCGCCATTACGGGATTTATGACAGCTGTAGCATTATCGATCCCCACTGTTGGATCGAAGGTAGGGTTCTGGGACCCTCCGATTCCGCTTGATCGGCCAAAAGACGCCAGGCTGATGACGTTGATGCAGGCCGAATCGAGTTTTTCGAGCGAGACTAGGGTGACTTGTCCGGTGAGGCACAGATGATGCAGGCAAGTCGCTTAAAGGTACAGACACGACAGTCGATTTGTTCCAAGTCAAATTGGACCGCAAGCTCTCCGCACGGCGATTGCAGACTTGGAACTGGAACTTTGAGCGCGGCGCTCTGGTGGGTGACTCAGCGCGGGGAGGTATCAGGTGACTCCGGCAAGGCGGTAAATCGGATTCCCTACACCAGATTTCAGATTTGATCCTTGGGATTGAATTTTTGAGAAAGATATTGTAGTATCTCGTGTTTGAAGAATTAATATTTCTTGGCAAATACTTCTCAAGCTCATTATTATCCCAATGACTTCCATTCATGCAGCTAGCTCGTCTTGAAAAGTCATAGCTCACGTGCAGCATGGCCCTTTCGCAACGACCGCTCGATGATCCACCGTGGAAGGTGGGTAGCTCATTTCGACTAGCGGCTGATCGATTCGCCCGGAGAAGTCGAGACTGGTTCTCGCTTAAAGGAATTTCATCTAGAAGATGACGTGCTCAGGGAGGTGGAGCCGTGCGGTGAACAACTGTTTTCTTTATCCCTGCAGGGCTGTGCAACTTGAAGGAGAGATATACATAATTTTGGAACAATCAATAGAATATCCATGGATACTAGTACCTACCTAGGTACCCAGAGGACTCGGAATGAATAAACCTGTAGCTAGTCATTAAATTTACCGTAGCCTATTTGATTATTTCCTAGAACTTCAAGTTCATTTGATGCGGTATCATCCAGCCTTAAAGAACTTGAACCCAAAGGCTTTTTTTAGCGGTAGCCCCCATGGCCACTGCCCTTCTCTTATACCACTGGCATGTACGAATGCCGCTCTCATGTAATCAAGGTCAATTACTGAAACTTATAGATGAAGATAGTTAAGTAATACTAGATAATAAATAGACAAGCTACTAGCAATGAACGCACCACTAAAGTTTCTATCTCCAACGTCTGTCTGTACCCCAAGGACCCGGACTGTTTCGAAAAACGAGCTCGCGTATACTGCTCTATAACGGCGCAACAAACAAAATATCATTATGATATTTCCATGGAAATGTGATGAGCACTGGCAGATACCTCGGCCCGGGCGTAATCTCTATTCAACTCGGGCGAGGACTCAGAGCCCCGGGTTACATTGAACTCGTGGGCTGAGCCCGGAGAAGGCTTAACGCCCCTTCTCGTATAAACAATGATTGTACTAGTAGTAGTACTACTACCAGTCAAGCTAGGTATGGAATCGGTGAATATTGGACCTTTGATTGGGAAGACCCCGAGGTCACCCACCAATTTATACTACTCCCGAGATCGTAGATAGTAGTAGATGTATAATGTACAGTACTAGGTATAGTAGCTCAACTTGTTTGCCACAGTCGGACTCGGCCACTCGGAGATCAACATGTTCTTTAATTAGCAAAGGAATTTCCAAAATCGAACTTGAAGTGTACTATGTATTGCTATGCTAAAGATGAGGTCACTCTAGATGGGGGCGGAGAACCCTTGGGAAGCTGCGAGGCAGTGCAGGCGTATTTGATTGGTCCCTCCACGCCCCTTCCCCGCCCCTCCCCGCCCCGACTGTGCCTTCCCCTCAAGGAAATCGCATGGAACCTTCTGCTACGGAGTCACATGTACTTCACCCCGGAATTCTATTGGCTTGCTGGAAGCTTGGAAGCTTGAATCTCATCATCAGCAAGGCTTAGCTAGGCGTTTTTCTCGGCTCATTTCCAGGCCCCTTAGATGCAACTGTTTCCCTCATCATTGGTCCTGTCTAGTGCCCCGGCCACGCCAACTCGGCCCCGATTGCCATAGGGTACCATAAACACTGATTGGATGACTCTGGCAAGACCTGATATGATAGGATTCTTCATCCATGGGAGCCGCTCTGATCCGGAATTGATTTAAATCCCCCAGGCTCCTCAGGATCATCTGGCTCCCTCAACACAAAATCTCACCACATCACTCTACCCACCCTCACTCAAAGCTGACATCTCCGCCATCTGCCGTTCCTTGTCTGTGATTCCTTTCAACATCCATCATCACTGATTCTACCAACCGCAACCATGGGCATGTCCACGGACATCAAGTCCCAGGAAGCGCCCTCCAAAGGCGCCGCCAGCAACGTTGACGCCAAGGAGAGGCCGCCCTCCTATACTCAAGAGGAGGAACTACTCCTCAACTTCCCCAAGTTGAACCTCAGCGACACAAAGAACCTACCCTCTCTCCCCAGTACGGTGACGCGCGACCAATGTGTTGCCCACCTCAAGTTTCTGGCTGTTCTAGCCGATCTGCGTGACATGGTCTCAAATAACGATGGTCTCTTCGGTATTTTCGACAAGCAAGCCGACATCCATCGGGACATGCCCCAAGCACTCAACGAGTCCCGGGCTCGTATTCGCGAGAAACGCTGGGCCATATACACAGCTCGCGCCGTCGAGCGATATCGGAAGTGGTGGTTCACATGCGTTCCCATGTCTCGACCACATGTGACGATTTCCGATCTAGAAAGCCCCGAATATGAAAACATTCTCGATAGCGAAACCCTGGTTTTGTGGAGCGAAGACAATCTGCCCCCACTCGGTGAGTCGGAAATTATATCCATCAAAGTATAACACAGGCGATACTGATTGAAACCTAGATATCCTGATGGTATGGCATTCTCATATGCTTAATCCCAGGGATTTCCTCGAGGACTGTATTCGTTATGGAAAGATGAGCACCTGGAGAACTGGATTCCCTTTTGAAGCGATAAATCGCTCCATTAACGACCGAACACTGGTGTACACTGTCAGCGAAAAGAGCATCCAAATGTTCAAGACACAGCTTCATATGGAATGGGATAACTTGGAAGATCCTCCTGGATTGGAAATTGAATGTCCCTCCTGTAAAAAGCCGCTCACTGTGTTATGGACCGAAGGCAAGATGAGACCCGAGCTCAAAGAGCCATTCAATGAATGCACGGGCTATGCAGACGCATCATTTAAGATCAAGTGTAGCTCCTGTTCACATGTTCTTGACCATGATCGACTTCGAGTTGCCAAGTTTCGCAAAGACCTTACGGAGCTGATCACCTTCAATCGACCGGTGCCAGGAACGATTTATAACTTGCACGGTATCCCCGCGGGCCCAACTCAAATGAAGACTTACCTGATTCATCGATCTATGATGTTTCCCAACCGTTTGATGGAGGCTGCCTCTAAAGATTTGCTCGCCTTTACCGATGCTAGAGTGGATTGGTGCAAGAACATTGATGATCTTCGCTCTCATTTGGAACTCCAGATCCGCGACGCCGCCATTCTCAAAAAGGCACACAGTGCTGGCCGTGGGAGTAAACCGGGAGAGAAAATTCATTTCCGTCGCATGATGTCCCATTATTGGGAGAACTTCGGTCCCTTCGGCCTTGACCTCGTTGGTGCAGTGATCCGCCAGGGGACTTTCGTCCAGAAGATGGATAACATCGACTGGCTACATTCACCCACTGTGATGGATACGGCCGAGCGTCTTATCAAGAAGTATGAGGTATTTTTTGATATTATGCTATCAAACCCGAAGAACATGGCTGTCCCTACACTAGACGTTGATTTGGCCTGGCACACCCATCAACTACAGCCACGTCGGTACTACCGGCATAGTATTCGTACCCTGCCCGGTGCCCAACGCCGATTCATCGACCATGACGACAAAGTCGATGAAAATAAACTTTCCGAGGCCTTCGAATGGACGACCAAGATGTACCGCCGAGCCACAAACGGCGGAATCTACAGCGAATGTACCTGCTGGTACTGCGAAGCTACCCGCGCACCAGACCTCTACGATCGCCTTTTCAACCTAGGCTCGGCATCTCGTGCCCGTGACGCCGCGGACACGCTACATGATCGCAATGATATCTCCTCTAACCCAGACAAGAACCCTCATATTTCGGCGCACAATGCTGTCCGACCGACCACGTTGGCGGCCGAAGATTATCGTGTCGGGACTCTTCAGCGGATTCGCCTGCATCAGAACTATGAGAAGTCTGTTCGTCGGGCTGAAAAGCGTGGCCGTTCTCGCTCTGATGGCAAGAGATCTAATGATGGTGGCGTTGAGCCTTATTACTATACACCACTTGTCTGGGGTTACCCCATGTATGTACCTTACTACGGTCCATATATGTGTGACCCTGGAATCAGCGCAGGCTCATACCCGTGCAACCCGAGCTGCATGAATGTCAGTGCAGGTGGTGTTGGAAATTGTTGCTCGGGCACCTGTGGTGGAGGTGTTGCTGCTGGATCTTGTGGTGGCTTTGGCGCTGCTGGCTGTGCTGGAGGAACAGGTTCTGGCTGCGGAGGTGGTGGTGGAGGATGCGGAGGCGGAGGCGGAGGCGGAGGGGGAGGATGCGGTGGTGGTGGTGGCGGAGGAGGTGGAGGATGTGGTGGTGGAGGAGGTAAGTTTTATCCCTTCGTATTCAACTGGGTATATATGCTAATCAAAAACAGGTGGTGGCTGTTAATTATGTTGGCTTTTGGAAGTTATGAAATACCTTGATATGACTCCGGTTACTTCGCAGCGTTGCTTTCAATAATTCGAGTTTGAACGCCTCAGTCTTTGCTAGCTTGGAAGTTGCTAATATCGCTTTATTCTGGTCTATGGCTACTGAGTTCATTAGAATTTTCTTCCCGTATTTTTCCTAGAGTGTAGACTTTATACCCGGGTGTCACAATTGAATATTCTGCACCAATTAATGCATCCATACCCATATACCGGCCTCATAAACCTGTAGCTGCCCAGGTGCTATGCAGGGTTTCCTTGTCATGAGACTTGTTTTCCGAAAGGAATCTTGGAAAACCAGGCAATTCCATACAAGGGTCAGATTACAACAAAACAAGATTAGGAAGAGATTTGATGCAGTTTTTATTCAACATGTTATGAACTTTCTAACGAGGGTATAATGGTCTGTCTAGACACAGCTACAAAACGCTTGCTACATAATGATGCACTTATTTCGTCGTTTCCGACTTCGTTCCCGGATGGTATGTTCGTTCCAATCCTCGATGCGCCGCCGCCACTCTACATTCTCGGAGGGCGGTAGGCTGGTTGGCTCTGTCGAGACCCGCCGGCGGAAAGATCGTTGTCGTTCCGGTATTTGCGCTTCGTCCTCCGCAGCTGAAATGTCCAATGCATTACCACTTGGTTGCGGGATGTGGAGCAGATTCGGAGATGACACCGAGTATGGCAGGTAGGCCTCCCCGAGCATGGTAGCTCCCAGTGAAGGCATAGGCATGATTGGTTCTCGGGTGGCCTCCTCGGCTGGGTGAACTGCTAGTTGCGGAAGTGGTTGGAGATAAGGATGTTGACCCGTCACGATTGGAACCACATGTCCTGCAGTTTGGGGTCGAGGCCAAGTGTTGACTGGGGAGCTCTCCGTGACAAGAATTTGTTGCGAAGCTTGGGAAACATCCAATCTAGGAACATCAATATGATCCTGGGCTGGGCCATCAACTTGAGATGCACCAGACTCTCGTCGAGCTCTTGCAGGGCGTATAGAAATGGGGCCCAGTCGCTGGAGGATGGCTGATTGTGGGCGTGGGCGATCCTCTGAGGTTGGTCGTGGAACACGGGCAGTTTGGGCTCTCTGTATTTGCTGGGATGCCGAGTCATCAGACCGAAGATTGTTACCCGGTGTGCTACCAAGAAGAGTTTGCCGTAAATGGTCTGGCAAAGGTCCATCGGCATCGCGCTTGTATGGGGAGGCGGTGGTACCCAGTTGTCGGCGTCACTTTCATGGGGTACGTAACGGCGGCTGGGAACATTACGATACCGTGGGTCATACCTTCCCCGGGTTGAGGCTGCGGCTGTAGCAGCCCGGTGAAGTGTATCTTGGGAGCGTGGCAGGGTGTTATCATAGGGAATCTCTGGCACATTCCCCGCTGTGACTTCCTCGGGTGATATAGGCACAGATAGACTGTTGCGACGAAGGATGGGTACCAATGTCTGGCTTGTAGACCGTGGATGCATTCGTGAAGGTCGGTGACTGAGGGCCGTCGAGTCAGTATCACCACGGTGCAAGCGAGTTCTTCTCCTTTCTAGCTCGACTTCCGTATCCAAGGACGAGTCTGGCTCCATCAGCATTTTTGCTTCTGTTTCTCCAACTTCAATATCAAGTTCGACTTCCTCGCCATTGGCAGTCGAACGCTCAAAGTCCAGGACAAGCATGCGTCCGCCGTCCACGGGGACATCCTCTTCGCCAAATAACTGTGGACGTACACCACCCGGTGCCACAGTAACCAATCGACGTCGGTAGGTCGTTTTCTCTGTCGAGTGTACCCATTTAGCGGCAGTCATACCGTGCATGTCAGTTACTTGACGGCCACGAATCAATGCCTTAGGCTGTTGAATGATCTTGTGTAACTGCACCAAATTATCACGTGGAGGAGATCGACCCTCATAATGATGATCACCACTGAAACGAGTTTCCGTGCTCTCATCTGGATCAGGAGTCGAACTTGTTGAAGGAATATCAAGGCGCTTCGGTATGCCATAAACCCATACTTCCGAGTCTTGAAAACCCAAAGCAGCAAGTTCGCCAGCCTCATCTGTTGTAGGAAGCATAATGGGCTGCATTTCTCGTGGCTCCTCTGCCGAAAATGGGCTGGCAAAGTAGACACCACTCATTCCAACATTGTTAGTTTTGATTGCTCTGAAAGCTGCCAGTTGAATATCGTATCCGAGGATCCAGCTATCATCTGATTCGTCATGGCCATCTATTAGACATGCATGTGTGAAGCCAGGCGTGATTTCTGGGAATAGGATCTGTGTTGTCCACATTCGCATTTGCACTTCTTGGGGCGTTGCGTCGATTCCTGGTTCGGTATAGAACGGAGCTGTGATTGTCACAATGCCATCTAGTTCGGGGTCCACTGGCGATCCAAGCACCATGGAACCATCTGGGGAGAATGAGATTGCATCGACTCGTGGGCAACGAGCTGCTCGACGTTCTGTCGGTAGAGCTGCTTCCCCGACGGAATGTACTTCGATACAGTCCCCAAAGGACAAAGCTAGTACACTTCCTGTGGGGGAGAAAATTAAGTCACGGGGCGCATCATTGAGTGCAATTGTCTGTATCAATTTCACGTCTTCATCCGAGAGCGAGTAGATATTGATCTTGTGTGTAGATGACAATACCGCAAGGAGAGAGCCATCATTGTGAATGGTAGCCCCCAAAGGTCGGCGACGGGTTTTTAATTCGTATTTTAAAGTCACCGAATCTGCAGCCAAGTCCAAGATCACGATGCGGGATGAACTGATGCAGAGTACCAGATGGCCATTTGCTGAGAAAGAGAAACGAAATACTTCACCTTGGGGGAAGGCGGTAGACGAGCTCATTGAGCTTGAAATTAAGCGGACCAGAGTCCGACGGGGTCGCAGAAATACGTCAAAGGCATTTCGTCTGATTTCTTCCTGAAATAGGTGCTTGAGGGTGGATAGGCTGTCCTTGTCCGTCTCACCAGACGTGAGAGTCGTGCCCCGCGCCCAAGCAAAGGAGGGACAACGCGACAACTGATGTGTATACAGTGCTGGTGATTCTGATGATCGCCTCCATTGTCGCGTTAATAGAGATAGAGAGGCAAAGGTATTCGCATCGGCGGCATAAAGAATGCTGGGGTCGTCAGATCACGCATTCCACGTAGCAGCCGCAGCCGCAGCAGCAGCACAGCAGCCTCGGAGAACAAAGGGTCAAGATACTTACAGCTCGATTACTTTGGGCGGCAGCCGGTCAAAGACGCCGGTCTCTCGTGGGGAAGAGGCATCCTCCTCCATGATCACCAGCGATCCACGACATGCGGAATTGGCGGCATCCGAGTTGAAGATGCCCTTGGAGAGTGGCTGTGCGTCCCAACCTCTCCACATGACGCCGCTCGTCGATCGCTTGGATTCCTATTTATAGAAATGCACGTGGAATGACTCAGCATTTCCAGGGTCTTACAATGCGGTCTTGAATGTGCAAATTTGCACTGCCGTTCCCGCCAGTTTTGAAAATTTGCAGATCGGGCCAACTGCGGGAAACGGTAACTGCAAATTTGCAATTCCAACATTTTGCAGCTTCCAATTGGCAAATTGGCAAGTTGCGGCTGGGCAGGGCCGATCCGACATCGCTAGATCACCTTGATTCACCTTCCAGCTTCCTCCTCTCCCTCTCTCCATTCGAACACATCGTCAAAAGTCACGCGCCATGCACTTTAACTCACCTTGACCCACGGTCGCTCGCACCGTTTCGCCCCCAGATCCCCCGATCGCTAATTACGCTTCGCAGTCGGCCGGGTACCCCTCATTTTGACAAACTAAGATCGGCCGACTCCGAAAACTCCCCGGGAACTTTTCCCCAGATTGTTCCTACATTCCCCCTCCCCCAATTGTCGGCAGCTAGTACATACTTGGGTTGCGCATCATGTCGCCTGCAACCGTTCAAGTCAATACCTCTTCCAAATTGCCCTCGCCTGGGTTCAACGCCGGTGCGCGACCTTACCGATCCCACAAAGTTCGTGCCTGTGATCTCTGTCGCAAGCGCAAGTCCCGATGCACGGTTGATATCCCTGGTCAGTCTTGCCTGCTGTGTCGTGTGCAGGGGGCCGATTGTCATTATCAGGAGGAGCAGAACCAGGAGAATGCCTTGGTCCTGAGCACATCAGAATCCAAGCCATGGCCCGCAGGACCGTCCCCAGTCGATCCTATGCCAGGTCAGAAACGCAAGCGCAGTCCTGATCCCAATTCGCATCAATCACCCATCGGACCTAGTCCGCAAGGTACGACTTCGTCTGCTTCAGGGCGGCGCAAAGACGAGGATCCCCATAATGAGTCAGTACTCATCGTCGGACCTATGGTGGCGGAGGACGCGCAGGTCATTGAGAAACACATGCCTCCTGAGCGGACCACCCTCTCCGAAGAGCCCAGTAACAACCCATACAATATCTATTCGAGTGATCCCAGGAAGCCCGTCCTCTACACTACTATCTCCCGTCGGAGGAAAGGCATGCGGCGCGGAGTTCCTCCGGGCGAGAACCAGAAAGAAATTCTGGAGCAGATACTAGGTCCATTTAGACATGATCTTGTGCGACTGTAAGTAATAACCGATGGCAAAGCTCTTCTGCTAGAATTTGGGCACTGACTCTATTTTTTTTTCCTCCCGCCAGCTTCATCGACCGCTTCAATGTTGCTTTCCCTATTTTTGACGGCGAGGCATTCTGGGAGTCTTACATTACCGAGGGCTTGGAGGATCCGCCAGCTTCCTTACTCTGCCAAGTTTACTCCATGTCGCTTGTTTATTGGAAGCATACTCCAAAGCTTGCGTGCCACCCTAAGCCTGACGTCCGGTACGCCGTCAACATGACAGTCGCTGCATTACACGAGGAGTTTTCTGCACCTGGTCTTTCGACCATTAGTGCTGCGCTGATTGATCTGACGGGGCGGCCGATTTTCTCCATGACTGGAAATGCCGTTAGCTGTGGACGAATGCTCTCACTCGCAAACTGCCTTGGATTGAACCGAGATCCATGCTTGTGGAAGCTCTCCCAACAAGAGAAAGACCAGCGCATTCGTCTTTGGTGGGGAGTTGTGATTCATGATCGATGGTATGAAATATTGCACAGCAATTATTATCTGGTTTATTATGTACTAATGTATTCCACAGGGGAAGTTTCGGTCACGGTGTCCCACCACAGATTGCGAAGTCTCAATACGATGTACCCTTGCCTACTATCGATAGTCTGGTACCCCCTCATGCTCGTAGTACCGAGCGCGTGCGTGCGGCTCGTTGCCATATCGCTCTCTGCAGGTTGACGGAAATTCTGGGCGAGTTGCTTCCACTGGTCTATGGCCTGCAAGTAAAACTGGCGCGCGAGAGCTCGAAGAAACTGCGACAAATCCGAACTGATCTAGACTTGTGGGAGGACTCTCTACCTGACTGGCTTCGGTCTCCAACGCAAAACCGTGGGGATCAGCTACATGCGTCAAGCAGCTTGCAGCTTGCTTTTTTGGCCGTAAAGATGCTCATCAGCCGAGTCGAGCTGAATGTAAGTAGTACCTCAACGATGATTTTGATAGTTGTTAGGCTCACAATCTTTTACACAGGAGGTCAACAATGCGGAAGCTGAAAACCCCGAAGCTCGTCGGTATTTCCAGACAGAGTGTCGCAAATCGGCAGAGGATATCGTGCGGTTTATTTCATCTTTGCGCAAAGAACACTTCAAGGAGTTCTGGCTCCCTTGTATGGCACCCCATATCTGCCCAATGAACTCCTTCTCGAATCCCAGGAGCTAACTATCTCTTCAGACAGTGCCTTTCACCTGACCTCGACTGCGACCCTCCTCGTCCGATGCGCTCTAGAGACAAATGATACTGAAGTAGCTCGGTCGTGTCTTTCCAACGTTGAGACCCTCCGCACTGTCCTACGTCGCGTTCAAGAAGAGGAGGACTGGGAAGTTGCGGACATGTGCCTGGACCACTGTGAGCATATCATGCACAGGCTCCCGGGGACTGGAGCCCCAATGGACCAGGATAGCATGGCTGCCTCGCTGGCCGATAACGGCCTGGTCAACCCAGCCGCAATTTCATTGCCCGAGACGCAAACCAACAATGACATTGTGGACGACATGATGTCTATCTCCAATACATTCGGAACGATGGACGGCTTCCCATTCGACATGACAGGCATCTGGGATGTTTCTGTCTTTCAAGATGTCAACCTGTCTTGAAGCTTTCGATTAATCAAAATTTTGGTTTCTCCAGTTTTGCTTGGGGGGTTGGTAGTAGGCGTGTACGCTATTGAGAATGACAAGCTACAAACAACGTATATATATACCCTGGGGGTTTGACTTGGAACCCTGTCTATTCATTACTAATCCAGTCTATCAATCTGATTTTTTTGATTTTGAATTAAACATCTGACTTATAAATTTTGTACATCGAGAAACAACAAGAGAATCGGACACCAAACGCTATTTTACAAGTTGTTCCGGTGAAATGGAATGATCAGAACAAACCCAAGAAACCATCTAATGCCCCGCCCTTGCCCATAAATGACAACAAATAAACAATTCGCAGCGACGAGGAGTTGGGAGGAACCAAAGAAAAGTAAGTAGGGTCTTTCAAGCAAGCTTACTCCTTGCCGCCACCGGCGCCAAAGACACCGGTGAAGGAGCCCTTCATGCTGGCCATCTGCTCTTGGCGAGCCTTCTCCTCCTCGGCAGCCATCTCAGCAAGCCACTTCTCGCCATTTTCACGGATCTCACGGTCAATCATCTCGTAGTTCTTCTGGCCACGCTCGCGAATCTGATCCCACAGCATCTTGCCCTGGGCCAGACCCTCGGAGGGAGATACCTCGCCATCCATGGTACGGCCAGACTTCAGGCCAAGAGCACCAGCAAGGCTGCCCATGGAGAGAGAAGGCTTCTTCTTCTTCTCTTCGGCAAGATCGGCTTCGAAACGCTCACGCATGGCCTTCTCACGCTTGGCGAACTCGGCGGGGATGACAGTACCCTCGAACGACTTCAACACAGGTCGGACATCCTCCACACCCATACCGGCAAGGTACTCCAGGAAGGGAATGAGAGCGACGAGGGTCTTGTCCTTGGGGTCACCGGTCCACTTATCCAGGACGACGGCGTTCTCAGGCTGCAGGCGGGCGTGCTCTTCCTTGGTATCGAGGAGAATGACCTTCGACAGGTCTCGGTTCAAGTATTCCAGATCCTAGTAAAAATATGGTCAGTAAGATCGAAAGCTGGAATGCGCGCCACTTCGAACATACCTTGATATACTCGCCATCCTTATAACGGGTAGCTTCACGGAACAAGGGCCAGCGGATAATACGGTAGGGGTCGAGCTTGCGGAGAACCTGGTCGGCCATCATGCTGGGCACGGTGGTGAAGAGAACGAGTTCGTAGTACTGGTTGAGGTAGCGAAGGAAGTAATCGACACCAGGACGCTTCGCAACGCGCCACCCGTGCTCACGGCTCCACTCGCTGTGAACGAGAAGATCCTCAAGACTGAGCACCAGGGTGTAGGGCTGGCGCATGGCAGGGTCCTCATCCGGAAGCAACTTAGGGAAGGCAGGGTCCTTGTAGTAGCTGGTGAGATCACTGGTGCGAGCCGTGGCACGGTTCCACCAGGAACCCAAGCCCCATCCAGATGGTTGCTGAGGGTGAGCGCGCTCCTCCTCATCGGATTCCCAGTTGCGGCCGAGATAGCCTATTCCAGCGACACCGGCGGCCAGCATCACGGCGTACATGATGTTGGCCATGCGGGCCTTGCGACGATCCATAGATGTTTCATATCCGCCCTTGGGGATCTCACCACCACCCCCTCGCTTCTCCTCGCTATATTCCTCTGATGTTGGATCCTCGGTGAGGTTGAGCTGTGACTTCTTGGAACGGCCTTCGAGCTCTGCAAATAGTGTCGATGGGATACCCTGGGTGAGGTCAGGGAGCGGCTTCGAGGGGAATTCTTCGGCTTCAGACTATAGGCAAAAACAGATTAGAAAGGGAGGTCCAATTCAATTTGATAAATTGCAATGCAGATAGGTGTCGGTAGCTCACGGGTTTGGTAGATTCCGCGTCAGTCTCGGGCTGAGCCTTAGTATCGAACTCGGGTTGTTCCGCGGCATGTTGTGCGGGTTGGGTATCCTTTGTAGCCTTGCGCTTCTTCGTTTTGGACTCCTGTGACTGCATAGACTCGGGGAGAGTGTACGGCGTACTGCCCTTGCCCTGAGCGTACCACCGGGGCCGCTGGGCAGACAGGGCCGAAGAGGCCCTAAAGGCAGAGGCGAGGACGTTGGGCCTCGTCAGAGGCAGAACGGCACGACTCAGCATGACGAGAGAGTGAAAGGGTAAAGTGATGGAAGAACAGGAAACAAAAATGTCCTGCTGGGTCTCTCGATCCTGGGGCTGGCGGGTCGAGTTTCCCGTAGAAAAGTCAGGCGCGTGGCTCGGGTGACCTACAGGGGCCTGTTGCGCAGTTTATGCATCGACAGAACGTAGTTTGGAGTAGCAAGGGACGATACCTTTGCTACTTTTGTACTTTAACATCCGCTAGAAATTGAAAATAAAGCTTCTATTATCCTATGTTCGACTCACATCTTCAATTGAATCCCATTCGGAAAGACTAAGATATTTCTACGCAGTCGGCTACGTCAGTAGCTAACCAATACCCTACATAGTTAGTAGTAACCTAACTAGTCACTAATTGTTGCCTAACTGGCCACTGTCGACCACCGTAGCAGTCCCGTTTTATGGCGATTCGAATCGTCGGTTTCTTTCCTTTCCTCAGTTATGAAAGTCCACCCGGCAAATAATTTGACCCAACACGCCTTTTCTCTATGCGTGTTGGACTGAAATCGCTGGGGAGACCGAAAGAAGTTTCTTCTTTTCCCACATCCAAGAGCCGCAGCAAAGGCCTCCAGTGAAGCTACAGCTCCAATTGTGGGAAACAGTCCCCTATTTTTCTTACTTTCAAGTTTTCTCTTTGTTCAAAACTGCCAAAGTGAATGGCAGACGAGGTTGAGTCTCATGTTGATATTCTTACTTGACTCCAATCTCCGCGAAGAATGCAATCATTCATGAAATTTTCCCTCCATCTTTTTAGATCCCGTGCCGCGTACTTATAGATCTTTTCGCCTCTCCCTTTTTTTTTCCCTTCCCCTCAACATGGCCCCCAAGAAGACGCGAAAGCCCATCGAGGAACCAGAGTTATCATATGAGTTGGAGCTGGAGCCTGAGCCCGAACCGCAACGAGGACCATTCCCTTTCCTCGAATTGCCATCCGAAATTCGCCTGCGCGTGTACCATTTCGTTCTCTTCACACCAACCCGGAAGAGTGGCGCGAAGAAAAATGCAGGCACCGTCGGCTCCTCCGCGAAGAAAAGCAAGCATGTCGCCCCGACATCGCATCGTATAGCACTGTTTCTTACCTCACATCGCATTCACGATGAGGCCAGTCATATGTTCTATTCGTCCCAAATCTTCCGACTCTTCCCCGTGCAAGACTTCTCTCGCCGGCCGACCGTTCGCACCCTTCCACGTCGTCACCGTTCGTCCGTCACCACAATAGAGTTGATTTTGGGCAATAGTTGGACTGCACCACCACGGTCATGGATTGTAAACCAGGGACTTGGCTTGCACGATATGGCTCACACGCGCACACTGAAGATTTTCATAGAGTGTGACCCTTCGCAGCCAATCTTCGAGGGGTTCCGCGTCTCGAAAGAGTACTATACGGAATTTGCGGGCAATTTGATGCGGCAAATCCTTGAGCGCCTCCCTGCCTCAGTCCAGGTGGAGTTTGATGGTTATCCCTCCGTGCGCAAGACAGGTGATCTGATGGTACGGCTACTGCAGGAGACGCAGATGGCAAACAAGAAGGTCTTGTGGGGCCCGGAGAGAGGCTGGACAGACACCGAGGACAACTATGTCCCAGAAGCGGAAGATCCAGCAGACGCTGCCATTGATGGTTTGCGGGCCAGTATACCGCTCTGCGTTGACACTTTGACAACCACACTCCAGGCCGTCAGACTGGAGACATGAGGCCCGTTGGCACATCACTTGCAATCGGTGTTGGACGTGACATGACTTTAATTAGTTTACATATACATTGCGCGGCGTTGATAGAGTGGCTCGAACTCAATACATTCTTGATCCACATTTAGACAATCTACGGTCCAAGGATTTATCGTACCCAGGTATTAATTTCCCAGGTTTACCTTTTGAGTTTCAAGAGAGTAGATTCCTCATTCTTCGTATAAAGCATAGATGGATCCTCTGAGAAGAAGAAAACAAATATTCGTAATTAGAGCATGTAGGTTTCAAATGCTTCCATCTAGAGTTCCTCATCCACATCCATGTTGGTACCGTTGGCGCCTTCTTTCGAGCTTGATTGCCGGGCTACTGAAGCTTCCTTATCAATCATTTGGCGGGACACGGCGACAATGTTGTCCTCGATCAATTGCTGGCTGACATCCTCAATGTCTAAATAAAAAGGTTAGCATGTTATGACAAGGTCAATGGAGACGAACGACACATACGCTTCTTGGGGTCAACCTTGCCGACGTATCGTGTCTTCAGTTGATCCTTGCTCAGCTCTGTCTCCTCCTTCACCCGCTTCTCGTAGCCCTCGGCAAGGCTAACGAGCTGCTTCATCTGCTCCACGTTGTGATGACCGTCTTCGTGGAAATCGTTCATTTGCAGGGCCTCGGTCCATACGTGCTTGTGCAAGTTCATCAGCATATTCTCCTCCAGGCCGGTCTTTCGGTAGTTGATTCCAATGCTATAGTAGTGACGGTTTAGGCCGTGAATGAGAGCCTGGATTGAGGGCTTGTTCAGGTGACCCAAGTTTGAGGTTGTTTGACGGGGCTCCTGGCCCATGACAACGGTCTGTGGCTGAATAAGGCGGAAGGCGTCAATAACAACCTTGCCCTTCACCGACTGAATGGGATCGACGACGACGGCCACTGCGCGGGGGGTGAGTTGTTCGAAAGATTGCTGGGTGTTGATATCGACGGATGAAAGCCAGCAACCGAAACCAGGGTGAGAGTGATACCATCCAACGACAGTCTCTGGCCTATTGTTTCATCATGATTAGCACAGTTCTCCCAGTGTCCGCAAATGCAGATCATAGAACATACCGTCCCGTTTGCCGGAGCATCTCCATCATCTTGGTTTGGAATACGGGATCCACGGCCTCGACACTGACACCAGTACCACTCTGGGGCATGGCAAAGACATCCACAACGCGGACTGTGTATTCATCGACAAATTCACCCAGCATCAGACCCATGACTTCCATCGGAACACCTGCGCGGCCGTGTCGCAGCATCTTCAGCAGGGCCAGAGAGGAAATATGAACGGTTTCGGAGTTATCAATCAGGTTCGGGGTGTCCTAGAAGAAGATTGCGAGTTAGAATCGGCATTGCTCGTTGATAGCAGCAGCTTCGGAGGGCGGACAAATGGCGAGTAGCCACGGCTTCCGATCACTTACACCACCGGGGGCAGCGCTTCCCATTCCCATGCCCTGTGCGGCCTGCAGCATTCTGTTGAGGCGGTCCATGATGGCTGATCACAATGAGTGGAAGGTTGTAGAAGGAGTGATGAGAGAGATAGCTTCCTAGATGGAAGCTCCCAAAAGGTCGATCGGTCTCTGTCGAACTGAGTTCGTCACGGAAGAGCAGCAATAAGATGCAATTCAAACTTTGCAGGCAAGTAAGTGAGTTACTTTAGCAACCTTGAGGACTGATGTTGGAGGACTCTTGTTGATGCTTGGTCAGAGAACCAGTCCGGCTGGGAGCTCGACTGACGAAGGCGGTGTGGGTGATCTGCCGTTGCCCTTCCCACGCGGCGATCGATTCTCCCACGCCTCTCCCGTCTTGATTCAGTGCGCCATGGGCTTGTCGGAACTTGTGAACTTCTGTGTCTAAATATTCCGACAGTCTCCTCGCGGTGGTGCTTGGTATACAAGTGCCTTGCCCCTCCCGTGCACCGACACCCTACTTCACACGGTCCTCCCCCTCACCGCAAACCACCTTTCTCCCTCACTCCTCTCGACCGACAATCCCACCGAGAGTCCGCCAGGAAAACCGGCTCGACACGCGTCGTTCAATCGCCAAGGATGGCCGTTGAACCGCTCTCCAATGGCGTCGGCGCTACCAACAAGAAGGTTGCCTACTTCTACGACTCTGATGTTGGAAACTATGCCTACGTATCTGGTCACCCTATGAAGCCGCACCGGATACGCATGACGCACAGCTTGGTTATGAACTATGGGCTCTACAAGAAGATGGAGATTTACGTGAGATTCCATAAACCACTCCGATAGGAGGATGGAATAAGATTACCAATGCTAATGCGAAACCCCGACACAGCGTGCCAAACCAGCCTCCAAATACGAAATGACGCAGTTCCATACCGATGAATATATTGACTTCTTGTCCAAGGTCACGCCGGATAATATGGATCAGTTTTCAAAGGAACAAAGCCGGTACAATGTCGGTGATGATTGCCCTGTATTCGACGGTCTCTTCGAATTCTGCGGTATCAGCGCTGGTGGCAGTATGGAGGGCGCGGCGCGTTTGAATCGCAACAAATGTGACGTCGCCGTCAACTGGGCTGGAGGTCTGCACCACGCCAAAAAGAGCGAAGCTAGTGGCTTCTGCTACGTGAATGGTGAGAGTTACGAAACCCGAATAATCGTTCACTCATGTATTAACAACTGCTAGATATTGTTCTCGGCATTCTAGAACTTTTGCGTTTCAAGCAGCGAGTATTGTATGTCGACATTGATGTGCATCACGGCGATGGTGTTGAAGAGGCCTTTTACACGACAGATCGTGTGATGACTGTGTCTTTCCACAAGTACGGCGAGTACTTCCCCGGTACAGGTGAGCTGCGTGATATTGGTGTGGGTAATGGAAAGTATTATGCCGTCAACTTCCCTCTTCGAGACGGTATCAATGATCTCTCCTATAAGAGCATCTTTGAACCTGTGATCAAAAGTGTGATGGAATGGTACCGCCCCGAGGCTATTGTACTGCAGTGTGGTGGTGATAGCTTATCTGGCGATCGCTTGGGTTGTTTCAATCTGAGTATGCGCGGCCATGCCAATTGTGTCAACTTCATTAAAAGCTTTGATCTTCCCACCATGATCCTTGGCGGTGGTGGTTACACGATGCGCAACGTTGCGCGTACCTGGGCTTTTGAGACAGGTATCCTGGTCGGAGACAGCCTGGGCTCCGACTTGCCATACAATGACTACTACGAGGTACAGTTCCCCGCAAATTTGAACACTGGGTTTTATGTATTAACAATGACCCTAGTACTTTGCTCCCGATTACGAGCTTGATGTTCGTCCCTCCAACATGGACAATGCCAACACCAAGGACTACCTCGACAAGATTCGTAGTCAGGTTGTTGAGAATCTCAAACGCACCGCATTCGCGCCTTCCGTTCAGATGACTGATGTTCCTCGCAACCCGCTTCTCGAGGGCATGGATGATGATGCTGATGACGTCCTTGATGATCTCGACGAGGACGAAAACAAGGACAAGCGATTCACCCAACGTCGTTTCGACCAGTATGTTGAGAAACCTGGAGAACTTAGTGAAAGTGAGGACGAGGAAGAGAATGCCGCCAATGGCGTTCGCCGCCAACCTGGAGCCATTCGCCGTCGAAACATAACCAACTACAGGGATCTCGATCCTGCAGACTCCGGTCTCGACAGCGGCATGGCTACTCCGGCAAATGCCTCGTCTGTTGCTGACGGTGACCTGGATGTCGGTCTGGATACCAAGATGGCCGACGCCCCCCGAACAGAACCCGATGTGTCGGCCACGGCATCAAATGATCAAGATACCCCAGCCGATGTCGATGAAATGGTCCTTGAGGCTGAAGATAAGGATTTCTCCGCTGCTGCCTCCCGGCAACCTTCCCCTCCTCAAGATGACGACGATACAGCCATGGAGGATGCTGCCCCGGCTCCCGAGACTGACCAGTCTGCACCTGCGACTGACGCCCAGGAAGAAAAGAAGCCAGAGATATCACCTGGAGTCGAGGGCTCGGCCAATACTCCTCTGTCTCCTCAGGCTCAATCCGCCTCGGACGAGCCATCTGCATCTGTAATGGACAAGGGGGGGTGAGGCACAGGAGTCTGCGCCCGCTGGGGGCTCGGAAGCCAAAGCTACAACTACAGAGTCTGCTGTGGAGCCTACCGCAAAGAACGAGGAGTAAACGGAAGCAACTCCAGCAACAATATCGGATCTGGCGTAATGGGAAATGGGAAGAATGGTGTTATTGGTTTGGCAGCATGTTCACATCTTATTCGACCATGGGGGCGGGCTGTTTCTCTGCACGACGGAAAGGCGGGACAGATGTTTCACGATTTGAGAGCCATTTTTATTATTTGTCTCCTGTTTCAATTTGTCAAAACAGAAAGACCATGTGAAATACTTCTCATCCGTGAATTTGCACTCCGTTTCGGACGAGTTGATATGCCCGCGTCCTATGTTTTTAGTTTCTATTTTTAAACTGATAACCTTCGTTCTACTGCGAATCACTGCGAATGAAATATGTACAATTGAGCATTTAAGTTCAAGTTCCTCTCCTACTAGTACTACCTGATAGTTGTGGATTCCATCTACTGTAGTACATCTCTAAGTTGCCCTTGATCATTTCAAGGCGCCGCCTTTGAAAAAGTCAGTCCCAGATATGGAACCCAAATCATAGTATTAGAGCCATGTATATACTATCAACCTCAATATGGCCTTTTTGCTTAGCCCCGAAAACCGTCATGAGCCAGCCATCCATTCCAGTTGTATTGTCTAGGGCCCGGCGAATATAGTTAGACAGTCACGTGACAGGACTTAACTTAGGTCATCTGGTCAGGCTAGTCCCGAAGGGGGCTAGTGCTAGGGCAACCCAATCCACCAATGCGGTGCCAAGATTTTACGCACCGCACCCGCACACTAAGCGAGAAAGAAAGCACCGTGGATTCTTTGACCTTCGTCTCGCCTTCTCGCCAACCCACTTCGACTTCACTCGACAACCCCGTGTGATACTCGCCATCATGTCTACCAGAGGGTAAGTCTATTCGCTCTATACCCAGATAAACGAAAAAGAGAACCATGGGAGGAATTTGCCGACGATCTCGACGACCGAATGTGCACATTGAATGTTCATATTGAATGTTGAACATCTCGAGCGGGGAAGACGAACCGGGCAACATGGAACTGGGATATACAACCGGAATGAAAGAAATAGCCCAGCTAACGGTTATCGCATTACAGTCGTGCCGGTGCCTCGGGCAACAAGCTCAAGATGACCCTCGGTCTGCCTACGTAAGAATTTCCCACAAAGTCGTGTCCCTCTCGTCCAGTGAAGCTTTCGATGAACGCCTTTCGCCAACTACTCCGGTCCAATCAATTCTTGTCGACAATCATGGAAAATGGAAGCGAGGAGGGAAAAGAAGAAATCCTCGACAAGAGAACATACGCCATACGCTTCGGAACCACTACGCCAAATATCAGTACGATATGGAAGAATCGAAAAGCATTACTTGGACGAGGGAACTGGACACGACGCAAATGACGCTCTTTGAGAAAGAAATTACGGAAATACTAACGGTCGTCTTCAATTAGTGGCGCCGTGATGAACTGCTGCGACAACTCCGGTGCTCGCAACCTGTACATCATTGCCGTCGCCGGTACCGGTGCCCGCCTGAACCGTCTGCCCGCTGCTGGTGTCGGTGACATGGTCATGGCCACCGTCAAGAAGGGTAAGCCCGAGCTGCGCAAGAAGGTCATGCCCGCCGTTGTCGTCCGTCAGAGCAAGCCCTGGCGCCGCCCCGACGGTATCTTCCTGTACTTCGAGGACAATGCCGGTGTTATCGTCAACAACAAGGGTGAGATGAAGGGATCCGCCATCACCGGCCCTGTCGGTAAGGAGGCTGCTGAGCTTTGGCCCGTGAGTGTTCCCCCAACCCCGCATCAGATGTGCATGGCACGATCTGGAATAGACCTTGATACTAACCATATCACAGCGTATTGCCTCCAACTCCGGTGTCGTCATGTAAAGAGAGGAAACCGAATAAAAACAAAAATCAACGATACCATACCTGAAACTCCTTGGGACCTGGGAACACGGGGTGCATACGACACATTGTGGAAGAAAAAGGGGGGGGGTCCAACTGACGAGACGAATTCACCTGTGTTATTTCGAGCCGGTTTTCCTCCCATTCGTGTTTTTTTCTTTGAACACTGGCGATCTTCGGAAGTACTTGAAAAATACAACTTTTCATGAAAACATCCAACCGCTTTTCCTCTGTTGTATGTGATATAGGAGTTTGGGAGTATGGATTCTGCCACCATGGCGTCTTCATATTCTTTAACTCTGCCTAGACTCCCTGGGATATAGGCAGATTTATTAAATCTGATCCCCTTGTTCCTGTCATGGGTTTGTAGTTGGTTTTGTGTAAATTAGCAATGTGTACCTGAGGGTTGTTTCTAGCTGGACTGCATCATGATGTTCGATCAGCTATGACATTCTCATGATGAATTTCGTTGCAGCAATCTTTTTAAAAAAACAAGGTCACTGGCTGTTACTAGTAGATTGCTATTGTTACAATCAAGTGAAGGGAAACAATTTATTTGCAAGACCTAAAGCTAAATTTACTGCTGAAACCCTATGCTATTGTACAATGAACAAGCTATCTATCAATCTATCACTCCATCGTCTTTTCCTGCTTCTCCTGTTTGGGTATATTTTGCGCAGGACTCTGGTCCTTCTGCATCGGACTTGAGCCTATCTGCACTGCATCCTTTGTAGACGCTTTAACGGATCCAGTCAACTGGACCACCACCCAAAGCAAACTAACAATCAGCGTGACGAGAGCGAGAACATGCACAGCCCACCAAACATGCTGTACACCGGCAGGGCACATCATGATCTCGTAATCCCATTCGCCCGCATCAACATCGAACCAAGCTGACAGAAGCCCGGCGTTTCCACCAAACTCCCCCCATCATCGACCGAAGTGTGACTTCGCGGATAGATGGAGTTTCTGACGGCACATTGGACTCATTATATCTCTTTGCAGCCCACTTCCAGCTCTGCGAGGGAGTATCATCGGAAGTGTCCTCTTCCTGTTTCTTTTCCTCGACTTCATTGGTGTGGTTGACAAAATGGACGGCATCACAGCCAGTGTGGTCATGGCCCGTGAGAATGAGTCCTTTCCGACCTTGGCCACCACCAAAGGCATTCACATTGCCAGTCATGCCAAAGATGCCCTCCAATATCCCCGATGCACTGATAAAGTCACTCAAATGGTTCTGCTCCCTCAATCCACCTTCCTTCCAGCGCGGGATGCCATCAGGTCCATCCTCATCATCTTCTTCATGGAACGTGAAATATGGCCCATCGGTGCAGACTCCTTCCTTCTTGTGCAAAGGCAAGTGTGTGAGGAGGAGAGTAAACGTAGACCGGTCCTCAACTGGGTAGAGGCGCTTGCTAATAAGGTCGTTGAGATAAGTGTAACTATGAGACTGAGCGGCCTCAGACAAGGCTGGAGTGTCGAATATAAGGGTGTTGAGGTTAATCAGATGCAGAGTTGGAGTAATGACCGACTTATCAGTCTCAGCTGCAACCTCCGATCCATTAGACCCAGGAACGATGGGAGGGTGCTGGAAGCGAATATCCCAATTGGCACGGCCAAACTCGCGCTCAAAACGCTCCATCCGCGATTCGCTAGCATCGCCTGCGTAGCCGATATCGTGGTTCCCCGCGATATTTATCACTCGTCGAGGCCAAGCAGGGTCGGAGTTCGGTCCCAGGGGCTCGAGTTCCTGCTTCTCGACGATGTCGCCCGCAACGGCTCCCGTTCTCGTGATCTTGTCGTCAACCCTTTCTCCACCACGGAAAACACGGGTCCAATAGCGTTCGCTACGCCAGGAGAATTCGTCGTCGTCGATCCACTGGCTTCCCAGAAGATCTCCCAGCACGGTCGTATGCGTGGGTCGAGTCCACCAGAACAAGGTGCGGTAGATGTGCGCGAGGTAGTAGTCGTTACCCAGTAGGTCGACGCGCTTTTGAACTGCCCGAAGTGATCGTGGGATATCCTCGCTTATAAGATCCCGTAGCCCTGAGGTGAAACTGGAGAGAACCTCCGGGTTCAGGAGAGACCTTGGAAAGGGCGTAGTAGCTGAGGCATCCTCCACCGCATCCTGTACATCCTGCCAATGTTTGCGTGCACGCGCGGCTAGTTTCCACTCCGGCAAAGGCAGAGACGTGTCTCCCTCGAGCTGAGGGTCTGCGAGGACTAGGAGACGGAAGAGTGCTGGCTGGGTGTTCGCCGCGGAGTCTGAGGCTCGGAGGTGTTGTAGGAGGGTGTTGGCGGAAGGGTTTTGCCGTAAGGGCTCGAGGAAGGAACGATCTCCTGCTATTGGCGACTTCGATCGAGGCAGGGGGAACGCACAGCCGTTGAAGACGGGGTAAAGGTAGAGGTAGACTGTAGCGGAGAGAGCGAGCGGGAGAAGCAGCGCAAGAATGCGAGAAAGGAGCGAACGAAGGAACATGAGGGTCGGGGTATTAGGAATAATCTTATGGGGAGAAAATATACATCGTAACGAATATATAAAAGAATATCAGAGCGCGTTGTGGGATGGTGAAGGGCAAAAAGTCGGTGCCCCGAGGGGGTAAACAGTGTGGGCAGCGGAGATCACGCCGCGCCCCATGGGCGGCATAAGGCAAGGGAACTATATCATGACATATCATCCGAGGCTATTCCGTCAGAAATAGCCAAATGGAGCCTGAGCCACCTGGTATAGCTACGAGTGGGTTTTAAAGAAAAATTCGCATTCTTCTTAGCTACCTAAATATGCAATGAGTTGGAGAACTTGAATACATTAATATTGTTTTCACCCCTAATGGTCATCTATAAGTATCATGATGTTGATTGATAAACAACCCAGAGATTTTAGATTTCATAGTTAACTGCACCCTAGTACTAGTAGATATCACAGGGGGCTCTTAAACCCGACCTACTTATTACATAGCGCCCTAATTTGCTTGCTCAAATCTGCATATATCTCGAGATCGGACCAACCTTGGAATTCCGTGGGTTGGATCAGGTACCAGCCAACTTGAACCCCCTTAGACCCCAAAATCTATGGATATTAGATACATATTGATCTATAATCCCCAAGTCATGATATGTAGCACTAGACGACTCGGGATAAGAGGGCGATATAGTTTAGGACATAATAAATCAAGGAGAGAAAACATCCAATGCATATAAAGACAGGGAACAAGAATAGCAAGTCATACCAACCTCGCACGAAGCCATCCGGTGTGCGGATGCTTAGACACTCACAGAGATCAGACGTAGCGATCAGGCAAAGGAATGGTAGCGGTTCGACGAAAGTAATAGCCTGAGGAGAAGGAAGCAGGAAGCTGAGACGGACGCTGGCTAGGCAGTGGATGCCTAAGTGGATGCCACATTCTTAAGGCATCAACACCAAATGGTGACGACGACCTAGTTCATCCATGTCCACGCAGTGCTCCCTAGTGTAGAATCTTCAACAATAGTACTACTTGAAGCATATGGCGATGAGATAAAGGTATGCATGAAGGAAATCAGGTCCAATAATACTAGAAATCCAAATGCATCATGTATATGAAAGCCATGTGATTATAATTATCTACACACTCGTAAAGAATCAACTCGTCCCCAAAATCTAGCTAGGAAAAAGTCCAAGATCAGATGAAGCAACGACTGGTTCACTCCTCCACAAAGCCAAACTCATCAAACACACACACACACACACACACACAGCCCACATAAACCCTTCGTGTCCACATAACAAACAAAAACTGGCCAAGGCCAGGAAAGAATGGAACAGAAGTCGGTACGAGGGGTATATCACATCAAACGCCAAACGGTCGGGGGGATGATAAATGGTCCAAAAGTCAAAGAAAAAAGAAATGAAAAGAAGAGAGGTGAAAGAAGATTAATCGCAGTGGTTTCTCAAAATTAGAGGTCCGTCTGCCAAAATTGTAGCAGTAGTATCATGGTAAAGCAAGAAGACTACTGCGATTCCATCTTAGCCAAGGGGCTAGGAAGGAGGGATATATGTCCGGTGTCGATTTCTCCAAGGGGGTTGGACATGGGCCGATCGTTGGCCGTAGGCGTGTTGTCTTGGATGTCCACCTTTGCATCAACGAACGAACTGGAATCGGTTGATGGTGCCTTGGCCAAATTCAAGCCTTCGATCCGAAGTCCATGCTCTTCTTCGTCTTCCTCTTCAATTGATTCGTCAGGAAGACGGTCGGACTCTGGACCGGAGGCATTGGCCATCAAGGCGGGTGGGCGTTGGTTCATCAGCCGGGCTTGTTTCAAACTGATCGTCTTTTGTTTGTTGGTACTCTCCGCCACTTGGGACAAATCACGTTCAATGGTTGCCTTCATCAGGGCCGCCATCCACAAACGGCCTTCCTGAACATTATCAACCTGGAAGTAGTGGGTGGTGGGTTTGGTGAATTGGACAGTTCGTGAGTTACCCGACTTTGGCGGCACGAGCTTGAAGAAGAAAGGACCACTCCCATCCTTGCTAGCAAGTGAGGCAAGGACTGCAGGCGTGGTGAGCTTGGAAGCTTCGCTGGCGTTGGCGTTGGCAGGCTGCGAGGTGGAACCGGTCACCGTGGCGTGCAGCGCGATTATAGGATCATTATCTGCCCGCAGCACACGGTGAGCTGTGATGTCGATGAGGCCTCGCTCTTCGGTGTCTTCTTCGGAATAGTAGTAAGATAGACGACGGCCACGCAGGACAAAAAGTCGAGGCTTCCATGTTGTCATGAGATTGGATGATCTCTTCTTCATCCATCCGCTGTAGTCGCAGCCAGCCATCTGCTCCTTTGGCGCCTTCTTCTCTAGACCGCGAGTATATGCACTAGTGTCCTTTTTGGATTTGACGGTCCGGGGGCGAACCATTATGCCGCCGGCGTTTTCAGCAGCTTTACCTGACCCATCGGTACTGTGGCGTTCAGAGCTCTTAGAGGTCGCCGAAGGAGTTGTAGAACCAGTGCGACCAGACGTAGGATCGTAATCACGGGGTGAGACCGGAGCTGAGCTATCAGTGCTGCCCTTTCCAACAACATCTGAAATAGCGCGAAGGCCAACGGCCCGTCGAACTCTTTGACTTGCACCGCCGATTTTCGGGAGAGTGAAGGGTAATGGCGAGGAACGTGCGGAACTATCCGAATCACCACCCTTCTTCATGAAGGGACCGAGGCTTGAAAAGAAACCGGTCTTGCTATCCTGGGAATCATTACCACTTCGCTCAGAGACACGGGTACTCAAACTTCGAAAACGACTCTTTGGTGGTGTACCGTGATAATTCTCGGCCGCAGTAGAGACATGCCTAGATGCATCACGTATAGAGTCAACACTGGCGATGCGCGATTGACGTTTGCCAGTGGCCTTGGTGACCCTGTCATCCGCGTAGCTTGACTTTCGGGAATGACTGAGGCTCCCACTGGCTGATGACCGCTTCTGCAGAACGCGTCGAGTTCGACGGGAATCCACCTCAGTTCCGGAGAAGTAGCCTCGATCGAGGTCATCCATGTGCTCGGGCGTGTTGGGCTCTGATTCCGTAGAGGCGAACTGTGGACCGCGGTATGCTGTTGTACCTAGTGAAGTCCCCGGGCGAGCTGGTAGAGCGTGACCCCCACTGTTGAGAGTCCAGGCCCGATCGAATGAGGGCTTTTTCTTATGGCCATTCATCGAGGAGTCGGGGAGACCGCGATGAGTTGTGTCGATCGAGGAATGTCGTCGTGTATGATTGAGGTCACGAATGGAGGCCGCGGAGATTCGTCTTGGCGAATCAAGGCCGTAGGGAGGAGTGTGGGGAGTGACAGGAGAACTAGCATTGCTGGCTAATCTTGGGTGTTGGCCAGGACGGCGGAAACTCGGGAGTAGCCTGCGCCAGTCTTCTCCGACACGGTTGGGATGCGTGGCAAGAAGGGTCCAGTATGACCAGCACGAGAGAGCGATCGTTCTTCGGGGCCATTGGAGAAGCCGGCGACGGAAGCTCTTGTGGGGGCCTGATTCTGGGGTTGTTTCAGACCCCGGACTTCTTCTTGAAATGCCTTGACCTTGTGCCAGGTCTTGAGCCGTTTGCCCATAACACCAAAGTCGAACTCCTTCATGAAAATGAAATCTTGGTCCATATCAAGGAGTACATCACCTGTGATTTCTTGTTCCTCGAAGATCTCACAGTGTTTGGGATCCATTCCGAGCTCTCGCATTTGCTTGGCGGTTTCAGTTTGATTCCATTGCCGAACCTGTTCTTCAGTGGGGCCGTCGCCCTCCTCCTCGTCTGTCTCATTCCCATTAATGTATGAGATTCGATGGCTGAAATGGCTACTGTATTCACTGCCCGAGTCATTGATTGTCTTTGCGTCTTGGGTCGACACGCTGTGACGAGGCGTGTTCATATCGGTGATATGCTCGTCAATGACGCTCAAAGTTTCGTTCATGACGGGGCTTTCCTCGCCATTCGCATGGCTATCGATGGATCGTCGGAAAGTTTGCTGAATATCCGCCAGCAGACTTGGTAGGGGCAGTGGAGAAGAGGCCGATCGATTTTGTTGGGGGGAGTCCACCGATTCGTAGACATCGGAGGTGCTTGCGTGTCGCGATGCCTGGGGGGTTGTTTGTTCGCTGCCGGTTGAGATGAAAGAAGAATCCACCGGTGTTGAGGGTTCGATTTGTAAAGGCGATTCGGTATTTTCGGAAGCGATCACGCCCTGGGGGGAGGGGCCGGTATTAATGGCACCTAAATTAGCTGGGCGCACATGAGCCCGAGGGAGATCGTGAGCCTCGGCCTTGCGAGTGAAACCTATGATGATGAGCGATCAGTTTCCGGGAGACGATTGCGATTGTTCATTGAGGTGGGCGCATACATGCAGGGAAGAGGCCCTTTTGGCCGGAGCGGGTGTGCTCTCCCAGCCACCATCCATCTTGAAATTCCTCATCCATCTCCTCCAGATGGATGACATCGCCGCGCATCATCTGCAATTCATCGTCGTTACGCTTAAAGTGATCGTCTGGATTTGGGGTTAGCGCATGGTCGGGGAGGACGACCGAGAGGGGTACTTTGCGCTCACACTCACGCTCACGCGATTGCGGCAATCGCAATCGCGCAAAGCGCAAGGTCGGGTCGCACAGAGGAAGACGTACGAAAGGCGACCAGATAATCCCCCCCCGCTGGACGTTTTTAGGGGGGGGCGGGCGAGGCCAGCGAAAGGTCGGCCATTTCGCGATGATTTTTTGTTGGGGGGGGGGGACCCAGATCCTCTCCGATCGAAGGAAAGTGGAAACAAGCCGAGGCGAGGATTATGGCAGGTCAGTTGTAGGGCATGGGGGCCCCAGACAGCCCTTTCGAGGGGAGAGAAGGCAGCGGATTGGAATCTCGCGATGAAGAGAGTAATGTGAACTCAATATCAATGTCTCGGGGGGGGGAGGAAGGGGAGGGAATGCCAGAAGGTCGAGGAATCTAGCGCGCAAGAAGGTCGG